TGGTCTCAATAACTCGAGTTGTTGGGAGAAGGTTCTGCTGGCTTGAAGTTTGCACAGCCCCACTATACCTTGTGCTTTAATCAACTATTAATATTGGGGGTCGTGGAGATTCGAACACACGACCATTTGGCCAAACCAGCTCTTATACCATGTCAAGAACCAGTTGGTCCCAATAACTCGAGTTGTTGGGAGAAAGTTCTGCTGGATTTAATACCACTCTCTAACAGTATGTAATTGGTTAGAGTTATATTCCTTATTAGAGTCGTAGAAGTTAGATAATTTTCCTATTAGTGTTAATACTACTTGTACTACACATACTCTAATAGGGCTCAAGATAGGGTGCATAATCATGGGTTATGCATCCATCAATAACCAAATCTGGACCCTTCATTTAGAACATCCAGATCTAAGGATGGAGAATTAAAGATCATTTTTATTTTCTCTAGCTTTCTTAATCGGCTCATATCTTTTTCGTTTTAACTCGGATTTTAATTTTTTTTGCACAGGTGGAACGAGTTCATCGTGCTCTACAAAATGAGATCAATTTTCAATATTTTTTAGAACAAAAAATTCTGGCCTCTCGGTACCAACTGCATACCATATGGTATTTTCTTCATTTTTAATTCGTTTTTGAAAACGTTTGCACAGAAGGGACGAGTTCATCATGATATATTGGATCTACAAATTTATGGGTGAACAAATTACAGGACCAAAAAATACCACACAATACCACCCTGGTACGGGGTGATATTGTATGGTATCTTCTTCGTTTTTAATTCGTTTTTGAAAACGTTTGCATAGAAGGGACGAGTTCATCATGATCTATTGGATCTACAAATTTATAGGTGAACAAATTACAGGACCAAAAAATACCACGCAATACCACCCTGGTACGGGGTGGTATCTTGTGGTATACAATGTTAAAAGTCGTAAATGACAATTAATATATTTCTACTATCATGTATTCAACCATCCTACAGTCTTGGTTTGTTCATACCACCATGGTACTTTTTTCAAACCATAGGTATGCTTTTATTTCAATACTAGTCAATGCCATATGGTATAGAGTGGTAAAAAATGGCTCACTTTTTTTTGTTCGAAAAATATATTAAAGTGGATATCATTTTGAAGAGCACAATTAATCTGATCTAACTGTACAAAAAATTAAATTTCGACTTACAATGAGTGAGAAATCGTCCGTCAAAGATTAAAGAGGGGAAAATTAAAGGCTTTCCAGGAGAGAGAGGATGCTGATGTCATGCTGATGTTGACATGTTACTCATGGTTACTCACCACAAGGTTACTCACCGGATCTGCTCCCCTCTAATAAGTGTCCCTAAACCCGAACGATTTTGTTACCTTATTAATTATTATCCCATTGGGGAAAAAATTCATCCCTGTCTCAATCGTTTACTCAATTTCTCATTGACCATAAGGTGAAGGCTTGATAGTTACTTAAGTATTTTATTTAACATTTGTTTATACCAAAACTAATTGTGTTCCGTTATGGTCAAAACATCTAAATCATCACCTGTTTTTTGAAGTAGAAAAAACAATGCAAGTTGATATCAAGTTGACACAGGATAATTCAAAATATCAAATTTTATTAATCTAAATATTGTAATTAATAATCTGCTGTGATTCATATATATATGCTTTTTTTTTGTTAAACGCCAATCAATTGAGAATGTTAACAAAAATTGTGACTAAGACCCAATTAGCTGGAAGTAAATTATTCGGATTAGGAATTAAATATACAAAAAAACGAGTCACTCTAGTCACTAACCTCCATGCAGTAATCCAAGCCTCTGATAATTATTTTGCTATTATCGTGTTCCTAATTATTATTTAATTAAGGGTTGTTTTTTAATTTTTAATTTGGGTCAAACCGGTGTGGGGTTCCTTTCTACTATATGTATGTAATTAGAAAACGACGATGGAGATAATCATTCATATATTTTTTTGGCACCACGTAATGACACCAAAACGGAGGGGGAAAATGCTCAATAATTCTAATTAAGGCTTCTGCTGTAACTATTACGAAGTAGCAACAAAGGGCATCTTTGCAGTTTTGAGTTCGGCTGAGCCCAACTTGAACAAAGCCAAAACTTGGCCAAGTTGGCTCTAATGATCAGATTTGTAGCTTAATTATTGTTATTGATAGGCCCCAGCAGCCTTTTTTCGTTTTGGTTGATGATGCCAAAGTTCAACTTTATAATTGAACTCATGATTAACAATATAATTAGCATTACCTATTACCTAACATGGCTAATTAAGACTATTACCGGTTAATCTTTGTCATGAAAGGGACGTTTATCTATCATGGGTTGATTACGACTTATCAATTATTGTATTGAAAAAGATTGATTCAAGTGGATTTATCCTAGCACATATTTGTTTACAAGACAAAGGAAAACAACCACTTAACAATTCAAACTTGTCAAGTGAGTTGCATCAACCCATATATTCTCAGACTTACTTGTAATTTGACTTGCAGGTTTAACTCAGTAGTCAGTACAGAGCAGTACAATCAAACTTTGTATAATCAGAATCGAGATGGTGAATCTACAAGCAGGCAAAATAACAATAATTTGACACGCAATACGATCAAGACGAAAGACTAGATCATACAATATGGTCGTTCATAAGTGTATATTGGTATATCGTCATACAATTTGGAATTTGGATCTTTGGAAATGATAAGAGAGGAAAGGAACAAAAGAATCAAGTTGGGGTTGCAAATTGCTCATAATACACACAAATGCAACGCTGCAGCTACACTATTGCTTTTGTTGCTTACTCTGTAGTGTAGTATGCTGCCATTTTGGCGGGAACTGTTACAAAGTGGAAAGGGGATTATGTTATGCTTTGAAGCCGGCCTAAAAGGATTAATTAGTTAGTTGTTACAAGTTTACGGGTAGGCCACTGAATTTCTATCATCTCAATAGTTTAGTCCCCAACATTTTGCAACTCGCTCTGAAATCCAAGCAACTCAGGAATGGAAAAAAAAAACTTGTGAACAAAAGAAAACAACAATATATGCAATACCTGTCACCAAATGCAATATGTGCCGAGCTTTAGGGGCGTGTCAATCACGATTTATTCTAAATCATCGTAAACTGTCAAGGAGGGATGTAAATGTTAGGTGTCAATGATAGAATATATATCTTTGTTGTTCCCAAATAATGACTCCGCCACATTTTCCAACTACTATGATATAGATGGACTGTCAATTAGAAGTGTTAACGACAACTCCCTTGGTTGAATGTACTGTGAGAGAACGATGATATTGCTCATCACCTTTACTAACCGATGTGGTAAATAGGGCATTTAGATTGGCAACGACATGTTGTATTTTTGTCGGATTAGTAATAGCTCTAAACCCTCAAACCACTCATAAATCGTGGTATGAAAATATAGATGGGCGGGGCCAAAGAGGAGACAAAAAAATGCCAATGAGAGAAAAGAACAAAGGGAGGATAGGAAGCGGCTTCTTTGTTTCACTCTTCGTTCGAGAAAATGTTTTTGGCCAAACTTTTGCCGTCAACCTGCCAGTCGCCTGTCGTGGTCCATCTCCATTTTTTTTATCCCTTTCACTCTTAACCCAGCCGGTTTATTTTCACGGCGTTCAAATTACCATGTTATCCGTTAATTGAGCTATTCATATAGAAAAAAAAAAAAATCCTTATTTTGTTTAGTATTAAGGTTACCATTGTTTGATTTTGTTTCTTAAGAGAAGAGGATGGTACGATAGATTGTATGTGTGCCTTCATTTGGTGATATCTCGGAGGAGGGAAGTTTCTTACGATGACAACATGATTGAATCTCTAAATTACGGATTTAACATATTGAGAGGAGGATGGCAAGACAAATCAAGCGGTGTATATATTATTTAAGAAAAGTCTACCAACAACACTCCAAATAATAGCGTGTTGGATTTTCAGCACAATATGCCTTGAAACTACTTGTTTGGAGTAGTGAGTTAGAACGACAAGAGTTTTAGTTCATGATAGGCGCGAGATTAGAAATTTGAATAATAGTAAGTTAAAAATGCACGATAAGACATTTTGAACTTATGAGGTACTAATATGCTTGTTGACTTGGGATCATTGAGTCATGACTAATGTTTTTTTGTAAGTTTTATTGGGAAGACTCTAAATTCAACTACTCTACTATTGTTTTTTAAGGGTCTCTCATTCGTTTCCTTATAAGCTCTTTTGCTAGTTTGTTGCAAAACAGACACGATAATTTTCAAGCTTTGTCCTTTTTTTATTTCCTCTTTTGTTTTGGGTAGGAAAAATGGAAGCGTCACTTTTGTCTTGTGGTACAATTTTATGTTATGGCAAATTTTTTTTTGTATTTATCTGTCTTTTTGGTAAAACAAATCTTACAGCTATCTTCTTTTCCCAATATTTTGTTTTGCTCAAATTGACGCGGCAAACCGTGAACTACAAGAAAATAAAATTTCTTTCAGAGTAATAAAAGTAAAAACAAGGTAAAATACTGAAAATTTCTTTAATTTCATATTAAATTATGAACTTTCTTTTTTCACATTTATACAATGCATGTGGGAGGGAAACCAATCCCGATATTATGATTGTTATGTGTATTTTTACTCCCTTTTATATAGAAATTTCTAGTAAATAAAATTCCATTGGTTGTTTAGTATTTTTAGCAAACTCCTTTTTTTTTTTGGTGAACAGAGAAAAATCTTAATTTTAGGATTTCATTTCCCAAATTTAGCTCAAGATAAACACAATAATAATCATGTTACTTTTTCCAGCACAAATATAAAACAATGTATGAAATGTTAATATTTTCTCTATTTAAGAGTCTTACTAACTTTGGTCCAACGTATTTTAGTAACTACAGAGCAAATTACCTTTTCATATTTTTACAGCAAAGAAGAAAATAAAATCAAACTCGGAAGGAAAATAAATAGTGGTAAATTCCTATTCCCCCACTTGCCAGTTATAAATTTGGCGCCAAACTCAAGCCTAGCTGCCTGCCACGTTAGTCAGTCCCAGCTGCAAAAACGGCAAACAAGTAAGGAGAAAATTAAATTAATTAACAAAAAATAATAAGGGAAAAGACAGTAAAGGACAGCAGGCGATTTACGAAATTACCAAAAGCACCCTTCACGAAGAAGAAGAAGTCAAAAAACGCTTCACAGAGTAAAAATATCAGGGCGGTGTTTGTAACGCAATTAACGGGAAACCAGGCGGTAATTTAATTGTTAAACCATAGATTAAGGAGGGGGGAGTTGGGTGGGAGAGGGTAATTATTATTAGTTAATAAAGCAATAAATACTTAAAAAACATCTAAACTAACAGCATTAATATCGCTTAGTCAAAGGTCCGGGACTGTACCCAAAGTGTCCGATCTCACGTGATCATGCCTCCCCAGCCCAAATTCCCATACCACTCCCCCTTCTTTCTTTCAAACCCAAAAAACAAATAGCAAAAATCCACGTCAGCACATCACATTCCTTCTCATTGGTCCAAATTCGCCCAACCAGGCCCTACCTATCCACGTGTAACGTCACACGCGCCCACTTCTTATGCGGCGCATCGTCATGCAGATAAAGAAATACAGAAAAAAAAAAAAAATCCCAACCACAAAGGACGGACTCTCCATCTCCGTTCGGGTCGACCCGGGTGGAATAAAACAAAAAAAAAGGGTAAGTAATTAAACAATTTTCTTTTATACAGAAAAAGGCTTCACCGGGTAAACGGAACGGAGGAATCAGAAATTGAGTGTTTTATGGTACGGGTTACGGCTAATTCGGGATGGCTATAAAAGAATCGGTTTGGGTATCCCAACTTCCGCTCAATCTCTTGCTTCTTCTTCTTCTTCTTCGTTTTCTCTCACTCACTTTATTCTTCTTCGTCCTCTACTCCTCCTCCTCCTCCTCCAGCTTCATATAGTATTGTGAAGGAAGACTGTTTCTCCTCCCTTATCTTTGAGATTTTGATTTTTCTGAGAATCCAAACACCCTCCTAAGCCTGGAATCTCTCCTCCCTTGCCCACTTTCCTTCCCTTTTGTTCCTCCCCTTTTCGCCTCCACCCTTTTCTCTGTTTTCCAAAAAACAGAGTGCCAACAGATCTTTTTGATTCACTCGAAGGGAGAAGGGGGCTGATTCCTGGAGAACAATTTTTGATTCGTTTGTTCTCTCCTTTGTAAAAGCGAGCTACTCTCTCTCTCTCAGTAAACTACTGGGTTTAACTTTCCTGAGAAAATCTCTTTTCCCCTCAATCTTTGTTGGTGAGTGAGTGAGTGACAGAGTGAGTCTGTCAGTCCTTCATCTCTCCTGTTTCACCCATTCAATCGCCATTTCTCTGTGTCTCCTCTCGACCCTTTTCCTCTTTGCCTTTTTTTCTTTGGTTGTTGTTGTTGGTGAGGGCAGGGCACACCACGCTTTCCCTTTTGCGGTCTCTCGCCTATTCGTACAAGAGTGAACACTTTCTCCTTCTTCGTGCTTTCACAAGGGAGCACGCTTTTAAAGAAAGTTTCACAAATCTCCATTAATGTCTCAGATTATTTCTCCCCCTTTCATACCTTCCCTTTAAACCCCTTTCTTCTCCTTCCTCCGCTCTTCCCCCTTTATTCTCTACCCTCTCGTGGCTCCGCCTCGAAAGAATCTCTCTCCCCTCTTTATAATTTGATTTCTCGTCCTTTCTCCCTTCTCAAATGCCAAACTACCCATAGCTACAGAATCAAACAAATTTGGCCGAAATGGATACCAGCGTTCGTTCCCTCGCGCCGGTCAAGTTCAGCGAGTACCGGAATCATACCAAGCTCGTCCGTCCTCCTTTCCCCGCGGACGACTCTGTTTCGTCGGAGATGAAGCCCACTCGAGTGGTCAGGATTTCAGTGACCGACCCAGATGCCACCGACTCGTCCAGTGACGAGGGGGAGACGGAGCTTTTTGCTCCGCGGCGAAGGGTGAAGAAATTCGTCAGCGAGATAACTGTGGAGTCCTCTTGTTCTGTTTCTGGCGCCGGTTCCCAGTACGACGACGTTTGGGGCGCTAGAAGGAGGAAATCGAGGTCGAAGGCCACGAGGTCGAAATCTTCCACCGGTGGAGGCGTCTTGTCGGTGAGGCCGACGGAGCCGGCAGCAGCGGCGGCGACGAGGAAGTTCAGAGGTGTCCGTCGGCGGCCGTGGGGGAAGTGGGCGGCAGAGATAAGAGACCCGCTCAAGCGCGTGAGACTCTGGCTAGGCACCTACGATACAGCCGAAGAAGCAGCGATGGTGTACGACAACGCGGCAGTCCAGCTGCGTGGACCCGACGCGCTCACCAACTTCCTCACCCCTCCGCCACATCCAACGCCCACCACCGCTTCCGCCGCTGCTCCTACCTGCAGCTCGGAATACAACTCCGGCGAGGAGTCACGCAACGACAATAAGGCTGTCGGTGGAAGCCGTTCTCCGATCTCGACGCTCCGATTCCCGTCGCCGTCGTCCCATGAAGAGGCCGAGTCGCAATCACAGTCGCAGAGCACCGTCACGGCGGCGAAAGAGGATTGCTCAGAAATCTCAGAGTTCTCTTCCATGGATGCGCTCTTCTCCGACGAGGCGTACGATTTCAAGAACTCCATGCGAGACATCTTCGACGAGACCAACCTGGCGGTGGAAGGGTTCCTGAGCCAGGATTTCGGCGGGGACATTTTCACCGGCGCAGTCGGGTCGGACGATTTCGGGTTCGGATTCTCCAGCTGGAACCCGGACGATTGCTTTCAAGACATCGGTGACCTGTTCGGGTCCGACCCTCTGCTTTCTGTATGAGAAGACGACTGGAGAGAAGTCCGGCGAGTTTGAGCTCGTCGGTTTTTTTCTGGCTCCCGGCATAGTCTTTTTTTTTTTTGTTTTGTTATAACCGGCGGGTAGGGAATGGGGAAAAAATCCGACGAAGAATCTTTGGGTTGTTAAGTTTCCGTTTCTCCTTCCTTCCTTCCTAGTATCAATTTTGTCCCCTTTTTCGTTTTTCTTTTTTTTCTGTTTAGGAAGTTGCATCAAATTTTGTCTATTTTAATTTTGAATGAAATATGTTAATTGTTATTAGCAGAACATATATTATATTATTAATATATATTATTGTTATGGAAATGGAAATGAACGTCAGTCACAGTAACGGTGACGGTCTAAGTTTGGGCTACGTGTTATCCGGCCTGCTTACTTCGGCAGTTCGGCTGGGTTAGTATTTGAGAGGGCACGTGTTCTCTTCACGTGACCGCAACTATTTTTGTGATTTAAATTAAAAGAATAATAACGCATGAACGCTTATTAAGAAATAAATTATTTTTGTTTTGCGAAAAAGGGAAGTTTTTTTTTAACCTTAGGCGAATCCCACATTTATGCTAGTTTTTTTGCTATATAAATCATCATGTAACACGTTAGGCGAATCCTACATTAACAAAACACGGGAGAGATTCATGGTTCATAAGTAAGAACTAATAAATCCACATTAACTGACAAAACGCGTTTTGAGTGACCTCATGTGAAGTAACTTTGATGTACATCTCAATCCAAAATCCGTGAAAATTTAAACCTGAAACGAACAATACATTATTGAAAAAAAAAGTTCAAAATGTTACACATGATCATATGCTTGAAAAATTAATTAAAGTTCAAACACTTTATGGTCTTGAATATGTCCCATTGAGAGAGGGGTCCAAAAATAGCTATTATGGATTTAAGCCGACACTAGTTTGGGGTACAATTTAGAAACACAGAGATAAAATGATACATATTATTGTCAGCTGGCACTTAACTTGTTTGGCAAACAACAAACAGAAGGACGGTAGAAGATTTAGAAGAGCGTGTTGGATTTATGGGATGAAATCTATGGCCCGTCCATATAAATAGATTACTTGCAATTTACAGCACCCGACTTATTAGTATGTACCTAATAACATCATAACTAAAACGTGCATTATTCACCACTGGATTTCTAATCTATCAAACAAATTTTACACTTCCTGCTTACTAGTTAGGATTGTTAAAAAAAAGCCTTACAATGTAGATGCCAACCCGAGGTTCATTATGACTTGCCGTAATTGAATTGTCTTTCTGCATGTTTCTAGTATTATTATACAGATATTTTGGACGATTCGACATTATTAGAAGTTTGTAGATGTGAATTTCACATAAAAAAAGTCCCTAGACGAGAGACTTACAGAAGGAGATGACAAAAACAACGCACATTTGTGGTCTTTTCTTCCGATTCTCATGAATGAGTGCGTTGGAGAATTGATTTGTTATTATGATGTACTAAATTGGGTAATATTAATTGCTGCTTCATCGCTCTATCGACTCCTTTGTTTCCAGCAGTTTTGGTAATGGTCAAGAAACTGTTAGAAATCATAATAAACAGTGAAAAAACCGAAGGAAAAAATCAATTATGGGGGAAAAACGCAATGGTCATGAAACCTACGTGACTAATATTTATTAGTAATATCTGCTTTGTTAGTTTGGACCGACCTATATGTCTCTCTCTATATATGTTTCGATTTACGCCCAAAAATGTGAAAACAGAGAAAAAAAGGGGAGAAAACGGAAGTGTTAAATATGGTGAGTGGTGAGTTGAATGAGCATATTTATTACTGCAGCTGCATATATGAATGAATAGGCATTTAATTCCCGGGGTAGATCGAGCAAATCCAATAGTGAAAAGGACTTGAGTAACTGTTGTTCACAAAGTTCATATGCATCAAATATATATGCAGCCTTGAATTATGTATATGCGAGAGTCGGTTTCTTTCTTTGCGAGTAGATATGTATCGTGCCTGGAAAAAAGTATAATTGAACATCTTATAACAACTTGAGTATTTCGGAGCTAATTGATATTTGACAATATATTAGAGTACATGATCATTGGTATTTATGTTCAAATCTTCGGCTTATTTGTTAAGTATCTGATATTTGAAAAGAAAATCAAAGTCCAACCAAAATAATGAAATTTAGTATAGTTAAAGCCTGCAGCAGCAGCAAAAATGGCAGCTAGCTAGCTATCACTAGTGTGAATGATTGATTGAATGAAGAGATGTAATGTGGAAGCCTGAGAGTGAGTGTGCAGAGTGACTCACTATCTTATATCCCAACCCCAACCAACACCTCAACTGTCATTTTGTTTAGCTAGAATTGCATCCGCAACTGAATTTTATTATTTGTGTATCACCAATTCACCAGTACACCACCTTAAATCGGATTATCAACCGCTACGACTGGAAGTCATGGGGCTCGTGTTCTCGGCCTGGTTGTATCCGCTTTTCCTTTACCATATCGAATTAGGGTTAGACCTAGCTAGGAGAAGTAGTATAAAGTACTTCTCATACTCCTCTGTAATCTCTATCTGCTCGAAGTATAGTGTAATTGTCTCTCTCCTGCCCGTGGACTAGCTAACACACATCGTTTTAGTGAACCACGTAAATCGTGTATTGTGTGCTTTCTGTTTTCATTATTTCTTGTTCCGTCGAATCTTCCGATCCCCCGAACCGCAGAAAGCAGTCAGTAACATCTCCTTCGATCAAAGGGTAGTGGTAGTAGTAGTGCTCTGTCGTGATTGAAGATTTCATATGAAAGTATGTGTTCAGTTCTTTGTGCGTACTACAATGGGCGAGTGAGTAAACCTAAACTACATATGACGTGTGTTTTAAGATCGAAGTCCCGGCCTGAAAGCAGAGCATTGAACGGCTGAGATGAGGAGAACAATATTATGATCAAATGGTCCCCATTTCATGAGCTGGAATTTGCAGGTGCAAGGGGGAAGCCGCCAGTTTTTGGTTTTGGTTGCATCGCTGCTGTGCTGTCCACTCACGGCCGAGGCCTCAAAGGGCAAAAGAAAGAACCTCTGCCCTTTCTCTGTGCGCTGCAGCAAAACTGCAAAACCTCCTCTCTTTCTTCCTCCAAACCCAACTCCTCCTAGCAAAGCCAAAAACTCATTAATACACAGAAACAACCAAATAATATATCTTTCTCCATTTTTCATTTTGGGTAAATGTCACATGTGGTCATTGAGATTACTAAATCATGTCATGTTTAGTCACTAGAAAAAATTAATATCAATTTTGATCACTAGAATTACTGAAACATGTCAACGGAGTGGACGGAAGCTGATGGAGAGTGACTAAATGTGACATGTTTCAGCAATTCGAGTGACATTCATTAAAAAAAGAAAATAATTCGAGTGACCGGAGTTAGACGGAGGCTAACGGGAGAGTGACTAAATGTGACATGTTTTAGTAATTCGAGTGGCCAAAATTGATATTAATTAACACGATTTAATAATCCCAGTGATCAAATGTGACATTTACCCTTTTCATTTCTTTTGCTGGAGTGGAAAAGGGTAAATACGCTAAATATCCCTAGAAGAAACTCTGCCCCTCTGGCTGAGTTGCCCTTTGCTCCCCCTATCCCTTTCTTTCCAATTCTCGGCCACCAAACATGAAACATGACAAACATATACATTCCCCCACAAGCTCCTCTTGTCACCTGTGATTCTCTCCATGATTGTGTCTTCCCTTCCCATGTTCTCTTCTTTTTTTTATTTGTGAACCAGAAATTTTGCTACGTAAATAGCAGCCATACACACCTCAGACAAAATGGAAGGTGTCATTATCTTGAGAGATTTGGGCAAGTAATTAACATTCTACTTAAAAAAGATATGCCCATGCCTACTTATGGCTTGTTTAGTCAACAAGATGTATCAACAGTCAACACGCCTCGTCGTCAGCGATAGTGATAGTCGTCGATGATTTGAGGTTGGATTGTAATCTTTTTACTAACTGAATTATCAACACATTATCATATATCGATCTCACTATATTTTTTCCACCTCTGTATTCCTAATAATGAATATTCTCTCTCTTAATTTTACATTTATCAATCCAAGCCGCACTAATCGTTCCACTCGATATTTATTGAAAGGAACTGTCATATGCATTGTACATGTTGAATCTGTTAGTCGGGGTCGCAAGTAATGGCCGCAATCTTTGTTATATCTTCTCTTAGTCTTAAGGGAATCATTCTTGATGTGGTTCACAAGAGCATCACCATCATAAAATTTATGCAAATCCGAATCATATCAAATATATGATGTAACCAAGGGCATGTTTGGAGGTTGTGATTGTGTAAATTGATGGATTCAATGAATTGGTGTATTGTAATTATATGTATTGTGCAAATTAATGTATTTCTCAAATACATTGTTTGGTATCTATGATTCTACTTTTTTATAAACTAAAAAGCAACACACCTTTTTGAAGAAAAATACATATTTACCCTTCAACGTTTTGTTCTTGAAAGAAGAAGAAGAAAAAAAGCAAAGAATTATCGTCGTCTCGCCGCTACCACGTTGTTGCCGCTAGGATTGCATAAACTCAAAGCTTCCCCGATTTCAAAAATCAACTCCAGCCATCCCAATTAATTACTTTCGCTTATATCCCACCCAACTCAAATCCCCGCCAAGAAATCAATAACCAATTAGCACAATCTCCTCTAAACTCGAAACCCCACAAGAAGAGGAAGTGCGATGGTCCCTGTTTCAGACAATATTAAAGAAGAATTGGGTCGAGGGGGAAAATCCATAATTCTCTATACGAGTTGGTGGACTGCCGACGACTATCGTCGAGGGAGGAGCAGGGAAGTTTTCTCCCTTTTTTGGCTTTCGTAGAATTTTGATGACAAGGATAGAAGAGTAGTGGAGGATGGGGTAGCAGGGACAAAAATGGAATAAAAAGATATGACACAATCCTTTGTTTAGACTCTCAACTTTAGGTAGGGATTCACAATAATTCATTTTGAGGGATTGTGAGTGGGCCCCCAAAAAGGTAATGCATGTATTCTCTTACAAATTTGACCAAAAAAATGACTTAATCTTCTCAATGCATGTATTTGCTAAATCCTTCATCTGAAATCCTAACCTCCAAACGACCCCCAAGTTGCACAACTCTCTATCATCAACCTCTTTCATCACCATATTTGTTGTCCCAAGTCCCAACTAGAAACATTAACAAATTTGATAATGATATTAACGTGATATTACATTAACTACACTATAAAATTTAATCCTTAAAACGTTTTGCTAAATATAAGAACTCTAATATACGTTCATTCCGGTTTTACCTATGATTGCTCCGGTCGGATTGTCCTACAAAATGACACGAATCGAGGGTCTGGTCTGGTCATGGTTCAGGCTGACCGCTGACCTGCGTTCTTTCAGAGCTGCAGGAGCCAGAGTGGAAGTCCGGCCACATGCATCTCTTCTTTCTCACAAGAAATTTTCACCACAATTTTTTTTTAGAATAAGAATATTTATATATATGCACTGGAAAAAAATCCTGTAAATATCTCTGGCCGAACCGAACAAGTCCAAAACCAAAATACTCTTTTGCCTTCGTATTGTTTTGCGCCCAGGCCACAGAACAGATTCACCCAGAAAAGAAAAAAAGGCAAAAGCGAGAGAGAAAAAATGAAAAAAGAAAAAGCCTCCCCGGCGGAAGGAAATCTCTGAGAGGATCTTCCCTGCAACTCTATAATCAATCTCCGCCGTACACGTCACTTGTCAGGCTAACTGTTTTGCGCATCAGCAGCTTGAAGGCCGGGGCGGCTCTCCATTGGGCCCAGTTCGGGCCTGGTCCCATTTTTGTGCAAATGGAGCGGTGGTGGTGGTCCACATCCAAACCCAGCTCAGCCCATCACAATTTTCCAGATACGTGGACCCACACCTCATTATACTGCAATATTTCGTGTGCTGATTTGGATTCCTCCAAAAGCCCAAGGGGATAAGCATGAGTAGGGGTATTTAACAGTTTGGTTCGTCGGATTAAATTAAGGGGTCGTTTGGAAGTTTTGATTGTTAGAGTTGTGTTTGTTGAATACATGTATTGTGCACAATACAATGTTTGGAAGTGCTAAAATATAAAACAATGCATACATCGGCGGATCCAGAACACAGAAGAGCACTGGGCCGCATTTCATTAAAAAATTAGAACTGTAAAAAAATATAATGATTATAGTTTTTTGCAATGTAAATTATAAACAACTATATTGTAATTTAGGGAATGCATCAATAATGAAGTCTACATCCATACCAATAGTATACACTGTTTCAAATAAAATACTTGAGCAATCGGCGAGAAATTCATCGCTCATTTGTTGAGCAAATCAGTTCTCACATGTTCATTATTAAAAAGGTTCTCTTCGTAGTAGCTGTTGAAACGAGCAGCATCAACACTAGATAAATCAATCGACTAATCAATTTACATTGTGTGTCCATCCCTGCACACCCGCTGCTTTAGTAAATTTGTAAGGGAACAAACCTCATATTTCTTTTAGTCTTTTACGTTTTTAACTTCTTAGAATTTTAGGTTTCATTGTTTTATTAAGACGCATAATCTTTGGGGCTAAAATTTCTAGGCTAAATTTAGAATAGTGATTTGAATATGTTCAACTTGATAATTTTTCTAGTTAAACCCAATCTTATAATAGAATAACACTGAATTGAATGTCTAAAATCAAAAATTTCATAAGGACTATAGTAACTACGGATCTAGAGGAGGGCTGGGCCGGGGCCTGGGGTGGCCACCCCCTGGATCCGCCAGTGAATGCATACATTGTTTTAGGTAAGTTCCACCAACAATCACAAAAAATGATGCATTATACAATCTCAACTAAAAGTTGAGATTGTTGTGATTGTTGTTTTTAGATTTTTGTCAACTTTTTCTTTTCATTTATATCTCTAATAGTTTTTGTCTTATACTAAAAGTTGAGGGTAAACATGACATTTCCCCATAAAAATAATTTTACGTAAATCAATGCATAAAGTAGAATCTCAACAACCAAACAATGTAGTGTTAAAATGCATCCATTATATCAATACATGCATTTATATTATGGTGATTCATTACAATGCAACGATTTAACATTCACAATTTCCAAACCAACCCTAACATTTGGATCAGATTGTATTGAATCGAGTATATTATTGTCCTATTTTTTATCTCACAAATTTTATATATATGGAAGGAAAAAGAGTTGAAGAGAAATTTGAAAAGGACAAAATCAAAATAAACCGAATGTGTTGTTGGTATAGTCCTTGGTTCATAAATGTCTCTTATTATTAAATCTCCTGAGTTTGATCCACTCCGAACCAAACCGGACCATTGCACCTCTAAAGCGCGAGGGAAGACGGTATGAGTGAAAATTGCCCTTTCCCCCTCGTTGGGCTCCCACGTCACTGAGCCGCAACCCAAAGCTTCGTGCATATTGCTTACGTGGAATCTACGTGTGGTCTGACTCGAGCCCGGGAAAAAAAAAATCCACGTCAAGAAACATCCCGCCACGGCGCCACCACCTAAAATTAGCATTCATTTCAAATTTTTTCCTTGGAGTTGGGGAAGCTAAGCAGCTGCGGGCATGCATGTTACAAGTTGGTCATATACGTGTATCATTTTTATTATGATTATCCCACAGGGCCAAATCCATAATCCACAGTTGCGGCAATTTATTAGGCAATGAAAGTGAGCTAGGTATTCAATGTAAAACCTACAATTGGCCAGTTGGTAGCAGTAGTACTTCCGCTGGTTGCAATATTAACACCATCGGGCAACGACCGGCGGGCCGGGGGAAGAAGAAGAGAGTAGCAGTGCGCATAAATTGCATGTGTGTTGCTACAAGAATCGACCGGTGTTTGGAAGAGCTTTTAATTAAAGAGAGCTTTCTGTACTCTGGAGCTTTTAATGGTTCATCAGCTAACTAAATAATATACCGACATGGGAATGAATACGTGGCATTCTGTACATTACTTCCTATGGCTTTCACCGACTGCGGAGTCACACAGTTCCTATGCCTTCATTATAATTTATACGTATGTATGTACGTAGTTTGCGGTACTCTGCAGTCTCCATTTTCTCCGGCAAGACAATTGCCAGTGCATATTATTATTGCACGGACAACCCATATCCGACCAAACCTAAATAATGCAATTTGCCATCTCACATTGCATTACGTTACGTCCTCACTCCTCTCTTGCATTCAAATAACTCGTGACGAGGACGGAACAATGGGTCCTCTCTCTATCAATGCTTGTCTATGTTGGTGGTCGATCGGACGAAACTTAAAAAGAAGTTATTGCTTGTTATGGTCCTGGTGATAAATTTATTTACATGTTTAGGAAAACTGGGTTGGGGATAAATGATGAGTTTCGTTTCTAGTTAACTCAGAAATTTAGCCGTTATACTCCTAATTAGTTTATGAACTCGGTTTATTTTCATGCCTTTATCGAATTTTTGACTTGCCAATGGAATTCATATATTGATGCTCCCAACCTTCTATTATCAATAAAATTCTTATGTCTATTATTTTTAAAATCCCACCTTAACTTCTCAAATTTACTTATAGAAAAATTATTATGTAGTACTCTCGATATGTAATCCATATAAATTATGGAATTTATGCGCGTCGTATGCAAGTAGTCTGTGAAGAATTGGGCCTCCTTTTGAGAAGCCCGAACGGAAATCACAAGGCTCCGTCCCAACTCTCAACAAAACCCGTTCCCGCGACTGGGCCTCTTTGAGAAGCCCGGACCAACTCTCTTCAGCAAAAATGTAAACCGCTTAACCAACTTTCTGGGCTCTCCTTCATGAACTGGGCCCTCTCAAGGTCCTTAGGTGGGCCGAATATACGACGAAGATGCGTAGAAGCCCACAGTACGTATGTTCTGGGCTAACCCAGTCAGACACCGCGGCGCAGGAAAGAAATCGCAGACTCAGCGCGTGGCTTCACTTCCCACCTAAAAGCAATTCCAATTTCCCTTTCGAGCCGTGGAAATACAGAGGCGGTGACGCACGAGACCAGAACTCGCTAGGCTAGAGAGATTATTAAACAAAAAGAAAGTAAAAAGCGTTAAATTAAACCCCCCCTTTTTTTTTTCTTGCACGACAAGGGTTTATCTTTGTCAGTCCAAAGAAGAAGAAGCAGCGGCAGGCGAACGATGGAGAAGGCAGTGGCGGTCTGCGGCCAAGAAGCGTTGGATCTGCTCAACTGCGTCGCTGAATCTCCTTACGATCAGGACAAATGCCTCCGCCTCTTGCAGGCCTTGCGAGATTGTGCTGTGAAGCAGGTAAACCAAACAAACAAGCATCGCTTCGATTTTGCCCCATTTGTTCGCTCGTTTCTCTTCCCTCGTTGTTGTTGGCGCCTGGAATTTGGGTTCTCTTCTCTGCTACTTTCCAGACTTTTCTAACTTGTGGGTAGCCGATTTGTATAGTTGAAAAGGAGAGCATTAGGAGTCAGGAGAAGAATGTCGTCAATCTCTGATTAGGATTAGGGGGCTATTTTGACTCTTGATCAGATTTCTTTTTTTCGGAAGCTCCATTTCTTAGGCTTAAGGAGAATGGATTGATTGCCAATTGGCAGCAGTAGTGACGAGTCTACCCCCTCTGCTTCTCTGATCGTGGGATTTTGGATTAAGAGATTGATTGTTCTTTAAGCTTTGAACAGGGCGGCTACTAATAGATTTGATGAAAAACTGTGTTTCTGGGAAGTTCGGCCATTTGGTGTTCTGATAATTGATGAGCTAGCTCACTTGAATTGAATGGTGTGAATGGAATTTTAAGCATTTTAGCATAACCTTCCATATGGCTTGGTACATTGCTAAATGGCATTGTTTTAGTATTGTTTTTCTCATGTAGTGTTTCCATTTGTATGTTTCTGATATTGGTATATATGCCATTGTTCATCTGCAGAATGTGAAGAAGTTCTCCCTAGCAAACGAGGCCAAGAATGAAGCTGAGGTATCGCCTAAGAAAGGTTGACAGTTCACTCTCGCGGCGCTCGTGGGATCGATCTTTCTCTATAGGCTGTGTCAAGTTCAAGTCTTGAAATTTAGTGTTTCACTAGGCTGTGTCAAGCTCATGTCATTAAATTTTGTGTTTCACTAGCTAGTCACTAGATGAGTTTTAGATGCCTGAAGAATCCTAGTTTCTGATTACGAAATTCGGTGTTGTCTGCATCTGTATCAAACCTCACTTCCATTGTTTACTCTATTGTTGTTCCTCACACGAGGATGTAAAACTTCTACAGATGATTTTATGATGCCCAGCTGATGAATATGAATGACCCTTCATGGTGTTCTTTTAATGTTCCTATCTACATTGTCATCCAAATGCCAGATAGTTTCTGTTTCTTAGCAAATGAAACCATAGATGTTGCATGATTTCGCTCTGTGTCATGCTCAGCAATGCTTTGATTCTTCAAAGCAATGCCAGAAAGATGCTAGGAAACTTTGCAGAGAAATGAAAGGGACAGGAGTAGGAAAAGATAGATAAGCCCACCAAACAAGATGATAACATTAGCAACAACCACTGGAATCCCCCCACCACACCCCACATTCTTCTTCTTCTTCTTCACCAAATACGAAAGAAAAACCAGAAAACCCAATTTGTCCTACATATGATCGAAACAATAAATACACCAAAAACCAGAGTACCACCTTAAATACAGAAGACCAAGGTTCGAATCGCCTTAAATAACATCCAGCTCCATCCAAATCAACCCAGAAATAAATTAAAAATTACGAAACCAATATCTTTCTGATCTTCATCAGCTGCTTGTCTAATTTATAAGCTGGGAGTCACATCTGCAGCATGAATCAGGTAAGTCAACACCAAAGCCAGCAGCATCAGCACATAAGCAATCCCTTGGTCAATCGACGTCCCTGAAAGAAACCAACAAAATACAAATACCCACATTGTCAAATCCGGCAAAGATCCCAACTTGGGACCGAACCCATCTCAGATCTGACGATTAAACGCGCTGGGAGAAAACAGAGAATAGAAAATCCCACTCACCATCGCTTGTAGCGGCGGGGGCCGGGGCGGGAGCCATGCCCTGAGCCTGAACTGCAGCAGGCAAGGCGATGGCGAAGATGAGCGCGATGGCCACGGCGGCAACGGCGACTCTCGAAACTGCCATTGTTGTTTCGATTTTCTTTTTTCCTGATTTTTTCTTTTGTGGGGGGGTTTTGTTTTTCTCTTCTCTTCTCTTCTCTCTCTGCGGACGGAAACCAAAAAGGATTTTCTCTCAGCACTCTCTCACAGAATCCAAATTCCGGAGAGCCGCGCAGAGAGAGAGAAGGCAAGGTCTCCTCTTCCTAAAACGAAGCCAAAACCACCGGAGGATTGCCTTGTGCCTCTTTTTTCGATGGTGGGGGGATGAAGCTGGACCAAGCCGCGGCGTCAAGATTTATACAGTGGCTTTGTTGCCCGCCCGGCTGGCCGATAAAAACGGAATCCAGACAACAGAGAAAGAAAGAGAGAGAGAGAGTTAGGCGACCGGCTCAGCCGGTTGCCTTGCCGGTCCAAAAATTTAAATTTTAGCAGTTTTTATTTTCCTGAGTGACGGACCGAAAACTGTGGGGCCCGCTGCCCATGTGACCGTTCGGAGGGCAGGGGTGCCCTTTTTATCTTTTCTTTTGTGACTTTTGTTTAAGGGTAATGGGAAATTCCCGCCCTGCCCGGGGACAGTCTGTCCTTCGTCTCTTTCCTTTCCATTTCATTGGCGCCATATGCCGGAGTCCTGATTGGTCCACGTCATTTATATGGATTAAGTTACCGTCCAGTTCCTTATTTTAACTCGTGTTAACTTTCGGTCCTCGGAGTATTTCCTTTTTAAAAACCTGAGTTTGTTTTGTTCTGGACTTCTGTTGGGATTCCGTTTCCATTGTGATGCTGTTTTTGTTGTGTATGTGGAATTTTCCTCAAATTGTTTAAACAAGCAAACAGTTTTAGGAATGTGAGATGATCTCATTAATAGACATGGTTAGGGATACGAGGTTTGACAGAAAAAGCAAGTGAAGTGAAGTGATACTGATAGATATAGAGGTTAAGGAAGAAGAGGGTCGGATTTGGGAACATAGATCCATCTCCAAAATGAATAGGGGTATATGATGCTTGTTGTAATTTGTAAAATTGAGAGGAGAGTTGTTCGTTTTATACAATTATATTCTAGTATGTGGTGTTTATTTTGTACGTTTAGAATTTGTATTGACGATGGAAGAGGATCAATTCTTAGTCCTTTAAATATGTACATATATGACATAGATTGCCTACGAATCCTACCCTTTGAAGTTTAAGTTGAAATACGTAAGTTTAAGTTAGAGAGGGGTAAAAGAGGGGAGACTTTATGGATTGAATTTGTCTTATTTATTTGCCAAAAATAAAAAATGATATCTTAGTATCGTGATCATCTTGGTAAGTAAGTACACTAAATACTCACCTATATAAGACTGCTTAATATTTTGTTAGTTGTGATAAGCCTTGTGGTCCATATTATCTGTGTAGTAACTAGTAACTACATTTGGTGGAGATAAGGTTTTCATAATTAGCCTTTGTCTCTATAATTTAATTCTCAGGTTTTTTCTCAATAATAATCTATCTATCTATCTATCTATCTATCTATCCTATATATTATGGCAATTCAAAAACAATATCTTGCCACATAAGCAATTGGATGATCCACAATTTGCCAAGTTGGACAAATTTTTTATAAACAAAAAAATGAGTTATTAATGTATTTATGGAGCTACCTCTCTCTTCTTTAATATTTCTATTTCTTTTATCCAATTATTCTTTTTTATTTATCCATTTATTCTTTTTTACTTTAATAATAAGTTAATGTTGATAAACTTAACCAAACACACATAAATAATATTTTTATTGTCAATTGAACAAAATATAAATAATAAAACAGAGAGTGAAATATATCACATTTTTTTAAATAAAAAATAACTGATCAAACCTTATAAAGTAAATTGTCTACTCATTTTTACTTAAATTGAAAGATAAGTTAGATTTTGATGAAAAAATTAAGCAAACATACACATAAACAATAATGTTTGAAAAGATAGAAAATAAACATTTGACATTCAATTACCTTTGAAAAATAAACTATATTATTTTATATTTTGTTGCAATGAAACAACTCTTATTCGTAAAGTATATATTTATAAAATAAAAATAAGTATTATTTAGCAAAATATCAGAGTATAATCTTGATCGAGTAGTTACATTTATTTATTTATTTATTTAAAAAAGACTTATTATTCATTCAGATCATGTTCTACATTAAACTCCTCGGGATGGGATTAGGTGCTAACCTTTATAGGGGTTAGCACCGTGATAACTAGCAAAAATCACTACGGATTATTATAAAATCAATACAACATCTAAGCTAAATCACTACTAATTCAAACTAGTAGTAGTTTTTCCCTTGGTTAGGACGGTGTTAACTATTGTACAATTAGCACCATAGTCGTTCCCAAACTCCTCAAATGAAGAGGAATCGCATGTGCAATAATTTTATAATGTGTCCTAAGTTCACATTAATAATATTTTCTCTATATCATGTTGATTGAACAAGCTCTATTAAGGTCCTAAGTCGCATGCTAAAAAATTTCTTTCATATTGGAGTTATCATCGACGATTATAAATCAAATTTTTTAAAATGACTTAAGTATGATTATTGACGAACTTTGACTTCATACCCTAGGATGAGACACAAGATTCCTTGAAAAATAACATTGGTGAAAGTTAGAGAAATCTTTGTTAAGAATATACGATAAACATCACGTTTTATCAACTATTAACCTAGGCATTTGCCAAATAGAGGCTGACAATTTTTAGTAAGATAGTCCATTGGGATAAACATATTTATCCAGCAATCAAGTATCTTTATTCAATAATCTCAACTCACAAAATTGGTTGTCAATTTGTCCAAACTCAAGAAACACGAATTTATATATATTGTATAAGATAATAAGTTAATGCAAATAATAAAATGAAATTCACCGATATTCTTCAAATGATAACGCATTTTGAATGCACTTGAAATAGGTGTGTATTGTATACACTCTTTTATGAATTATTAATGTGTAAGTGATAAAAACTTTGAAAATTACACATTCAACGATTATGTTAAGACCAAAATTCTTGATAGTGTGTGAGTGTCTTAGATTGAGATTCTAAGCCAACATATAAGCAATGACCACGGGTTGAGGTTTAGTCTAAACTTCAAGAATTAACAATTGATACATATTGTACAATATACTAAATTTAAGTGTATTGATAAAAAAACCTAACTAACATCCAAAATGGAAATGAGTCGAGATTGGAGAATTTAATCATCACGAGGGCTACGGTGTATGTCAAATTTCAATATGGATGAATAAATTGATCCAATACTGAAATATCTTTACTAAGAATTTCTCACTAAAAAGTCCTAATCTTTACAACACTGGTCAAGAGTTTGTCCAAACTCGAGGATCATGAATGTGTATTAGATTTCCAAAGAACCTAAAATCTCAATCCCTTTCGGGGGCTAAATACCTCTGATCACAACCATATGTTCTAAATAAGAATGAAAGAAGCCCAAAAATAGCAAAATAGTACATAACCTCCAATGGTTGTCCAGCGTTATGGGGGTAAAAGCGGGATCTCTATCACACGTGTGTGGGGCATAGGCAAGTAGCACTCTTAATATGAGTATTAGGCGAGATAAGATAGGTCTGACAAAGTATATGGATAATTTTGAGTCTACTACACACACACACACACCATAGAAGATAGGTATGACGAAGTATGTGCATAAATTAGATGTTAGTGAATTAGGGAGTAGAATTCACCAGGTTAGGGTATAGTATCACACCCCAAAAAATTCAGGTTAATTTGGGGTGTAAATAGTAAATCTCAATAGTCGTATGGTAGTGTGAACGCAAGAGTATAGCGTACTCCTGGCGCACGCTATGTTGAACTATATAGATGTGTGTGTGTGTGGGTCAGGTTGGCTTACGACCTTACGCTAAATATTAGTGTTTTGATCGACAAATTTTGACATAAGTTCTAAACGGGACGTGACAGCGGTATAATTTATGATTAGAAACCGAAGCATCACAAGTGAGTGTGCTAAATTGAAAGTTTTCAATAAAGACATATTACAAACTCTGTTATCAATCAAACAACACAAAATAATTTGAAAATTCAAAATGATTTAAACATATAAATAAGTTAATTAATATAAATTATAAAATAAATCTCTCCGGCCAACGGGCCGGGTAAAAATCTAGTTTTGTTTGATGGTATTATGAAAATTAAGCAGCGATGAAGTGATAAAAAAATGATTTCCAAAATTTAAAGTTGGGAAGTGTTTACACCTAACAGGAAGAAAATATCAAACAAACATATTTATTTTGGAATCTAAAAGTTTTTGTAATAATGAGTCATGATGGACTCCATACATCATCAAAAAGTTAGAAATAAGCTCATTACTGGTAATTAGTAAGACAACTAATTAAGAAGGTCAGAGAAACTATATACTAAGAAGTGATTTCTTTATGTATTTCTCTATTTTCTCATCATCATTTTTTTATTTTTATGCGTAGAAGATAAATTTGGTTTGGTCTTTCATTAGCGTCCGTTTTGAGGGGTTTGCCAGCAAAAGCCAACAAAAGATTCTGACACCCAAATATAACAAGAATGGAATTTGGACAGCCAATGCCAACAAACATTCCCAAGATAGTTCAATTTGTGTTTGATTTTGTTCTTGTTGAAACGGCTGAGAGAAACAACTAAATAGTAGGTGAATGACAACTTTGCATGCCAACTTATGGGTATTGTTAATTGCTAAATAATTGACTAGCCAAAGGTAAGAGAATAATATTGGATAATGGCATTGTCGAATTTTGCAATCATTCTACAAATTTTTTTTCCATCTGGGTTTTGCTAGCCAGGTAAAATTAGTATTCAGAGAGAATTATTGCTTTATAAGGACTTTAGAGAGAATCAGATTATGAAAGGTCTAAGAAATAAGCAGAGCCCTAGCAAGTTGGGTGTGGTCAAGGGGAAAAAAAGTTAGCTTAAACAGGGTTCACGATGAAGAACACCAGCAAAGCATGTAGTATGAGGACTTAACTCTATTATGATTCAATTACGTTCGATCTTCATTGTTAATGTCAAGTGTTTATTGTGTGACATGTTTGGCGGATTTTAGTAAACAACTAATTGTTGAAAATCATTTCAACCTGGAAAGTGGATTGCATAAACATGGGAAATAGATTGCAAATGTGGCATTCTTTTTAGTTTTTGTGTTCTTACATCCTGTTAGCTGTGAACATTGCTGTTCATTTCTCTGAATTCTTCAAATACCAACAACATGAATGACTTACAACCACTGCAAATAATATTACATACTAATCTTAGAGTTAGAAGCTAGTATGCGTAGCCATAACAGATCACAGATATACATATCAAGATTGAGCTTCACCCTGATGAGGAAATCTCGTATGAAAGCTACGAAAATGGGCTTTGATCTCTTAACTAAGGATTATTTATGGAGCGGTTTTAACTTTTAACAGAGTCGATCATGTATGACAAGAACAAATGCCACAGGGAACTGTTTTCTGATATCTTCACTGCTCTGAAGGCCAAAGAAAAGCTCCCATGGCGAACTTCCTCTTCTCATCGGCATCTCCAACAACAGGCAGACCGTACTCCTTAAGCAAACAATCCAGCCTCCACTCAGGCATCGTCTCGTAGTCTTTCTTCTTGAACCTTGGATAGTGGAGTGGCATCTGAAACCCTGACGATGATGATGCTGAACTGCTTCTGATTGCATTCATCTTGAACTAACAGTTTCTCTTTGCTAGAGCTGATCAGTTTGCTGCAGCACTTGCTTGGTTTGAGTTCCTTTTATAGAGTGGGGCTAGCTAGCAAGGAAGGACGGAGTGTAATCGAGATACAACTACACAAGGAGAGAAGGGCAAATTTATTGCACTTGACAATGAAAGGGCTTTTAGATAGGAGGATCTGATCTGATGATATGTTCACTTCCACCACCGTGCTTTGAATCTGAAATTACTTGGCACACAAGTTAGTTGTCACAATCCTGGAATTAAATACAATGTCCTAGTTCAGGAATTGTGTTCTACTTCTATGGCTGCAAACTGGTTTTGGTTTTGATGAGTTGATGTCTGCATTATCAGTTGCAGTATAGATAGGGACCTGTCGTTTACATTTAACTCCTTGCTTGGGCTTGGGGAAACTGTTCTCTAATGTCTAGTTGGTTCTAGAGATCACTGCATTCATAGGGCTGCGACTTCTCTTAGTCCTTATCCCCACTCAATTATGGTACATGAGATTCAAGGATGAACGTAGAGCTGGGAAAATAGATCAGACCGTTAGAAAAACCATGGTCCAAACCGTACCGTACAGTTTGGTCCTGACCGTAGACCGTTAAGTATGGTTTGGTCTGGTCCATGGTCTGTATTATTTTATGTTTTGATCTCTTGGTCTGGTCTGGTCTAGACCGCGGTTTATCGGACCAAACCGTGGACCCAACCGACTTGTCAATATGTGTTAACAGCCCATTTGACCACTTTCCCAATTCCCACAACGACACCCAAGTCTCAACCTTAATTTTGTGAATCTCGTCTCTCCTTCATTCACAACCACATTTAACCAGAGAGTAGAGATAATCATGTCTCAATATGACATTATGTTAATGTTTTATGACGTTATAGTGCAAGTTGGGATGCTTTTACTTTAAATCTTTGTTATGTATTAAGAATTAGGGTATCAAAATTATTCATGCATGTTAGGATTAATGTTTTAAGGCAAATAACAATTATTTTTCTTGGTTATTGGTTCAATTTTTTGTGTGGTTGACTAAACAAATTGTTCATTTTTCATTGAATGTGGTCTATCTGAACCAGACCAGACCAGACCGAATCAAACCGCACAGGCGTGGCCTGGACCAGACCGTATAGTTTGTAGTCTGGTATGTGGTCTATACTTCAGGCTCTCGGTCTGGACCATAGACCATATATATGGTCTGGTCTGAACCAGACCGCACCGTTTCCTCCGCCCTAAATGAACTAGTGATGGTGGTGTATTTGCATTTCGCGTACACTACAATCAACGAATTGCAAATATAAACTCGCTGAAATGAAGGAACGGACGTTTTCAATTACCTATCGCTGTCTTGCGTCTGGAAATCTTGAGGTTCCCTTCAGAACAGGGTAGGCAGCAGAAAATTGAGACCTTAACTACAGGTACGTGTTACATTCCTTGGTTTTCATTCACTAGTCACTGTACAAGTGTACACTTTCTTTCGCGTAATTGCAACAAAGAATGAAAGCCAAAACAACGAGAGGTATGCCATGTACCATTAGCAGTTACAATTAATTTTGATGACTGTAGTGTATCATCAATGTTCACTGACAAGAAAAAGCATAATTTCCTACATAGATATTACAACTTAAGCTAATCTAATTCTCTATGGTACTCTGTTTGTGATGGATCTATCTCGCACTTTGTTTGGATCTTATCCCCCAAAAAACGCTCTCCAGATGGCTTGTAATTTTCAGAGGCTTTGCCAATTCTGAAGAACAATATTGCTTCCCGATGGAACATGGAGTTGGAACGTCATTCGCCGGTTTGAAATGCTACATAAAATGAGATGGTCCCAAACACAAATGGTTGCCAGTGAGGTCAGAGTCTGTCAGGAATCGGCCTTTCGATCGATAGAAACTTCTTTTAGGGCCTCGGGAGCAGGTTTGGGTGTAGGCGGCGAGTCCACAAGCACGTGTGGAGGGGCAAAATACATGTGAAGTGACATCATACATATGATGATACCCAAGAAGAGCTGCAAAAAATGAAGCAACAGAACCAGAACATGTATCTATAAGCCACAACACAAGGAAGAAAATAAGTAGAAGAGAGAGAGCAGTTCATAACTTTCGCTCAAAAGTACCTGAAGTGTAGGCTTAAAGGAAAACAGGATCACTGATAAAACCATCGTCAGCAGCATTGCCATGGATGTGGAATAGACCTAAACAAGAATGAATCTATGGCAGTCAAATTTTCAAAGTGGAGAAGCAGAAGATGAACAGATATCAGTTTCTGAATTCTGATGTCAGCAAAGTAGCAGTTACCTTCACAATATTATCAGCATACTTCATCAACCATGAAACCAACAAACCAGTCGAGCCAAGATTCAACACAACCAGCCACGTGGTTGTGGTGTATCCATTAAAGAGACGCTGCCACCACGGCCCATTTTCAAATCCACTTTGGAAATCATCTACTATAAGCTTTGCCATGTTGAATAACACTCCAAACCTGGGAAAAAGACATGATGCCATAAAGTTAGCTATTGAAGGCAAAGATGTTTAACCATGCTCCCAAATTGAAGGCAAAGAGTATGGAGATAAGTTCTGGGATACAACAATCAGGTCACCCTAAATAATTCTAGAGCACAGATCTAACAGCCAGAGAGATTCCCATCAAGTTTGTCCTATGGAAAGCTTCTAGTGCAGGAAAGTAGGACAATCTATCAATGCCCAATCACAATTCTGGAATAGAAAAGATACCTACGTATACAATTGTACATTCTGCCAGTACAAGCTATCATTATTCTTCTTCATTAGGAACTCTGTGTAAACGCCAGCCAATGCAGAGAGGCAAGCAGAGAGGGCGCCCAGCATGTAACCTGGAATTGGAGCTGAAAACAGAGACTCGCAGGAAGCTTCTCCACAACCCTTAACCTATAATGTTTGAGCACATGAATCATAATCCACCTTACAGATTAAACCACATGCAAATACTCTCCTAAATTGCATCCTGAGCAGAATTTTTAGTAAAAGTAAAAGAGGGTTACCTGGCTAGTGGTCGTTCCAACAGCCAACAGCATAATTGCCATCCATTGGAGATTAGACAGCTTCCTCTTAAGAAACAACCTTAAAATAGAGAGAAAAATTAAAAAATAGATGGTGAAATTAGCTCTGCTAAGTACAGAGTCATAAAGCAAAAGCCTGACCGCAACAAGAAATGCCTCCCAGATAGATGTACCCACAAAAGCACAAGTAAAGTAAGCACCTGAATAATATCCCAGTGGTGACAATCTTCAAATTGCCCATTATCTGATACGTGGAGGTGTCTACATAAGTGAGTGTAGCAAACTGAACATTGTTATGAATCAGGTATATGATGGACGGAATTGGATACAACCGCACAGTCTTCCATTCAGTGGTTATCCTTGTGGATGGTGATACGCGAAATTCTCGCCATAAAAGTAAACCAGAAACGACCAGCTGCAGTTAAACAAGAGCAAATTGCAGAACCAGCCTCTGGAATGATAACAAGGTTACTACAGTTATAATGGAAGGTAGATTTTGAGAAAGCTAAGAGCTACCTTAAAGAACTCTGCCAGAAATGGAACTGTTGCATAGTCATAGAGATAGCTTCCCTTAGTTTGAGACAGAGTAGTCAAGATCCCCTACACATTGTAAACCAAACACATTCAATTAGTGACAAAGCCTTAGATGCTTCTGCTTGGACTGAAGAATTTAGGTGAATTTCAGAGGGCACTGGAACGCTTATGAAAATCTTAAAAAGGATAATAGTTCCCCAAAATTTTCCCTCAAACCCACATCTCAGCTTTCACGAATTTCGTCCTGTTACTTGCGGAGTTCAACTACCAAAAGCTCTACTACTGCCTAGCATTGCTAAGGCCGACGCTCTTTACTCAACCACGTCTACTCAACTTACTCCACAGACTAATATGAGTAGCTTCTCAGTTCTCATTTCGCGAAATCATAACTGATACCATATACAAAAGGGATCCACGTTCGAACAGGCGCCAAATGGAATCTCATGAAATCGGAACGAAACAGGAAATCTAAGAACAATTAAGCTTTTCTTCCAGGAGAAAGTAAAAGGAAGGAAAGCGAGGAGGCGAATTTGAATGCTGACGATCTACGACGGACATTGAAAAGGAAGGAAGAAGGACGAGCTTCAGCGACTGACCTGAGAGCTAGTTAGAACGGTGAGAAGGGCAGCGACGAAGTACCATTTCATCGTGCTCCGCGATCTGCAGCTATAGCGACGGAGAACGGTCTTTGCGTTTGCTGTCTCTGTCACTCTCTCGCACTCTTTCAGTAGTAATCAGTCCGCCATTAACATCCGCTGCTTTACAGTTATGCCATTCTTCTTCTTAGCAGGCAGCAGCTTCGGCCTTCTGTCTTTCACCGCTAGATCTCCAGAGATTTGGAAGTTGAAAAAGCTAAACGGGCTTGGGTTGGTTGAGACCAATGTGTATCGTCCCTGGGCTGTATCTTTTGGAATTGGGCTTCTGAGCCAGAACTGTTGGGCTTTCCTTACTTTAACTTACTAGTATAACGTCCCTTCCTTTGATAAACTAATTACCACATACTATTGGTCGTTCTCCACTAAAACTAATAAAATAAAGAAAACGTGGCTGTCCCGCCGTCCCTTTTAACCGGAGTCACGTCCGAAATAACTACCAGTCCACCACCATGAAGACGTGTGATAACGGCCCCACGTTCACCACCATTCCACGCGTCGCATTCTCCAACACCATTCCCCTCTCTTCCATCCTCAAACGACGTCGCCGCACAGCCACGTAGGCTAGATCCCGCAGAAACGATGGCGTCCGGCGGTTCGCGTCGGAGAAGAAAGAAACAGTTGAGAAATGCGTTTGGGGAATGAAGAAGAAGAAAGGTCCGTCGTAACTGCCAAAATGAAACCGAAACCCGCGGGAAATGTTTTCTCAGTAATAAAATCGTGGAAAATAAAAGAGAGAAAAAAAAACCCTGGGTTGGGTGACTACTTCAACGGCCACCGTCTCCCTTTCTCTCTCCTTTCTTCGTCTCCTCTCTTCTTTCTCTCGCCGCTCTGAATTTCACCTGAGATCAACCCAAAGAACCTGTATTCAATTACCCAATTGAAAATTTGAGAACTTTCTTACGACCAATCACCAGGGTCCGGCTTGTTTTCATCAGTTTGTATAATTCCATTGGCAGAGGGATAAAAATACAGGGAGGACAAAAAAAGGTTTGCTTTGTCTGTAAGAATCCTGACGTCAGAAGACGAAAAATAGGAAGAACAAGAAGAAGAGAAGCATTGAACTCTCCGTCCTCAACATTCTCTGTTTTGGATTTTTTTTCTCAGGTTCCGTATTCCGTAATCCATACTCTATTTTGTTTTTCCTCCCATGGTTAGAGATTGGAGAGGGCTTGCTTCTTAGTTAATTTCTGATAATCAATCATCAGGTAATTAAGTAAGCTGGAGAAGGGGAGACGAGGGTTATAGAGAGAGAACAAAGGGGAGAGAGAGAGACGGAGGAAGAGGAAGAGCAGGTGGTACCTTTGAAGAATTCATTAATGGCAGCAGGGGATCTGGGCTGATTCATCAAGAACCAGAGCTTTTTCACTACTTCAGGTAAATGTATGCTTCCCCAATTAATTTCCCTTCCATTCTTCCAGAAGATCAGGCCATGGAAACTACGTTCTTGCTGATTAGATTGTGCTTTACGTTTTCCTTCATGGGTTCTGTACGATCCCTCTTCTTCTTCTTCTTCTTCTTCTTCTTCTTCTTCTAACGCTTCTAATCACCTGAGGATTGATTGGTTGATAAAACGCTTGGAAGAACTTCTCCCTGAATCCTGATATTCCTCTTTTCCCAGGCCCTGAAGCTCTTCTGAAGCCTTGTTCTGAGATCTCTCTAAACTTTGAAGCAAACCCTCTTTGCTTCTTTGTTTAGAGAGGGCAAATAGAGACAGAGAGATCAGCAAAAGAAGCTCCAGTTGATAAAAAAAGGAAATGGAGCAGTTCAGACACGTAGGGGAAGTCCTGGGAAGCTTGAAAGCACTCATGGTGCTCCAAGACGACATTCAAATCAACCCACGCCAGTGCGTTCTCCTGCACCAGATGTTCACCTCGGCATTCGACACTATAGCTGAGGAGATCAGGCACAACCTGACCCTGGAAGAGAAGAACACGAAGTGGAAGCCATTGGAGGAGCCGTTGAGGGAGCTTCACAGGGTGTTCAAAGAAGGCGAGCTCTACGTCCGCCATTGTATGGACAACAGCAAGGACTGGTGGGGGAAATCCCTCTCCCTCCACCAAAACAAAGACTCCGTCGAGTTCCACATCCACAACCTGCTCACCTGCTTCCACGCTGCCGTCGAGGCCATAGAGAGTGCAGGAGAGATCTCTGGCCTCGACGAGGCAGACATGAAGAGGAAAAGAGTGATGCTTTTGAAAAAATATGATCGAAGCTGGTATGACCCCAAGCTGTTCCAGTGGAGGTTCGGGAGGCAGTACTTGATCCCAAGAGAGATATGCTGCCAGTTCAAAGCTGCGCTGAGGGAAGACAAATGGCATCTCATCGAGAAGCTGAAGGAGAAGAAAGCATCGGGCTTGATCTCAAAGAACGAGCATCGCATTGCTGATCTGCTGCTGAAGAAGCTCAACAGCGTCGAGAAAGTTAATGGGAAACTCCCACCTAGCTCGATTTTATTGGGAGCTGAAGATTACAAAGTGAGGAGAAGACTAGGGGAAGGAACCCAGTACAAGGAGATCCAATGGCTAGGGGAAGGATTTGCAATGAGACATGTGTTCCACGAGATTGAGCCGTTGAGCTCTGAGATATATGATCTAATGTCGTTGGCTCATCCCAACATAGTCCAGTACTTCTGTGGATTCTATGACGAGGACAAAAAGGAATGCTTTTTAGTAATGGAGTTGATGAGCAAGGATTTGTATTCTTACATGAAGGAGAACAGCAGTCCGAGGAAAAGGGTTCTTTTGCCTCTCCCCATTGTTGTGGATATCATGCTTCAGGTAGCTAGAGGGATGGAGTATCTCCATTCGAAGAAGATCTACCATGGAGATCTGAACATCACCAACATATTTCTCAAGCCAAGGAAATCCACAGAGGGTTATTTCTTCGTCAAAGTTTCAGGCTTTGGACTCGCGAGAGTTGAAAGTCAACCTCTGAGGCATGCTTCTTCGAGCTCAGATGCAATCGATCCGGCAATCTGGTATGCACCGGAGGTGCTAGCGGAACAAGAGGCTGCAGCTGCTGCTGGTGGGAACAATTCAAGGTCGAATAGCAAGTACACGGAGAAGGCCGATGTCTACAGCTTTGGAATGCTGAGTTTCTGCCTGTTATCGGGGAAGCTTCCATTTGAGGACGGGCATCTCCATGGTGATCAGATGATCAAGAACATTCGAGCTGGGGAGAGACCGTTATTCCCATTTCAATCACCTAAATACCTTGTGAACTTGACGAAGAAGTGCTGGCATAAGGATCCAAGCTGCAGGCCGAGCTTCTCCTCGATTTGTAGGGTTCTTAGATACGTGAAGAAGTTCCTGGTGATGAATCCTAGTGATGGGCAGCCGAATATGCAGACGCCCCCTGTCGACTACACCGAACTGGAAGCTGGGTTTCTGAAGAAGTTCCCTGCTGAGGTCACCTGCGATTCGAGCTCGGTTTCTCAGATTCCGTTTCATATGTTTGCTTACAGGCTCGCGGAGAGGGAGAAGATGGCGTCCTCTCTTGGTGTGAAGTTCAAGTCGAATGAGGCAGGAAATGAAGAGCCTATTACCCCTGCAGCAGGTGAAGATCCAATTGTGTTGCCATCTGCGGATGAATCGAAGATCGTTCAATCTGATGCGAAGTCGGTTTGTATTGGAAGTCCGGAGGAAATGATCACGTCGGATGTGAGGTCAGTGATATTGGAGCCACCGAAGAAAGAAACAATGCCTGCTGCTACTGCCGTGGCAAAGAAGCCAGCTAATGTTAAAGTGAAGAAAGCTTCAGGTAGGTGTCTTTCTGAATTCATTCCCTGTTTTCGTTCCGAAGGGGAGTGTATTTTGATGTTGCTTGCACTGTTTGATGCAGGTGTTAAATCAAAAGTGAAAACTCCAGTGAGGTCATCGCCGGCGAGATTGTCAGCAACGTGGAGTCCAACTGGCCGGAGTTTGAGAACGAATGCTGCGAAAGACAGTCCAAAGAGAACAACAATGAGTTCACAAAATCCAGGGAAAGGGGTGTCATGAACGAAGGTGATGAATGCGGGGAGGAACGATCAATGGTGCTACCTTTCTGGTTTAACAATTTATCCATTCCTCTCCTGGGTTTTTGTTTCTCTAGGTAAATATTGAATGAATCAATCAAGTGTTGACAGAAAAGGAGATAGAAGCGGGTCAGTGAGTGTTACCTGATTTTTCTTGTAGCAGTGTAATTTGGATTCTTCAGTAATTCGAGCAGCCAACCCTGGACTTTTGAATCCTTGTATGTTCAGGATTTCATTTCGAATCACGTAGTTAATATGAAGGAGCCAAAAGGTAAAAAAGAGAGAAGTCTGACAGAGATTCGTTCCAAAACTTGCTTCTCATTCTTTTTCAGGATAAGACCTGTCCAGTCAGCAGTGTACACTATTATGCTCTCTTCCTTTGAGACATTTACATAAACTAGAAAAACAAAGCAAACTATCCACATTCTTTTAGTTACAAACTCAATACAGGGCTCATTTCAATTCTGCCATTTTGATCCAGCATTATATACTGAGGCTGTATGCATTATGCAACCAACTTTCTCCCCAATGCTCTGCAGATTCCTCATCTTCAACCAGATTCCCTTGTTTTACCCAGATACAGCTACATATGCCTGCGTTTATTATGTTCATAATGGAGCGGGAAAACCTTTAATCATCTGTTATGTGTGTACCAATAATGATAAGTTCAAAGATCTGTAGATGTTGGAGGGGGCCTTGGTTGAAGACAGACAAAAGGAGGATAATGCAAACGTTGACCGATTTCGAGCTGCTGATCGGGCCTCCGAAGGATATTATTGAACTTGTTGAACAATAAGGAAGCCAGTAGGGGAAAGACTTTTGGCAGTCATCTCTTTAAGCTATTTGCAATACTTTAATGCAGCCACTCGAATTGGCGGCTAAGACCATGTCTGAGTTCCCCCTCCAGCAGACACTAGAAACAAACTGTCCATTGTCATCATCTGTCTCTTTCCCCGATATAGGATCCATTGAACCAAACTTGTGAGATGCCATCGGCATGGGTAGAGATCGATGGTAAGCATAAACCTACAAAAGTAGATATTCCACATAGCAGAAAACTTGAGCATCCCTTACCCATTGAGACAACCGAAGGCACTACAATTAAGATCATACCTCGTTTGTTTCTGAACCACATGAGATGTAACCATCCGAAGCCGATAAGCCAACAAAATTCTGGAATAACAAAGAAGTGGAAAGTGAGAACATGGCCAGTAGGGGAGGCAATCAGATAGACAAAGCAGCTATAAATATGGGGAAAAACAAAGTCTTGTCCAGAAGAGAATTTCAGCATATGCGAAGAGAAACAACCTTCTCATTTGTATGCCCTCGAAGAGTTAAGTTGCAAGCGTTCATGGATAGGCCACTGCTATTGGTCTTTTTGAGATCCCATACCTTCAGTGAGTTGTCAGTTGATGCAGTAACAATAGTCTCTGCATCCACAAATTTTACATAGCTCACTGCTTTCTCGTGGCCGTTTAATATACACCAGGGCATTCTAACATTTCGGATATCATAGCAGTAGGTTCTGAAATCCGCAGATCCAAAAGCCAGCAAATGAGTGGAGTGGGAGGAGAACTGAACACAGCAGACATTGGCGATGTTCTTGATCGTACTTAAACTATTTTTCTGCATGAAGCATTGACTGCATATGAGCTCTTAATCTAGCAACAAGCAGTAAATTATTGGCAAAATGTAGGAGGAGGATAACTTCTAGAAACAAAATTCCTGGGCCAGGATCATCATGATTCTCTATGCTACTTAAGCCAAAATCATAAACCATAATATTTCACATGTCCAGAAGAGCGATGATACTAACTTCATTAAGAGTGACAATATCAAATAACAGGGTCTAAAACTCTCATGAGTGCCGTGAACCTAACACGAATTGATTTTAGACTTTTTACCATATATTTCAATGTCATGTTGTAGAACTTCATGCCATGAACTCCAGACCATGTTTCTAAACATTATTAGGATGAATAATAAACATGATCATAAATGAAAGCTTCACAAACAAACAATTGTGCCCATGATCCAGATTGTCATTTACAGATAATAGATCTATCAATCAATCAAATAAACAATACACAATAGCAATAGAACTTTAAGACTATCAGAGGAAGAACATACCTCATTTATGCTCCACAATTTCACTGTACAATCATCACTTCCAGTAGCTAATTTTGTTGGACATACTGGAGAAAAGTCAACAGACCAAGCCCTCCTTTGATGTTCATTATATTGAGAAACCCCCTGACCAGTGCTTGCATCCCATAGCTGTCTTCCACCCAAGCATGGATGATTTCATACCAAATGGAAGGAAGTTAACATTTATAGCAAAATCTATAGTAGAAAATTTAAATAGTGTGGAGAGAAAACTCGCCGAACTATTACTAGAACCTTACTATTTACTATCACTAAATGTTTTTTTAGAAAAAAAGGAAAAGCAGGTATAGCCGAATAGGTTAGCAAGTTAACCAGCACAGTCAGCCTAACTGCTGGAATAATAAAATAGTACAACATGAGCATGTAAGGAAATTTTGTTCTTTATCATATTAAAAGATTAGGTATTTGAAGCTCATCGGACGGGTTAGCAAAAATACTCAAATGTGCACGAGAGGACATACCTTCACCACACCGTCATAGTCGGTCGAAGCCAGATAATTCTTGATGTATCCGTTCCAACAGATGCAGCTGAGCTTTGATTTGTTTGTCATTTCAACGGCCGGATAATGAATATCAACAGAATCATTGAAGAGCGAATTAAACTCATATATCTTTATTTTTTTGGAAACACCAGCAGCAGCAAAATAGTCCATGTCCCGGTCAAAACTTAAAGAGCATATCACATTAGCAGAATTGTTGAACTCCCCAGTTCTTAATGATCCACGGACTTGAAACTTGCTATATCGAGCATATTTGCAAAGACCATCAAAGAATTCCCCAAGGCAATCAGATGGGTTGTATTTTTCGTCAGCATCTTCTGATTGCCAGTTTTCACGGTTTCTCAACAAACTCTTGTCTTGGCGTAATGTAGCATGAGCCTCGGGGACTTGGACTTTGCCTCTCATGGAGAAATAAGCACTCTCAAGCTGACTGATATTTCTCATCAACCTCATCTCTTTTGTATCAGGATTAGAGAACATTGGAGCGATTCTTTCAGCACTTAAACTGTCATTTTGCTGGAAAGTGTGTTCCTTTGCATTATGGAAGTGACCCAGTGTTGCTGATCTCTCTGAGCAATTCCGCTTCTCAATCTCCTTAATATCTGCTTCTAGGAACCTAATATCGTTTAATAACTTGGAGGCATTACTCTGCTTATTCCCTCTGAGTGATACAAGAAAATATGACAATAGTTCTGATTCGGAATCATCTTTTTCAATGGAGGATGACAATTCTTCTACAGACGCATCCGGAAATCCATTAATTACATCAGATTGCAAAATCTCCCTGCCATATTATGAGAAATGACCTTAAATGGGACCACCAAATGTGGTTCAGAGATTAAGCAAACACACGGAAATTGAAAGAGAAGGGAGAAGATTTCAACCTCATATAGAGTAGAGTCGAGATAGAATGATAACACAGTGGAAGGTAGATAGAGAGCTCTTAACACTACTTATCGTCCACATCATGACAGATTAAAAAACAGGTCATATGGACATTGCGCCCTGTAGGGAGAGGACTGTTTGATTACCTAATAAATTGCTATATGAGCATTAAATTTACCAAAGTGCATCTTGTCTAACAATCCAGCTTAACTTTCAATAGCAAGGAACTAAGTGGAAGTCAATCTTGAAGGTTTTTCTTATCCAATTTAGTGTCATTCAATGTTGTAGAGCTTTAACTGATGAAAAAATAATACCTTGTCGTTGGGCGTGAGGAAGGTTCAGGATGAAGTAGCAGAAGACAAAATCCAGCTTCCTTCAGATTCTCGGACAGAAAATGAGGAGGAAGAATCCTGTTACACAAGTCCAACATGGCCACTCCACGCGCTCCTTCAGAGTCAAAACGACTAAGCAACTACAGAAAAACATAAGATTGTGATCAAGATTCTAATGCAAAACGAAATAATATCTTAAAAGAAACTCAGCCTTGCTAATTGCATATTCATATTGGGGAAACCAATGACACCGAAGCTGAGATAATTCACATAGAAGTGGGGCTGGGGGGATAAGATGGACTGTTTCATTTACAGGTGAATGTTGGCACAAGATTGAAGAGTAGGGATGGGTCGGATGATTTTAAAGAAATAATAGCGCACCTCAAACAGCAGTACACCCAAAGCATAAATATTTGATGACATCGTGCAGATTCCTTCACTCAGCTCCTCAGGACTCGCATACCACTTCGCTTCCAGTGGGTCAGTGCCACATTTTAACGGTTGTTGTTGTACTGCATTAGATAGCCAAGGGAAGCTAATATTGCTCTTAGATCCATCTCCTGCATTCGGATTGCATCCAGAAGGCTCATAAGGGGACTGCTGAATGCTTGATAAGCCAACTTCTCCAGTTTTAAGTTTGATGCCACATTTTGAACTTAGTTGAGGCCACCTATTACCAGCCTTCATGTTCTCACTTAATTTTTGTTTCTTAGCATGCAAACCAGTAGATGAAAACATTCCATGATTTATTAGCCTCCTTTTACTCTCATGATTATCTGAACAAGGCACATCCTGATCCATTCCACTTCCTAGGTCACTTCTTTTGTCAACTGATCCCAGGTATCTTACCAGCTTAGTTGGCAACAGCTTGAAGCAAGAGGGTCTTAACTGACACAAGACAACTCCTTCCGAATGGTAGCTATCCACCAGATCCACAATCTGCCTAAAGATATGAAAGCATTCACCTTTATCTACCCCATGGCGTCCAACATTTAGCCATTCCCTCAAACTGACTCCATGACCGTCAATGCTGCTATGCCTTGGCCTGACAACACCAAAGGAGGGTGAAGCCATTACAGGTTTATCGCCCATACTCGTTGAAGCACTAGTAGTTGCCAACTTAACTGTTGAAGTCTTTCTGTTGTCCTGATCCACTGGCTCAGGTCTCACAACATTTTGAGAAGAGCCTCTGAAAACAACCCCCTTACCCTTCAGAGTACTCTTTATGAAAAAGTCAGCAAACCCTGACTTTGATAGAATCTTTGTCCGTATACCACCACGGGAAACCATATCGCTAACCTTAGTATGTTTAGCATCTGCTAGTTGTCCGGCAGCCTCATTGGAGAAATCAGTTGAAATTCCCTTACCCGTAAACTCAGAAGACAATACATTCTGTGTAGCATTATTCTCACACAGGCTCACTGCCTGATGATCTCCCCTATGCCAAACACTGCTGCGAGAACTCCCACTTCCCGGCCCCACTCCAGGATGATAAGGCTGCTGCCACTGACTCCACCTGGACTCCATTTTCTCCCTGTGGTTTGATGTGCCAACTATGGCCAAGTTAGAACCATCATAGTTCTTCACCATCAACTCCTCCACCATGTTCCCTGCGTCATCTATATATCGAGGCCTTGCACAAGGCTGCTCAGTAGGATCCTCCAGTCCCAAGTTTGCACTGGAAGTCCTGCCCTCCAATATATCAGAAATCGCTTCAAACGAACTATTCAGATAGTCATTCTCACCACGAACAGCCTCCTCTGACTGCTCCAGCACCACATTGGAGGCTTCAGGCTGTCTCGAGGGATACTCGCTCTCCTTACCACGGAAATGCAACTCCTCCACCAACCCACCTGGCGCCAACTCATTCCCCAGCTCTCCGTCCATCGCCAACCGATCTATTTAATCAACAGTCTACCACACCGCATACACTTCAATCACTTCATCAAATTCCTAGTCCAGATTCAATCAATTGTCAGTAAATGCTACTCCAGAGGCGGTGAAAAGGAACAGAAAATACTACAGCAAGGAGAATTCAACAGCCATCAGCCCTCCTCGGCTACACCAGCTCCCCCGTCCCCTCAATGAAACCACCACAAATGAGAGGAAACTAAACAAAATTCAGCCGGCGGAAGCTTTATCAACACCTCAAGGGAGCTATCATGGCAACGTTTCGGGCAGCATTGAATTTGCAGAGAATTTAGATTCAGAGAAGCACGGGCAAACCTGAGCAAGCAATTCACCGACAAGCTTACAGGGAGCAAACAATTGAGCGAGGTAACACCATTTCTCCACGGAGTGATGGAGAAGCAGGGGGGGAATGGAATGGAACAGAGCAGAGGCACCGCTTGAGTTGAGAGGCTCCCTTTTCCGGAATCCACGGAAGGAGAAACCGAGAGACAAGGAAGAAAGTGGGGGGGAGAAAACCCTAGAAATCAAGCGGAGAGAAGCGGGAATTTCTGGGGAGCCTTTTTGCCGAAAACGGAAATGGAGGAGAGATGGATTGCAGGCATGGCAGCAGGAACACCAACAACAAGAGTTATCTGTTTCTTCTCTCTCTATAGCTCTTCTTGAGCTGTCTGTTGCTTCGTTGAGACGTTTCACCTTGCGTCGCTTCGCTTCGTAGGATGGTGTGTGTCGTTTGGGATTTCAGAATTCAGGGAATTTGGACCCTTTCCTTGTAAAAATTTCGACCTCTTTTTTCCTTATATGGGGGTTTTTTTTTTGTGAGTAATAATTATTAAACACTGGATTCGACGTTAGAACAAATTTCGTAACACTGTATCTTTGCCTGCTATCCACAAAAATCATTTTGAAAATTCGAGAATGGGACAGCCAGCCAATCGCTTTTTCTTTTTATGGAACAAAAATTCCGTCACTCAAATTAAATTGAGAGAAAGAAATAATGATTCCTTTGTTCTTATTACATTCAGATTCCATTACAATTATGATAATAAAACGTTTAATATCTTAATTAATAATTAGGAATGAACTTGGGTGCTCGATGGATATCTTTAATATACGTATAGATCCATCCCGCATGGATAATAGTCGGATTCAATAATTTTGATTCTTACGGTGGTTTTAGATCGAGAGTAATACGTATGTAATGTAAAAATACAAAAGTATCTGTGTTATGTAGAGAAAAGGGATCTTCCAAGCATCTATTGCAAAGTTATGGAACTTGTCACGCCTAGAATAAAAATCATTATTTTCCTCGTAGAATTTCACTATCAAATATGTCCCTACATCATAGGATTGGAAATGGATATAATATATAACGTTTTAGTGACTCGATTGTCCTTACTTTTAAATGATTTTTTATACAAACAAACAGTACTGCAACTAAACGCTAATGAAAAGCAAAGCAACTTCAGGATTGAGTGAAAACCTAAAATTGAAGACAAATTACCATTTTCTGAAACTGACAAGGCAAACCGGCCCCAAATAATTGAGCTGCAAGAATCGTTGTTCAAGTCGGCTTGGCTACTCTAATTATTAGAAACGCCCGGCGACGGTTGATTTGTAAAATCAGGAATCCGATGCTCAGTTCCACTTCCCCGGGTACCGGGAGTAAAGTCGCCGACGCCGAAACCCAAACCGGAAACTACCTGTTGGGTAAGCCCAAAGGACAAATGTCCACATTGGCGTATGGATCAGCCCAAAGGATAAAGGTCCACATTGTCGTTAACTCGTTACGCGCTCTGTCGTGGCACCAACTGTGGACTCCTATCAGGCCCGAACACTTTTGTGGCCCGCTAGAATACGTAAGACAGCCCTTCGTCCTTACCAAACTTGGGTTTCCTATTAAATGCCCTTCTAAACATACCCAACACTTGTTAACAAAATTCGAGTCAATTGAAGAGAAAATAAATTCAGTAGTCTTTTAATAATTATTATCAGAAGGAAAGCCTTAATTAATGGAATTGGTGGACAAGTTGTAACCAAGCTTTGTCGCATCCTACGGCAGATTCAATTCAACAGCATAATAATAGTATAATACAAACCAAGGTACCACAATTAAAGAAGACTGATATGAAGTCTTTCTTTAATGCGTTGTCGTCCTCGAGCTCTTCCTAATTCCTATGTAACCGGTCTCGTGAGAGGTCACTTGTCAGCTAGAAATAGAATTCATTTTAACATGTTTAAAAACAATTATTTATCTTTTCGAAAATCACATATAAATATCAAGGGAGCGGTACGTTGATTCTTTTATATATACATTTTGAAGATGTGTTCCCCTTCATAAATAGAGGTTGTTAAAAATAGATAGTCACAAAGAGTTGAGAAATCAGACATGGCAGTCGACCAGTAGCCACGGTCGATGAAAGAGTCGATTGTGCCACTGAATGAGCAACTTTGTTGAATCGACGAGAAATATATTAAGTACATTGAAAGATAGTAAATTGAGGCATGTAAGACCGCACTTTCTCCAAAACAGCTCCACCTACGTCATGTGCGACGTCCTTGTTCAAGACACGTCGAACCAACACCAGTGAGCCTCCACAAAAACTTACCACAAAAAATCCATGCATATTAAACACCAATTTATAGCATCACGTAAAGCAAGAAGTTCCATGAGAAAGGGACCGTCATTCCCGTATATTCTAAACTTGTTGAACTATAGGAATATAGTTAATTAGTTATATATTATCGAGATATATAATAATTTTAAGGACATATAAATATCAAGGATTGAAATACCATACCGGAGGTCGTAACGGAAAAGTGAGTGGTAGGGTACTTTATGCTAAAACCGTGGTTTAATCGTGGTTCAATCGTATTATACCGCTAATTACCGCCTACCGATTTTGCTTCCGATAAAAGGTTTTTCAAGTCGGATCGTCGGTACGGTACAGTATCTTAACCCTTGATAAATATCAAATTACTACAATCCTTGTTGTGTTTGTACAATCACAATTCCAATTTATGCAAGAGACCCATAAGATTTCAAATGTAAATTCCTTAAGTACCATATAGTAATAAAATAAGTCAATATCACCCCTATAAATAAATTATACATGATAAATCGTACGTAGAAAAAACGCGTGACAACCAATAATTTGACTCCATAACTTTGACTGACCAACCCTCCATAGTCCATAGGCTGAAATATGGTGAATAGGGTAATAAAATATAGTTAATGCTAAGTCCTGATTTTCAGGAAAAAACTGAATTATGCAGTCTTTTAATGGGATGGGATTAGGTGCTAACCCTTATAGGGGTTAGCACCGTGATAACTAGCAAAAATCACTACGGATTATTATAAAATCAATACAACATCTAAGTTAAATCACTACTAATTCAAACTAGTAGTAGTTTTTCCCTTGGTTAGGACGGTGCTAACTATTGTACAATTAGCACCGTAGTCGTTCCCTCTTTTAATAATTACCAGAAGGAAAGCCATAAATAGAATTGGTGACAAGTTGCAACCAAGCGCTGTCGCATCCTCCTGCAGATTCAAGAGCATAGTACAATACATACCCAAAGAGCACAATTAAAGAAAGACCTCTTCAATAATTTGTCGTCATCGAAGTAGTAATCGAGCTCTTCTTAATTATGTGCTCACTTGTCCGCTATAATTCATTCCGACATACTTACAACTAATTTCTTTTATCCTTTCAAAAATATGATCACGGATTCAAGATTCGTGACATTGGTTCTTCTCTATATCCTAGAGTTGTTTTTTAATCAAAGATAACTAAGAATTGATCTCCAACATGGCCCGATAATAAATGTACAATACTGTCAATAACTAAGAATTGATCTCACTACACAATTGAACACCTAATGAAAGAACATGTTTTGTCAATAGGTGAATAGCTTTGTTAAACATCTTAGAAACAAAAAGACACAGAAACTAAAACATAGGACAATAAAAGAGTGAACTTCCTCTAAGATGACATCTTCGCTAAGATGAGAAGACTTCCTCGATGTAGCATCCATGGTGACCAGTTGAGAATCTCCACAAAAATTAACAACCAATACATTGTGAGTAAAACACCATCTCATGACGTCACGAAGGACAAATAGTTCGGATATATAAACATCACTAACACCATAATAAAATTTACCAAAAACAAATGAAAATCGTGCATAAAGAAAATGTTGAATATACACAACAATTTTATGTTATGTATATAAAAATACTTAACCACCACCATAATGATCATATTTATACAATCGCAATTTCAATTTATTCAAGAGACCCTAAAATTCTCGGATTCAAATTTATCAAATAACATCTAAGATAAAATAAAGGGTTAATATTTTTATATGGCTTGAACTTTGACCAAAATAAACATTCTGGCCAATTTTTTCGACTTATAACATCCTGGCCAGATCCGACTTTTGACCGTTAACTTGGACGGTCAAACGCGTTGACTAACGGTCAACGCGCCATGTCACTGCCAACTCAACAAATTTCAATTATTTTTTTAATTTACACCTATTTCCATTTTCTTTTTTTTTTTTGTCAAAGATAGCGGTAACAATTTAGTTATACATAGCAGAAAGAAGAGCGCGGGAGTCGACTAATCGTCGAACTCCCGATGAAAGGGCTTTTTGTGCCACAAGATGGGCGGCCCTATTAAGTCGACGAGAGACAAAACAAAACAAAATGAAGTTGAATTGAGAAGCCAACTCCCTCGCGTCTTCAAGTATCGCTCCGCACCGATCATGTGTGAAATCCCGCCGCACCATCCGTTGCATCAATTGTTGAGAATCCCCATGCAATTTGACAGCAGCAAAACCATGTGATAAGCACCATTGTAAAGCATCTCTAAGAGCTAAACACTCCATGATAAATGTCCTATTTCCATTTTCTTTCCTTTATCATTTTGAACAAAAAAAAAATAAAACAAATTTTCAATTCAAAATATCTATAAAATTTTCAATTCAAATTTTCAATTTAAAAAAACAATTTTTTTTAAATTTACACCCTCGTCCTAAATATCTATAAATACGAATATATGTCACCTTCACCGCCACGGAAACTATGAATTAGGTTTTTTTTTACGGTTAGAGCTTTTGTGAAGAAGATCCTTTGCGGTTGCTGCTGCAAGTGATTCAATAGGTCTACCACGGGGAAGTTATGAGTCCTTGTTATCATTATTTATGACTGATTCTGTTGGTTTGAAACGTAATTTGTACAAGCAAAAGAACCATCCACATCGACATACATAAGCAAAAAAGATGCAAAGCATAAGTTGATTTTATTGTATTCGGTCGACCTCGTACCAGATTAGGTCGACCGCGAAACCAACACTTTTCTTCATTTTACGTCAATTCGTCAAATGATGATGGATAAATGTATACAACACTTCTCTTGTATCTGGTCGACCTCTTTCTATAAATGGTCGATCATTTTGTTAATGACCATCATCAAGTGGTCGATCTATATACCTTTGTGGTTGACCATTTTGCTTCTGATGCCAATGAAAAGGGCAACCGATTTTTTATTGTGGTCGACCAACAATGATAACTTAAACTACAAACGGTCGACCACTACATTTTAAAGGTCGACCGTGATAAGTCATCAGGGTGCTCACATTAGTGTATTCGGGAACCTCACAAAACTGAAACAACATATTATGTCAATCTAATCCTATATGAGGTCGACTCTTTAAGTGCAAGTTACGGTGACATGCATGTAACCATAGGCATACCCTATAATTTATACCGTAAAAAAAAATATCCATATGAATTTAAAGTTTACACAAACTAAAATACCATATACTTAACAAACATAAGTCATCAACAGAATTTGTTGCATAAAAATATAGTACCAAGTAAATTTCCAGATCCTATATTAAATCTTATACATCATACTAACACCTCCACCAATAAAATTATTGGCAATATGGTAATAAAAATATATTGAACACCAAACCCCATTCCCTTCACTTAACTCTATTTAATCCCTCATCCCACTCACAATGTCACACACCTCCCACCACAATAGTAATCCTCATCATCCAAGGACAACTATAGCACAACCCCTAAAATGGAGCTCCTCCATATAATACTCTTCCTCACCATCGCCGCCGTCTCCTTACTCTCCTTCACCATCTCCAATAAAACAGCACAGAACAAAACGGCGGCCAAACGGCGGCGCAATCTCACGCACAACCCCCGCCGGCACCATGGAAGCTCCCGGTGCTGGGCCACCTCCACCACTTCCTCACCAGCCCGGAGCCGCCCCACCGCCGCCTCCGCCAGCTGGCCAGAACCCACGGCGACGTCATGCAGCTCCACCTCGGCGAGATCCGCCACGTCATCATCTCCTCCGCGGAAGCGGCGAAAGAAGTGATGCGGACCCACGACATCAAGTTCGCCCAGCGGCCCTTCCACCCGCACCAGGCCAAGATCATGTACGGCGGCATCAACCTCATCCACTCCCCCTACGGCGAATACTGGCGCCAGCTCCGCCGCATCGCCACCCTCGAGCTCCTCACCGCCAAGCGCGTCCAGTCCCTCCGCCGCGTCAGGGAGCCCGAGGTCCTCGCCCTCATGCGCACCATCGCTGCCGCCACGGGCCAGGACCCCGGTGAGTCGCGGAGCCAGAAGTTGAAATTAGGTGTGTCCTTTTTCTCATAACGCAATAAAAATGAATCAATTAACAATAAGTGAGCTAGGTTTGGTACATTGATCATAAAATACATTTACATTTTACACCACTTTGAATTAGTGAAATTTTTTAGCCATTAAATCACTCGTATCATGGAGTAAAAAAGAGAGATTGTTTTTTTTTTTTTAATTATCATTTTACCAAAACTTATCTGTATGGTTGTGTTCCGTGACAGAGCCCAACTCTTTTGGTTGTGTTGCGGATCCTGATCAGATCGACGTCGTCGATCTGACCAGGGCCCTATTCGGCCTAACGTACAACATCATCTCGAAGGCCATGTACGGCGACGTGTCGGCAGAGCAGGAGGAGTTCATCGAGATCGCGGAGGCGCTGGTGAAGTACGGCGGCGGGTTCGGTTTGCCGTACCTGTTTCCTTCCAGCGGGTTGGTGCAGAGGTTTTTTGGGACGGAGGAGTGGCTGGGTAAGATGCACGAGGGAACCGACCGGCTGGCGGAGAGCATCATCCGCCAGCACAGGGAGAGGAGGGCGGAGAGTAGGAAATCCGAGGACGAGGAGGATTTGCTGGACGTGCTGTTGAATCTGCAGGAAGATGCGACCACGCTTGGTTTCGAATTGTCCACCAATTCAATCAAGGCTTTCCTTCTGGTAAATTAATTATTAACGACGACTAACTTAATTATTAGTAGTCTATAATTGTGTCAGTACATATGTTTCGAGGTTGGAGCATTGGTTGTCTTTATTAAAATGGTATCTATATCCAAGTTATTTAAACAAGCAACTAGATGTTTACCAAATTGAAATGTGTTTGTCTCTATCCAGGACAATAAAGAAAATTTTAATTTGTTATCAATATCAATAATGTCAATTATTAATAATTATTAATATGCCTTTTCATCAACTTAATTGGGATTGCGCGCAGGACGTTTTCTTAGCGGGAAGCGAGACCCCGTCATCCTTGAGTGAATGGGCGATGACGGAAATGATTAAGAATCCAGAAGTGTTGCGAAAGGCACAGTCGGAGGTGAGGGGAATGTTCGGCGAAAAGGGAAGGGTCGATGAAGCCAAGATCGAAGAACTGCCCTACCTTAAAATGGTCATCAAAGAAACACTACGGCTTCACACTCCGGCGCCCCTGTTGCTTCCCCGGGAGTGCCGTGAGGAGTGCCAGATTGGCGGATACGACATCCCCTTGAAGACTACGGTGGTCGTGAACGTGTGGGCGATAGCTAGGGACCCTCGCTACTGGGGGGAAGAAGCCGAGAAGTTCTGGCCGGAGAGGTTTTTGGAGAGCAACGTCACTTTCAGAGGAGGCGATTTCGAGTTCCTGCCATTTGGAGCGGGGAGAAGAATGTGTCCAGGAATGACGTTTGGGCTGGCGGCCGTCCAACTTCCTCTGGCTAACTTGCTGTACCATTTCGACTGGAAACTTCCAGATGGAGTTGAGCCGGAAAATTTAGATATGGATGAAATATTCGGCGTCACTATTAGGAGGAAGAACCATTTGAAACTGATTCCCATCCTCCGTAACCCGGTACCCACTCCGTGATTTCGATCTATTCGTGTTCTAGACTCATTACTGTTGTCCCCTCATGGGTGTATGCATTTCATAATTTATGTGGTATGGTTTCCTTTATCATTAACGAAGCTATCACATCCGTATTTGAAATTGTGGGCTTGTTGTCCATTCGGATAAATGTGTGCTTGATTGTTTACTCCAAGAAACATATATATGGAGAAGATGTTGTACGTGCTACCACTCCTTCTCGTCCCACTTGCCAAGGGGACAATGAAACATCCACATCCTCGACGATTTGCCCCTCGGCAACACTACCTGCCCAGCAAGGCTTCCCAATCTCTATTGTACGTATGAACAGAACAGAGCATGAACCATGTGAATGTGATCATATTCAGAACATCCACCAATCAAAATGCACATCCCTTGACACAGATTTTCGTTACAAAAAGGTATACACACGTTATTCAGAAGAAACTGCAAAGTTAGAGCCCAGCAGAAAGTTGCTCAGCAGCACTATCAACTCACCCAAATCATTTCCCACACCATTCTGATCCTATCTACATCAGTCAAACTTTTTGCTGTGTCCTACTCAGAGCTGAGGGTGGCCACCAAAAGGTCAATCTTCAGGGACAGTTAGACTACACTTGGAAGGGTTAAGAGATTACTTGTAACCGTTATCAGTGGACAATATCGAACTCGTCGTCAGAGCTAGTGCTAGAGCTGGAGCTGGACGCGGCAGCCAGAGCAGCAAAATACGGTCTAAGCGAACGCTGATTTGCCGATGCTGCAACAGTTCTACCAATATGGATCACGTCTTGGTGTTTTGTCAGCTTTTCAGGACGACCTGACTTATCATTTTCACCTGAGATGGAATAGTTCCTTTTGAGCACCCCAGTTCCATCTTCAACAGCGAGTTTTCCTGAGTGACCAGCTCCCGCATGTAGCTGCTTGGGAGTTCCTTCCTTTTGAGCCTTTGAAGGAGTACATTCATCATCACTATCACTGAGCTCAATAAAAGTGCCTGCTGCTGGTGTTGGTCTTGTGTTTCCTGCAGTTTGAAAACATGGAGGTTTCAGTATTCAACTGTGGGGGACAGAGTTGCAGAATTCTCCAGGAATCAAATGTATTCAATAACCACAACTTCATAACAGAACAGGAAGACCCCAGGGATCGATAAGCCATAATTATGCGTCACCTCAGGCTAAATGGGTGATACAATCTGTTCCAAAGACATAGTTCTATTGAGAAACAATTCAAGCATGTTATATATTCTCTCAGCAGTTTAAAGCATTGTTAGCCACTATCTCACTCCTCCAGCACTTGGCAAAAGAGATTTTTTTTTTTTTTATCTCGCCACTGAGTTCATTTAACCTTTCAAACAGAGGAGGCATTTAGCAAGCCCACATGAGGATAGGATTTTCAGAAACCAACTCATGTACCTGTCAGGGAAGAAAATGCATGAACTCAGGAAACTGGCTGAGAAATCAAATAAATCAGGCATCAATGTAGCAGTCCAACCAATCTAAAGACTCTTACAGATAAAATCAAGTTCCAGAAAAGCAGTGAAGTCACTTCTAATATCCAAGAGAATGAACAATAACGATCTGAAGTAAGGCGCAAGAAAATTGTCAAATCCCAAGCCTAATTTGTAAGTAAGAGGATGCTGCAAAACGGGACCTCAACTGTCTTTGATTCAGCTTCGGAAGTTCTTGGAAGACATTGCAAGCAAGAAGAGCCTCTACCCCCTTTATTACAGATCTCATTTAGATATATCATTAACCCTAAACATGTTTTCTAGTGTGCTTTTAGGTCTCCTTCTCATCCACTTTCTAGAAGAATGCAGGGAGGGAATGCCAAAAACTTCCTTTCTTCATTGTCACAGAACCTTGTGGCAAACTAAATCTTCAACTGAAGTCTATTTATTTCATTGTTAAGTGCTAAACAATAATGTAAATGCCTACAATATACTTAAAACCCTCACCGTGTTTACCAGCGCTAGTATCAGCTTCGTAGGATTTCAGATTGGCACTTGTGCTTAATCCAATTTTGCCATTTCCTCCATTCTGCGCCTCTTCATTCTCCTTCTTCGCATTCATCTCTATGCCAAGTTTGTCTCTTTCATCTACCTTCTTACAGACCCTAATCCCTTCACTCACTGAATCTTCCTTCTCCTTCTTCACATTCATTTCCAAGTTCAATTGCTTGTTGCCATCTACTTTCTTCACTCCTGCCTCTCCAAGAAACATAAACCAAACAGCATCAGTTTCACATGAAACTATAAACGAAATCAACAATCCAGAATCGAAGCCCCAAAATTGAACTCACAACAACCTGAAGCACTGGCAATCCCGTTTCCCTCCGCCGTCAACTGAACACTCTCTCCATGATTCTCCGGCGATGCTTGGACCCTTCCTCTCCCAGCGTCTGCAGAACTGGCGAGATGTATGACTTGCAACTTCTTCATTTCCTCCTCGAAACTATTGACACGATCCGCACATTTCTTCAGTTCAACCTCCAATTTGATTGTGTACAACCTGGCCTGCTCTTTATCCAGCAACAGATCGCGATTCTCCTTCCCCTTGGCTGCAATCTCCCGCTTCAGCTTCTCTTCTCTGGAGGCCAGGACTGACGCCACGTACTCGAATTTCGACGACTGGAACTCCGACTTCAGAGACAGGACCAACTCTTTGATGCTCCGGCTGTCTACTTTGTCGCCGAAACTGACTTTCGCCGGTTCGGATCCCATTTCTTGGCCGGAAACTCTCTCGCAGTAGGGTTATGGCGGGCAGTGGAAGCGACAAAGGTGAATTAAAGAGTAACAGAGTTCATTAGTTGCAGCATTCTTTACGAAAGGTGTTTAAGCGGGGGAAAATGCTTCCGAGGCTTTAATTTTCAGTAACGAATGATTCCTAGTTTGACGCTCATTTAGTTAAGATTAATTTTATTAATTTAGATATACGGAGCTTCCAACAACAAGCTGGAATAGCTCAGTTGGCTAGAGCGTGTGGCTGTTAACCACAAGGTCGGAGGTTCAAGCCCTCCTTCTAGCGTTATATCAAATTTTTTGTTAATTTTCGCTTCCGGCACCAAACTCCGCACTCCACAATCTTTGTAGGCCTAGCCTACAGAGAACCGAACTTCACTTAACGAGCAAGCCCAACTGATTTGAAGCCCAAAACTGCCTCAACTCTCAACAAAGCCCAATATTTTAGCCGAATACTTCTCTGTTCATGTGAATGAACAATCTTTATGTTTTCCTGTCCCTTCTCCTTTGCCATGTTACTAATTATCTGACATTTGAATTTTGGGGAGATAAACCACCACAAATATATGCAGATTTTTAATTATTATTATTATTATGGTTATACTTCGTACCAACCTGGAGTTTTAGAAATTTTCCAGCGACCAAAAATTATACAAGGGAGCATGCATGACTGCCGCGAAACGAATGGGAAATTTTTAAATGCCGCCGCGATATTTCTCGTTGCTAATCCTCAGACGGCGAGAATCTGGCGGTACTCTCAGTTTGCGGTGGCTGGGAAAGGTTAGTTTTGTAATTAACTGCAAACTACGAGGGCATCTAAAACATAAGAAGCGCCAAATTTTGCATATGGCCTCCCTCTCTCGCTGGGGTCTCTCATGACATTATGATTTATGACAACCAGGCGGGGGAAAATAATTGATTTGTATTTTATTAATCAGGTTTTCTTTTACGATTTGTTTCCTAAAATAAAATTTCAAAAGAAAATCCCCTTTCAAAAGACCAGAATGAAGAAAGGCTGCCTTCAATTAGTTCCACTATCAATGAACCATTTTCTATTGACAAAAATCAAAATTTATCTCTCCCCGTCAGCCAAGCTAAAGCTTTCTGGAATTCATCTAAGTAGGTGATTAAGCGCACTATTTGTTCTTACGTTCTCGCTTTCTTCTTAATATGCATATTCTCAAAGAATATTCATAAAAAACCAAAACAAAACAATTTACTTGTTTCGTTTATATCTGTTTGTTTGGTTCCTGAGAAAATGACGGCCGGGGGAAATTCGCAATGTGACATCATGTAAGTTGGGATAGGTTTTTGTTTTGATTGAGTTCCTTACCCGGACCTTGGATTGGGTTTCCATCTACAGAGATTTGGTTGCTTTGATCCAAGAAGAAACCTTCATAATCAATCTAGGACAGACCATCTCCTGCACAACCAATCAATTCATAAGAAAGACAAAATTAGTTTCGTGGTTTCTTTCGTCTATGTATGTTGTATATTTTGCTCAAAAATCAAAATTAGAACTCGTTTCGTTAGTCGATGATGTACACATGCAACACTACCAATCACTCTACTCAAAGTATGCCAACCTTCGAGGTGTCACCGTGAAGAAGGCTCACGTAAGCAAGAAATGGACTAGCTCTGGATCTACGTCGGCTTCAGATTTCAAGTATTACTCCCCCGTGGAGATGCCAGGAAAGGAAAGCAACGAGAGCCACGAATATGAACAGGACTCAAGAACAAAACGATGATCATGAATCTGAAGAGAGCATGGACCAATACACAAACGAGGTTCCAACTCTAGTAAAAGTTCAAGATAGTCTTTATGGGAACGAAAGAGGTGCTCAGGTGAAGGAGTTAGAGGGACAATTAATTGCAAATAAGTTTGAGATGGAGACATTAAGGAAAGGGAACCGGGAGATGGAAGGGTTGCTTGCAGAGAAAGTAAATGAGGTTAATAAGGTTGAGAAAAGGAATCAAGAATTGCAAGAACGTATCATAGAGCTCGAATCATAATAGTATTTGGACACAAAAAGAGATGACGATAAGGCTCATTTGACGTTGCAACATACGAAGGATAGTGAGGAAAGGTTTGCTTCTGGGATTGGGGAATTGCTGTCAGAGTGGAGTTGGCATCACTAAATAACACAAAGAGAGATCTCAAGGTGAAATTTAAAGAGAAAGTCATTGTAATAAGACAATTCAGGGAGAAGAACATACAACTCAAGGTTGAGTTGGAACTTCAACTAGAAGTCCAAAGAATTCACTAAGAGTTCGATTCAAATACAGAAGTTGCTAGAGGAATTAGCAACAAAGTCCATGATTGAGGAGAAGCTACAGAAGGTGGCCGATTTAAGCAAGAATCATGGGGTAGAGCTACAAGCCTTGTGAACAGAGAAGAACGAGTTGGAAGAGCAGATGAAAAACCAAACCCAAAAACTGACACAATTAAGAGAGTCTAATGATAGGATGAATGTTGCAATTCTTGAATTATAACAGGGGATATCCTGTAGAGAAAATTATATTGGCGTACTTCAAAATAGGATTGAGGATACAAGTAAAGAAACTTCGATGGAGGTTACAAATTTGAAGGAAAGATAACTCATTTGCAATAGGAGTTAGAATCTTCCTTACCAGAGAAATCCCATTTGGAGGTTCAAAAAGAAAGAATAAAAAAAGAACGCGAGGATGTAGTTAAGAAGATCACCGAAGAGATCAAATCGGATATTACATTTAAACCAATCAGACACCTTTCTATGGACTCTCCAAATGTGAAGCAGACTGAGTCCACTAAGTTCAACACCCAAACATTAGAGATGAAGGTCGAAGAATTAGCAGAGCTATACCAAAAGACGACGGAGAACCATATTTCATTTTTGTTTATTGAGGCAGAGTGTAAAAATTGTAGAACAAATCCACCTCGAAACAAAGGATAGTTACATGCAAATAAAAGAGCTACAAAATGTAAACAAAAAGCTTCAAGATAAGGTTGTGGCATTTGAAGATGCGTTAAAGAAAATGAAAGAAACATTGGTTGAACCCGGGGGAAGCTTACTGACGGGATTGGATGTGTTGATTTGGAAGTTAGACGAGAACAAACACTCATTGAATCGTATGTCCAAGATATCGAATGAAATTCAAGACGCTAGAAATTGGATGGCATGAAAGAAAGGGGAGACCAAACAACACTGAAAGACAATATGGACGATTGACATTACAATTGAGTGATAAGGAAGGGAAGGTGTTGGAGTTAGAAGCAAGGCTGACCATGACATTGACACTAGCAAGTGAAGAAGAAACGAAAATCGATGTTAGAGAGAAAAGTGAAAACACTTGAGCAAGAGTTGAGAGAGAAAGAAGAAATTATAACGGTATTTGGAGAGGAGAAGAAGGAAGCCATACGACAACTTTGTATATCACCGAAATAGATATGCTCAGTTTATTTTTTTTTGGTAAAACGACAGACGTCGAGCGTCTAATTCATATTAATAATAGCTCTTTCATGGGAGATTCCCATTACATCATGGTTGATCCACCTAATCAAGTCCCTATCACACACATTGAAATGATGTGTGCCAAAATCAAAATCATGAGCCTTGTTGGCCAAGTAATCAGCCGCATAATTAGCTTCTCTATATACATGGGACACTCTAACCTCCCATTGTCGATCCAAAATACAGCTCAAGTGCCTGGCAGTTGAACCATGGCGATGCACATCATCATTCCTGTGATTAGATATGCTCAGTTTAAGCGAGCCATATCAACAACAATTCCTCCCAAGCAGATGCACAGTTTTAATTAAATTATAGTTTTTTTTCATCTGTTTGTTCATATAAGAAGGAACATGAAAGTTTATGATACATTCGTAGCATATATAATCGAAGTTCTACACGAACATGCTAGGAATATGTGAAATAATAAAACGTTTGAAGGGTAAAATTGTCAAATTGTGCACAAACAGAGCGCGGGAACCACCGGTACGGCTGGAGCCCAGTTCCCAACTCCCACAATAAACCACGGAGGAAAGGACTCGCGTGTTATTCTCGCGGTGGCATTCTCTGTAATAAACGGTGAATCTCGGGGGGCTAATTTGTGCTGCTGAGAATGAAATGAGCTCCCAGAAAGATTCCTCCACCTTCCCCCTCTTTCTGATGTTTTACTGCACGCTCTGACCCAAATAGAAAGGACTAGAGAGAGAAGGACCGCGAGAAATTTCTCTCTCTAGATTCTCTCAATCCAAACAAAACCGGAGCAAAATTCACTTTTCCTTCTCTCTGAATCTCGCCTTGTATAGCTGTACGCCAGGGGGTTGGAGAGATACTGAGCGAGCTTCTCATAGGCTCAATAATAATACCTCCGCTCGCCCCAATCGCTACTATTGGTTCGGGAAGAGCTTCGCCGTTGAACGACGGTCCGCTTCGATTCTCCGTCGGCTACAGCTTCTCCCCTCCCGTTCTCGCCAATTCGAGGTGAGCTTTTGCGCTTCCCGTCCAAAACGTGCTGGTTATCTGATTTTTCCGAGTTCAGAATTGAAGAATTTTGGATTCTGTCGGTTCATGTGCTGTGTGAACTATTTCTATGTGAGCTCGTTTCACTTGTCGCCTCGGTATTTTTCTTCCCGATTTTCGCTTTCCGATTGCGATTCCTTGGATCGACTCCCGCTAGCTACTGCTGGAAAATAAATCCGACTTGATCTCCTTCCTTTCTGATCGGACTCAGGGACTAGAGGTTATCGGAATCTAAAAGAAAACTGGAATCCGTCTTCTCGGTTTCTCCACCCATGGAAGATCGTCAATTCTTCGATTCTCTCTGCCTCGGCTTGATTTTTCCCCCGCTTAGAGTGACGAGTTTCGATTAGAGATTATAGTAATTTTATTAGTAATCGGAAGTCGACTTCTCGGTCTTTTCCGCCCGGTGGATGTTTTGATCGCTATTAGTTGCTTCCGTCGATTCTCTTCTAATAAATTCATCGTCGTTTTGTAATTAAGCGTTTCCGGTGGCATTTCCATCAAAGTAATTAAGCAATTACTTATTCGTTTTGGTGTTTTTGCAGATTCGGATCAATTTCGGTGAGCTCAGTTTGAAGACGACAGCAAAAGGAAAAGATCGGAAGCAACTGGAGATAATTTCCCCAGGTAAATTACCTGCGTTTCATGGAAGGAAATTTGTAGTGAATTTTTGTGATAATTGATAATTTTCTTTTTGTTTCCTTTCGGTCTAAAGATTCGAATTTGTCAACCTTTTAGCTGCTTGAATTGTTTTTTTCTCCCCCGATAATTAAGTGGTGACATAAAGGAACAGCTCACTTTTGAATACAATGGCTGTCCTTTTCTCCGCTTAAAATAGATTTAGGTTTCTGTGAAATTTCTTCAGTATTTGTTAATTAGGTGGTGACAGATCTATTGCATGTTGACGCTTATATGTAATCCGGTTGAAATCTTCCTGGTTTTTGTGATTAACAGTTGTTTTAAATTAACTATAATTAATTTTCCCCTAAATTTTTTAAATATTTATATCATTCTTTTTCTTTTCCCCCTCGTTAGCTCTGTAATAATGGTCTGATTGAAGAGGATATCTGTCATTGGAGTGGTGCGTGGGTCATGTGGGTCCATGTTACCGATTTTTTTGTTTCTTCCTGCTTCCTTTGGACCAATAGACCGTGTGGCAATTGGCATAGCCAAGTCTTTAACTTGCCTCTTGCAAATTTTTTAATGGCTTCCACAGTTTGATCTTTCACTAGGGACAACTCACATCTCGCTAGGCCTTCCGTTTTCTTTTTAGAAGTAACAGTCTCTTGCGTTATTGTTCGAAGAAATGGGTCTCCCATCTCTTGCTGTGCTATCAATTCCAGCTGTTTCCAAATCTGATAACGCACATGTCACATGGAAAAAACCCAATAAGGCAATTGAATTTTGTCAGCCGAATATGCCAGTTGAGCTCATTTTCATATTTTCAAAAGGATGATCAAAAGAAGTTAAAGCAGGCCCGCTTTATGTCCCAGTTGCAATATCTGGATGATTTTGTCGTTAACTACACCGATGGAAATAAGAGCTCCGATTAGGAATTACATTCAAGGTTTAGCTTTTTCATTTCCTGATGATTTTCTAAATGGCTCTCAAATGTGCTGAAAAGAAAACCATATGTGGTGACATAATGTAGTGAACTTGTGCCTTCTGTAAGGTTTTGTACCTTCCACACAGTCCCTGAAACGAAAGCCACGACTAGCTTTGTAGCTGTATTTTGTTTTAAACGTGCGTCCCAGCTTAGTTTAGGATATAAATCGATTGGTTATGGACTCTATATAAACTTTTCAAATGAGCTTCAATTTCACTTATTATCTGGTTGCTGAGATGGCTTCTATTGATCTTTTACATGGCTGGAGCTGTAAAATTGGATCTTCTGGGGTAGCTCGTCCATGCCGAATTTCCTCTCTTGTCTGTAATAAGCAGTTGTGCGCGTTTTCTTTTTTGTTTGGTGTTTGTTGAAATTATCTCATATTCCGTAAAAAAAGTATCTCATAGTACTAAACTACTAATACGTTGATATTATGTAAGCAGAACGGATTTTCATCGATGCATTTTGGCAAAGAAAGCTGATTTGAAACCTGAAGGGAGCAGATGACGAAGCATGATTGGAAGAAGTCTGTCAAATCCTTTATCCGGAGACACATCGATCCAGAGAATGATGAGCAGCTGAAAGGCAGTAAAGAAGGTTCATTTTCTTTCTTTCTTACTCCGTTTAGCAGTCTGAAGTACTTCTGAATATCCGCCATCATGTTAATTACTTCTGCATTCATTTTTATTAACTCGTTACTTCCAAAGTGCTGCTAAATAAACCTCCCTGATCCTACAGAATTCGAAGATAGATTCAAAAGGATCTTGGAGCTGATCAACGAAGAAGGTTCGGAAGCAAACGATGGAGTCCCTGTGGAAAGCTCAAAGAGAAAGCCTCTTGTGGATTTGATCGAGGAGTTCCGCAGGCAGTACGAGTCGTTGTATTCACAACACGACCATCTGAAGGGAGAACTGAGGAGGGACTTCCACAGCAAGCGGGGATCGGATTCCTCTTCTTCATCTAGCTCAGACTCGGATTCTGATGATGGTTCCAAGGACAAAACCAGCAAAAATGGACGACTTAAAGGCCGCAAATTCATAGACGGCATAAAGCAAGAGCTTGAAACAGCCAATCTTGAAGTTGCTCAACTGAAGGATAAGCTCGGTGCTGCAACCGAAGAAAAAGAGGCGTTGCTTCTCGAGCATCAAACAGCGTTAAGCAAGATTCATGAAACTGACGAGATAGTCGGAAGCCTGAAGCTTGAGTTAGAAACGATTAATGCGGACAAGGAGAAAATTCTGGCAGAAAATGGCGACCTGAAGCAAAACCTCGACGAGGCAGGCAAGACGGAAGCAGAGCTGAATCGAAGATTAGAGGGCATAATCATCGAGAAAGATGGATTGATCGTGGAGAAAGAGGCGCTTCTGGAGAGGATTCAAGAAGAAGAGAAGTTTAAAGAAGAATTGAAAATGGCGAGTAACAACCTGGAAGATGAGAAACGAGTTCTTTCCCAGGAACTAGGAAGTGTGAAGGCCGAAATTTCCAGCCTAAACGAGCAACTGAGATCTTCAGAGCTGTTAGTGTCCAATTTGACTCAGGATTCCACGGTCGCAGAAGCAGATAGGAAATCTTTGGTGGCTGAAATTTCTGTACTAAATCAGAAGCTGGAAGAGATGCAAACAGAGAAAGATGACCTCATTTCGGCAAAGGAGACTGCAGTCCAGAGAATTCTGGAGGAAGAGAAGACTGCAGCGGTCTTAAAAGCTATGGCAGAGGAGTCACAAGGTGAGAATTCCGCCCTTAAACATGAACTAGAAACCACTAGAGGAGAACTTGCTGACACGAAGAAGCAATTAGAATCCGCCGAGCAAAAGGGTTCAGATTTGGCCGAGAAACTCAAGGCCGCCGAGGAAGAGAAGACTTCTCTGACCTCCAAAATTTCTAATACTCTGATTGAATGCCAGAACATTCAGAAGACTGTAGAGGTACTCACTGCCCAATCAAGCCAACTAGAGGAGAAATTAGAAGAGAAGCAAAATGAGCTTTCATCTCTCATAGAGAAGCACCAAGCACACGATGTTGAATCATCCAATCGGATCAAAGAACTGGACGAGAAGGTGAGCGCTTTGGAGCTGGAAACAACAGCAAAGGCTGAGAGGAACAGATATATGGAAGTCCAGGTGGAGACCAAAGTGACTGAAGCAAGGCAACTGGCTGACGAGAATGGGAGACTGCAAACCCAGATCATGGAACTCGAGAAGGCAGCAGATGAGAAAGAAGCTGAACTCTCTGCTCTCGCGAAGAAACTCGAGGAATACGAAAGAGAATCATCAGTCAAAATTGAAGGCTTGTCAGCAGAGGTCACCGAACTACGAGTCCAACTCCAGAACAAGGCTGATGAGAACTCAGAACTTCTCATTCAGATCGAAAAGCTGAAAGAAGAACTATCATTTGAAACCGAGAGTCATCAGAAAGCTCTGCTGGAGAAAGATGGTGTCACATCACAGCTGAAGGAGCTGACGCTGGAAATGGAGACTTTAGGAAAACAGAAGAACGACGTTGAAGAGGAACTGAGAACTCATAAGGAAGAGATGGGACTGCTGAGAGATGAAATGGTGAGCTTGCACGACAAAACCTCCATTATGGACAAGACCATATCAGAAAGAGTGCTTGAGTTCACTGCCCTCCAAGCGAAACATTCATCGAGAGAAAATGAAGTTTCTGCTGAAATAACGGCTCTCAAGGAACTTGCAAACGATCTGCAATGTGAACTGGATTCATTGCGGACAGAGAGGAACGAACTGCAATCGCAGCTTGAATTAGAGCAGAATGAGTTTTCACGGAAAATTGCAGAGATGGAAAATGAGAAGGCCGAGCTGGCGACTCAAGTTACTGATCTGCAATCACAGCTCGAGAGAGAGCAGGCTGAGTTTTCACGGAAAATTGCAGAGCTGGAAAATGAGAAGGCCGAGTTGGTGACTCAAGTTACTGATCTGCAATCACAGCTTGAGAGTGAGCAGAATGAGTTTTCAAGGAAAATTGCAGAGCTGGAAAATGTGAAGGCCAAGCTGGTGACTCAAGTTGCTGATCTGCAATCACAGCTTGAGAGTGAGCAGAACGAGTTTTCACGGAAAATTGCAGAGCTGGAAAATGAGAAGGCCGAGCTGGTGACTCAAGTAGCTAATCTGCAATCACAGCTTGAGAGAGAGCAGAACGAGTTCTCAGAGAAATTTGCAGTGCTGGAAAATGAGAAGGCCGAGCTGGTGACTCAAGTTGCTGATCTGCAATCACAGCTCGAGAAAGAACAGAATGAGTTTTCACGGAAAATTGCAGAGCTGGAAAACGTGAAGACCGAGCTGGTAACTCAACTTGCTGATCTGCAATCACAGCTCGAGAGAGAGCATAATGAGTTTTCACAAAAAATTGCAGAGATGGAAAATGAGAAGGCCCTGCTGGCGACTCAAGTTGTTGATCTGCAGAGACTACTGGATCAACAGTCAGAGGCGTGCAAGCAACTCAGTGAGGAACAGCAGCAAGTTGAAAAGAAGGCGGAGGATTTGAACAAGCAAGTGGGTTCCATGGATGAAACCGTAGCTGAACTGAGAGAGAAAATCGAGAGCCAGGAGAGGGAACTCGAATTCAAAGATGAAGAGCTGCGCAGTTTAGCTGTGAAGAACAAAGAGATCGAATTTAAGCTTACAATGTCAAGCCAGAAGAGCCGGGTCACAGAGCAGGAGCTAAACGAGACAGTAGACAACTTCAAGGTAGTGGAAGCCAAGTACAAGGAAAAGCAGAGAGAGCTTGAAGGGAAAATGACCGTTCTCTTGGCTACCATGGCTGCAAATAATGAAGCTCATCGCAGGATGGTCACAGACCTCTCAGAGAAACTACATGCCATCATGACGTCCCTAGATACTCTGTCGTCCAGATTCGACGAAGATTGCAACCGGTACCAGCACCGGGTTCTGGAGCTGTCTCAAGAGATTCTGATTGCTAAAGATTGGGTAATGGACATGAATCAGGAGAAGGAAAAATTGAACGAACAAGTGAACAGCTTAGCCCTACAACTGCAACACTCGAGAGAAGAGGAATCTGCACTGAAGAACAAGGCGTCGGAGTTGCTGGCCATGGCAAGCAAAGAGGAAGCTGAGAAGCTGAAGCTCACCAAAGCCATCAGCCAACTCGAGAGTAAGGTGGCAGCAATGGGAGCGAGCTTGAAGGAGAAAGATGAAGGGATATCGTACTTGGGAGACGAGAAACGAGAAGCCATACGACAGCTCTGCATCTCAATCGAGTACTACCGCGACACATGTGACTATCTCGTTGGCATACTCTCCAAGATGCCAATCAGTCGCCAGAGGGCAGCTGCACCTTAGTGCATCGCTTTATTAATCATCATCCATCGAGTACCGATTCTTCGCAGTTTTTTCGTTCTTCATATGCAGCACAATCCGAGTCAGTCATTGTTTTGATTTTTTTGGCCTCTGAAATGGCATTGTCGATATCTTGAACAGGAAGGTTTTGCTTATAGGGTTTGTTTCTGAAACGTAATATGGTAAAGTACATAATCAAAGTGGTTTGATTGCTTGCTTGCAAATCATCTTAAACATGGTAATATCACTCGAAAAACATATCATAAGGCATTCATAAAGCTTGTCACCAGACAGCTATCTGGAAAACACCAAGTTATCCGACTCACTGAATTTTCACTAGTAAAATTTCTCTGCGTAATACCTATCGTAGATGGCACCTAAATTCTTCTGTCATGCCTTATTGCCACAGCCATGTAATAGGAATAAGAAGAAATCTAGAGAGAAACAAATATGGGGTTCAGGTGGAGATCTCAGAGCAGGCGACAGGGTTATTAAAAACACAGAGCGCTACAAGTTGTGTGTGTTCCTTTTCTACTAATCTGACTCACTCCACTATCACCAAAAATCAGGTTCATTCACCACAGAAAAGCCGATCCACCCTTCTCCTCTGATACTTTCTATGCTGGACAACGAGAAGCCTACCTTGCCCACCTTGTTTACTGCATTCAGTCGGAAATCCTCATCTCGACCCCAAGAACATCCTTCACCATCTCGTACGTCACAAATGCAATGGCTATGGATGGGACAACCTGTACGAGAACGTGGAAGAGGATGTTATAGAACCGAACCATGGTAAAGTAAAAGCGACCCTGATTTGGATAAAGAAACTTGAGTGTACTGACCTTTACTGAATTAGGGACCAAACCCTTGTACAAGGCACCGAACCCCTCGTAGCGAACGGTTTTCCTGAAGGCGTCGACCATACCGGTGTATTCAAGTGGTGCTTTGCCCCTTCCGTCCCCAGTGACGACCGAAGCAGCATCCTTCCATCCTACCATTTGCATTCTCCGTCGAATGACATCGAGTGGGTAAGCTACTGTCTGACCGACAGTTCCAGCTGCAGCTCCACATGCTAACCTCGTCGTTACACTCAGTTCGTTGTTTTCGACCAGGTTGAATGTGTTGGATTTCAGCAACCAGTCTTTCAGAGACTCGTACACCGCAAAGTTGAGACCCACGTACGGTACCTGCAGTCAGAACATTATGAGAAAAAGGGGAAAACATACTTCAAGTGAGTTCTGAAATAGGGAGTGGATTCCCACAGCACTTAATATCAATGTTTAATAAAATAATGGCTTTCTTTGATTCAATTAGCAACTTCCTTAGGTACAGTTTGATTCAATTTGCTTGCCTATTGGTGTCTTATCTGCTACTAACTTCTCTATCAAACACATCTGGAAGGTTTTAGTATCTAGTTAAGCACAAGTAATAAAGAAAATACATCCGAAGGAAATGGAAGTATATACATCAGAGAGCTGCATCGGACAAACATTAATGATGCATGGCTGTGAGTTACAAGTACAATACCCCTTAATCCTTTATATGCATTTGGTAACAATGGCCATAGTAATGATGAACAAAACTTCCAAAGGAAACGAAACGTATACTTACAACTCCAATGACCGATGGAAGCCAGCCTTTGTATAGTGCACGGGGGCCTTCTTCCTTTAGAACAGTTGAAAGAGCATGGACGATACCTCTGTACTGATGGGGAGACTTATCTGTCTGGAAAAAGGGGGGGAAACGGCAATTATATGAAACATGCTTTGATAATTGACAGGATGAGGTGCGAAAAAAGGTTCACTGGCAGACAAGTCATGAACTCTTACCTGGACAGTTAGGCGACCTCTAACCATGTCCATTGGGTAAGTTGCTGACATGGCAATTATACCAGCACATGCACCAGCACCGAGACGTAGAACAGGACTAAGCTGTGCATCATCTGAAAGAAAGAGAGGTAAATATACTGGTTGATCTCTTCACCAGCCACCAAAAAATAATTACTGTCATACCGTTTCCAGTTTGGCGCCTATAGAACCATAATATACCCCTGATTATGACACAAGAGGAAGACAGAAGAAGATGCTTTGTAAGGCAGAGTTATAGAAACAGGAATTACAAAGAATGGGAACTTGTTTTAACTAGTTACTACTTACTCCTGAACACAGGGCAGAAACTAAATGGGGGCCAACCAACTGAGCAAGTCAATAAACAGAAATCGAAATGACCAAGGAAGAAGAGGACCATACTTTGAGGCTTCCTCATAACTAAAGAACTTGACGGCTGAATTTGGTACGATGCGAGCACAGTTCGTGCCATTTCCTTTAAACAGTCCTCTGAAACCCTCGGTCCTCCAAATGTACTTCAAGCCCTGAATTGTACCGTTGTATTTTATGCTGTGTGGATTCTGGACCTGCATACATATCAGATCGAATTCTTTATTGAGTTAATAATAGAGTCATCAACCTGAAGCAACTCTTCATATAGAACTCCATGAGCAATCAAGAAAAGTGCACTGGCTTTGAATCAACGTAGACCGCAGAGCTAAAGTTAATTCCTGGCATGATAACAGGAAATTAATTACCTGGAGTAGAATTTTTAATCTTTCTAGAGGAGCAACAGCTGTGCGGGACCTGCAACATATACATGATAACAGAATGTCATACAACTTAACTCAAGGGATGGATAAGCATACCCATGTATGATGTATGCAGCCAACAGAAATAGATGCTTTGCTTTACTTTCAAGCAATATGGAAGGGGCAAAGAAACTTTGCAAGTTCGAAAAGTATAATCCTTCCACACAAAAACAGATGATTACATCTACCATCATTCTCCAACAACAAATTAGGGAACGATTTGACAAATCAACCAAACTGAAAATCCATTCTCCACCACCACCAGCGAGTAGGGTTTAAGAGGATCACTAAAGTGAATCCCGTGTACCAAATTTCATAACAACCAAGTTCATTCAAAAATCACATTGGACCAAAACCCAAATCTAAAAAGCGTAGCGACACCTCAATTTGTGATCTTCACTCCCCCAGTTAGTCTACAGTGAAACCACCAGGCTAAACCCTCACGAGCCCACCATGAAAACAAAAAGACCACTAGGCACTAGCTAGTGAGCATTGAAAGCAATTTGACAGAGCTCCATCCTTATTCAATCGCCAGTTAACCAAACCGAGACAAAAATCTACACCAAAAACAGAGAAGCTAGCTATAAGTTAAACCCAGAAATCAGCTGGTACAACAATAATTCACGACCAAAGATCGGCGGAACCCACCAGAAGCTAGACAAAATCGATAAACATGAGCGAAGAACAAGGGGTTCAACAATAATAGGAAGAAGATCGCTGCTTTCAGGCGAAACTAATACGAGTCAGAGAGCAGCCGCCACAAATTTAACAGAAACGGGGGATAAAACAGGGGGAACAAAACAAAAGCACTCACACTCCTCCAGCGACTCCACCGGCGACGAGGGACTTGCAGATACTGAGGAAAGCGGGGCCTTGCGTCTTGACACCTTCACTAGCTAGCTTAGCCTCCTCAGCGAGATTCACGATCGTCGAAACAGCAGCCTCCCCACTAGTCTTCACATCCTCGGACGCCATAGCCTGATTGGAAACAAGAAAAAGGAAACCCTTTTAAGCGACCCACAAATTGTTCCCGGCGGACCAATGCGCGGCGGCGGCGGCGATGCGAGCGTGTGAGAGTCTGCTGCTTACGCCAGATTCAGGGTTCGCATTTGCGACAGGGAGGGGAGAAAGGCAAAAAAAAGAGGAGGGGGCGTTTGGGAGATGGACAGAGTGAGAGAAAGGGCCAGAGAGGGAGTTGTTATTAACAACAACAAAAAAGCTAAGGTGATCAATCAAGAAAAAGAACTTTGAAAGGATTAATTAGGGTTCTATAGTTACTTCGTTAAAGTGAGAGATTAAGAACAGAGAGTGAGAGAGAGTGGATGAGTGAGCCCGGGTGTTGGTGGAGGGAACACTTGTACGGTCCCCGCCATTGGGTGGCTACATAAGGCTAAGATTATTCAAAGGTGACTTGAGCAATTGAGTGGAGTGAAGTGTAAATGTAGATATTTGAGATAAATGTTTTTTACTTTATCAACAATTATGTGTCTATAAATTATAATATTTGTACCTCTCTTGTAATAATTTTGGTCTTCAATTTTCCCATTCCGATTGGCAAAAAGGATCCAAACAGTTTTTCATTAAAACAAAAAAAAATCCAAACATTCAGAAATCAAAATAATAAAGTTGCTATCAACAAAAACGACTTAAAGGCTCGTAAGTACAAAACTACAAACCAGTCTTGAAGAAGCCACAGAGAATGAGAGCCTAGTAAAGAATTAGTGATGGTCTGATGGAGAAGGACATAGGAATGGTATTCGGTAAACCGACATTCGGTATTACCGGGTACCTAACCGGTTATCATCGGTATACCGAATACCGACGGTATCAGTATTCGGCTGCAATATTTGACCAACCGGTATACCGGAGACCGGCCAGTAATTTACTGACGGTAAATCGATATACCGAATACCGAATCACAAAAAAAAACGACAACGTAGCGGATTGGGGCAAAGTGCAGCTGCAAACCCTAAATGAAATCAAACCTCCCCTCCCTGTTGGTCGCTGCACGCCGCGCTCCACACCTCATTTCCTCTTATTCTCTTCTCTCCATCCCGAAAGGCGACACCCAGCACGCCGCGCTCCAACACCTCGTCTTCCTCTTCTCTTCACCAGCCAACAACCGCTGTCTCCCAACCCGACCTCTTCTCTTCTCATCCGCCGACGACGGCTTCTCTGTTTTGGTCAATTCCTGTCCCAGCGGCGCGTGATCCCTTGGACGATCAGGCAACAAGGTCAACTCCGTCGCCGCCTTGAGCGTCGTCTTCTCAGCGATCGCCGTCCCACTTGGATCCGCCGCTTCCTCTTCGTCGAGCCATCGATCCGCCAGCACATGTTCCCCTTCAGCAAGCCTCTGTCTTCCTCTTCTCTTTTCTTCTCTTCTCTTCAGGCGATGATTCTCATTTCTAGGTATTCGGTATACCGGTATTGATATCGGATACCGACTATTCGGTATACCGGTTAACATTCAGTATCGGTTTTCGGTGGGTACACTGTCTGTTTCCGGTATACCAAATACCGAATAATCGGTATCTGATACCGAATACCGACTGATTACCAGCCCTAGACATTTGTATATGGTAAGTTTTGCAACAAATCAACGTAGAGTAATGAGTGAATGGGGAAAAAGGCGTTCATGTACTCAAGGTGTACAAATCTTTATCCAATGGCTCGCAATAGAGTTGTGATGTAAGTGAACCACCCAAATCGATAATGTAAGGAGATAGACGAAAGGTCTACATCGGGAGAAAAGAAACAAGTTGAAGAAGGATTTTGTGACCATCGCCAGTGAAAAGGCGGTAGAGCCGACCAGATGGTACAACTTGATAGATAAAAATTTGAGACAATTCAAATAATTTAATTTGATCTAATGAAAAATCTATTAAATCACAAAAATTATGTTGTTCTAATGTCTCTAGAAGTGTAAATTTCAATATGAATTACAAATTTCAACGTTACACAGTATTCGACTCGAGTTACTTGTATTTAATTAGATTTCATCTACTCATTATATCTCCATCTCATCACTCACTAGATAATAGACTCCAACACCCATAAAGAACATAAAAATAGTTGCAACACTCTAATCCAATGTGCACCGCGCTAATTAACACGTGCTAACAAGGACAGATTAGCACCATAGTCGGATTGTTCACACTCATACATTTCGGCCTATACAAATCTCAACACCAAACTGTCAGAATATTGCATCATTGAACCCAACTTCCATGATGGATTGTGAGCCATGGAATCACTTTGGGGAGTGGCAATTGGGCTTGCCATGAATGAATTCTGACCAGACAATACCAGAGAGATCAGACAGTGACATCTCTTCTTTCTTCTTCGTATGTTCCCCTTTTCAATTAACTGACTGTTCACTGTTCAGGCTGCTGAACGGACGATTCTCCACACTCTCTCTTTGCCACCTGTGATTGTGTGTCTTCATCATCGGATAAAAACCCATTACAAAAGTCATCCCATAGGAGGATAATAAGCAAAACATTACTGAAAAGGATTTGTAGGGTGTGACAAAATATTGATCCATATAGTCAGTTCATCAACAGCTACGGGCCCTTATTGAAGGCCCAAATTCCTACAATCTGTCAGTGGGTGGCCTTGGCCCACTTATCTACGTTAAACCAGAAACAACATAAATAATGACATTTATAGCCAAGAGACGACAAGACCACAAACTGACAAGTGATCACCTACCATTACCAACTGGCCAAATGTTGATTGCCCTGTTAATGGTTTCAGTGTTACGTTAGGTACTTCTCTAATTAATTGAAGTTCTAAAAAGCAAAGAGTACATACATATAGCTAGATGAAGAAAGCAATAGTTGGGCCGCGTTTATGGAGTCAATAAAGCAGCCGATCGATCGAGTTACCCCTGCGAGGAAAGTTAGGGCCCGGCCCGGCCCACGGTTTCACACGTTCGGAACAAGTCAAAAGGAGAAAACTTCCATGCTCGCGATATTGGACCCGACCCGAGAATGGAATTATCAAATATCAATAGCAAAATACCTGTATAGCCATAACTTTCACACTTTTGACAAATATAGCCATTTCTATTCGAAAACCACAAATAGCCCAAAAAACTGAGGGTAGTGTGACAAATCTAGCCAAATCCGTTAGAAACTTTAACACCGTCTGCGACTCCGTTAAATCGTTTGACGGAACGCTGACGAGGACGAAAACCGACCTACACATCATTGACACATCAGCAAAACGTACACGGGGAATGCCACGTAAATAATAATAAAAAAAAATAATTATATATGTTTACTTCTCTTTCTCCTTCTTCCCTGTCCCCGAAATTCTAAACTCCAGTTTCTAATTAGGTTGGAATGTAATTACATGAAAAAAAAAGGAAATGAAAGATAAGAGAACGGAAGATGAGCAGAGGCATTAGTGCAAGATTTCCTCTCATCAATCCTCGTTTCAATCCAAATCTATTTTCATCCCCAATAGTTAATAATCCGCTTCCGACTCTTTCAGCTCCTCCGACTCCAACGATTCCTCCGCGCCGGAAAATCCACTTCCGTCCTCGTCCTCTCTCCGCCACCACCGCTGATAACCTAATTCTCCTCTTCCATCCTGACGACTTGCTTCCCCGCCGCCTCCGCACTGGCCATCTGGTCCAGGTACCGAGTTAGGATGAGCTCCATGGACGGATTTGCTCCCCGGAATCCCAATTTTCATCTCTCGTTCGAGGCTCGTCTGTTTTTTTTTTTTAATTTACTGTCTGGATCTGACGTAGCGCTAGCCGCCGAACGACGATGATGCCAAGCAGCGAAGGACGGGAAGGAGGCGCCGACGGTTGTGAATCTGTATCTGACAGAAGCTCGACGACGATTCCAAGCGGCGGCCGGAAGGCAGATCTATAATGGGTTACTCATATGCATCGGCTACATGAGGTGGAAGAACAAATCCACTATGTTTCTCATCTTTCAAATGCAAATTCCAGTCCCCGTCGACCGTCGAACTTCCGAATCCATATGTCCCTTCCAATCGCAAAGCCTCCATCGTCTGAAGGGATAAGGTTGGAATGGAAGAGTCGCGACTGTTGGTGGGCAGCTGTTCACTTTTATTTTTTTTTAAGTCTGATTTCCACGTCGGAAAGTGGGGTAACTCCAGTTGCCAACTCAGCGCAAGCCGTTAGTACAGTCATAACGTCTGCTAACACCGTTACCAAAATGGACGGAATTGGTTATTTGTTGTTTTCGAATAAAAATGGCTATATTTATCAAAAGTGTGAAAGTTATGGCTATACAGCTGTATTTTGCCAATATCAATTATGGAAGTGAAGATTAGTAGTGAGTGAGAAGTTACTGGTGAAAGCACTCTGTTTGAAGAAAAGAGTAAATATCTAATTGAAAAAAAAAATACCCAACAGAGAAGACTCATCGGTTACCTAGTCCAAAATTGCGTTTCGATTAATTAGGATTTGCGATTGCAATTTGCATGGGGTCCCTTTTAGTTTCACTTCGGATTTAATGCTAATGACAAATCTATTTTTTGCGATAATGAGAAACAGGATTGATCTTTGACCACGCTCTCTTCTTTGGTTTTTGCTAAAGTCAAAAGAGGAGAACTAACTAACCAAGCTGATTTCATAATTATCTCTTGTATATGTATATATTAGTCAAAGAAAAATGGTTTTAAATTGGAGAGTAAAATGGAGGAAGGAAGACGAGACAAATGGCCAATGGCATTAATGGAGTTTGCTGTCTGGTTGGTTGCTTGCCTTGGCGGTGCTTCACAGCTTTCATGCTTTTGATCTCATAAACATGCAAAGAGAACAACACCTAAAAAAAAAACAATTGCACTTAATTTCAACGAATGATATATAATTTAAATGTAAATCTCTCTAAAATATTAGGATGAATTTGTTGATGACATGATATTGGAATTTGTTTTGATCATTCATACTAACAATTTTCAATAATTGTGAAATTATTATTTATGACTATCCCGTAATATAAAGAAAGCTCATATTCATCTTCTAGTTCTACTATCGTTCCATTTGTCATTATTAGACAGAAAATAGTAAATTTTTTAAGGTGGGAAGCTGGGCCATAGGAAGAAGAAATAATCATCAGAAATCAGAAAATGGTGGTGGGAGTAGTTCGATAACTTTGATCTCTTCTTCTTCTTCTTCTTCTTCCTCCCTGAAAGCGAGTCATGTCACTTTCACCGTCTTTTCTTTACTCCTTTCACCTTTGGGCAACTAGCTAGCTAGCGGCCGAAGTTCATCTCTTCTTTTTTCCCCCCTTCCCCCATTATTATTTCACAGCGTTGCCGACTTGCCGTGTTACTCGACATTTTCCCACCTTTTCGCCTACAAGCACACATCGTCTCTTCCCTTTGACATTTTCCGTTCTTGTTTCCTCTCCTTTTCTCGGAAAATTTTGTTGCCTTTTAAAGTCAAAATCCATTCACGATCTCTAGAATATCTGTGCAAGCTAGTATTTTCTTCCCCATAATTGTACCAATGCGTGCTCTGTTTTAGGGAGTCTTCTCCACCCTGTTTGTTTCCCCAGAAACTAAGACATGGGTATCTTAAGTCAGCTCTGAAAGTTTGGAGCTTTCCTTCTTGTCTTGTTTTTGTTTACTTTCTCTAGAAGCTTGAAAGTTTCAGCCTTTCTACAAGAATCGCGTTCCGTGGCCGTTGAGGTTTCAGAGTCCATTTTTTTATTGCTACAAATCTTTTCTCGGAAATAATCAGGATCTGTATTTGATTAAACTAATGGCGGAAGGGTCAAAGGCTCGTTTAGTTCGCTGCCCAAAGTGCAACAATCTCCTCACCGAGCTCCCAAACTTCTCCGTCTACAAGTGCGGTAGCTGCGCTGCTGTTCTTCGAGGTATTCAATTGCAAACTCTGTTTCTTCCCCCCTCCGTTTTAGTTGTTCTGTTTGGTTCCCAAGAATTCAAAATAGAAAATGTTGACTGCAGCAAAGAAGAATTCCCGAGAAACTGACGGAGACAGTTTCGACAAATTGGAGAGATTATCAGCGAAAGAGGGAGGGATTGCTATGAACCCATATGCAGCTGATGCCAAACCCATATTCTCATGGGAAAAAGATCGAGTCTTTAGGCAAGGACCTTCCAATCCGATCAGTAAGTCATCAATGGTGGACCAAAAGCAGCCTGCAATTGACAATTATAGCAACAGAAAAACGATGATGATGAAAGAGAAGCAAAATGGGTTTAATGATTTTGTTCCTAGAAGGGTGATTGATGAATCATCTTCCTATCGGAACACTGGATTGATGGGTGGTGGTGTTAATCGAGGCGAATGCTCGACGAGTAGTTCGTATGGATATGGAAGGGTTAGGAAGGAGTATGATCCCCTTGGTAGAGCTACAAGTACTACTCGAATTTCTTATCTAGAACATGATCGAGCAGAGTTGCTGAGGAAGGTGGATGAGTTGAAACAACAGCTTAACCAAGTCTGTGATTCTTCTTCCACTAGTTTGAAGCACAATGTGATGATTCCATCACCATATCATCAGTCCCACGCGCCACGTGGCTACTTCTCGAGCGATTTGTCTCGAGATCAAAGGTTCGAATCTCATCCACATGGAAACTTGTACCATAAGCAGCAGCAGCAGCCTGCTGCTCATTCATCATGTGCATGCTGTAGTAAGAATTTTCATGTTTGTTCCTCTGAAGCTCAACAGTATGGTTCTGATTTCAGCTATGATACGCGTTCTGTGGGGGTTCCTCCTCCTTCGCTTGGCTATAGTGTTTCCACATCACGAGATCCACAGATTCAATCTCGATGGCTTGCTGCTGTGGCCAAAGGTAATAATAGAAGGCTTCTCCGTCGTCCCATAGCATGTGGTGCTCCATTTATCACCTGTTGTGCTTGCTTTGAGTTGCTTGAATTGCCTAGAAAGACAAGAATGAAGGAGAAGGATAGGGTGAAACTGAGATGTGGTGCCTGTTCGGAGGTGTTGATGCTCGAGTTGAGAAGCAAGAAGTTAATGGTTTCAGTTTGTGAAGAGATGAAAGAAATGGATGTCAAGGCTGTCGATGGCTCTTGTGAACTCAGCAATGATGTGCATGAAAATGTTGCCAATGTTTGTGAGGTCCAGACAACTGGTTTACAAGGAAGTATACAGGCAGAAGAGCAGATTTTAAATATTGTTGAATGTGACAAGAGGAAGGGCTATGCTTCTTCTTCTGGATCTTCGTCATCCTCATCATTTTGCAGTCCTTCAGATTCTTCCGATGAAGAGGAAAGCATCAACGAAATTGCTGTCCCACAACACGTCTCTTCTGCAATCGATCTGGCTGTCAAAGATGGTGAATCTCCAGCGATGAGCACAATGCACGATGGCCAGGAGAATTTGGGTGGTTCCAAGGAAGAAGCGCTCAACTTAGAACCGGAAGGGAAGATAAACACACACACCAGAGACCAAGCAAATGATGCATCAAGGAAAGATGCATCATCCATGGCTGCAGCTGTTCCTGAAGTGGAGGAAGAATTTTCCTTCAGTGATTACAGAAACATGGACTCATCTGTAGACTCTATAGAGATGTCCAATGCAAAAGCATCTCCAATCCACAGGCTGGCTGGGGTGTTTAAGAAGAGCTTCAAGGATTTTGCCAAACCTCTTTCTCCTCAACCAGCAAAGAAGAACAAGCCTCTTGTCTTTGTAAATGGACAGCCAATTCATGAAGACTCATTGAGAATGGCTGAGAAGCTAGCCGGGCCAATTCATCCCGGAGACTACTGGTAAGAACCTCTAACATCAGTTCCTTAAAAAGAAACAGGCTTTTTTAGCCTCTCCTATGCTGATCAGGGTTTCTGAAGAGCGCCTTTTGCTTTGCTATTATCACCAGGTACGATTTTCGAGCAGGGTTCTGGGGGGTCATGGGGCAGCCTTGCCTTGGTGTAATTCCTGTGAGTCTCTCAATCATCTCACATTACAAAAAATTGTTCTGTTGTGTGGTGAACACAACTAACATGGTGGGCTGTGTTTAATTTTTGCTACCTCTCCTTGCGGTGTGTAGGCTTTCATCGAAGAGTTCAACTACCCTATGCCGCGAAACTGTGCTGCTGGAAACACAGGCGTGTTTGTAAATGGGAGAGAGCTCCATCAGCAGGATATGGAGTTGCTGTCCAAGAGAGGGTTGCCTACCTTGAAGCACAAGTTCTATACACTCGAGATCGATGGCAGACTCTATGACAACGACTCGAGGAAAGAGCTAGGTGGGCTTGGCAAACTTGCTCCAACGTAAGGGCTTCTCTTTTAAACTTCCACCATTATTTTCTGTTAGTTGGAAACACATTAGGGAGAGGGATTTCCCATGTCTGGAGTTTGTTTTTGATTTGGCTTCTGCTGGTTTTTCTTTTTGCCCACAGAGTTGAGAAGGTCAAGCGTGGCTTTGGCATGAAGGTACCCAGATTTGTGGAATGACATGATGTTATGAATATGTATCTATCAACAATTCATTGTGTTGTTATTTGCCAGTTTCTGCTGGTTCTGTCCAATAAAGCAATGCTCTATATATGGTCAATCCAGCTATTTTGGATTAATCTTTTTTATAAGAGTGATATAAATTCGAGGTTGTTACATGTATCTAGTTGTAGTATTGCAAGAAGTACTAGCGATTAAATTCGATTCGATTTCTTTATCAACAAGATCTTGGTTGAAGAAGTATCAAGAATATAGTTGCAAATTGGTGGGGAATGGGGTGTCCTAAAACAGAGAGACCATACCATGGAAATGATGATGGTGAAGATAGGGTAAGAGAGGAGTTTCTTGTAGTTTTGGAGTGGGGAAGAGAACTCATTAGTTTGGAGAAGAGAATGTTGGCACAGCCTGGAAAGGTAACCAATGGTGGGGACTTTGGCTTCTCTTTCAACTGATGAAGCACAACTTCACCATTAGTATAGCATTGGTCTAACAGTGCTAGAGATTTCTCCTAACGATATCAACTACAAGATATTAATCCGTTTGAATTCCACAAGATTCGTTGTCTATCATTTTGTAGCCTCTCATCAACCTAAATTTAGAGGTCGTTCATTTTTGCACTGCTCAACACTTAGCACGTAGAACTAACTCAATTTCAATTTAAAACGCTTATTGTTGTAGTTAAGGTTAGATCATTCCTTATGCTTCATAGATCTCATCCGTGCTTTATTTATGTGTGATGTTCATTTACAAGGGACACATAGAGACTCTGGGTACCAGTAATAAGTAATAACATCCCAACCTTTTTTTCCGATCTCCTTTGGGCTTAGCATTTAGCATCACATGTTTTGCACTGGGTGCATCTTTATAACTTTTCAAGTGGTTATACATCTCTCCATTGCTCTACAACGAGCACGTTAACTTCAAACTTTTTATAAGAAAATTTCCATTGCAATATAAAATACGTCTTTTCAATTAATGTTGAATTTCTTAAAATTCATATATCTTTATCGTATTTTGTCACTGTGAACTTGGACTAAATTGTTATATTTCTTTTATCATTGTGTTTTTTAATAATAGAGGGAATTAATAATGCTTGTCCATGGTAGTTTTTGACATGCATGACTGATGTTTTTCCAACTTATTAAACAGTGTCTGTCAAACATACTGATTATCTTATCATTAAACTAAACAAAGATGCTTTGGTTCATTATTTTTTATTGACTCATAAATGTTGTTGTTATGTTACACACCAAAGTGATATAAGTTACAACTATATAAACTACAAGCTTAGTTATTATAGCCTTACAGGAAAAGACAATGCCTTATAAATGTTGTTAAATTACCTAGTCAAACAAAAAAATGTTATTTAACTAGAAGTCTCTTAATAGTTTGAGCTAAACCTGTCAAAATATATTATCCCTTCTCTGTTTTGTAGTTTTATGGTGTTGTATTCTCTAGGTAATTGTTTCTCACAGAAATCTGCTATATACTAGTTTTTAGTTTTTATCATCTTCAGGTGTGTTTTATACTATTTAGTGTTAGGCGACTCACATTCCATACAAAGTTTAATCAAACTTTTATATTGATTTCACATTCGTTCTTATCATTTTCATGTACTTTTAAATTTGGATCTTCAATCGAAATTCGACTAATCCATCAAAGTCATGTTAACAGTTAAGCTCATAGATCTACATTTCTTGACAACATGCCTTGTAAGGCTCAATTGTTTGAATTGTAGGATACAAAATGATTCAATCTAGTCATTGAATGCACCATATATCATTTAACAAGTAAAATATAAATGAATTATTATGATCGTGTCTTAATTTTACGTTGACTCAATCTAACTCTTTCAACCAACATTGAAGAGTTGAAGTTATGATTGAAATATATGAATCATTCACCTTAAAAAGAACTATATAATTCCAATTGAAAAACAAAAAAATACTATTAAACAACAAATCATTACCTAATTCACCATAACGAAAAGCAAATGATCACCTAATTGATACTTCAAATCCAATGTCACTTTTCACGTAAACCCTCGAAAATGAACCATCTCTTCTATTTAATTAATCTCCATGAATAAAGGTGGAGAGAAGATGAATTATTGAATGTCTTTCCAAAGAAAAGAAAAAAACAGAAATTGAATGAATCTTGTCCCCTTCTGTTAATTCCTTACCGAAATGATGATATGGTTTAATGAACACGTTCGTTGCAAACCACTGTCTCCCTTCTTTTCCTTTTCCATCCTCGTTCTTCAATCTTCAGTGTCGGTCATCACTGTCCCGGCCTTAATCGGGAAGGAGGAAGATCTCGTTCCTCTTTCGGGCAACCATGAAGCAAATCTTGAAACTGTGGTCGCTGAACAAGCAGAACCAGTGGATACTGAAATTTGGAATCTCGGTTCTCGTGGTGGGTCTTGCTTTCCGCCTCCTCTTCAGTCAATCCACCACCAGATTCGAACCTGAATTGGAAGCAGCTTCTTCTTCTTCCTACATTACTGCTAGAACTTATTTGCCGGTTTCTCCTCCACCTGCTTCAGTGGAAATGTCGGAGCCATCGTCAGATGCCGCCGTTGATAATTTGCCAGTCCCGCCGCCGGCGCCACAGCCTTCCTCTTCTGCAGCAGCTGCCGAAACCTCCAAATCAACTATGTCTATAGATGGACGGCCGGATCCAGATGAGAACGAGGCGCCTGATGATGGTAAACTGAGTTTTTTGTTTGTTTGTTTGGCTGATTTGAGTTCTGGCCCTTCTTTGAGTGTCCTGTTTCTGTGTGTTGGGGATTTACTGTTTAGAGTGGCTGAGTGATTCCAAAGACTGCAACTTTTTTGTGGGCTTTCCATGGATTTAAGAAAATGGTGGAAATTAGTTTGTGGGTCTCATGGAAGTTAAAAACTTAATATGCAGGAAAATGCAATCTTCTTGTTGGTGATTGGGTTCCTGAACCATCTGGTCCAATGTACACAAATGCTACCTGCCGCTTGATTGATGGGCACCAGAACTGTATGAAGAATGGACGCCCTGATTCTGGTTATCTGTATTGGAAGTGGAAACCCCGGCGGTGTGAGTTACCTGCCTTTGATGCACAGAGATTTCTGGAGTTGATGAGGAATAAAGTTTGGGGGCTGATTGGTGATTCAATTTCACGCAACCATGTTGAATCACTGCTGTGCATGCTTTCAACGGTATGTCCTCTAGATAGTTGAAATGTTAGTTTGATGTGTTTCTGGCTTTGTCTTGTTGTGATCCTCATTTGGTGTCTGGTTCTGATTTCCTCCTTATCAAGAGATTTGGAATTGCTCTTCCTGCATCTATCCAATTTAAGTAGTGGAGGGATGAAGTAATGTTATAATGCAGTGGTTGCTGGTCGGTATCCTAGTTCTTGTAATGCTTGTGCTGTTTTGGTGTACAATAATGAATTTTCTTGATAGCAAACTGGTGTGAGAATTGCTCTAATTGTCTCCAATTCCCTTTACAGTCACTTCATTTCAGAAATTCAGGATGCTTAGAGTATCACGGTTGATATTATGAGATGTTTTGCCTAACCTGTGATTTGCGTGGCTACTTTCTGCTGGGCCTGGCATTTGCTCTTTAGGGAAATGTACTGTCAATGTTTCTTGAAGGTCCGTTAATGTCCTCGATGGGGTTGTGTTAGCAATCCTTGCTGTTTGTACTGTTGGATGAAAAAATATTTCTGCAATTTTTGTTGTCTTACTGGCAAGTGGCAAGTGACAGTAATGCTCTTTGTGGCTGCCACATAGATGAAGGTGGCTGCATATTGGATACCATAATTGTCAGGAACTCTGACATTATTGCTCATCTGCAACTATTGCATATTTGTTGTTAAATGCTTTGCCTTCCCAAATATCAGGTTCATATAGTAGTCAGTTTCATTTCCTCAATGTACTGGAGTTCCAAGTTACATTTCTTGTAGCAGCTCTATAGACATTGTGACTGCACTATTTAATTTGTCAAACTGCTGGTTGTTTTCAAAGATGCCTTATAAATTCAATCACTGCTAGTGGTTGTCTCTGCTGCGTTCCTTTTCTGCCAGACTGAAACAATCTATCCCTTCAGGTTGAAGAAGCTGTGGAAGTTTACCATGACAAGGACTACCGATCCAAGACATGGAGCTTTCCTTCCTACAACTTCACCGTGGCAAACATTTGGGCGCCCTTCCTGGTAGAGGCAGCAATATTCGAAGACTACAATGGCGTCTCAACATCTGAAGTCCAGTTGCAGCTCGACAAACTCGACAAGAGCTGGGTAGATGCGTACCCGAGCTTCGACTATGCCATAATCTCCACTGGGAAATGGTTCCTCAAAGCTGCTGTCTACCACGAGAACAACACCGTAGTCGGCTGCCACATCTGCCCAGCCGGTAAGAACTTTACCGAGACCGGATTCGTCTTTGCATACGAGAAAGCCCTCGGCTTTGCGATGAACTCCATTTTGCAATCGAAGCACAAGGGGCAGATATTCTTCAGGACATCTACACCGGACCATTTCCAGGACGGGGAGTGGCACAACGGAGGGACATGTCGACAGACTGCACCGGTGAAAGCAGGGGAGTTCGAGTTGAAGGAGGTGAACAAGATCCTGAGAAAGGTGGAGTTGGCAGAATTCGAGAAGGTCTCGGCGAAAGCAGCTGAATCTGGGGTGAACTTCAAGCTCATCGACTTCACTAATCTTCTATTGACGAGGCCCGATGGCCACCCGGATGCATACAGAAATTTCCAGCCATTTGCCAAGGATAAGAACGCCACTGTTCAGAAGGACTGCTTGCACTGGTGCTTGCCTGGTCCAATTGATTACTTGAATGATGTGCTCATGGAGATGGTGGTAAATGGTTGAAGGAATGGAGTTGACTGTTGAGTTTCATTTGATGACAACTATTCTTTACGGGAGCTGGTTCATTTGTATAATCAAAGATGAAGAGCAGCTTCATTCAAGATACAGTTCTTCAAATGTATAGCTGCTGCCCAGAAAGGTTGTCCATTCTGGGTGTTCAAAGTTCCTATTTTTTGCATAGCCGCATCCGCAGTTGTGATTAATTATAAAGGTAAGTATAGTGATATGATTGTAATCTTGAGATTAATGACAGTTCCGTTTAGTTTCAGTTTGTGTGGGCCGAGTCCCCACCTCTTTCTTTGCTTACGTTACTGGAGGCTGGTTTGGGCCCCGGCCCGTTGGGCCGTGGTTGATGTTTGAATGGATTTTAACAGGCCTTGCCATAAAAAAAATTGGTAAGAAATTAAATCTGACAGTCAATGTCCTACCCTCAACGGTCAATTCCGATTTGAACCCCTCGGGACGTGAAACAGAAATATATTTTCCCAAGTTTACTAAAATCTACATTTGAAATTTGAAATTGCTTTCCCGTTGCAGCGCTCCGCTCACTTACTTACGCTCCCATATAAATCCATTCGTCTGCTCTTTCAATCACACAATTCCGAGTTCACTCTCCCCCTCTATCTAAGCAGAATTTTGCAACAGGCTCCTACCACAACAATGGCGGACGTCGCACTTCCCACCTCCCCTATCCCAGCGAAGAAGAAGAACAGCAGGAAAGTCTTGAAGCAGAAGAAGGCTTCGACGAGCGAGGCGAACGTCCTGGCACAGGCGCTCACCGAGTCCTCTCCTGCTGAGATCCTGCCTCCGCCTTCCGAGACCGATCCGATGAAGGAGAACAGCGAGATCCTCTCCTCGGCCAAGAAGGTAAAGGGAAAGGCGGCCAGAGGCGGGAAGCAGCAAGCCGCGGCCAAGCAGCAGGAGTCCTTCGACAAGGAGCTGGAGCAGATGCAGGAAATGCTTCAGCAACTGAAGCTTGAGAAGGAGAAGACGGAGGAGATGTTGAAGGAGAAAGATGATATGCTGAAGGCCAGAGAAGAAGAGCTCGAGAACAAGGGGAAAGAGCAGGAGAAGTTGCATGCGGAGCTCAAGAAATTGCAGAAGCTGAAGGAGTTCAAGCCCAATCTCGTGAGTGCCTTCACTTCTATTTGACGTTTTTTCTCCTTAGATGCTTGGATCTGTATATTTATGTGTTGTTCATCCTCAGATTCCATAATTTGCACTCATCGAGGTGTTTGTTGATTTTCTATCTGAATGTGTATCTGTTCATCCTCGGATTCTATATCTTGAGCTCTATATGTTCGTTGATTTCCATTTGTATATTTGTGTGTTCGCCCTCGGGTTCGATGTGTTCCATTCAAGGCAATTTATTGATTTGCTATGTTTTGCGCTCTATGTGTTCGTTGATTTTCCATTTGGGTATTAATGTATTCACGCTCGGTTTATTGCTTTGCACTCAAGGTGTTTGTTGATTTTCCTAACAGAACTTCCAGATCTTGAAAGACAATGAGCAAGACGACAAGGACAAGAAGAAGAAAAAGAAGGGCGGAGCTGAAAAGAAAAGGCCGTCTCAACCTTACATCCTCTGGTACAAAGATCAATGGGCTGAGGTAAGATATTGCAATAGGAATTGGTGCTTTTCTGCTTGCTGATATGGTAATATCTGCTAATGATGCTGATAATCTCTGTTTGTTGTGTGTGATGTTTAGATGAAGAAGGAGAATCCAAATGCTGATTTTAAAGAAGTCTCTGTCATTCTGGGAGCTAAGTGGAAGACCGTGAGTGCAGAAGAGAAGAAGCCGTACGAGGAGAAGTATCAGGCTGAGAAGGAAGCCTATCTGCAGGTGATGGCAAAGGAGAAGCGTGAGACTGAAGCCATGAAGCTCCTGGAAGAGGATCAGAAGCAGAAGACAGCCATGGAATTGCTTGAACAGTACCTTCAGTTCAAGCATGAAGTTGAGGATCAAGGGAACAAGAAAACCAAGTAAATAAAATCCTTACTAATGTTCTTGTCGCCTTGTTTATGAATTTTGATCATACATCATCCCATAGCAGAATTACTGATTTGTAAGTGTTGTTGTTCTATCGCAGGAAAGAGAAAGACCCATTGAAGCCAAAGCAACCAATGTCAGCTTTCTTCATCTACAGTAACGAGAGAAGGGCTGCACTTGTTGCCGAGAACAAGAATGTTCTTGAGGTAACTGATAAAGAATCTCCTGCTTCTTCTTCTTCACTTTGGTTTCTTAGCTCGCCCCCTTTCATTTTTCTCATGGTTGGAATTTGGGGGTGACTGGCAGGTTGCAAAGATTACTGGCGAAGAATGGAAAAACATGACCGAGAAGAAGAAAGCTCCTTATGAAAAGGTTTGTGTGATTGCCGGAGAGCAATCAAATAAAGTTCTTCAAATATTGGTACATTTGCAGGTTGACTAAACCTTTTTGTGCAGATGGCAAAGAAGAACAAGGAGCATTACTTGATTGAGATGGAAGCTTACAAGCTGAAAAAGGAGGAGGAAGCCTCACATGTCAAGAAGGAAGAGGAAGAACTGTTGAAACTTCACAAGCAGGAAGCCATGCAACTGCTGAAGAAGAAGGAGAAGACAGAGAACATAATCAAGGTTTGCACTCTACCATCTGTATGCGGTTGATTGAACTCAGGTGTCAAGTATATAGTCTTCGCTAAGCCTGTTTGATGGGATGTGCAGAAAACCAAAGAGATAAAACAGCAGAAGAAGAAGGACCAGACTGTAGACCCTAACAAGCCAAAGAAGCCTGCATCCTCTTTCTTATTGTTCAGGTAAACAAACATCAACATAATTCATCCATTTCCCACCAGTTACTGCCATGGATGGAAAATCTCCAGGAATTATAAAATGCTGAATGGATCCTCTCTTCTGGTTTTGCCGCAGCAAGGAAACAAGGAAAAGCTTGATGCAGGAGCGCCCTGGAACCAACAACTCCACCATCACTGCACTTATCTCTGTCAAATGGAAGGTAATAAAGAGCACATGAAACTCCCTTACTTTCATACACAGTCCCCTTCTCAAATCCCATGGAAGATATGAATCTGACTGATCGTGTTTTTCTTTGTTATATTGTAGGAACTGAGCGAGGAGGAGAGGCAAGTCTGGAATGCGAAAGCCGCAGAAGCCATGGATGCTTACAAGAAGGAAATGGAAGAGTACAACAAGTCCTGTGCTGCTGCCGTCGGGACCTCAGCCTAGAATCACTCAGCAGAAGTGGTAATAGTGGTAGTTGACCATAACAAGACAATGATGTTCAAAGTGTCGGGTTGAACATCTATCAATTGGGGTAGTGGGATTTTAGGACTCCTAACGCTGTAACTGGGAGGATTTTAATTCTAGGGATCTGACCTTATGATTCTGCTATCGTGTGATGGTGATTGTTTGATGATGCAAATTAGAGAACCAAATGACCTAGTATTCAATTCAAGACTTGGACTACAATTATTTCTTGTTCATTCTTCCCTAAAACTTCAGTATTTCTTGTTCACAATCCCAAATAATGTACTATACTTTAAAGAAGGCTAAATTACACGTTTGGTCACTCAAATTACATAAATATTTCACGTTTGCCACTCAAATTACTTTTCTTTTTTATTGGCCACTAACTTTACAAATTGTTTCACCGTTAGTCACTAGCCGTCCATCGCCGTTATACTCCGTTAACGCCGTTAAATTTTTGATGACGTGGCAAACGGAACTGCTGACTGAGCTGACAGAAGGTTGAGATGGAATTTATTATTATTATTATTATTATTATTATTATTATATTTTTTTCAAAAATAAAACCCAATACATTCCTTCAACTGACCAATGTCGGCCCTCCTTCCCCTCTCTGCTTCTCATCTGCATCTCATCCTCCTTTCCCCTCTTTTGCTTCTTCTCGGCCTTCTCTATATCTCCCTCTTCTATCAAACCCAGACAAATTAGAACCCCAAATCATACTCTCCTCCTCCCTGGATCTCAATCTGCCGCTGCTTTGCTCTCGTCGCCGGCAGGAGAACGAAGGTGGTAAGTGGTTTATTCCTTCTCAATGCTTGTTGATTTTTACTGTTTTTGTTTGATTCCGAGTTTAAGGAGTTTCGATTTTGATATGTAGGGGTGGTTATGTTTTGGAGGGTTTCCCTAGATCTGGAAGAAGAAACGGGGACAACGACAACGGCGGATCGATGACGATGGTGTGGATTCCCGGCGGAGGCTGTAGCGGCGCCTTTGAGAGGAGGCTGTAGCAACTGGTCTTGGCGAGCAGTGGCGACTCCGACTCTGACAGGAAAACTTGGTGGTGCGGCGGATTAGGATGCTGAAGGCGATGGAGTTTACGGCAACATGGGCCACCGGGATGAGGAACGAGCAACGAGCAGCGACAGGAGAAGACGACGGTGGCGCCGCAAAAACTTGAATCAACGATTGTGGTAACAGTGACCTCGCCGACGGGACAGGGAGACCGATGGCGCCGATGGCGGAAACGACCTCGGAGGCTGATTGATGACAAAGACGGTGGAAAGAAGACAGGGACGTCGACGATGTCGTGGTCTCTGATTGTGAGGTATCGATTGCCCTGTTTGCCAAAACCAGGGGTATCGCAGCGGTCACCCTTCACGTTGGACTTTTGGTCTTGCGAAGAGGAAGGAGAAAAGAAAGGATACAGTGAAAAGAGAATGAGGTATAATATTTTTTTTTAAATTGACCCGTCATTAAATAATGTCCAGCTAATAGTTCTGTTTGCCACGTCATAAAAAATCTGACGGTGTTAACGGAGTTTGATGGAGACTGACGGCCGGTGACTAACGGTGAAACGATTTGTAAAGTTAGTGGTCAATAAGAAAGAAAAGTAATTCGGGTGGCAAACGTGAAATATTTATATAATTCGAGTGACCAAACGTGTAATTTAGCCCTTTAAAGAATGTGTGATGTTAATGTATCGTACGAAGCGATATTGAACCGTACAGAATGCGTGACAACAACATTATGATCAAACCAACCATAAGATTTCAGCACTATTTAAGCCATCGCCCGCCAGGAAGTATGGGTGGTAGGATGGTGGCCGATGGAAAGTAACTTCGCATTGAATTGGTTTGGACTCACTCGGGCAAAATGGACCAAATGTGTAATGTGTAACATCAAACAACAACTTGGACATTTATTAGTTCTTCCCTTCCCACCTTCTCTATTCCAACTGTCCTCTCGCCAAGGAAATTTAACTAATCAACAATGGCTGAGCCACCGCAGCCGGATTCTTTCCCGGAATCGTCCAGGGAACGTGACGCCGGCGCCTCCTTCGTCCTTGAATCCAAGGGTACTCTCCCTTCTTTCTTCTTTATGACTTAATTTGTCCGAATGAGGATGACCTTGCGAATAATCGCCGCCGGCGGTCTCTGATCTTCCAGGGCAGTGGTGGCACGCCGGCTACCACCTGACGACGGCGATAGTTGGCCCCATGATCCTGACTCTGCCTTACGCATTCAGGGGACTGGGATGGGTTGCCGGGATCTCCTGCCTCACCGTCATGGGGATCGTCTCCTTCTACTCCTACTATCTCATGGCGCTGGTGCTCGACTTCTGCGAGAAGGACGGCCGCCGCCACATCCGCTTCCGGGAGCTCGCCGCCGACGTTCTGGGTGAGTTTTCTCTAGCTAATTAATTTAATTTAGTGGTACTATCGAATTAGGTCAGTGTCCAACTCCCCCTCTTCTTCTTCCAAGTTACTGCTAGCTAAATTAGTCTAGTAATAAAAAAAATAAATTACGCTGCCCCTAGAATTCTCCCGTTCGGCGATTGACTGAAAACAGCAAAATCCCCTTCCCGGCAATTGCCATTGCCGGCGACGAGGTGTCGGTAGGTGGTAGGGCGGCTGCCATTGTGGAAGAGATAGTACGGCCAGGGAGGAATGTCGGCAATCGCTAACCGGGTCGGGTTAGGGCAATTGCTAGCCGGGTCGTGGGTAATTCGGGCCACTAGAAGCCTGTTTGTTTCCGGTGAAAGTTTTCAGCTTTCACAGTATCTTCCTTGCTTTTGTCAAACACAGGTTCAGGATGGATGTTTTACTTCGTTATATTGATTCAAACAGCCATCAACACTGGGATTACCATTGGCACGATTTTGCTGGCAGGGCAATGCCTTGAGGTACACGTGAATTATCATTTTCCTTGGCTCCCCTTTTAGCTGAGAAAAGGGTTATGTACCTAGTAGTGATGGGGAGATGGGTTTTTGGGGTGGGGTGAAAACTACAAAAGATAATGTACGCAGCAGTATCTCCACAAGGATCAATGGAACTCTGGGAGTTCATAGCTATAGTGACGGCAGTAATGGTGGTTTTAGCTCAGATGCCGTCCTTCCACTCCCTCAGGCACATCAACTTGGTTTCTTTAATACTATGTTTTGGCTACACTTTCCTCGTCGTCGCTGCTTGTATCTATGCAGGTACTTACCTTACTTACCTTTGCACTGTTAAATTTATCCCCTTTCCACATTTGACTCTCTTTGGATCGCTATATGGTTGATGGGGGTTTTGGAATTGCTGACAATCAAATGTGTGCGAGTGATGTGCTGGAACGCCAAGTTGTTGCCTGGTGTCCATACATTCTAAGTTCCCCACTTTTGCTGGATTGAAATGTTTATAGGCATATATGGTTACAAGTATAAAACGGGCAGGTTGGTTGGTTTCGGGATCTATTTGGTAACTGGTCCATCGGATTATGGGTGTATGAGGTGATCGGTTATCAATTAATTGAATCATGGGTCAATGAAGTTGCAAGATGATTGGGTTATGAGTTTTGCGGGTTATGTATCATTTACTTTTAGTAAGCTAGAATTGCAACCAGGTTGAGCCGTATTTGTGTAGGTTTTAGACATTGAAAGATGTGAAATGGGCGAAGGTTGGATTCAGGCTACCTTAATAAGGTTGTGAATTAACTGGTTGTAGGATATTGACTTCGTAGTCAACTCAGGTTGACGCGTTGTGTGCTGGTTCAGTTCTTGCAGGTTTATCTAGTCATGCCAGAGTTTTACAGCTCTCTGACCCAATCTTTGCTATTCATGGTGATATCTTGTTCGTACTATACCTGTGGGATATACAGATGGTTATCTTGTCCAATTCGAATTGCTATGCTTTCAGGCATGTCCAAAAATGCACCTGCAAGGGACTATTCATTAGAGTCTGCAACCTCTGACAGAGTATATAGTGCATTCACTTCCATTTCCATTATTGCTGCCATTTTCGGGATTGGCATCTTGCCTGAGATCCAAGTAATTATTTCCTTCGTTGCACCTCCTAACATTTTCCCAATCTCTCTCTGTGCTTGTTACTCTGAGCCTTTACTTACACTTCAGATTGATTTTTCATGGACCCAAAAACAGGCAACTCTACTTCCCCCAGCCAGCGGCAAGATGCTGAAAGGACTTGTGATGTGTTACAGTGTGATCGTGGTCACAAACTACTCAGTTTCGGTCTCTGGCTATTTCGTCTTCGGAAACAAATCGAGTTCAAACATCATTCAAAACTTCATGCCTGACAATGGCCCTGATTTGGCCCCAACATGGATTCTTGGTGGTGCAGCAGTCTGTGTGCTTTTCCAGCTTTTCGCCATTGGTCTGGTAATCGACTTAAAACTCTGAGAGAGAATTGATAATTGGTGCAAATAACTCCACCATGTCCATGTGCATCCAACGACTTGGATTCTGAAAAAGAACATTTTCTCCAACATAATTGCATGCAGGTGTATTCTCAAGTGGCTTTCGAGGTGATGGAGAAGAAATCAGCCGATGCTAGTGAAGGGATGTTTGCGATGAGGAACTTGATACCTAGGATCATCCTTCGATCTCTTTACATGGGATTCTGCGGCTTTGTGGCAGCCATGCTTCCGTTTTTCGGAGACATTAGTGGAGTAGTGGGAGCAATCGGGTTCATACCTCTCGACTTCATCCTCCCAATGCTTCTCTACAACTTGACTTACAGGCCTTCCAAATCGTCTGTTACGTATTGGATCAACATGGCAATTATGGTTGTTTTTACAGGAGTAGGTCTCTTGGGGGCTTTCTCTTGTGTGAGGCAGCTCGTTCTCGATGTGGGTAAGTAACTTGCAGCATTTCAGCACCCATCGATGTAGTTGGTTAACTCAACTTCTTACCTGTGGTTGACTCCCACAATGCACTTTGTCAATTTGCAGAGATGGCCGGTACCACTGATGAGCAGTTCACGGATATTGCAGCAGTTGTTACTTCAGCCGCTTTCCCAGGTGATATGTAATCCCATTCCCACTAGATATGGTATAACTGAAAGGAGTTGCCTGTGGCAGAAGGATCAAGGTTGTTGCGAAACACGAAGAGGCGCAAAGATAATAAGCTTGTAAGCAAAAGACACACGATTTACGTGGTGCGACTGTATCCCCAACTAATGGAAAGAGTGAGAATGAACTAGTATTCTGCTTGAACCTTTGGCAGGTGCTAGCTACAATGAACTAGTATGAAACTTTTTTTGTATTTGACCCATTAGAGTTTTCAGGATTCTTGCCGCCTTGGCACATCGATTATTGAGCACCGAACCCATAAATAAACAGGTTTTGTAAATATGGACTCGAATCGGGTTACTGGAACCTTAGGCCTCAGTGAGGGCCCGTCTTAGTTGGGTTTGTTTGTCATTTCTAGTAACTTGGGCCGATATATTTGGGCCTTATAAGTTCGGTCTCGAAATGGTACAGAAGAAATTATATGCTGGCGGGCTGTGAAATTTTAATAACTGACCACTTCAAAATGAAAAAAAAAAAAAAAAAATCTTGTCCAATCTTTATAATTTCTGTATGTTGCTCAATCGAAAATCATGGGGTGGGATACTATGCTAACCCCTAAAGGGGTAGTGATTTTCAACACCCCCTTTATGATTGGCCAATTTTATTTTCAATCATTGGCAAGTATTAATTAAACTGGTTTTTTATTTTTTTTAATCTTGTAATTTGGGGTCTCTCACCCACATTGGAAAGTGAAAGAATATGGGGAATCAGAAAAAAGCTCCCCCCCAAATGTGCAATTAATTGCCTTTTTTTCTTCCTTTCGTCTCCTTCTCTCTCCATTTGGGCCCTCTTTCCATTTTGATTTCATTTTAACCAGAACCCTCCTCTACTCTGAAACGACCAAAACCCTCCAGCGCCTTCCCCCACCACCATCCTCCTATCTCCAGCTGCCGCCATCCTGGGATCGCCTCTGACCTACCTTGTGGATTGCTCGCACCAGTGGAGTGGTACGTGTACCAGTGGAGTGGTACGTGTACCAGTGGAGTGGTATTTGTATCATTGAAGTGGTACTGCATTGTTGCTCCGTTATTGTTTATCATTGTTATGAAAAATATCATTGCACTGGTATTGTTCTCACTCTAACCTACCTTGTGGATTGCTCGCACCAGTGGAGTGGTACGTGTAATTAATGTACCAGTGAGAGAAATTAATTATGTAATTAATGGGGGTGATTTCGTTTTTTCCCAGATTCTTTCTCTTTTCCAATGTGGTGAGAGACCCCAAATTACAAGATTAAAAAAAAATAAAAAACCAGTTTAATTAATACTTGCCAATGATTGGAAATAAAATTGGCCAATCATAAAGGGGGTGTCAAAAATCACTACCCCTTTAGGGGTAGTCAAGCTAACCGATCCCGAAAATCATCAGAACAGTTGATATCCAAGTTGAGGCACTCTCTCCATGTAGTTTAAGAGTTTCGACCTTACAAACTCGACAAAAGTATTTATTACAATCGACTTGATGATTGGGTTTATCGACCCACCAAATCAATTAATTAGTTCGAAATGTATCGATACTATCAGTTTGAATTCACGTCATTCAAAGAACAGCTACGTATTGCCAGGCAAGATCTTTCATCCTGCCGTCAATTTGATAGAGAGTGGTTGAGTAACAAGTTATGGCATCAGTAGCTAGCTTTACGTGTGGGTCTTGCCTACATATATTTTTGTCTTGCTTGTTCATTTCCGCGTACAGTTGCTAACTTGCTACGAGAATCAAAATACAATCATTTGCTACGCCAAAAATGTAACGATAGCAGCGGTGTCACTTTCTGAATTGCATAATAGTTGCAGCAGAAAGAGAACCCAACGGCAACTTACCAACCTACCAAAAGAGTCCAACACGGCGTCAATAACCATTGAGGAGATTTGTTAAACGAAAACACATGTACAGGGAGGAAATCGACTGTGATGAGCAGCATGAAAGTTTAGCTTCCAGGGGGATTTTATTTATTTCTCACACTAATAAAAATTATATTGAATTATGTTGATGTCTGATTATTGATAACGAAAAATAGATACACATTATGGGTTGATACGGTTTTTTTATCTCATACATTTCTCAAATATACGTCAACTATCCATCACTCGATACTGATCGTCGATGCAAACTGCAAAGCAATATTTAGGAGTAAGAATATATATACTTTTTAACATTTCAACGATTAAGTCAAAAACAATAATCCTATTAATACTCTTAATCCAAACATTTGATAATTCCACAACAATTGGTATGGTTTCGTCATTAACAAAATCCATGTATGATCTAACAACAAGAGGCATATCAGGAAACAAGTAGTGTGCTACACCAAGGTTGTCAACTCGTTGGTTGACCTAATTTGACTCAAACCAGATAAAGAAAACGGTGTCACACACCCGCGTGTCAACAAGATTCTTGAGTTGGAGGTCATGCAACATTGTTTTTTCCCTTTAGTTTGCGAAATGCCCCTCTCTTTTTCCCCCTTTTCTCCTGACTTTATATTTGGAATTTCCAGTCGTACATTTGAATAGCGACATCATATGAGTGTGTTTGAATTTTCACAATATGTTGGATCCATCTATGAACTGTTATTTTGATGTAATGTTGTATATTATTACCCACATGTTAGATGAGATTTGATATAATTCATAAATATATCAACAACGTAATGATTTTTTTTTTCATATATCCATACTAAATCGAGAAAAATTGATCGGACCATTAGCCTTCCTCACTTACTTGATCGAACCAACAGGCTAAACTGGATTGAAAACTTCATCCTACACATAAATTAATTAACGTCGCAATCGGTAGCATTCACATATTAGGAAGTGGATGAAAATATACTTCCCTCCATGGAATTTAAAAGAGTTTTGAACTTACAAACTCGGCAAAATTGTTCATTATTGACTCCATCCTTGCAAATAACAGCTACGCATTGCCGGGCAAGATCTTTGATCTGCCGTCAATTTCATAGGTTAAGGGGATCGAGTAACAAGTTAATGGCACCAGTAGCTTCCGTGTTGGACTTGGCTTCATATATATCTATGTATAGTCCGGCAAATTGTCCGTTTTGTTAAAGAGTCCTGAACGTTGAATTCTTCTGTGATGAACATATGTTGGAGGGAGGAATAGGCTACAATGAGCAGTGGCGGAGGCAGGATTTGAAACTATTCCTGTCCTCTTTTCATATTATAAATATATATAAAGATTTAATGAATTTAAATTAATAATATCTAAATAATTTATTTTTATATATAAAAAATAACGACTAATACAATCGGTATATTCATAAACAACCATGATGAGTTTTCATAATCTTAAAGAAACACAAAATATACTCTTAAGTAAGTCCTTTCCAATGGATCCCACTAAACAATCATTTAGCAAACTGGTTGTGAATTCGACTTTCAGAGTTCGTTCTTGATATATCTCAAAGCTGGAAATATTTTATCTACACTTGTCGTCAAAACTAGTGGAATCGACGCTATCACTGAACTGCTTCATGATTGCTGGGAAAATAATCGAATAGGCATATAAAGAAAAAGATATATATTCCAATTGAGATTTTGTTTATAGTATAATAAATTAATTTAATGTTAACTTATAATCAAGTAATGAATTGTGATATAGTGACAAAATACGTTGTACTATGTGTCGTGTTTCATCCTTAACATAAACATATATGAAGTATTTTTGTTCCTCCCAAAATTTACCCATGTCCCGGGACAAAGCCAAACTATTTACCCATGTCCCGGGACAAAGCCAAACTAGTCTGGCTCCGCCTATGCAACAATGCAGTTAAGTATGTAACAATGATCATGTGAATACTCTTTCTGAAAATATTTACCGATTGTGAAAAGTGAAAAATGTACACTTACAAATACAATATTGTGTGAATATTTGAGTTATACCTTGTAAACTATCTAAAAACATGTGTCCAAAATATGAAAAAAATAATCTTTATTAGACTAAAAAAATCAATTAATCAATTCGTAAATAAAAAGAGATTATGTAATATCTTAAACGAATTTCACATCGACAAAGTACGAGAGAGATCCATTATTCATAAGGAACAATCCACCATTTAGTGAGCATACGCGTTTTGGAGGTGAAGTTGATGAATTCTTAAGAAAAAATGAAATTAAAAATGTGCTCAGTACTAAACAATGCAACCTTTTTTCTTTCGGTGTTGGGGCAACGACAGTGCGCATAATGTTTAGGTTGGCTTCCAGCTTCACTACTTTTTTTTTAACTCCAAAATAAATCATATGACAGCATTTCAATTTTTTTTAACTACAAAATAAATAAATAAAAAGTTGAAAAAGTCATATGAAAACCGTACCCTGGTTGTATCAAAGCAACACTTGGACACATAACATTACGTTATGCAACTAAGATTGGACTCTACTCTTGTCCATTCTACCACAAATCCATTTCTCTGACATCATCATCACCAAGTTTGACGTTTCCTGGGCACTTTTAAATTTTTGTGGGGGGTATTTCCGGTATTTTATTTGATGCCTGGGGAGCATACCTCCAAAGTCCAAACTCCAAACTGCCAAACTCTATTCTTCTTCGTCTTCATCTTCGTTTTTTTTTTTAATTGGCGAAACACTTCCCCACTATATTATTCTCTTCCTTGTTCTCAGTTCCCACACGCATGCAGACAATCAGTGGTATATTCAATAGAGAAAACTGCAATCCCAACTCATTCCTCAGAATTTCTACATGGCCGGACTTCCCCTTTGTCACTGTCATTTATCATCTCTGACGGCACTCCCAAATTCCCCCAAAAACAATCATCTCTCCCTAAATCCCTGAAACCCCTCTTTCTCCGAATTGCTCCATCAGAGTCCAATCCCTCTCTCCAGTTCATCGCCATTAATCATCAATGGCAGAGCCCCCTAAGCCGGAGCCCTCCGGGAGGCAAGACGCCGGCGCCTCCTTCGTCCTCGAATCCAAGGGTACTTAATTAATTACCAATTAACTCGTTTCTTCCTTTCTTTTAACTAATGGGTTGATTTCTCCGACCGACCGACCGACCGACGACCCTCGTTAGTAACGGCGGCGCAACCTCTCTGTTCTTGCAGGGCAGTGGTGGCACGCCGGGTACCACCTGACGACGGCGATAGTGGGCCCCACGATCCTGACGCTGCCGTACGCGTTCAGGGGGCTGGGGTGGGTCCCCGGGATCTTCAGCCTCACCGCCATGGGGGTCGTCTCCTTCTACTCCTACTACCTCATGTCGCTGGTGCTCGACTTCTGCGAGAAGGACGGCCGCCGCCACATCCGCTTCCGGGAGCTCGCCGCCGACGTTCTGGGTAAGTTGCTTTTAGCTAATTAATTTTTAATTGAGCAGTACTGCACTGAATTAGTCCAGCGAAAATCCATTCCACCGAAATAACCGGAGCTCGGCGGAACGTGTGATTAACTAATCGCCGCGATTCCCGGGGAGTCACGCTTCCGTAGTGGCCGCCGCCGGGGTTGTGGACTTGGTGGTGCAATTGCAATCTTTCCGGGCGGAAGAGATGAGGCCCTGGCTGGCAGTGGCAGAGTAGCCGGGTCGGGTTAGGCCCACTCGGTTTCCGATTTTGGGTTGGGCCCACTACTTGACGAACCTGGGAATTGTTCGTGCGAAAATTTGCAGGGGAATCTTTTTTATGGCCAATTGTAGTAAAGTAAGGTATTTTCATGGCGGACAGCTGCAACCTGATTATTCCCCCTCTTATGTTTGATTTGGCTTTACAGGGTCAGGATGGATGTTTTACTTCGTGATATCGATCCAAACCGCAATCAACACTGGGATCAGCATCGGCACCCTTCTGCTTTCAGGGGAATGCCTTCAGGTACCTTTTCTTCCCTTTTCCTTTTTTTTCCAGCTCTGTGAAACTTTCCTTTCCGCCTTTCTGTTGTTTGTGGTTGTTGTGATAATCATGACGAGAAGAAGTTGTCTCTCCCACTACATAGCCAGCAATACAGCACGCGGCCTTTAATTTGTTGAGTGCTGTTTAGTTGAAAAGGGAAATGGAATTGGATTTAGTGGTGTGGTAGATTAATGTCTAAAATTCTGAGTAATTTTGATCAACTATAATATAAGTATGGTTTTTTCAACAACTCGAATTATTGAGATTAGTTGATTTTTGACACTGGAATTGTGGGTTGTGGCTACCAATCTGACCATATCGATTGATTGGCATTTGTATAGGTTGGTACAATTAGATCATGTATATTAATCATTTCAATTGTTGAACAACATGTAATATGTGGTATGATGTTATGACATCTAATAGATGAGGTCACACATTATATAATTCAACCGCACACGTATCCAATTAACATACCGCTAAAAATCCAATTAACATGCTGGTAAAAGTTAGTCGAATTTGTCACCTTGACGAGAACAAGACTACCCATTCAACCACCAACACACACGATTTCCACCGGTTAAAATCAAATCATTAGAATAGAGAAATATAGTGGATTCTGAAAGCATCCGACTCGGCTTTCTTTGCGTTTGAAGGTTGGTGTCTGGCTACTTTTGGCGGTGGAAAGTGATCGGCCATGTCTTTGTCCAGATGTCGTTTTCTGTTCGTTTGATAAATCTGAAAGCCCGTGCGGGGAGCGATTGCCATATGCTCGGCTTAGTTTTTTTCCTTTTTAACTTGGTTCATTTGTACTGATCAAGCAAAAAGGTGGTAACTTTCTGCTCTGTTTTTAATGGTGGAACAGATCATGTACAAGGATCTATCACCCAACGGATCAATGGAGCTGTGGCAGTTCATAGCAATGGTGACGGGAGTGATGATGGTGCTGTCTCAGATGCCGTCGTTCCACTCCCTCAGGCACATCAACTTGGCCTCTTTGCTCCTCAGTTTCGGCTACACTTTCCTCGTTGTCGCCGCTTCTATCTACGCAGGTAAATCCAATCTACTTCCCTTTTTCCTCTGTTTGCAATTTGTCCCCTGTTGCAAATTTTACAGTTCTCCCTTGCTGCCATGATTCAACTCCACACACTTGCCAATTCTAGAGGCAGCATAATAAATTCCCTCCATTAACTCCAAAAAGATGGTTCACCTACACGAAATCGAGAACTGGGTCCCCTCCCTGATATCAGTCATTGATGCTCTGAAGTCGACTGAATCACCATGGTCTCTGGTAGATGACGGGTGGGACAGTGATTGTTTGACAATTAGTGTGTGAATGGGTTCATCCCTGTTGGGACGCCCTCACACTATGGTTCACACGATGTCAGTTGAGGAGCCCCATTTTTGGCTGCATTCAAGTGTTTGCTTGCAGGGATATACTTTGTCCACGTGGTCACACCATGGTTCCAAAAGAAAAACTAGCTGTTACATTCATAGTAAAGTCTAATCAACCGTCCAAATTCAAATGGTTATGCTTTCAGCTATGTCCAAACATGCACCTTCAAGGGACTATTCGTTAGAGTCTGCACCCTCGCACAGAGTCTTCAGTGCCTTCACTTCCATTTCCATCATAGCTTCCATTTTCGGGAATGGCATCTTGCCTGAGATCCAAGTAATTGAAATTTTACGCATTCCTTCTAACCCTTTCCCTTGCCACATCATATTCATCAGTTTGTTCAATTCACACACCATTTACTTCTGAAATCAGGCAACTCTGGCTCCGCCGGCCACCGGGAAGATGCTGAAAGGACTGGTGATGTGTTACAGTGTGATTCTAGTCACGTTCTACTCTGTTTCGGTCTCCGGCTACTATGTGTTTGGGAACAAATCGAGCTCCAACATCATCAACAACTTCATCCCTGATATTGGCCCTGCACTGGCCCCAACTTGGATTCTTGGTGGTGCTGTTGTTTGTGTTCTCTTCCAGCTTCTCGCCATTGGCTTGGTAATCAACTTCAAGCTCCACCGAATTCGACTGGTTGAGTTCAATTGTGACCTTAACCCACTTGAGAAATTGAAAACCATCCTTCCATTTCCTATTTCAGGTGTATTCTCAAGTGGCGTTTGAGGTGATGGAGAAGAAATCAGCTGACCCTAATCGAGGGATGTTCTCCATGAGAAACTTGATACCCAGGATCGTCCTTCGATCCCTTTACATGGGGATCTGCGGCTTGTTGGCAGCCATGCTTCCCTTCTTTGGAGACATCAATGGGATCGTGGGAGCACTAGGGTTCATCCCTCTGGATTTCATCCTCCCAATGCTTCTCTACAACATGACTTACAGGCCATCCAAATCCTCTGTCATGTATTGGATGAACATAGTGATCATGTTTGTTTTCACAGGGGTGGGACTCTTGGGGGCTTTCTCTTCTGTTAGGAAGCTTGTTCTTGATGCTGACAAGTTCAAGCTTTTCAGCAGCGACGTGGTTGATTGACGAGACTGCGTTAGTTCGGGGGCAAAATTTTAGTGTTGTGGAGGAAACTGAGAGGCATTAGGGCATATGCTTGCGGGAAGAAAGGTGTAAATAATACATGTTAGTTAGAAGAAATATGGGATTGGGGTTTAACTGCAGACGAGGAGAAAGGCATTCGTTTGACCCCGACTTTCATTATGGTGAGATGTATCTTTGTGTATCAGTCAATCAGTGCAATTGAAATACCAACGCCTTTGGGAACAGGGCCTATAATTGGGGGAAAGTTGATAAACAAAGGGATTATGGGCTTATGGCCCAGGTGCCAGATGTGGTTCATTCGTTGGGTTGGGCCTCGGTGTTCATCCGATGGTCTTCGGGGAAATTAGTCGCGTTAGGCCCAGATTATTCTCCACTTTATGGACCCAGTGGTAATGCAAAGCAAAACATTCAAAATCAGTTTGCTACATGTTAGTAAGTGTTCTTATAGTTCTGGGAGTAGAGATAGTAAGGTTGAGTTTTTCTTTTTAGGGTAAATTGTAAGCTTAGTCCTTGAAATTACTAAATTACTTTTCTACTAAAATTACTTTATTTCATTCATGGCACTAAAATTAGTTCAACGGTTCGAATTTGGTCACTCTCCTTTAGTCTCCGTTAACTTTAGCTTATGTAACAATCAACTATGATAATTGGCCATTAAATATGTGATGTGAAAATTAAAACATAATTTTAGTAATTTCAGTTACAAAACTTGCGATTCAAATCCAATTCAACGTACGCATCATTCAAAATATTTGATAAACGTACGCATCATATATTATTTTTTCGAATAATTACATTGAAATGTTATTGAGTTTTTTCCAACAAATATATCTCTATAAGACTATTAACATCCATAAATTATCCATATTGAATGATTTGTATTGTCATAAACTAATAACATTCATAAATTATTGAAATTGTTTCAGTTAGATACAAAATGACTTTTGCTCTATGAGTGCAGGTTGGATTTGGCAAATCCAAACTCAACCCATCCCACAAATTTCAAAAGCTGGTAAAACCCGCACTCGACCCCAAAATGCCCCAACACCGAGTCTACACTGCTTTGATCAGGTTGGTTGGGGTACCCGTTAATTCCGGGGTTGAGTTGTCATACCTAATTCTTAATGGAAGCTTGTTTCTTGGATCTAATTGTGTGTGTTTCTGTTAATTTTTCTCCTAACGAGGGGGTGTATCTGTCTAGTACTTAAATTAAACGGTAATGGCTACGAAGTCATATAAGGCTCAATTAATAACAACGATATGGATCAGTAGTATTGAAATAATTAATGTTTAGATCTAGTAATTGGGCTCTATTAGCAATATAATATGTCGCTTGGTTGTACTCGCAAAATGTGTGAAGATCTTCAAATCACCCATTCCTAATATGGGTTGATGAGTTTCCTGCTGAAACGTGGTTATTCATGTTAAGTTCTCTGTATCATAAATAATAATAGCGAATCAAGACAATAGGGGAAATATTATTATTTCTTACAAAATATCAATTTGCCAGGTCACAACTTTGTTGTTTGCTAATATAATATTATTGTTATTGTTATTATTAGGGAGGTCATTATATCTTTCCCTACGCTGACAGGTGCCTAATGATAATTAATAATTATTAGTTAAGAAGAAAATGAAGGAATTTATGTGTTAATTAATCAATATCTGATGATTCACATTAATGATGGACCTGGTGCCTGGTGGTGTACGCAGCAAAAGAGACAGACACACAGTTGGCAGTTAAGCAATCCAATAAAGAAGGCAACACCACCCACACAGGAAGGAAGGAAGGAAGGAAATGGGTTCTCCATCTCTTTCTATTGCCCGATTCCACGAGCAAACCTAATCACGAACATAGAAAAGGACAGTAAATCCAGGGAACTTCGAAAATCCGACCGAGCATAGATGGATCATATTATCGACGTATTGGTTTGGGTTTTGGATCCTCCATTATATTTTTGCGATGCTTTACATCAGGTTCTCATAAACGAAACTGATGTGAAGTGGAGAGCACTGCAGCGTAATTAATGCGTGTAATCAAGTTGAGTGTATTTATTATTCTATCTGTAGTTCTGTACCATCTTTTTCCCCAGTCTTTTCCACCAATAGAAAATTGAATCGTAGAAGCAGGGCCAGGGGAAGTAAAGCAATTAATGGTTCATATCAACTTGGGACGCTGAAGGATCTTCTCTCACCGGCCGGCCGGCAGCTACCCATCTCCTCTGACTCGTATATATGTAGTTCACAATAATCCACGTATTATACACTGGCAGTTAAAGAGTACTCTGGTATTTCACCCTTTTCTATCTTTGGTTTGAATACAAGTGGTAGTTGTTAATTGTGCTTACTATTCATAGAAGATATTGTACGTATAACGAAAAGCTTAGCAATTAGCAAGTTTGCAAAAGGCTCATTGTTTGTTACACATAGGTTGTGAAATAGTACTACTGATGGACTCAATATTCACCTGCTTCTTCGACTTACCTATTGAAATACTGAATTTTACTCCACTTATGGGTAGAATTTGATTAAATAATTAAATATATTATACTTTCGTATTATATATTATTATTATTATCTCTTAACTCTCATTCTTGTTTCATTCTTCCTCCCCTTTCCTTCTCACGTCACACTACCTCCCTTCCATTTATTTTGCCCACATGAGAAAGACACAGAGACCTTCCCTCCCTTTCTCCTTCTTTCTCATTCTTTCTTTAATATACCATACACATCCATGCATGTTCATGCATATAGGTTTATTCACATTCCTACAATTTTGTATACTTTCTCCTTATCTCCCAATCACTCCTTTATTTTCCATTACATACTTATACTTTCCCATATACCATAATTGGCGAGGAATATTGATGTATGACGGAGAATGTTAAGGTATATCGGAGAATATTAACGATTATAGGGGAATAATGGAGAATGCTGGTGAATGTTAACGTAAGTCGAGGATTTCAACTGCAACTTTTTTCTATAAATAGGGAGCACCCCTCCCCCTTTCTAAAAACAACAAGACACACACACACCCAACATAAGTCGCTTACGACTACTTCACACAACACAACTCACACACAATACACACTCTCTCTAATTTCTCTCTTTAAAAACATTTTCTCTCTCCTCTCAATCTCCCAAAACGTGTTAAATCTCTAAACACTCAACACACCCTCAATTTGGCGGACTAAGCCATGAAATCGTGGATAGTCTCCACCGGGCGGCACTAAATAGCCTACGACGCTCAATTACGACCGTGAGACCAAACCAGGTCTAACGTCATCGTATTTATTTTATTCCATTCAGGTTACTAATTCGAGCGTCGGAGGAGGTTCCAACCAGGACCCCCCTGGGGGGACATTTTTTTCCAGGTATTCGCACGGAGCTGGAGGTGGTTAAAGACTTTGGGAAATCAGCGCTCTCCGGACCTTAAACATATTAAAGCAGGCTGCTCTAAGCTTGGCATCAACAAGTACTGAATATCATAATTGGTGAGCGGGATCAGGTTGGAGATATAATAAAAGTATGATAATAAGTTATTAGACGATCTAAAAATGTAATAACATCATGCCGATCAAGTTAGTTATTGTTGCATAATCTAAGGTCTAATAAGGAGAAAATTCGTTCAAGAATATATATATATATATGGTGACTACTTCGGTGCACTCACAAAAATGAGTGCGTTCAATGCACCCAACTCAAAAACTAGTTTTAAGGTGTCGAATTTTGAATTTTAATTTGTAGAATTAGTGTAATATGATAATATAACATATGGTAACAACTAATTAGTGGATTACCCTAAGTCCTAGACCTCCAATTTTGAGTCACATCCCTAAACCCCAAATTGTAAACCCTAACCCTAACCCTAGACCACAAACCCTAAATCTTCCAAATTAAAGTAAATCTTCAATGAATTTTGTGCAAATTCATGTGCGTTATTGTTCATCACATCATAAGTGATGATTGACATCATTTTGACATAAATTGCATGTTTAAAATGACGGTTTTGAAGTGTGAGTGCACCGAAGACGCCACCATATATATATATATATGTGGGTCAGACTTATGCACTCCAAAAGTATACTATACTCCAGGTAATCTTAGTGAGATATCTCAATCTAGATCATGAATTAAATCGTGATTGTGATATGATACTATAACCTAACCTCTAATGAATAAATCCCGGGCCCCAAATTCTCTAAATCCAAACCCAAAGTTCAATTTATTGAAAAATATTAATTGACCATTGAAATTGGTTGGAGTTCATAAAGAGAGATCAAACGATCATATCACATGCATTACCATATATATATATATAGAGGTGCATAAAATAACTTGGCAATGCATAATTGGCTGCATTTTTAGTGGTTTAATTATTAGCCAGGTTCCTATAATGGAGCTTATCAAGATAGCATAGAATACATATTCATTCCATAATCAGAAGATAAAATCAATATCTTTGGAGATTTGTCTTAGTCAAACACGTAGAAATATTAGGCTACGCTAATTAATTAGTTAATTGACAGATATCATAGTATCTCATGTCGTACACACATTGGACGGACGAAATTTGGTAATCAATTAATAATTAAAAATTATTTGATTGTGTCAACTTATACACAATTAAAAAAAGAGGTAACGATGATCATGTTTGCTACGAGGATTTTTCCCCCCATAATTTGTTGCATATTTTTTTTAAATCGAAATACAATGTTATATAAATTGTACAATTAGTAAATTACTCCCATGATATACACATAGGGTGAGATAGTATGACTACTCCTAAATGGTTTGGAAAAATGACACCCTTATTGATTATGAGATTTTAAGATAATGAATTTGTGTTGCATTTAATAATCTGTATGAATTAAAAACTCATATTAATTACTTTACTTTTTTTCAGTATAATGATAGTTGTACCAGTACAATGGTATCTGTTGTATCAGTGCAATGATAGTTAAAAAAGAAATATAATTATAATGAGTTTTTAATTGCCAAAGATTAAATACAACAGGAATTTAATCCCAAAAATAAATATAATTAAGAGAGTTCCAACCCTATAAAAGATTTAACAAGCTAACCGATCCATATTACTACTGAGATTTTTGACCTACCATGGGACGACAGTGCCCCAAATTAAATGCCTTCACGTCCCCAACCATTAATTAAAAAATTTCTAAATAAATCACAAAAGGCCCAAAATAATGTTATGGCCCATAAGTAAACGCCGTGTGTCTTTCCCCTTTTTCTCACCCAGTGGCAGCCGACGTTTCGAAATTACCAACCTACCCTTCCCATCCTTAAAACCCGCCCCCTCTCTCTCTCTTCGTCACTTCCCCACTAATCCCCCAATTCGTTGAATCATCCGAATTTCTCCCTTCGATCAGCCTCCGCTCTGATGGAACAGAAGAAGCCGCCCCGCCCGCAGCGACACAGCTTCAGCAATCCCGCCGTCGTCACGACGACGAAGCAGCGGCCGGTGTGGGACTGCGACAGCGCCCTCTACGACTCCTTCGAGCTCCGATCCTTCGAGAAGCAGCTCTCCTCCGCCATCAGCTCCCGGACCCTCTCCATGCCCCATTTGCCCGACCGCCGGGTCGCCCCCGACCCGACCTCCTCCGCCACGTCAGCGGCGGCGCGCCCCCCGAAGAAGAATAGTCTTAGGAATGTTATTATGATCGACAAAAACAGCGATCCCGTTTCCGAGGCGAAAAAGCGCGCCGCCAACACGACGCCGTTTAAGATCTCGAAGTCCGTTCAGAGGTTTTTCAAGTCGGTGTTTGTAAGGCCGTCGTCGAGTGGTCACAATCGGAGCGGCGATAAGGAGCGGAGGTCTAGTGGGGTCTACTTTATGTACGACAAGACCGGGGCGCTTTGCACGATCCCCGAGGGGCCGGAGAGCGGCGGCGACAATTTCGGGGTGGCGGCGGCGTCGCCGCCGGATGTTAGTTCGCTGGTGGGGAGGAGCGCGTCGGAGAGGTTCACGGCGGCGACGGCGGTTGGTATTTCATGTGCATGAATTTAGTGATTTTTTTTTTGGGGTGTTTTCAGCGGTTTCTTGTGGTAATTAAAAGGGAAAGTTGTTATTATACAGATGGTAGTTAAGACTTAAAGGAGAATGATGATATAATTAAATAATGAGAAACGTAGTTTGTATGTGTTGCAGATATTAATGTCTGCTTGTTAGTAGTTTTGTTATTTATGTATTTGTAATTATGTTTAACGGTTTAATGTGGTGTTTATTTCCCTGTTGTGAGTTTTTCATAAATATATTTTGGTAACTCTTTCATTTTGATTCGCAATATAGGATACCAATAAATACTAAAGAAATGATGGTAAACTACTCATATATAAAATATGATAAAATTCAATATTGATTGTCGGTCGCTAATATATTTTGGGTTGATGATCTTCAAGAATGACATGATATATATAATTAGAAATCAGTTAAATCTAATTTATTGTGTTGATCTCTATGGCAAACAAATATGATGTTTGGTTGAGATTCTACGTTAAGGCCAAACAAATATAATGTTTGGTCGAAAATAGGTGCTTCTTGTCTCTCTAAGTTGTGTCATTAGTAACCTTAGAAAGCAAATACTTTACCGTGATCCCAATAAGTGATTGTCCTGATTTCATCAATATTATAACTTATTTAAGTCACATCTTAAAAAGTATTACACCCGTGAATTGATTTAAAGCTTCCTTTTGTGAGTTAATAATTTAGATATCACTCGTTAATTAATTAATGTGCATGGTTATCCTCAAGCTAGCTAGGAGATGGTGGCAACTTTTTATCTCTACTCGATTCTCATAACTCTTCTATCTTTCCACTTAGGAAAAAGCAAATGGCCTAATCAACTACAGGGAGGAAAATGGCAATCGCCAACAGATAAAAATAGGAGAAGTGTGAATAAACAATATACACTCCTAAAGAGAATAATAAATTAGGAAAACTCAGATAAATAAAAGGAGGAAAAAATGATTTGTATTTAGGCAACATACACTCCTAATATAAATGAATAAAATGCTAACGCATAGTGAGTAAGTGTACTAATCACAACTATTATATTGGATCAAAATGATCATTCAGTTTTTTGTCGTCTATTTTTGTCGCATAAAAAAACTTGAAACTCGAAAGTTAACAAATCTCAATGGTATTATATCGGGCAGATGACATCCATCACGTACTCAATGCAAACTTTATGCCAACAATTGTCTTTATTAATAAGAAAAGTTGGCGGCCTTAATCCGTATTTCTCGAAGTTAAGGTCTTACTTATCTCAGTTACTTCGTCAGAATTTTCAGTTATATTGGAAGCTTTGATGGTTTTTGTACGGTAGCTCAATTGCGGGAGCAGGAATCGCCAAAGGAGAATCGCTCTAATGGATCATCATGTAGCAGTAGACGTCAATTCCTACCATGAATGAAGTGCTTGATTATTTATTTATTTTACAATATCCTCCCTCCCTGCCTTTCCGTTGGTACACGTTACAGTAATTAGTTCCACCTAAGGTCTACCGATTATTATATTTTACAGGGAAAAAAACATTTTGACTTTTTTTTTTTTTTTTTGCATTAACATGAATAATTCGTCGGTTAAAGGTAGCGGATTAATTTTAAACCTTGATTATTTTTTTGTCCAAACATTTGATCTCTTTCATCATAAAAAAAATTGTGTTAAAAAAATATAATTCACTATGATTTTGTTAGATGTATAATCTGTTGATGTAACTTGAATCGGACTATCAACCGCTATGATTGGAAGTCATGGGGGTCTCCCCACGGTGTATGAGCTCAATGTTATTTGGGTTCAGGTTATGGGCCTGGTTGTAACCGCTTTTTCTTTACCATATTTGATTAGGGTTAGCCCTAGGAGAAGAAGTAGTACTTTAAATACTTCTCATACTCCTATGTAATCTGTATCTTCTCGAAATATAGTGAAAACTGGCTCTCGCTTGCTCGTGGACTAGCTAACACACACTGTGTTAGTGAACCACGTAAATCGTGTGTAGTGTGATTTTCTATTTTCGTTGTTTCTTGCTTTGTCGAAATCTCTGATTTCCCGATCCGCAGAAAACCGTTGTGACATAATCAACTTAATCTACTCGTTTGTAGCATTGAACAGGTCTGAGTTCATCGACAAAGAATCAAACATGCCTATTTTATGAGTGGCTACTTATAATTACTGGACCTTTTTAATGGAGAAAGGATTCATGATGTCAAATTGGCAGGCAGGTAGCTAGTTCGTACAATGCCATGACAGTTTTAGGGCCCTTTAACTGCATAATAATATTTCACACATTAATAACCAACGAGTGATGTATATATGTTTTGGTCCCTGCGTCTGCGTCTGCGTCTGCATGCACTGCACATAAGACGTATCATATCATATGGCATTGGCATCTCTATGCATCCATTTCAAATTCAAACCAACTCCACCGCTCCTCCCAAGTCCCAACCATCGAAATTTAATCCTGTTTGTTTTTGAGGTTCTGATATGTAATTCTTGCTCGTAGGTCAGAATTCAATATAACTTCCTACACACGCTATGAGCACTTCTACTATGCTATATAGTATTGGTACTTTAATGTACAACTTAAAGTTGTACCATAACATTAAATGTATAAGTTTAGGTTGTACCATAAAACAATTTGTACCATTATGTTATGGTACAACTTTACAACTTGAAGTTGTACCATCACATAAAAGTACAAGTTCGAGTTGTACCATAAAAGAATTTGTACAAAAAGTATAGGTACAATCTGAAGTTTTATCATAACGTAAATGTACAATTTTAAGTTGTACCATAAAAACAAAATCCTATAGCACCAATACTATATAGCATTGTAAAATTTCTCCACACGCTATATATATGGTAGGTAGTTCGTAAATCACGGCCTTCGGATGAGAATCCGTATTTGGGGATTGAGCCCACGAAACAAAGGAGCGGGCCCATGGCCCATAAGGTACCCTTAGTGCGAGGTTCAATATTCCAGTCTGGGCGGCCGATCCGTGTGACGTAAATTTCGGAAATTTAGTTAACTCACAAGACTTGTAAGCTAGCTCGACTAGATGATTTATTGATTAACTTGTGTACTAGCTTGTTTTGGGCCCATATTTTACCTCGAATAATGTCTGGTGAATCAGATAGGCTAGCACCTTACGAGGTTGCTCGTTTGAAAACTTCTTCGATTTATTACCCACAAACATTCGTCGAGTGATCATAATTAAAATTCACGTCAGTTGAAATTTTATAAATAATGATATCCTAATTCACTCGCGCTTTTTCTCACCGATTTTGAGTAAGAAATTATCAGTGTTTAATAAATTGTATTGTATCGACGGTCCAACTAGAAAATCCGCCTACCAAAGTCTAAGTTGGTACCACTCACTTTTCCAGTAATATTTTACTATTCTTAAAGTATTTAACCAAATCAAATTAGTAAAATTTAATTTATTCGTTGACTAATTTGCAGAGTCATGTAATACATATAGTTTATTCAGTAACTTGCATTCACGGAATGTGAATCAAAACTATCCTTGTCGATTAGTTGTAAGAAGATTAGTAAACCATTGTAATGATAACTAATCTCAATCAAAATGTTATCATTATGGAGATTATGAATATTATATACCAAACGTAAAAAATTCAGTTTGAAAGTCAACTGACCAAAAGTCTTGTGGCTGCTGCATGATTTGCATCAAACAAAAAGCCATCACTCCTCTCCGCAAATTTTCCCATCCACAAGGTTCCCCTGCTTCGTCCCCTGAAACAAACAATGAAGCAAACCCATAACTCTGTTTTCCTCTCCTTTCTCCTACTCACGATCTCACTCCACTTGCCATCCCAAGCAAATGCTTCACGCAGCAGCAACATCACAGACCGACAGGCCTTGCTTGAATTCAAGCAAGCAGTCACTTACGACCCAGATGGAGCTCTCACCTCCTGGAACAGCTCCCTCCATTTCTGCAACTGGGCTGGCGTCACCTGCAGCCCAAAACAGAGAGTCACTTCTCTGATCCTCCAAGGATACAACCTCCAAGGCACCCTCTCCCCACATTTAGGCAACCTGAGCTTCGTCAGGTCCATCCAACTCATGTACAACAGCTTCCGCGGCGGGATCCCGCCGCAATTCGGCAACCTCCGCCGCCTCCGGACGCTCAATCTCACCTACAACCCACTCGGAGGCGCGATCCCGACGAACCTGACGCGCTGCTCCCTGCTCAGGGACCTCAGGATCGCCGCCGCGGGCCTCGTCGGTAAAATCCCCGACGAAATCGGGCTGCTGTCGAATCTAGAGGTGATCAAAATTGGAACCAACGATCTGACCGGCCCGATCCCGGATTCTATAGGGAATCTGTCGAGGCTTCAGATCTTCAGTGTTGCGTATAACCACCTGGAGGGACAAATTCCTGACACCGTGGCTCGGCTCTCCAGCATTAGCCAATTCGTTGTGGGAGTAAACCGACTCAACGGTACAATCCCTCTTTCTCTGTACAATTTGTCTTCCATGACGATCTTGACATTGGTTTACAATCAATTCGGAGGCCGAATTCCGCACGACATTGGGTTTACTCTCCCCAATCTTGTTTTCTACGGGAACTCCTTGAATTGGATGTTCGGCCCCATTCCTTCATCATTTTGCAACGCGTCCAAGCTGAGGGATATGAACATGAATCGGAACAGCTTGTCAGGAAGGGTTCCTGATTGTCTGGGGAGCCTCCCGAATCTCGTCTACTTCAATGCGGCGGCGAACAATCTTGGAACTAATTCCTCCGGCGATTTGGAGTTCATCACAGGGTTGAGCAATTGCAGCATGTTGCAGGAATTGGGTGTCGGGATGAACAATCTTGGTGGGTCGTTGCCCGATTCTGTGGCGAATCTGTCAGCTCGGCTTGATCAATTCGACGTTTCGATGAACCTGATCCGCGAAGAGATTCCTCGAGGGATGGAGAATCTGATCGGCTTGAATAAGTTCGATCTGTCTGAAAACTCTTTCACAGGGCGCATCCCTTCTTATTTTGGCGGGTTTCAGAATTTACAGGGTCTGTGGATGCAGGGGAACCAATTGTCCGGTGAGATCCCGTCGTCGTTGGGAAACTTGAGCCAATTGAATAGACTCGACATTTCTGATAACAGGCTCGAAGGCGTTGTTCCTCTGAGCCTCGGGAGCTGCCGTCAGCTTAACCTACTGGATGTTTCTGCCAACAAGCTCACCGGAAACTTACCGGTGGAGATTTTCCGGCTTTCTTCACTCTCGATTGGGTTAAACCTTTCTCGAAACGAGTTCATTGGCAGCATCCCAAATGAAATCGGGAATCTAACAAATGTGGAAGTTTTGGATTTATCGCACAATTTCCTGACAGGTGAAATTCCTGAAACGATTGGCAATTTCAAGAGCTTGAAAACCCTGTATTTGCAGCAGAACTCTTTGAGTGGGAGTGTTCCTCAGGCATTAGCTTCACTCAAAGCCATGGAACGTTTGGATCTTTCCCTGAACAATTTCAGCGGAGGAATTCCTCCTGGATTGCAAGATGTTCAGACTATGAAGTATTTGAATCTTTCGTTCAATAATCTGCGCGGTGAGGTCCCAACGAAAGGGATATTTGCAAATGTGAGTGGAACATTTCTGATGGGCAACCCCATGCTCTGTAATGGCGTCTCGGAGCTCCATTTTCCATATTGCCCGACGAAAGCAAGGTCCAGGCAGAAAAGAGCTGCCACTGTAAAACTGATAATGATCATTGTCTTGGTATCGACGTTTTCCTTCATTTCTATATTAGGGTTGCTGCTTCACTACAAGTCTAGGAGATCGAAGAAGAAGGCTTGTGACGAAGATTCTGCTTTAAGCCACTTTGTCAGGATTTCTTACAAAGATCTCTGCAAAGCAACCAATGGGTTCTCTGCTGAGAATTTGATCGGGTCCGGTGGATTTGGCACCATCTACAAAGGAGTACTCGAACAAATCGAGACTCCAGTAGCAATCAAAGTACTCAAAATTCAGGATAAGAGAGCTCATAAAAGCTTACTCGCCGAGTGCAATGCACTGAAGAATATTCGACACAGGAATCTGGTCAGGATCCTAACCTACTGCTCTAGCTTGGATCGTCAAGGCAATGATTTCAAGGCTCTGATCTTTGAGCTTATGCCCAATGGGAGTCTAGAAGAATGGTTGCACTCTGATCGCAACCTGAGCTTAACCCGAAGGCTTAACATCGCGGTAGATGTGGCATCCGGACTACACTATCTTCACGATCTTTGCGAGAACACAATCGTTCATTGTGACTTGAAGCCTAGCAATGTACTTCTGGATGTGGACATGGTTGCTCGTGTGGGGGATTTCGGTTTGGCGAAGATCTTGTCAACAGGTACTGCTGGTAGCTCATCCCAAAGGAAAAGCAGCACCATCGGAATTAAAGGAACGATCGGTTATGCTCCTCCAGGTAACAAAACTAATTCAAATATTGTGTTTGCACTTTCCCATTGTCTCGATTTCATATTGTATCCCGAGGATGAAGTTATTTGTTTGGTATGGATGTGCAGAGTATGGAATGGGAGTTGCGCTCTCAGAAGATGGGGATGTATATAGCTATGGCATACTCTTACTAGAGATGTTCACGGGGAGAAGACCTACGAATGAGATGTTCAAAGAGGGTGTAAATATTTGCGATTTTGTGAAAGCAGCTCTTCCTGATGCGATATTATCAATACTCGACCCCTCGATGTTTGTCCCATTACTTGGACCAAGAAATAGAGGAGTGGTAGGAAGAAATGCAATGGAAGTCGGTACTCATGGGCTTGAAATCGAAGGGATGACACTGACAGAAAGTGCAAGAGACTGTTTGGTTTCGGTACTTGAAATCGCCGTGAGTTGCTCGACAGAGCTGCCAAGAGAGCGAATGAAGATGGCTGATGTTGTCAGAAAGCTTACTTCTATACGTGATGTCTTTGTAGCATCAACTTCTATCCGAAGGCAACCTAATCCAGAACGAGGTTGACTTCAATGACCACTGTAGCATATAAACCTATCATTACTTGTTCCTTTGCTCCTCAGTCACTTTAACATGGTTGTCCATTTATTGCCATAAAATGTCATTTTCATCGCTAGTTCGACATTTGGTCATCTATCGTATGTGGTTATGTACTTCTTTGGCTAAGAAATCCATATCTGAGTAATAATACAAAGAAGACAAATTAATATGATCCCAACACAAAAACATCCTCCTAAGAATCTCGTAAAAGCATGTAAATTCAAGGCATCAAGTTCTTCATCATCAAATGAAAGTTAAAACCATTTACAATGTTCATCAACTCAAATGATGAGCTAAAGAATCAGTTGCACTTGCACCTAGCTCGGTATGTGGATGTTCTTTACTAGCATTGTACCGATTTACACCGCTAAACTCGATTAATAATTCATGAATTGTCGGTTTAACAATATAAAATCGACTGAAATGATATCTACGTAATATTCGAACCATTTACGAAATCTTGGTTTTTCATCTAGCTAGCTAGCTCGATTGATATACTTTTACCGTGTTTGGATTTTGGAAGGATCCCCGTGCCAACTACCCCCGGCCACCTCCCCCGGTGGGTGCATGTATAAAATGTATGGCTCTAGTTTCTTCCGTAACAATGCACCATACCGACACCATTCAATGCCCCATTTATCAGCGAGCTGGGGTTTTTTTTCCTTCTTTCTTTCTCGTCACTGTCCCAATTAAAGACCAAATGGACGAACATCAATCGTTTCTTCCATTCTTCCATGGATTGAATCTCAAGGGTGAATCCGTACTTCGTAGTGACGATCGAGCAACGAGAGCATTCAAACCTCAGTCCAAACCACCCAAAATCATGAGTCAAATTTCCCTCAATCACCCTCACTTCAATTTACCCGAATTGAGTAAAACTGTAAAAAAAAAACAAAAAAAAAACAACCAAACCAGTGAATTCTACTCCCTCCGCTACCTACCTCCTCCTAGTTGTTTGCATGGTTTGGCCAATAATATCCATCCACCATTATAAAGCCATCAATTTCCCCAGTCTTTTCTTTCAACCATAAACGAACAACCGTACTACTGTCTACTCAAACCAAACCAACCCCCAAAGACATTCACTTCACCACAAAATGGGCGACGTCGCCGCCGCCGCTGGGCCGGAGCTTCGAGTCGTCATGGTACCTTCCCCCGGCCACGGCCACCTCATCCCATTCGTCGAGTTAGCCAAACGCCTCCTCCACCGCCACAGCTTCTCCGTCACCATCATGGTCCCCGACAACGGCACCGGCATGAAACCCCAGCGCGACCTCCTCCAGTCCCTTCCCGCCACAATCTCCCCTCACTTCCTCCCGCCGGTCAGCCTCTCCGATGTCCCCGCCGACGCCAACGTCATCACCCGCGTCACCCTCACCATGATCCGCTCCCTCCCTGCCATCCGCACATCCTTGAAGACCCTGCTAACTCCGTCGGCCGCCGGCGGTGGCCGGGTGGTGGCCGTCGTCGTCGATTTCCTCAGCGCCCACGCCCTCCACGTGGCGGCGGAACTCGGCGTACCTCCTTACGTTTTCTACACGTGTGGCGCGTTCCACCTCACCCTGGGGCTGAAAGCCCCGGAGCTCGAGGAGACCTGCCCGGGCGAGCTCAGAGACCTGCCCGAGCCTCTGGAGCTGCCCGGTTGCATCCCGCTCAGTGGACGGGACCTGCCCGAACCTTTTCTCGACAAGAAGAACGATGCTTATAAGTGGATGGTCGAGGTCCACAAGGAGATCGCGACCAACGCCGTTGGAATTATGGTCAACGGGTTTGTTGACTTGGAGAGTGGAATTTTCAAAGCTCTGGCCGAGGAGCGTGGTCGGACCGGATCCGGCCCATTGATCTATCCCATCGGCCCGGTACCACGGCTCGAGTCGGATGACCCGACCGAGATGGGGACCGTCTCGATCGAGTGTCTCAAGTGGTTGGATAAGCAGCCAGAGGATTCCGTCCTGTTCATCTCGTTCGGGAGCGGAGGGAAGCTCTCCAAGGTGCAACAAGACGAGATAGCGTTCGGGCTAGAGATGAGCGGGAAGAGGTTCATCTGGGTGGTTAAACCGCCCGGGGATTACATGATCGAGAAATCGATCGAGTCATCGAACAATCCTTCGAGTTACTTACCGGATGGGTTTCTGGAGCGGACCAAAGGGGTCGGCTTGGTGATTCCCGGGTGGGCTCCTCAGGTTCGGATCCTGGGCCACGGTTCGACCGGTGGGTTCATGAGCCACTGCGGGTGGAACTCGAGCCTGGAGAGCATTGTGAACGGGGTGCCGATCATCGCGTGGCCGAACCACGCGGAGCAGCGGATGAATGCGGCGTTCTTGGCAGGGGATGCGAAGATTGCCCTGAGGATGGATACGAGCGAAAAGAATGGAATCGTGGGGAGAGAAGACATTGCTGGATTCGTTAAGGCTGTGTTGGATGGGGAAGAAGGGAAGCTGCTTAGGAGCAATGTGAAGGAGCTGAAGGCTGCTGCTGCGAATGCCATTGGAAGCGACGGGTCGTCCACCAAATCGCTGGATGAAGTGGCGAAGTTGTGGATGAAGCAGAGTTAGAACAGAACAGAGTGATTGAAATTATTCCCGGTTTGTGATTTGAATTAATAAATGTTGTTGAGCTTGATTAATTTGAGATTGGTGGGTTTTGCATGTTTTGTTTTGTGGGATTAATAGTTTGGGATTTTGGTGATTGGATAAATGATGGAATACTTTGGGATTTGGTTAGATTAATGATTGGATTAATAAGTGAGATTAATTAATGAGGATTGGAAAAGACCAAAAACATGTTTGATTCATTTGATTTGATTCGGTCCGATTCATTTTTTTTCTTCTTAAAACAATTTATAAAATAAAAATCGAATCAAATTCTATTCAATTTCTCTTTGTTCCAAATATCGGTTCGGTTCAGTGTAAATCGGATTGTTACACACCCTACTTGTGGTGCATATGAATGGGACTTGTACAATTCCTCGTCGCAAGTTTTGTCGCCGTTAGCTAAAGCATACGTGTCAGCTTTGTGGGCTTACAGACTAATTTGATTGTGTAGATTCCAACCTAAGGATAGTTCAGAATTCAAGCGGGCCAGTCTCTACCTAATGAGCCCATATTAAAAGCCCACAGACCATATGGGCCTCTTAAAATTCCGGCCCTAGTAAATGTCGACGTTTAGTCTAGAGCTCCGCAACTGAGGAAAACCTGGCGGGAGAAATCAGTACTCAGCAGTCAGCACAGCAGCTTCACTCAGCGAGACGAGCTCAGTCACTTTGCAATCTAAGTTACTTACGAACATGGAGAAATCACTGACAACGCTTGAGAACGGCACGACATGCTCCTCCTGGAACTACTCCGGCCAGCGAATTGCCACCGGCTCCGTTGACGGGACGCTTTCCATCTTCGATTCCGGCGACCCTGCTTCCACCTCCTTCAAATGCACCTCTAAAGCTAGGGTTAGTAAATTAGTGTTTCCAGCGAGCTCGTAATCGCCTCTATCCAATTTCCGATTGGTGCCATTTCGTTTCTCGTGCTAATTGAACTTTGGATTAGGTTAGTGAGAGTGGTGTTGTGAAGGTAGTATGGATTCCGCCGGTATTTGGCGATGCAGTGGCTTGCATTGACGGGAACGGAAGCTTGTCTCTGTGGGAAGATTTGGCTGAAGGTTTTACCTCGCACTGGACTGCTTTTTTCACTGTTTAAAAGTAGATAATAGAGAGTGTTAGCTATGGTTGTTGATGGTGCTTTTTTGGGGATTTATTCGTGTAGATGCTCAAGCTGTTGAATGGAAGCACTGCAAAAGCTTCCAGAGCAACTCTGCTAAAGTGTTGGACGTTCAATTTGGAGTTTTCCGGACAATTTTAAAGATGGTGAATTCGTGTGATTCTTTCGCTTTTCGTTGTTGCATTAATGGTTAACAATATGTTCAATTGGTAATTCTCTTTGTTTATAGCTCGCAGGTTGTTGCATATTCAGATGGTCAAGTGAAAGTGTACGAGCTCTCAAACCCATTAGAGTTAAAGAACTGGCAGCTTCAGGTTTATATGTTCGATTATGTTACTTTTTGTGTTATAGTAGTCAGAAGACCGGGTATGGTCTATCTTTGCCCTTTTGTCCTCCTAATGTACTTCTATTTTCCAATGCATCAGGCTGAGTTTCAGAATTTGACTGATTCCGTAGCTAAATCGGCCAAGGCTTCATGCTTCTCTGCTTCCATCTCTTGGAATCCACAAAGGGGTGGTGGCCAGGAGCTCAGATTTGTATTGGGCTTCAATTCGGATACACCGCAACTCAACTCCTCTAAGGTTGTAGGAATCTCAATCTAAGTTATTGTCTTTCTTTTTGTTGCTATTGGGAGGCCAATGTGAACATCAACTTGTCTTGGATCGTCGAACTGTATATGTTAATCATATATAAAGAAAAGAAGATGAAATTAAATGATTGAAATTCCTAGGAAGTGATAGGAATGCAAAACAAAGTGGAGTAAAAAGACCGACCTTGTTGTTTGAGATCCTTAGAAAGTGAAACAAATTCTGAAATGAAAGTTTCAGTTCGTTTGATTGGGTGATATTTGCAATAGCATGCTATTAGACAGATGATATCATTTTTGCGTTGACAATGTTGATGAATTTGAGTGCATTAGAAATTGCACATGCAATCTTCAATATTTGAGAGGTAGGAAGTAGTTGCAAATGCAATCTAGAATAGTCAGTCGGGTATTATCTTTTCACCTGTCTGAGTTATTGGCACGATGAGTCATAAGCTTCTCTTGCCAGCATCCTGTCTTCTTCAGATAAGGAAATTACTACCTTCTGGGAAGATGGTTTTCGTTCACACATGTTTGAGATGGTTCATGTCCACAGTAATTCATGATTGGTCAGTATTCATCTGGCTGATAAGATGCTGACAGGTGTGGGAGTTCGATCTAGACCACCAACGATGGGTCCCTGTGGGCGAGCTGGCTTTACCTGAAGACAGAAAAGATCAGGTTTTCTCCGTTGCATGGGCACCGAACATTGGCAGGTGATTGCTTGAACATCTGAAATGCCAGAACGTTTTAACTTTTTTTTCTTAAGGTTGTATGCATTAAACCAAATCTTCCTATTTTTGTAAGGCCATATGAGGTCATTGCTGTTGCTACTCACAAGGGAATTGCCTTATGGCACCTGGGATCCAACCCCGACGTCCAAGGCAGACTTGCAGTGGAGAGGGTTGCATTACTCTCTGGCTACGAGGCAGGGTACGATCCAACCAACACGGTTTAAACTATAATCTACGATCGCAAATACTTCCCCGTCTCGCCTGTTCTTGCTGAAACTTATGTGAATGTTTATTTACCTATTCAGGTTTGGCAAATGGAATGGGATATGAGTGGGATGACTCTAGCAACCACAGGGAGTGATGGAATGGTGAGACTCTGGCAGTCCAACTTGAACGGCGTCTGGCATGAACAAGCCGCATTTGAGCCCACTACCTAGCTCCTGCCTCTTGGCATCATCTGCACTATATATTCCTTTTTGGAGTCCTACCCTGCTCTATCTTCTCTCACAGGCTTTTGAATGGGTCATTGCTCTGAAACATGAACATTCCTTTTGTATCTTGGTGCTTATTATTAAAAAGGGAGAAAGATGTCTTAGTTGGTTTCTTCTTTCACATTGTTTGACCCTTTCAATCGCGGGAAAAAGTCTTCATCTTGTCTTTTACATTGCTTATTACCAGGTAAAACTAGTTGAAGAGTGGCTTCAGCTAGGAGAATGTTTTCAACGACAAAATGTTGAAGCTGACTCTCGGCTGAAAGAACGACACTGGGCAGGCAGTAGCTCTCTAGTGTTTGTATCTTTCGCGTGTATTCGTTGTCAATTTTGAGATCAACTAAACCTTTGTCGATTTCTGAAATCTCTTTTTCACCCAACCTTTTTCGGAAAGCTCATTACACGATCTACGAAGAAGACAACCTTATGAAAATTGAAAATGCATAGTTTCATTCGAAAGTTGTTCGTGGGCACGTTCGAGGCTGTTCCATTTTTTAGAGAACTAGTCTTTACTCGTTTGTCAGCTACAGTCGGTTGCCGAAACTCTGGTTGATCTCTCGAGTTTATTAATTAATTTTGTTAAGTGGTATAATATGTATATTGGAGCTTTTCCCCCCCATAATTCTGATTAATTGATTCTTATATATATAGTTTGTGAATTTGTTTTCATAAACTATTATTGTGTTCGAATTTCCAAAAATATTAACATATCGAGTTAAACACAAGGTATAGTAGGTGTGTACAAACTTCAAATTCATATCAATTGAGAGAATAATATAAGATGCATTACAAAATCTCTTTAACAATTCGAGTTATTCGAACAAACTAAACATAAGTAGTAGATAGACATTATAAGTCCACTCATTCTTTGTAACAACAATTTGACTATAACTGTTGGTGAAGTTATCTTGATCTCAGTGTGTAATTGACAACCAAAAGATGCAACATTAAACTTTACATAAAGATGTAGTGGTAAAACAACTAGTGTTGAACTTAGAGGTTTCGGGTTCAAATCTTTTTAGTACCACCTACATATAAAAATCAATTTATGTCATATTTATCTAAATTTCTTTTTACATAAAGATCAGATTTCATATGGTACCGTATAAATTAGAGAACTAGGATAACTGCATGATTTTTAAGTGATTCAATAATACAAATGACATCTATTACGAGTTTTTTTCACTCAAGATCACGTATTCATATTAGTAATAGTCTTTTTTGATACACTTGGGATGGATATGATGAAAAACATAACATGAATATGTGGTGTCAATTGGCTGCAAGATTATATTACAAAATTTAATCAGTAAACAACACTCCTTGATTGAAACAAACAAGATTATATCACAAACATAAACCCTACATTGATGGTAAAGAATAAGTCACTGCGATAAACCAAGAATTGGTGCATGCAGAATTTCCACTGTAATTATTTTGTCTCCATATCGTAAAATAAATAAATAAAAGGAATTATATTGTCTCCGCATAACTAACAGAATGTTTAAGTCCCGACCAAAAAAAAAAAAAAAACAGAATGTTTAAGCTTTCCATAAAACAAAAGGCAAGATAGAGAAAAACCGAATTTTTAAGCCAACCAACCTCTGCTTCTTCTTTTTAACTGTAAAAAAAAACCCCTCTGTTTCTTCTCCTTCCTGTATAAATAGCACTGCCCTCCGAACCTCCATTTCACCAATTTCTACAGTAACACTTCCCCCTCACTTTGCCTCATCAACAACAATGGAGAAATCTCAAACCAAAGTCTGCGTCACCGGAGGCTCTGGCTTCATCGGCTCCTACCTCGTCAAGAAACTGCTGGAAAAGGGCTACACCGTCCACGCCACCCTCCGCAACCTCGGTCCGTTCAAATCCTCCGACGGGATTAGTTTCACTTATCTCAATCAATTACAGAAGATATTATTATATCGGATTAATTAAATTCGTGCCAAAAAAAATTTCACCTTGGGTTGCAGAGGACAAGGCGAAAGTGGGTCTCCTCACTTCCCTCCCCAACGCCGAAACCAATTTGGTCCTTTTCAAAGCCGACATCTACAACCCGCACCAGTTCCAAGCCGCCATTAATGGGTGCGAGTTCGTTTTCCACGTCGCCTACCCTCTCCAGCACAGCCGCAACAGCACCACGGTCTGTGCTCTGTTTTTTTTTTTTTTTTTTTTATCTGCACTCTGTTTCCCCCCCCCCCCCCCCCCCCCCCCCCCGCGAAATTGAAAGTTTGTTGAAGTTATTGTATCTGAAATTCGAGTGCAGTACAAGGACAGGATGGAAGCCATGGCTGCCGGGTCGAAGAGCATAGCGGAAAGCTGCATCAAGTCGGGGACAGTGAAGCGGCTGATATACACCGCCTCTGTCATGGCGGCTTCCCCCCGGTTTCAGGACGGGATTGGTTACGGCGCCACCATTGATGAATCGTGCTGGACTCCTCTTAACCTCTCTTTCAATTACAGCGATACTTTCACTTTGGTACGTACCTTAATAATTTCCTTGCATCCCTGTCCTTTAATTACAAAAAAACGGTTCATATGACCATGTATCACACCTTCACCCGAAAATTTTGTTAAATACCCCTAATTCATCGGTACTAAAATTTTGATTTTGGGATTTCCTTCACACCTCTCTGATCATTGTATCCGACACAACTCCATTGTGTTTATGGAAATTTATTGTCATAAGTTATCAAAATATATAAATATAAGTTCAGGCTAGCGTACGTCCGACCACCGTATGCCTATTGAATTTTGCTATTTAGATAAATAATTAACCGGACTTTGGGGCATGATCCTATATCCTAACCTCTAATGGGTGAACCCCAATCCCTAATTTTCTAACCCAAATTGCAAAATTTGGTCAATCTTAAAATGAAACTCAACAATAATTTCGACGAATCATAATCATTGATTTTCATTTCAAGATTAAATGAATCTTATGTCAGGTTAGTGAATTGGGGATTGCGGTTCACACATTGGGGGTTAGAGTATAATATCATTGTTTATAAATGATTGTTTAGTTGTGTATAATGAAAAACATTTGCTTTTCAGCATAAGTGATGAATGTATTTTAGAGACATTTCAGCATATGAAAAGTCGTCGTGATTCGTTGTAAAATGACATTGTGAACTTCGTAAATTAATTTCTTTTAATTTCTACTTAATTTTTTTTGTTTAATTATTATTCTATGTTAGCGGCGACACACCTCTCCAACAATTCTAGGTCCACCACTGGCAATAAATGACAAGGTTTAAGGATACAGATGCTAGAAATCTGAAAACAGAGGACCACTGGTCCACTAGCCATGTAAAATGTGGCAACAATTTTTATTTTGTGAGCATGAGGACCAATTAGTTCATGGTTTATATGTCTTTTAAAATCAACGAAAGCATTTTATTTCTCTGGTTTTCTATTTGACTGATTTGTTATAACTTATAAATCGATTAGTTCTAGTAACTCCTGAAATATTTTGTCTTGTCTCATTTTTTCTATTTGATAAGTTTGTAAAAAATTGATTGGTTTCAATACCTCGATCTTTTTAGAAAATATTAATTATAAATCCTATATCATTCTTGTGCACTCGCACGCCTCAAATGAAAATCAATTACTTGAGTTTGAAAATTTTCATATGTCCACTATATCTTGTGGTTAAATCAGCTGTTATATTAGGATTATAGATTCAAACATACGATTATTTAATCAAAGCCAATTTTGAGATCATATCATAAATTATTATTTTCTGTTGGGAAATGAAGGAATATACGAGGGGAAAGACAATAGCGGAGAAAGAGGTACTGAAGTACAACGAGGCCGGCGGCGGCGGGAAGCTGGAAGTGGTGAGCCTGGCGACGGGATTGGTCGGAGGCGAGACGATCCTCTCGCACGTGCCGATGAGCGTGGAGGTCATAATCTCTCCAGCCACCGGAAACGTGTTTGGTTACAACCACGGGCTGATGTTGATACAGGAGATTCTGGGATCTGTGCCGCTGGTCCACGTGGAAGACGTCTGCGAGGCCCTGGTTTTCTGCATGGAGGAGAAGAAGGCAAGTGGCGGCAGGTTCCTGTGCGCAGCTGGCAGCCCGAGCGTCAGGGAAATCGCCACGTATATCCAGTACCACCATCCCGAGTGCCACGTGGATGACACGTACGTAATAAGAAAATGAATATTTGTCTGTTTGTTTTGTTTGTGTAAAACGGCAAGCTAACTTGAGTCGTTTTGGGCAGGCTGATGGGGGAAGTTGGGAAGGGAATCAAGTTGGACAACTCGAAGCTGATGAAGATGGGGTTTAGGTACAATTATGATGCAAAAGCTGTTATCGAGGACAGCTTGGAGTGTGCCAAACGCCTTGGTGCTCTTCCTGACCATTGATTTCGGGTGTGGAAACCCTAGTTTCTCTTTTCTTTTGCCATGCAAGTGTTATATATGTTCCATCTAATATATGTAATCTTGTGGTCTTATAATGATATATACGAATTTCTTCTTTAATTATACATGCTAATTGCTAGCTGTATGTTTGGTAAACGATCATGTTCTTAGTAGCAATATTGACTGGGATTTGTGATATCGTACCTTTCCGGTACGTGGTTGAACTATAAAACGGTCCATGACTGTAGCCAAGCCAATATGTACAAAAAAGTTTGTATCAGATTGATATATGTGGCAAAACTCCTTACTAACTATGTATCACCAACATGATTGACAATGAATTATATGGTTGACTTGATGTGATAATTCTTCTCCATCGTTAGGGTTTCACAAATAGGGATACTAAATTGTATCAATTGAACATTGGTTAATTAAATCAGATATGGAATAAATTAAAGCCCAACCCTTACCCGCTAAATTTTTCGGAATATATAAAGGCCCAATTCATTAAAAAAAGGCCGAAAATAAGAGGCCCAAAAACCCCGTTTTTTTTTTTGGTCGGACCCAAAAACCCCGTTCTGTTAAACCGTTGGTGCTAAACAATTTCAGTTCGACGTGGGAACCCAGCTTCTCTGCATAAACCTCTGCTTCCAAAATCTAATCCGCCGAGGCGAGCACAAGTCCTTAATCATGGATGCCGGATGTCGGCAATCGCGATTTAGACTACCCACTTCTCCGCTCCAAGTTTCCGTTGCGGCGGGTTCTCCACTTGTACGCCCAATTCACGGCCAAGAACCCTGGAGACCGGGCAATGATTCCAGGTGTTGCAGAGGGATTAAAATGGCTGGTCGCAGAGGAGAAAGGATCGTGTGTAACGGATGGTTCCTGCCTGTGGATGCATGGGCGCCAACCATTGATTCACAGAGCATTGCCCCTCAGCTCTTCGCACTCTCTTTGTTCCCTTACATTGGCTTCTTGTACTTCATCACCAAATCCAAGACTGCTCCAGGCCTCACCCTCTTCGGATTCTACTTCTTGCTCGCCTTTGTGGGCGCTACAAGTTAGTTCTATAAATACAACTGTTTTTACTTCTTCGATTTCATTTTAAGCACTTATGGTTGATTTTAGGAATAATATCTGATTCACATTCTGGGGTTGTTCACGGTTTCTTAGCTGTGCAAATACAGATCAAACAACCATGTTGAGAATGAAGTGATTGGATGAGGAAAAAAGAGCAGATTTTTATTTAGTTGGGTACTAATGTTTAACCCAACACTGATGGTTTTCTCTCTCTTCCTTTTGTTCCTTCATGGATTCTGAATGATGGATGATTGCGCAGTTCCAGCTGGAATTTATGGTAACCTTTCACTTTCTCTCATTCAATTCAATTGGTTGTTTACTTGTGTATGATGCCTAATCTCTAGCTAATGTCCGGATAATCAATGCTGGTTTGTTTGAGACAGCGAAAGTGCAGTATGGAACTTCATTGTCTAATGTGGATTGGTTGCATGGTGGAGCTGAATCGCTTCTCACATTAACAAACATATTCATCGTCCTGGGCTTGAGGCAAGCCCTTAGGAAAGGGAACGAATCAGATAAGGGCGATTGAAGTCCTGGTTCATTGATCAAAGAGGAAAACAGGACCTTTGACTAGCAGCTTGATGCATGTATTTGCTCTTCTTGTGCATGCTTTACTACAATTATTGCAATGGCACATCACCAGATTAGCATTGCTTAGTTTGGAGGTACCAAGAATGTCCATATATGATCGAAATTAAGAGTATCTGTTCATCTGCTACCTACTGTACTGCTCAAGCATTAAAGAAATTTACTGCCATTGGGTATGTTGTATATCTCTCTTCTTGGCACCTCTAAAAGTGGTTTCTTTTTACTACATATGCTCTCAGATTGAAGGTGAAGGCTAAGATTCTTGTCTTGGTTCTAATCCCATCTGCTGGTGGAGCTTGTAACATCTAAGCTATGAAAGGCTTCTTCAGTCATGTTATTACACAGTACTTGTGATTCAACACTAGCCAATTACTGCTGTTATTGCTAAATAAAAACTCAGCTTCAAGAGTCATGGCTAGTCTGCTTTGCACACACTTTTTTTTCTCCCTGTCTTTATGTCACAATCTAACGATCAACCTGCAACTAAATTTGTGTTCATTTTTATCGTCCCTGAATGAACATACTAAGAGAGTCAAGAGAAAAATCCCGGAGCATACGAGAAGTTTGGAACCAGTTCGAATGACTCAAGATGGAAATCCAAGTCCAGCATTGGAGAACTGGTAGCTGAAGTCTGAGCTGAGAGTATCTCAGCCAAATCTGAATCTGAATGCTGAAAAGTACGTGTCCCTCCAAAGCTGTTCACAAATGGAGAAACATGATTGTAGTTTGGCTCTGGTGTTGCTGGTGAGAGAAACGACTGGGAGAAGTTGCTGTTTTGGCATTCATATGTGGATGGAAAAGTGAAAGGCACTGTCTCTCTCTTGGCCAAATCCTGAGTATCAACTTTCAGACCCTTCTGAAGGTTAAGCAAAGCCTCCCCAGGCGGTGGCTGCTGTTGATTGCTGCTGCTGAAGTTGTGCTTGATCTGTTCTTGCTTCTCTGGAGATGCTGGTGGTGGTGCTACAACTGTTTGCTGGTGGCCAAAGGAACAACTGTGTGTTCCCCTATATGTGACCTCAAAGATGGTAGGATCTTCATCTGATCTCTGCACTTGCTTTATAGCCCAGCAGTTTTGTGTGTTCCTGTATGTGCACCTATAATAGCTTCTGCGAAGACCAAGCAAAACTCTTATAAGTTTTCACCCCTTTTTGTTTTAGTCTTTTGGTGAATGTTAAACGATGATTCCTCTTTTACCTTTTTCCGAAAGGATTTTAGATGGGTATTGAACATTTTAACATTTGACTTTTCAAAAAGGAAGAGGGTTGACAGGTTAGAGTTTAGACCCAATATAGACCACTTGATAGGTTTTAATTACATAAATGATCACCTTGTTGTAAACAATGATAACATACACTAACAAATGGAAATGACTCCCCATCCTTTTGGGTTATTCGGGTAATAGAATTAGGCGATTTGGGTAAGGGTTGAAATTTGATTGGGATTTAATATCAACTTGGTAGACAATTCGTGTCGTGCGTAATCTTGATTTGAGTAACATGACAAACTAACGTATTCAATCTGTCAAAGTGAAGTGACTGCTTAGTTAATAATCTTTGAACCGAAGTTGCTAATTAATCCGTTCTCTTTTCTACTCCTATTGCCGTTGGTTTGTTTGTTGTGCCTTGCTTGTGTGGAGCTAACACAAGCCAACCGTGTGTCTTGTTTGTCAACTCCAGTACAATGGAAAAGGTAGTTTTTGTTAGTTTTAATAGGGCAACCTTTTGGGAAGTTGCAGATATAGAGTCCGTACACAGTAGAAAGTATACCTGGGATATTTGGCTCCTAGAATATCTTTCTGGCCATACTTCCTCCAGCTATAGCCGTCATCAATTGGACCTTCCAATCCATTCTCAGAGTTCACTCTAACTTGATCTGTCCATCTGGGCATTGTCTTTCTGCAGGGAAACACCAAACACTATTAGCCACCAACAAACATTCAGCTTCTGCAGAACTTTAAAAAATAGAAGAAGCAAGGAACTCACCTCTTCTTGGAGACATCAATGTGGGCTTGATTATCCTTGATTCCATCAAAATCCTCGCTCCTAGGACTTCCATTCCTAGACAATGGAGATTCAGGAATCCCAGAACCAGAACCAGAACCAGTAGCTGCAGTGCCTACTGTTGCAGTAGCAGCAGCAGCTTGCGGAGGCTGCTGTCCAACTGGTCCACTCCAATTCAGAATCAGCAGAGCCTTCTCATAAGAAGACAAGATCCTCTGCACTAAACTCTCTGCATTCTCAACTGAAGGTGTCCCCTTGAGATGAAAGCTCAGCACTCTTGCAACTTCCATCCCTTGGATTAGCTCATTCACCAGTGCTCTCTGCTCCCAGCTCCACCCTCCTCCCTCCATCGATCTTTTTTTCCCCCGGCAACCCAATTTCTTACGAACCAGGCAATCTCCAACAGAAACAAATAAACAAGCAGCAGCTTGAGCAGCCTTCGAGCATAATCTAGAGTTCAGCCACTTGGTTCATCGGAAGGCAAAGCTTCAAGCTTTTTCAGAATGCTGTTGTCAGAGAATTGGGATGACCAGAGTTGGTAATACGATTCAGGAAGAGTGCCCAATACCATGGAAGTAACTTGAGTGAGAAGTAAGAACCAGAAAACAGCAATGGGTAGCAGAAAGTTTGAATCTTTTTTTGTTTCTGCTTGGTGGGTTTGGGAGATGAGAAGGGATCCATGAGCTATATATATACACATGGGGTTATTGTTGGAAGTTTGAATATTTGACTGTGGAGAGAAACCGAGTTATTTTATTCAATTCTCGGACTAGTCTTTGATAACCCAGAAGGGGATATTGAAGAACTTGTCTGAGTGTGTATGTGGTAGTGGTAGTGGTAGAGGAGAGAGATTTGGAGGATTTGGAAGGTCCAAAGTGAAAGAAGTGCTGACCAATTCAAAACCCTTGCAGCACTTCAAGATTGGAAAACATTGGAGTCTTCTTCCTTTTGATTCCATTGGTTTTTCTGGTTGGTTTCCTTATTTGTTAGTTGGGAGGGTGAATGAATGATTGAAGCTTGGACTTGAAAGGTAGATAAGGACTAAATAGAGTAGTAAAGGGGAGAAAGAAAAGTGGGGTTTATGAGAAAATTCAAACCAAGATTACGCGTTGGCATAGTTTTATAGTTTATGTGGGTGTGATTGGGATTACAATCACATGGGTTTTTTGTGGATTAAGAATTGATCAACTGCTCTAATCTTTTGTTTGCTTCTAACAAACTTCAGTCTTTGTAGTTGATGAACTCAGTGGTTCTCAATGCTTTATTGGGAAACTGAGTTTTTAGATTAACTACGATGGGCTAACAATAGCAATAAATAAAGATATTAGGCATTAGCCCACTTATTCCGATTGGAGAAAACTAACATTTTGTTTAATAAAAATGAGACAATTTGGTTAATTATCTCATTTTATGAAATGAATTAATTCGTATTATCTGTCTCACTTCCAAACAATTAGAATTTACTCAAAACATATCAATTCAAAATTTCTTAGCTCAATTTAGTACAATTATTTCAAAAAGAGACCATTAGGTCAAATTAATTCATTACAGTTTCTTATCCAAACAACCCCTATATATAGCAAATTTTATTTAGCAAGTAGGATGTGCTAACAATAGCAATAAATAATGATATTAGGCATTAGCCCACTTGCCTATTCTGATTGGAGAAAACTAATATTCTTATGTGTTAATTAAAAATGAGACGATTTGGTTAACTATCTCATTTTATGAAATAAGTCAATTCGTATTATCTTTCTCACTTCCAAACAATTAGAATCTATTCGAAACATCTAAAAAAAAGAATTTACTCAAAACATATAAATTCAAAATTTCTTAACCCAAATTGTTTCATTCAAAAATTTTGTTCACCAACGAGTCAATTTGATACAATTATTTTCAAAAGAGACCATTAGGTCAAATTAATTCATTACAGTTTCTTATCCAAACAACCCCTATATATAGCAAGTTTTATTTAGCAAGTAGGATGTGCTAACAATAGCAATAAATAATGATATTAGGCATTAGCCCACTTGCCTATTCTGATTGGAGAAAACTAATATTCTTATGTGTTAATTAAAAATGAGACGATTTGGTTAACTATCTCATTTTATGAAATAAGTCAATTCGTATTATCTTTCTCACTTTCAAACAATTAGAATCTATTCGAAACATCTAAAAAAAAGAATTTACTCAAAACATATAAATTCAAAATTTCTTAACCCAAATTGTTTCATTCAAAAATTTTGTTCACATACGAGTCAATTTGATACAATTATTTTCAAAAGAGACCATTTGGTCAAATTAATTCATTACCGTTTCTTATCCAAACAACCCATATATGGCAAGTTTTATTTAGCATTCATTAATATATGTTTGTTTAAAGATAGTTGGAAAACTAATTCTAGGCAAGTCTTAGGTAAAATATTTTCATTGGGCATTCATCAATGTATAAAGGTGTGATTTAGAATTAAGATTGTCTGAATCTAGAAGAGTACATATCAGCCACTAATGACAAATGAGTGCGAGAGGTCAGTGGTCTTCTTCTGGAATAATTGACAGGAGAAATGGTCAAATTTCGGCCGAACCAATAAAGTCTAGGCTGGGCCAACAACCAAAGTGGCCCACTTAAGGTTAGACCCGGAGGACACAAATTGCTTAGCGGGCCTGAACTGATCCTAGAACTCCATAGACAAGGAGATCAATGTGCTGCAACAAAATAGACAAATCTATTAATGAATAATGGATTGTGCTCAAGAACAAATTAAGGTAACAATTCTCACTAATTTCCATCTTCCATTAATATATGGTAGAGTTTTGTATACTTTTCTCCATTTCAAATTTCCTGCAACGAGAGTGAAAGTAGGAAGGTCATTTTTGTCTTTACACATTTATTATTATTTCATACAAAAATAGCAATATCAAGGTTTGAACCCGGGTCTCTTCAAACAAAGATAACAATCACAACCAGTTACACTAAACAAATTTATTGCATTCTTTTTGATAAAAAAAAATAGACAAAGTTAATCTCTGAAAATCAGAGGACTTTTTATCATAATTAGCAAGCTCACTAAGTCTACCGTATTTATTTTTATCGAGCTTGACACTTCTATTTTCATAGTAGAGTTTCATGTAATTTTCTCAATTTTAAATTCTTGCTCTCTCCTTAATTTTTGCTAAAGGTAAATGGGTAATTGGCCAACATGGAAGAAACTAATTATGTAACTACTGTTGTATCCTTGCATTTTTCAATTTAAATTTAAATTTTGTGTTTTTTTTATCTTTGTTCTTTTCTCTTTATAACTTCCTCCGTAATTTCATCCATCGTGCAATAGTTTGCGCCTTTCACTTCCCAATACAAGACTGTCATTGAAAATCAATCTTCAGGTATCTCTTGGCACTACGGTTTTATTGTTGGGGATTTTAAGCTGGGCGAGTAGAAGATTTCAACTCCGATATCAATTCATGGCGAATAGAATGGAGTTCATCAATAACTGAAGTTGTAGAAGGAAGATTAGAAATTGAATTTTTGGTTGAATATATGCCTCTTGAGATAGAAATTTGGTTGTACAACGGAGAGTGGTGGCTATTGGATCTTTATGTTTATGGTTTTTGCAACTGTCATAACCTATTTCTATCTTAAAACGAGGAATCATTGATTGATTGTTTGAAATAGGTCGCTTCTTTATTCAACCTACTGGAACTAATAGATAAGGAGTGTCTAATTTTGCGCCTTATTACTTTGATCGAGTCTATTCGTATATTGGAGATAACCCTGATTTTTTCGTTTGCTCTCAAGTTGTGATGGTCCCCTCTTAGCTGAGTTTTTACTATATAGATGACTTGAATCAACAATTCTCCATTTCTTTTTGATTAGTGACATATTGTTTCTAAAATGAGAGCATTGAACCCTTTATATAGGATTGTGAGGTTTAAGATTTAGTTTCAAACTATCTATGGGTTGTGTGAGAATTTCAGTGAGCTTTTATACTCTATATTTCTTGACTGTAAAAGAAAACTAACCAATAGCATTTTAACAGGGACTTAATTAGCATTATGAAAATGGGGTCAATGATACATTTTTATATTTTATATTCTTAAATGATTATGATATTTCTCCGAATCTTCGACCTATATATTATTTCTTTATGTATCATCTCGATCGAATGATTATCAATAAGATTAAACGGGTTAATAGACTTAAAAGTAACATAAAAATACAAATAATCAAATATGAGCATTCCGGCCAAAGGGCCGGGTTATAAGTTAGTTGTTATAATAAGCGAACTGGATTAACGGTTGGGCCGCTAGAATCGTCAAATCAGTTATGATAGCGGTCCGGTTCATTGTTTGGACGGTTATTGATGGACCAAACAATTTTTCACGGTTCAACATAAAACAAAATGAACCACCGCGGTTTAACTAGTTCACTAATTAACTATTGAGTTAATAGCATTTTGTACCCTTCTACTATGCTAAATTAACAAGCGTACCCCTCTACTAAATTTTTGCACAAAAGTTTTTAAAAATATTTTAAGGTAAACTAAAACCATCAAGCCATGATTATTTATTTTATATACGTCTTCTCATTTTTCAACCTTGTTGTCGTTTTTACGTGATTCACTACCAACTGGTACTATAATTTTTAAATTGAGTTAAAAAACTTATGATTTCTTTTTGCGAGATGGTTTCAGTGATTTATTAGATATTTTAGTGATGATATGAATTTAAAATTATTTATGATCAATGATAACTTCATTGTTAAATTAGTGTAATATACAAGTCTTGTATGTTATATATCATGAACGGTTCTATTAACGGTTTACCAACGATGCACCTGCCTTTGTACACCAGACATATATATATATATATATATATATATATGTGGTGACTTCTATCGTACACCAGCCATATATTGGGGTATGTTGTACACCAACAATCTCCACCGTCCACGTTCATCTCAACAACCAGCATTAATGTGGATTTTTTTGGAATTCAAAAATAAATTACCTCATGCTGACGGTTGAGATGTTTATATAGTTTACGAATAAAATTCATTAAAGATCAAATCTACAAATATTATTGTATTTTATTTTGTATAATAAGGGATGGACTAGAGACAAACCTGTTCCATCCCCGGGGACGCTAAACCCTAGCTTCATTTCCACGCATCGGATTCACCACTTCCACCTGTTCCTGTCCTCCATCGAAGCAGATTCCCTCTGGACAACTGGAACAAAAGCTGGAGCCCCCAACAATGGCATATTAGAAGAGATTCCATCTAGTCCGTTACCATTTTTGATGCAGTCCAACGAGCTAATAGACTAAAGAAGAAACTCCATCAACGTACAATATCAATATGGAGAGCAACAGAACAATATCTTGGAATAATGACTCCATCTTGCAGTATGGACATTCCCTCCATACTGCAAAATCAGGCATTCATTCTTTTTTACTTCTGATTCTCTCTTTCCCACCCATCTTATCAGAAACAAAGCAATGGAATCAAATAATTGAACCCATACTGCAGTACTACTTCCACACTTCCCCGCTATATAAATTAGGGCCACAGGTAGCTCTGGTTTTTGCAGCAAACCAAACCATTTCTTATAGCCTTGGATCATACAGCACCCACAAGAAACCTGTTACCATGGCTTCAATGAAATGCTACCGCCCTGCTGACCAAGATGCCTGCCACGCTAACCATCATCAGTCGCTGCAGCACCACAATTTCGGCCACCACGAGCCCCAGTACCACTCTGATGGTGGCCACCAGGTCTCTGGCAACTGCAACAGCCAGCTGAAGCATTCCCAGAGCCAAAATGGCCATGGCCATGGCATGGTCACGAGCCATCACCAGCAGAAACAATCCAGCTCCAACTTTTCAGCTTCCCATGGCCACGACCATGCTTGGGGCGCCACTGGCTTCATGGGCCACCATGACACCTCTGCTGGCCATCAGAAGCATGGTATTCATGCTTCAGCTGGCCAATTTTCTCATGCCTCGAGCCAGGGAAACCATGCCCATGCCGGCTTCAATGGTGGCCATCACAAGGCTGATAACTGTGGCCATGCTCAGGCCGGCTTCAAGAGTGGCCATGAAACCTCTGGCCATCACAAGGCTGATCACTCTGGCCATGCTCAGGCTGGCTTCAGGAGCGGCCACGAGACCGCAGGCTGGGGCCATGCTCAGTCTGGCTTCAAGAGCGGCCATGAGACCGCAGGCCATCATAATGCTGATAGCTGGGGTCATGCTCAGGCTGGCTTCAAGAGCGGCCACGAGACTGCAGGCCATCAAAAGGCTGATAGCTGTGGCCATGCTCAGGCTGGCTTCAAGAATGCTGCTGGTACTACTCACGGCCATGCCGAACAGCACGGCTCTCATGGAATGGTTGCTGCAACTGAGCATTACAAGGGGGAGAAGAAGTGCTCATCAAGTGAGACTAAGATGAAAACCAAGAGCGGTGACAAGGTCAAGAAGAATAAGAAGGACAAGAAGGACAAGAAGAACAAGAAGTGTGGGAAAGACAGCGGCAGCAGCAGCAGCAGCGACAGTGATTAATAATCTAAATCAGCTGAATGCATGGGGACTACTCTATTAAGCATCTAAGTATGCAAAGTTAAGAAGATGTTGCTTTTATTAAATAAAGGAACAAAAGTGGTGGATTGCTAGCACTAGCAGCTTAATTTCACCATTGGAATAAAGATGTTCAACTGTGGTTTGCCTGTTCAATTAAATTCCATAAAGAGCTTTAGTTAACACATGATAAGATCGAAAATGGCAGGCACATAGAGGCCTCCCCAATACTAACCACAAAATTAGCTACAGGAATGTTCAATATGACTGCAGTTACATTCCCTAACTATATATGCATCCTGATTCCCCCGGGAAATGGTCACCCAGAAACCTGCCCATGTTACTACATACATATACCAAAAGAGAGCTAGCTAGGTGGTGAAATATTTACATCGCGTTATTGTGATTTCATGTGAGTTAGGCAGCTGGAAACGAAGGAAGCAACGGTGCCAACAGCATCCATGTCAGCTTCGTGTTGAGTGGAGCCATCTTCCAGCTTTTGCTCAACCGATATCTTGAGAGAATGGTCCCCTCCATCTACGACGTGCAACCTGCTCCGGCATTTCAACTTCTGGCGAACCGATTGCAGCATATCAAATGGACAGAAAACATCGTTGCTACCCTTTTGTCCACAGTCCACAGAGGAAAACAGCAGAAATGTCAGAATATTCGATTTTAATATATACTGTTAGAGAATTTATCTTGCATGGAGTGTAGCAGGGTAGAGAAGGTACCTGTACAAACATGACTGGGACTAGAAGTTGCATCAGTGAATCATTCAGTGTGGCTCGGACTAGGCTCTGACCATATCATCGTGATGCAGAAAAGCAAACATATGTTTATGAGTTGAGTTCGTACTGAGAGTCTCCAAATAATTACAGAAACAGAAAATGAAGAAAGATGATGATGAATAAGATAGCAAACCTTAAGTGGGTACCCCAAGCATACTACTACTGAAGCTGCAACGTCCACCTCACCAGCCACCATGCAGCTCACTCTTCAACAGAACAAAAGGAAAAAAAGTTTACAAGGAAAAACACTTGTTGGAGTGGTAATCATAGTGGCCTGTTATTGGTGCTTTAGCAGTCAAGAGATTAGAATATGTAATGAAGGGTAGAGAATTTATCAACCTTGCTCCCATGGCTTTCCCAGCCAAGATTAGAGGATGTCCAGGGTACTTCTCTGTGGCCTGTTTCACAATATCCTTGTGAAACCGGACCAGTCTTTCAGCTTTTGGAGGAGCCCTCTTCTTTTCACCAATCATATCTTTCAAATACAAAAGTTAAAACTCAAATAAAATATCTGAAGTGGCAGCGGCCATACAACTGTCAACACTATATCAGTAGAAGGAATTGTAAAAGAAAAATCAACTCACAAGGATAGTCAAAGGTGATGACTTCAATAGCATCCAGAGCATTCTTGAGCATCACCTTCCACCTGAAGGAGTTAGAAATTTCATAGGCTCGTACCCCTCAACACTTTCTTTTTCTTGTCTTGGATCCCTCTATAATGCTAGATCCATAAATTGAAAAGAGAGAATGAAAATGGAGAGATTAATGAGAACCTGAACATCCAACTAGAAGAAGATGGAGCACTAGAGCCAGGGGCAAAAACAACCACAGGTGATAGTGATGAGCTAGTATTTCCTGCATCTTTGTTTTGGTGGTGATTCAATGGGAAAAGAGTTGAAGCAACTTGAATCTGCTGAACCTGACGGCCAAGAGATGCTCCTGACACAATTTATACCGACAGTTATTAAGCACAACTCCTCTACCCTTTTTGGTGCTAAATCAAAGAAGTGAAAGAGTTCCATCCATGGCAGGGAAGGTAAACTGTCTTGTTACTTTCTGTTACCTCTCAGACAACTCGAAATGAATGAAGCAATAACCCCAACAGCTTTCATTTCAACTTCGTCTTGTGTCAACTGATTGGCAAGTAGATGTCGCTTTCCAATCCTGAACGAGTGGTTGCCTCCATCAACTACATGCAACTCGTTGTAGCAATTCATCTTCTTGCGGATGGCTTCCAACTTTCCAAGTGGGCAGAACACATCTTTACTACCCTGGTTCAGGAAAGGAGGGGAAAAGCCAGACTTTGTCAAACATCAATGTAATAATTTGGATATATCCATGGCACTGAAGTTACAAGGTCTAAAGAAGCAAGCACCTGAACAAATATAATGGGGGCTTTGACTTGCATCAGTGCCTCATCATCCTCAACTGCTCCGGTCATGCCCTTGAAAAAGTTTTGGAACTATGAGAGACTAAAAGGCCATATAGCTAATATATTAATGATGGAAACCATGACTAGTTGCAGATTCACAGGCAATGGCTAACCTCAAGGGGGTAGCCCAAGCATATCACCGCTGCAACTTCAACCCCCTCCTTAGCTTCCACTAAGCAGCTTAGTCTAAAACAAACATAAACCACATGAAGTTCATGGAGCTGAATTTTCAGATAAGATAATATTGTAGACATATCCACCTTGAACCCAGAGATCTCCCAGCCAAAACCAGAGGATGTCCAGGGTATTTCCTCGCTGCCATTCTCGCACAAAAGCCATGGTAACTCGCCGCATCATATTGTCTTGAAAGTTCCCCGGAACTATCTGCACACCAAAGAAACAATTTATCTTCTAATTAAGCCCCTGTCCTAGATTTTTCATCAGGAGAAAACAAATCTCACTCTGCAATTTCGCTACACTTCCGAAGCACTTATGACTGACAAACAGCGCCAAGAAAGGGGGGGAAATGGAATCAGGGATGAAATCGACTCACAAAGTTGCTGGACGGTGATTACTTCAACAGCATCCAGAGCATCTTCCAGCATCTCCTTCCAACTGAATAACCCAAAAGCGAGAGAGAGATTCGAAGGGCTTCATTTCCATGAATCTATCTTGTCTATGGCATTGCAATAGTAGACAAAGAATTGAGAGGGAAGAGAAAGCGATCACCTGATCATCCACTCGGAAGAGACGGTACAACCAGGGCCGGGAGAGAACACAACCACCGGCGACAATCGGGCGGAAGACACGCTGTCGCTCTCGCAACGTCCACGCTTCAAGGAAAGTGAAGAAGCCATTTGATTCGGCGCTGTGCTGTGCTCTCCCTCCAACAAATGATGAACAGGCGGACGGATAGGGTTTGGCTTGAGCTATCTTTTCCGTCCTTTTTCTAAACCCTAACCAGTTGAAGTGCGTGCAGTGGTGAGATTGAGTCGTGCGGGAGAAGGAGCTCATAATCTTCCCGCCAGAACAAAGGGTTAATCGAATCCCTGGACGCAATAGGGCGACATAGTACGGCCTAAATTCCAAAATTCAAAACTTGCGCCATTTCTCTCGCGGGAATTCTCACTCAGCCGTTCCGAATTTTTAAAATATTAATACAGATTACGCTTGAATAAAATAAAATAAAAATCATCCCTTGTAAATTATGAGCGTGTCTATGCTACATTTTGAATTTTGTGTGCATATCAAAATACATCGATAATTTGTGAATGTGTAGCAAAACGTTTGTAAATTTGTAAAAAACAATTTACAAATGAATATTTATTAAAGTTTAATTGGATTACAAAATGTTTGTTAACATGTACAAAAATTATTTGCAAATTTTTAGCAAATAATTTGTAAATTTTCAAAAGAATATTGTTAATGTTTAATTGGTTTACAAAATGGAAACATCAATTTTACATAAGTGCAACCAAATGGAAACATCAATCTCAATAATAATTGCAACCAAATGGAAACATCAATTTTATATATCCATGATAACAAAATGTTGAACCTTAACTGAAAAGAGAAGTAGCGTCGAGGGCTACATAACAAGCTACCTCTAGACCAGCAGTAGAAAGATAAGAAAGAGACTCTATTCATTCATATCAAGCACTTCTAAACTCCGATTCTATGCTTCTACTGGATCGAAGTCAGATGGATGCAGAAATACTACTGGCATCGAGGAACCACACACTAACTCATGTTTTGGGGGTCGTGTCCTTTGCATTAACACAAGAAAACAACTTATCATCGAAAAGTTAATGTCATTAACATTAACAACACTAAACAGAAGTCCACTGCTCTCAGACATAAATGTAATGAAATGGAAAAATGTAAGAATCTTGCACTGAAGTTCTGAGCCAACCCGCTAATTGTTCACTTGAATTCAACTATTTGTGGTATCTATCATACCACAAGATCTGACTTTATGTGAAACTAAATGAATCCTACTCATTTAAAAGCCAAGATGAAATACTGTTTAGCTTCAGTAACGTACATTGTCAATCATAACACACTTGTTTTCTTCGTTAAGAGAGCCTTCAAGAAAGTATTGGATCACCTGGTAGGGTATACTGAAAGATTCCTTAGAGAACATCAAACTGAAGGACTTCAGTTGCTTGAAGGGTGAAGGTTGATGTTTCACCAGCTCACCAGCCCGAGCCAATATCTGAGGAACAAAACCAAGCCAGAATACATAAACAAAAGATAAGTTTTAAATTTTTGCAGAGGAACTGTTGATGTGACTTGAATCGGACTATCAGCCGCTACGACTGGTAATCGGGGGTCTCGCTGTTATTTGGGTTCGGAATCTGGGCCTGGTCTGTAACCGTTTCCTTTGCCAGATTGGATTAGGTTTAGACCCACATGGAGAAGTACTATAAATACTTCTCATACTCTTCTGTAATCTGTAATCTTCTCGATATAGTGAAACTGGCTCTCTCTCGCCCGTGGACGTAGCTAACACACATCGTGTTAGTGAACCACGTAAATCGTGTGTCGTGTTTTCGATTCTCGCTTTCGTATTCTTGCTTTGTCGATTCTGGCGATTTCCCGATCCGTAGCAGCGCGTTTATAACAGGAACATATCTATACTAAACATGGTTGAAACAAAGATAAAATGTCTTGCACAACGCACCTACACAATCATAAAATCACAATAACATTTGGAAAAGGATTATGCTCATCGTATATTGCTATTATTAAGCATCAATAGGCGACATACCTCAGTGGTATCCATATGCAAGCTAAGATATTCTGCATTACACACAACATGGAACAAGTCGACACACCGTTCGAGGATCGATTGCTTGTAACATTTCAAATGCAGTCTTGTCCAAACATGCTCGCTGCAATTCCAAGACTTTCAGAGATTGACCGCAATCACAGATCAAGGCAACAGCATCAGGTAATACACTGTACCACTCATTTTCGATAATACGAAGCAATGATAACTCTTGCACACCATGGGAGGCAGCATATTCCATAACTCCATTGAACAGAATCAAGATGAGAATTAGGATTGGCTTTCCATAATTATTCAACAGCTCAAACGTCTGAGGTGGTTTCGAATCTTGAATGAACTGTATACCTCGTTGCACTGCAAAAATTCAAGCGCAAATGGGATTATACAAAGTTCACAATCGGGATAATTACATCCACATTCCTTGCTAAGAATAGCTGATCCTGATGTTATACTTTGTTCTCTTTCCACTGGGTTGGTCTCTGTATTGTTCTTCCTTCTCTACCGATTTCCACTTAATCGGTTATGGGGAGCAACGTCAATTGGAAATAAAAGTATAGAACGAATCCCACAACTGTAATGGTCAAATGTGCAATTGCTTTAATGAAGGTTTACATCCATGTAAACATCTGATATGTTTGGACTGATCATTGTTCTTAACAGAGTTTTTAAAAAATGACTACCAACCAAAAAAATACAACCAGAGGGAGGATTCCATGATCCAACAAAAATCATTACTATCCCAATGATAAAAAAATCAATTTCAACATACTTCTTCAAAAGAAACAAGTTATCAGTCTGAATAACTAGCTTCAAACTAACAATGTGATGCAAAACAGGTTCAAGCAGTGACAACTATAAAAGGAACTCCTATTCTTCCTAAATGACCTGAAAGGGAGAAACCCACTAGCCCATTTACACACCATCATCAGAAACTTTGCAGAAGTGGCCGACTGCTAGCTAGGGGTGGATACATAGAGAATATTTGGACTTGCACATGAAGATCCTTTGAAAAAGTAATTGACGAGTTTGTAAGGCACAATCTCAGTCTTAGAATCCAGAATCAGGGACTCCAATTTCGGAAAAGGGGATGGCTGATTTTCCAGAAGCTCACAAAATTTACTCAGTACCTGCAGATAGAAACAGAAACAAACTTGAACGGATGCTGATACCTTCATAAGGAAACAAATGGTTAGGTTATGCATGCAAGGAGTGATCGGAAAGAGTATCTATTACCTCAACGGTGGTAACCCCGTACAGCTTCAAAGATTTCGCATTACGCAAACCGTGGAACACCGAGATCAACTGCAACGTTATCGATTCCCGGTCATCCTCGACCGACACAGGTGTCCCCTCATGAACCCCAATTTCAGCATGATCCAGAGACGGAAGGCTTAAAGAGCATCTCAAGTACTCCACGTCTTCCTGGACACTGAAGCATTTCAGCTTCGGTGCATATATTTCGATCTTGTCGAACTCCACAGAATCCAATGTCAGGCTAAGCAATTCGAGTCCGTATATCCTGATACTCCTATCGTCCACGAGACGAGAACTCTCGTACCCACGGCAATCCCTCATGCTCAAATGCTTGAGACAAGAAAAGTTAGAAAATGGTTCAAGTACCTCCTGATCACAAGCGACCAGACAAGTCAGCAAATCTAGAGTCGTCAGGGCACGAAAACCGGGCGACCCAAACCCTCTATCGAGGTCGAAACCTTCCAATTCTAGGGTTTTCAGATTGCAACTCGAGATCGAGCCAAACAGATCGGAGAATCTGTAAGTGTCAGGGGTCGTCATGTCATTTACAGTCACAATCAGCAAACGTTGTGCATCATGGTACAAGGCATGTCGGATAACCCTAATCACCAGAGAATCGTCTCTTCCCTCCGACCTAAGCTGGCGGTCTAGAAAGCTGACCTTGCGGAGATTCAGGGGATAACGACGGGACAAAACCTTGCCTACATACCTGCGGAAGCTCGAGTAATCTTGGAAGTAATACTGATTGAACTCTAGAGCAGGGACGTGTTTCCAGACGCATCTCCAAAATCGGGAGAGCACGGAGGTTTGAACGGAGGATTTGGAGTCGAGGAACGAAAGGATGTGATGAATAATAGGTTCTGGAAGACGGCTCAACCTGTCCCGGCGTCTTACTTTCCCTGCCTTCCTGTTCTTGCTCATTAGAATTTCAGTTATGAGAACCAGAGGATGTAAAAAATCGAAGGATCAGAGACGGAGAAACTTGATCGGAGCAAAACGAAGAGGGTGAGAGACTGTTATCGCCGCCGGCGCAAGTTTATTAGAAAAACTGGGACATTTGATCGGAGTAAACTAGGACTTCGCTAGGCTCCAAAGTCCAATCAGTTGTAGAGGGAAAATGAAGGGGAAAGGGGTTTTGTTTACAAATTTTGAATCCTGTTAAATATTCAATGTGTTTTGGATTTATTTTTGGGCCGTGCGTTATGGGCTTTTACTCTTAACAAATATAGGACATGGGCCCAGATCGGCCAAGGAAGTCCAATTGATAAATGGAATAGCGAACATTTAATAGCCAAACCTTTTCATCTTAAACAAAATAATAGCCAAACCTTTTCGAAAACAATTTAATAATCAAACCATTAACTTTCCATCCGATCAATCGTTAGTTGACTCTGAAGTGGCAAATATGTGTACACATCAGCTTATATATTTTTCTTTATTTTATGGAATTATTATCAAATAATAATGGTACAAATAATTAAATTATAATTATAAAAATGGAAAGGAAAAACATAAATTGCAATGATTCAGTTCGCCGCTTTGGTGTTCTCCAACGCAACGCGAGCGCTAAAATCCCCATACCCTAATGCTTCCGTTCGAACACCTTGGTCTTCACCTCAAATCGTAGGGCCTAGGACTAGGGTGACAGTTGCGGAGAAGCACCCGACGACGACTCGAGATTCCGGCCAGGCCGAAGTAGATGACGGGAAGTAGTTGCAGTGGCGAGAAAGGAAGGGACGGTTGCAGGGACTCTGATCCCAGTCTGGTTTCGCTAGAGGTGCCAGATCCCATAACCAATTTTTGTTCTGCTTCAGATTCAAAGGCAGAGGGAGAAGAAGAAGGAAAAATAGAAGCGGCAGCAACAACAAGAGCTTCTTCTCATCATGGAAATGGCGGCTCCGCTGTCGGTTGCCGCGGCGGGAGGAGATTGGCTGCGAGAGGGACATCGCCCACTCTCAATCGACTCTATCCCACCCATATTTCGCCAATCATGAGTCGTCCTCATCGCTTAATCAGACGGCGTTTCATCAAATCTGACAATGGGTACATGGTCAGACTCGACGGCGGTCCGAAATGTTGAATTGAGATCGTCTACGCACAGGGCGCTGGATGGGTCGGCACAAGGGAGGCGGATCGACGTGGATTGTTTGTCGGGCGAGGAAGATCAGAATGGGCACAAACAGATGGATGTGGGGGAGTAACTCCTTTGGATTCTTCTTGTACTTTGCTCACGGCAGGTAATGGTGGTCAGCGATATCTTTAGCAGCTAGAGCTGGTTTGGAGGAGTCAGGGCTTTAGAGTACTTGGTTAGATTGAGCATTTGACCCGGGGCGATTGGCAAGATGGCATACATGAGATCTGGGTCTTATTCGAGCATGGGTTTTCTGCAACAGGGGAAAAAAGAAAGGGAATTCAGATTTGTATGGTCTTTGATGGATGATAGGGTATGGAAGGGATAGGCTAGAGAGAGGGATTCAAACGGATAAAACTATCATTTTATGATTTTAATTTTCTAAAAATTTAGAAAAATTTAAAAAGAATTATATATTCATGTGGCAGGGTCAAACGTTTGACCTATTGCCACATAAGCAAAAGTCCTCCAGGTCACTTAATATTTTGCCACATCAGAGTCAACTAACAGTTGACTAGACAGAAAGTTAAAGGTTTGGATATTAAATTGTTTTCGAAAAGGTTTGGATATTATTTTGTTTAAAATGAAAGGTTTGGCTATTAAATTGTATTTACCCTTCTAATAATGAGTTATGATAACTATTATTTTAAATTTTTGAATCTCAAGTTCTCAACTAGATTAATAGGTTGATTCTATATCATCTAAAACTATATATAATTTTTGAACTTTTTAGGATCACAGTCATTGTACTGTTATTAAAACCGGACCGGCCGGTCAAACCAGGAAAAATCGGATTCGGCAAGTAATCTGATTCCGAAAGTTTTAAAACGAGCAAAAAAGGTGGTGGACGGATAATGACTGGTTCGGCCGGTTAACCGAACAGGCGATTTTGAACTTCATCCCCTTTTATGTTTCTGATTTAAAATAAAAACATTAAAACCCCACCGTGATTTTATGAAAGTTTGATGTTTTCCCCCGAAATGGCTCCATTTTTCAATAATAACTAAAGGTTAATAACCAACCACCAAACCTTTTAACGTTTCAATTTTCAAATCTAATTAATTAGGGGAATTTATCTCTGCTTCTTTTTCTTGGAAAGTGGAGATAAGCCCAAAATGCTCCAATCTTCATCTAGCGTCGTTGTTCAGACTCCAAGATATTAGGCTTGATATACTTATGTAACCGGTTTATTAATGGTTTGCAATATCATTTAATTAGCTGTTGGTCAATAAACCTTGTTCCTCTCACTAATCCGGGTTGATGTCCAGTTCGTTTTTAATAACATTACTAAGAAGTAATTTAGTGTTGTTGAAAAAAAATATTATGGGTGTAATAAATATCAAATGTCTAAGAAAAATAATGATAGTTTTTTAACAAATTTCATGCACATGTATAATCAGACGAGTGCATGTTGGATAATGAGAATATAATGTCAACCCATTACCCAGAATTTCCGGGTTCAAATTTCACCCATAAACTTTACAAATTCTTCGAATTCGAATGTTATCCTATTCAATTAGGTCAGATTCGGATGGATACTCAAGAGTGTTTCCATCCTATCATAATGTACAAATCAATATTTTGATCAACGTTAGGACGCTGTTTGTGGCTCTAAATGATTTGCATTAACTGTAGTCCTCCAAGACTCTGTCATTTCCTAGCAAATTCTTATCTGACTGGTTGCGGAAAGCAAGCATTCTTACGATGAATGCAGGCTGCCAATAGTCACTTCTCGTTTTCCCTCCCACGATCATAGATGAATTTCTTTTTAGTTATGCAACTGTCTATAAGAGTGTTTTCCCGGCGAGAAAACTAAAGGAAAGAGAATTGATTTTTGCACTTTTATTACTTCCAAACAAACAATTAACAAACACGGTCCACACCTCTTTGAACAAAGTTCAAACAAGGGTGTTTGATGTTCTTGATGATCTACGAGGCAAACTAAATTACATTAACTCTACTCCCATGGAGGTTTAGTGAGAGCACCATAACTACAACCATGGCTAAATTTGCAGAGGAAAAGATAAAATGATAAAAGTTGACATTGTGTTGTCTGGTGTGATTTTGGCGAACCTCTTCTCCGTCATCTTCACCTCCTATTTATAGCCACCAGAAGTAACTGCCTCGAGAAACTGCTCTGCTAACGTGGAGTGACGGTTACCCTCTCAACTGCTATGACGGTTACCCTGACGTTGGATGTGCCCCCTTCTTCAGTCTTGACCCCCTCCTCTTGAGACCTCACTCCTTGCTCGAATCACATGAATAAAAAATGGTAAAAATTACTTTACCACTATGAGAGCCCCATACGGCCATACCCCCTGACCACGCCATGGGGCGTATGCTGATCGCCATGGGGGTGGCTTCTTGTCATCCTCATTATCCTCCATACATAGTCAAACTTCTATCTCATCATGTCCTGGGGGTGGCTCTCATACTTCTTGCCTTAGCCAAATTTGACTATGACGATATGATGGCCACCCCCCTCACCACGTCATGGGAGTGACGGTATGATGGCTACCCCCCTCACCATGTCCTGGGGGTGGTAGTATGGTGCCCACACCAAATTCGACTATCACCCCCCCCCCCACACACGCACCCCCACGTCATAGGGGGTGCCCGTCTCTATACTTAGTCATATTTCACGCCATGGCATCTCACCTCCTCGGCACATTATGAGGGGACTTTTTCCAGAAATACCACTGTTTAAAAAAAGAATTCCAAAAATACCACCCAATCCCAAAAAATTCCAAAAATACCACCTTTTTCAAAAACCGCCACCCCACCCCTGCGGTTTACACGAAAACCGTTTGTCGGGGGCGCGATTTTCTATGCAAACCGCGGGCCTAGGGCGCGGTTATAAAAAAAAAAATTGAACCAAACCGCTGGGTGGGGTGGCGGTTTGACCCAAAACCGCCACCCCACCCAGCGGTTTGGTCCAATTTTTTTTTTCCGATCAACTCCTAACTTCGGCCGAAACTTCAAACGAACGTAACTTTGCACTCAGGTATCCGATCGTAGCGATTCTTATTTTCATTTCGCATAACTTTTCAAGATCTACAACTTTTACTAGGATAAAATTTTCAAAACAGGAACTATTTGTGGATATAGGGGACCTTGAGAATAACTTTACCTTTACTTTTCACAAATCCATGTACATTTTGAAATTATGATTATATTAAAAGTTGTAGATTTTGAAAAGTTATGCGGAATCAAAAAAAAAATTATAACATTCGGATTTTGGAGCACAAAGTTATGGCCGCCCAAAGTTTGACGAAATGCGAGACCAGGCGGTGTGCGGCTTGCAAGATCTCAAAAAGTTTGCGGCCTCCATTTTTTTAATCCAAATAAATTTTTGAGATCTTGCAAGCCACAAACCGCCGGGTCCCGCCTTCGTCTCGAAAAAACGTCATTTGCCACCCCGAACGAGCCTTTTTTTGATTTCGTCAAACTTTGGGAGGAACTTTGTGCTCCAAATTCCGAATGTCATGAATTTTTTTTTGATTCCACATAACTTTTCAAGATCTACAACTTTTAATATAATCATAATTTCAAAATGTACATGAATTTGTGAAAAGTAAAGGTAAAGTTATTCCCAAGGTCCCGTATATCCACAAATAGTTCCTGTTTTGAAAATTGTATCCTAGCAAAAGTTGTAGATCTTGAAAAGTTATGCGAAATGAAAAAAAGAATCGCTACGATCGGATACCCGAGTGCAAAGTTATGTTCGTTTGAAGTTTCGGCCGAAGTTAGGAGTTGATCGAAAAAAGAAAAAAAAAATTGGACCAAACCGCTGGGTGGGGTGGCGGTTTTGGGTCAAACCGCCACCCCACCCAGCGGTTTGGTCCAATTTTTTTTTTTTATAACCGCCCCCTAGGCCCGCGGTTTGCGTAGAAAACCGTGCCCCCGACAAACGGTTTTCGTGTAAACCGCAGGGTAGGGTGGCGGTTTTTGAAAAAGCGTGGTATTTTTGGAATTTTTTGGGGTTGGGTGGTATTTTTGGAATTATTTTTTTAAACAGTGGTACTTTTGGATTTTTTCCCATTATGAGGTGGCCCACCCCCAGGTAAGGCTGCAAATGAGCCGAGTCGGGTCGAGTTTTCCCAGCTTGAGCTTGACTCGTTAATAAATGAGTCGAGCTCGAGCTCAGCTCGTTTATTAACGAGCCGAGCCGAGCCGAGTCGAGTCGAGCTCGAGCTAGCTTGTTTATTAAAATCTTGACTTTTATTTGATACTTTATTTTGTATATCATGATACATATGATTTATTTTGTTAGCTAATCTCATATTATACTTTGTTGGTATCATATCTTATTTAGTTAATAAATTTTAACTTCTCCAAATCATGTTATTTCATAGTATCGAAGCAATCTATGATGCATAATTTCTTTTTAAAGTAGAAAATAAGATATATTTGCTCACATACTCAACGTGTTAAACCTTATATATGGTGAGATATATAATTTAACAACCATATAAATTAAAATAATAAGATATAGATTGATTCGTCCATAAGTTGGTAATCGAGTTGGCTCTTTAACCACATGTTAAGACATATCATGAGCTCTAAACGAGCCAGCTCACGAGTTTAGCTCAACAAGCCACCGAGTCGAGCTAGCTCGCGAGCTTCACGAGCTGAACAAAGGTTAGCTCGTGTTCGGCGAGTTTCGAACGAGCTTTTCTCGAGTCGAACGTCGAGCGGGGGGGGCTTCTCATACTCCTTTCCTTAGACAAATTCGGCTATCACCCCCCTCACCATGTCCTGGAGGTGTACGGCACGCATGATGGCATGGGTGTCATGGGCCCAAAAATTCAATCCACATGACTCATCTTAATTGATTTTAATGATTATAATTAAGTTGGCCTTATAAAGCCATTTAATCCCTCGTATTTAATCGATGTGGTACAAGATGAATTTTAATGGAAAACAAAGAGCTTACAATAAATGTTAGCATCTGTTATGTTAGGGATGACCAGTGTGTTAGAGAGTGGTATAAGATCCAGCATAACTTTCTCCCAACAACTCGATTTATTGGGATCAACTGGTTCTTGACATGGTATCAGAGCCTTCTGTGACCAAGAGGTCTTGTGTTCGATTCCCGGTGACCCCCATTTGTTAAGCACATGGTATTCTTGTCTTCAGACCTGTGCAAACTTCAAGTTCTTGTGAGTGGCTTTCGTTTGAGGGGGCGTGTTAGTGTTGTGGTATATGATCCATGATTGAACCTCTCCCAACAATTCGAGTTATTGGTAGCAACTGATCATGACATGGTATCAGAGCTGGTTTGACCAAATGGTCGTGTGTTCGAATCTCCACGACCCCCAATATTACCAGTTGATTAAAGCACAAGGTATGGTGGGCCTGTGCAAACTTCAAGCCCATGAGTTGGTTTTCGTTTGAGGGGGCGTGTTAGAGAGTGGTATAAGATCCAGCAAACCTTCTCCCAACAACTCGAGTTATTGGGATCAACTGGTTCTTAGTGTTCTTAAGAGAATTACAAAATTCGACTAACAAGTAACAACCAAAATGAAATAGCATACTTCAGGAATAACCATGTTAACAGCCTAACTAACTAGCTTCAGCCTAACAAAGTGATGCAAAACATGTTCAAGCAATGTCAACTAACAGGTACCACCATTCTTCCTAAATGACCTGAAAGGATTAAACCCACTAACCAGTTGCATACCACTATCAGAAACTCTGGCAAAAGTGGTCAACACCAGCTAGGCCTTGATATACTGAATATTTGGACTTGCACAAGAAGATCCCTTGAAAAAGTAATTGACGAGTTTGTAAGGCAGATTCTCAATCTTATCATCTATGATCAAGGACTCCAGTCTCAGAAAAGGAGAAGGTTCATCGTCCAGAAGCCCACAAATTCTACTCAACACCTACAGAAAGATTAAAAGCAACAGAATTGAAATGCCTGGCCACATCTTCGTATGGAAACAAACGGTTACACTGTGCATGCAGCAAGTCAAAAGTTATTACCTGAAAGGTGGAATCCCTGTTCAGGGTCAAGGATTTTGCATTATGCAAACCTTGTAATAGATTGATCAGCTGCGTCTTCATATACTCCTTCTCTTTCTCAACAAAACGCAGGTCCCCTGTGAACCCAATATCAGCATGATCAAGGGACGGTAGGCTTAAATTGGAGTAACTTCTGAATTGCACGTCGTCAACCCAAAATCCGAAGAATTTGAGCTTCGGTGCAAATATGTCGACATAACGAAACTGCACAGATTCCAATTTCAGACTAAGCAATTCGAGCCCATGTATCTTGATGCGCTTTTCATCAACATCATAGCAAGGGATCCCATCAGAGAGCCAAAGCCAATCACTAATAACCAAATACTTGAGACAAGGACAGTTAGAGAATGGCTCAAGGACCTCCTGATCCCAAGCCACGAGACAAGTCACCAAATGCAAAGTTGTCAGCATCCAAGAACAAGGAGATCCAAACCCTCGATCAAGCTCGAAACCAGATAATCTTAGGCTTTTCAGATTGTTGCGACTTGAGACCGAGCCAAACACATCGGAGAATCTGTAAATGTCACGTGATATGATGTCATTTCCCTGGTAAATCACCAGATGTTGAGCATCATGGGACAAGGCATATTGGATGACCCTAATCACCAGAGAATCGTCTCTGCCATCCGACCTAAGCTCATCGTCTACAAACCTCACCGTCTCGAGGTGAAGGGGATAGCGAAGGGACAAAACCTTCCCCACATACCGGTGGAAGCTCGAGTAATGTTGGAAGGAATACTGATCCAAGTCTAGAGCAGGGACATGTTTCCAGGCGGATCTCCATGATCGGGACAACACGGAGGTTTGAACGGCGGATTTTGTGTCCAGGAACGAAAGGATGTGATGGATAATGGGCTCCGGGAGACTGCTTAACCTGTCCCGCCGTCTTTTCCCCCCGGCTTTCTTGTTATTGTTCATAGCTGCGTCTTTTCAACTATGAGATATAATCGGAGGATTAGAAACACAGAATCAATCTAGAAAAAGAACTAAGAAGAACAAACAGGGGACTCACATGTCAGGGTGAGAGAGTGATCATAGCCTCCGCGCTTGATTATTAGTAAACTCGGGACATTTTGATCCGAAGGAAAGCTAGGGTTTCGCTTGGCTCCCAGCAGTAGAAGAATTGAGAGGGAAAACAAAGATGAAGGCCGTGTTTTGTTTGCAAGTTTGGAATTCTAAATCCCGAGTCAAAAAACCCCGAGAAGCAGGCTTCTCCAATTTCTTTCATACTCAGTTTTGGGCTGAGATGCAGGCTTTTCTAAAAGGCCCAAATCATGCGACCCTTTTTTATTCTAAATCATCTACCCATCAGTTTTTTTATTTTTTTTTACGAAGAACGGTTACAAGGTGCTACTAAAAGAGTAATGAAAGGGGAAAAATGAGTAGCATTAGCATTCTTTGAATTCAAATCTGTGACCTCCAAATTGGAAATTAGCGGACGGCCACTTGATCATGGCCTCGTTCGCATCCATCCATCAGACCGTGCTTTGTGATGTTTGTTGACATATTTTATAATGTTTGTATGCTTTGTTATTTTGTAATGTTTGTAAACTTTGTTATTTTTGTCAACCATGTTTGTAATGTTTTTTATGTCTAAAAAACAACCTGGTTGACTTTTGGATGAAACTTATCTATATAGGGATGAAGCCTCCAAAGTCAACCTGGGTGTTTTTTCAGTTCGTATGGATTGTCGGTCTAGTTTTTCATTTTTGTCCACCATGTGCGTACTGTTTTGTATGTCTAAAAAACACCAGGGTTGACTTTGGGAAGGAGCCCCTCTATATAGGGATGGAGCCTCCAAAGTCAACCCGGTTGTTTTTTTCTTTTTGTATGGTTTGTATAGTTTGTCGGTCTAGTTTGTATTGTTTGCAAAGTTCATACGTTTGTAATGTTTGTGAATCTGTTTGTATGTTTTGTCGCTCTATTTTGTATTGTTCGTATGTTTGTATGGTTTGTACTGATTGTAAATCCGGTTTGTATACTTCATAATTTTCCATAATACCCAAACTACCCATGTCATTAATTAAATAGCCCTTCCGACTTTTTAACCATTGAATTGAAGTGTCCAGATCTAATGGCTAGGAGGGGCTTAGTCAAGTGACTAAGGACCCCCCCTTAGTCATGGGATCCGCTCTCATTCATCACATGCAGGTGCGTGGGCGGTCTTCCATTTCTCGAATGCTTTGTTTCTGGCTTTTCTCATGAAATAGTGTCGTCGATAGTTTGCCACGATGTTCTGATAAACCTCAGCTTCATAGGTTCTCGTAGCACGATCACGATAAGAAGACAGCAGGTCAGCAGCCTCGAAGGTGATGTAGTAGTTCTTACTAATGTTTAAAAAAAGTTAATATCTTATTTTGGTCCGAATTATATCCAAACTTTCTACCTTGGTCTGTGGTTTCTGAAATTTTTCCTCTGGTCCAAACTATGCACCATACTTTCTTCATTGGCCCGACGCAAAATTTTCACCGTTAATTGGATGGTCAACTCCATTGACCGTTTGTCAAACGCCAAGTCACTTGCCACGTCAGCAAACCCGAAATAATTTTTTTGAATTTTTTTAATAATAATAATAATTAATATGTTCACTTTTATTTTTTTATTAATTATTATTGTTATTAGATAATGAAAATAATTAAACAATTTCAAATTTTATATTTTGGGTTCGCTAACGTGGCAAGTGACCTGGCGTTTGACTAACGGTCAATGGAGTTTATACTCCAATTTAACAGTCAAAACCCGCGCCGAGCCAATCAAGGAAGTACGGTGCATAGTTCGGGCCAAAGAAGCAATTTTAGAAACCTTGGAGCAAGGTAAAAAGTTTGGGTATAATTCGAGCCAAAATAAGGTATTAGTGACAATTACACTTCTGGTATTATGGGTCATCTCCATGAGTGTATATTAGTTTGGAGTGCCATTGTCCTCAAATAGCATAAATCTTCTTGTTAGCAATCAAACGCAAAATCAAGGTCCCCATACCCCCAAAAGCACTTCACCTTATATATCTCTATCTAGGTTGGATGTGATTATTAGATTATTACTATCTTAGCAGTTTGATACCCACAATTAGTTAAAATAAATTTGAGACCAAAAATACTATTTTATTTAAAAGGAGATTTTCTCTAGTAAAGTTAGTGACCAGTAATGCAATACAAACATTAATAACAAATGTTAAACAAATTAATAAATCGAGTATTCATGTGCAGGGATGGCAATTATCCGCCTATGGAAAATTTTACTCAAACCCATGTAAACCCTTTGAGTATGTGTAGAGTTAGTATGAGTGAATATTGTTTTCATACTCTGAATGGGTATGGATGTATGAATACCTAAATACCCATTTAGTTTGTTTTAACTACACATAAAAAAATTGGACCTATTTGTAAACCATAAAATTTATAGGTCTGAAAATGTAATAGACAAAAAATTTATGTTCTAAATGTAATTCCATTGATAATTTAAAGATTTGTATGAAAAGGTACTAAATCTAAAAATCTATTAAGTTTATGTAATAAAATATAATTTTTCGTATGAGTATGGGTACATGTACATACCCAAATTCAAGGATAAAAAATCCAATAAATAGATGTATCAATTTACCATATATTTGGATTTCACTCAACTTAATTGGGTTAGATAGTAAAATATTAATCGATTTGAGCAAAATTGTCATCTCTATCCATGTGTAGTAATCAATCATATTTAATAAAAACCTCACAAAGTTGAAAAACTAAATTGATTACAAAGTTTCTCTAGAATGGAGAAATTTGTTGGGAAGATAAGCCAAAAACTCCCACGCAGGTTAATAAAACCTAATAAAAGAAGGAGAAAAAAAGTTATAGGTTAATTGTTTCTATTTCTCACTCCATCACACATAATGATATAAATAGTTGGTAGAGCATGAAAAAATGACAGTACTGTGAGATTAGTAGAACTCTTGGGCAACAGTAAAATGATTAGGGCTGATAATTGGTTGACGGTTAATCGGTTGAACCGAAAACCGAACCGAAAACCTCGATTATCGACCTAACCGAAAACCGAGATATTTGCCTCGGTGTCGGCGTCGGTGGGCTGATTCGGGGCTTTATGCTAACCGGCGGTTGCCGGTTTCTAACCGAGATCAAACTCGGTGCACCGCTGCAACCGACAAACCTCCCATCTCCTTCTCCTCACCCCGCATCGGCACTCTCTCCCTTTCCATCTCCAGCCTCCAGCAGACCTCATCTCCCACCAGGCCACCACCACCGCCATCCGCATCCCCAATTGCCCCCATCCGACTTCACCGCCCCTTCTCTCCGAACACTCCCTCCTTCTCTGTTGTTGATTTGCACTCCTCCTCCCATTTTGAGTTTTGAATCTTTGCCGAGCAAATTCCAATTGAAAGAGCGGAGTTGGGGGGTTTGAGTTGGGGTGACGAGCGGACGAAGGACAGAGGGAGTAGAGACGAGGAAGGATTTGGCCTGCAAACCTCTCTCTCCGAACTCGCCGCTCGCTGTCGTCTACCGCTCTGCCTCAATCGCCACCCCCATCCATCCAGATTCAGCAATTGAAGGTCAAGAAGGAGAAGAAGGCCATTGCTGCGGTGAAGATCGAGCCTCGGTCGTTGTCGATGTCCCCTTTTGCGCCTTGCATGTTCTCTCCGGTACCCACCATGCCTTCTTCCTCGGTTGCCGTCGTCGTCCCCTGCTTTGCTTGAATCCCAGAAGACCCTCGTCGCGGCGGATTCGGCAGCAGAAGGAGTCGGCGGAAGAAGGGTTTGGCAGCGGAAGGATTTCAAAGGCTGAAATCCCTGAAGTTGAATTGGCCGCCGTCCCTTCAAATCACCCACTGCGTCGGTCTTCAGCTAACCGCGACACCGACCCGAAACCGTCGACGGCGGTTTTCGGCTAACCGACAAGTCAATCGGTGTCTGTGGCGGTTGAGGTTTTTGGATGATTATCGGCTGCGGTTAACCGCGGTTGCGGTTCGGTTAAAACCGAAACCGCACCGTTAACAGCCCTAAAAATTATTATATATAGTAATAGTTGCAAATCATTAGTTATTTCATATATTACCCACACCCTTTTAATAATTCTCTTGACGATGGAAATCATAACATCAAAAACATCCTCTTCCACCATAAAAATATTTCAATATACAAAAATAATACAATCACTTTCTTCATAAGGCAACCATCTATTATCAAACAATCTCTTCCAAGACAAAGCGTCATTACGCAAAATGTACTGGCAGTCGTCTGATTAATTTCAATATTAGTGGCGAAGCCATGATTTATAGTGAATTGGATCAGAATTCAGAAATAAATAAAAAAAATCACTAGGATCTTGGGTGAGGGAGCTGATAGCCCCATCCTACCAATTATCAACATTTATTTCTTGTGTGATCCATAAATTATATCCAACCATCAAATATTGAGAGGACTGCAACCCAGTGACCCATCCTAGATCACTAGATTACACGTAGCACCGCGAGGATCACCATAGAGGACATTCTGCTTTAACTTTAGTCCATTGTTACAAGAAGCACCTAATAGAGTTTCGAGCTAATTCCACTAGAAAGTCCAAACTATTCAAAAAGTGTTCTTCGTGTTCAAAACTATTTAATATGATAAATCTTGCACAAACTATATGTGTTTCGTGACATTTGTGTCGTAAACTATTCAATATGACAAATGTGACACCAACCACATAGAAACTGATTTGATTTTCTGTGATCTACAAATAGCCAACGTCGGTCAACATTAACGGAAAAATAGTTCGTGTCAGATTTGTCACATTGAAAAATTTTGTACACAAATGACAATTTTTGAATAGTTTAGACTTCCCAGTGGAATTAGCCCTAGAATTTCTAAAAGGCTTCTCGAGAATGAAAACACAGGAACAAGTCATAGCACATCGCAATTTGGTTTATCGAATAACTGATTGATGGATCAAATTGATACTTCAGAATCAAACAAACTCAACAGCTTAACATATGGCAAAGAGATTCAGAACAATCTCTGAGAAGGAATAATTCCACTGCGTTAAGCAAGAAACTAGTGCAAGATCGTCAACTCTAACGCTCTGCAAACTCGATCTTCGGATTTGTGCAAGAACTTCTTTTGAACAAGTAATTGACCAATTTCAAGGGTATGGACATGGTCGTGGTGTCGATGTCCACCATCAATGACTCCAACCTCGTAAAGGGGGAGGGGTGTTTTTCCAAAAACTCAAAAATTTTGTTCAATTCCTGCACAAAACAGAAGCCAAACTTAGAACCTAAAAGGGTAACATTCTCAGGAAGACAACACCGCTTAGTTATTGCAACAATATTAACTAAAGGTTACCTCAATGCCATAGGCGTCCAGCACTAGTGATTTTGCATTACTCACCCCCTGGAACAAGGAGATCAACTGTAGCGCCATCTGTTCTTCCCCTTCCCCGTACCCACCAATACAGTCGTTAATATCAGCGTGAACCACGGAAGGAAGGCTTAACTTGGAGAATTTTTGGAGGAGCGAGGTATGCCAAAAAATGAAGAATTGGAGCTTTGGTGCAGTTATTTCAATCTTTGGAAACCACGAGTCATCCACTGTCAGGCTAAGCAATTCAGGTCCAGTTATATTCACAATCCTTTCATCCGCAATTGGATAGCGGTGATCAAGAGGGCAATGCCTCAGTACCAAATTCTCCAGGCAGGGTAAATTAGAAAAAAGATCGATGTCCACCTCCGAATCAGAAACCAGCAGGCACCCGCGCAGACATAAAGTTGTTAGTACCCGAAAACCAGAAGATCTAAATCCACTATCCACAATGACAGATCTTAATTCTAGAGTTGTGAGATTGGAATCCAGAACTGACCCAAACAAGTCGGAGTACTTGTAACAATCTTGATAATAGTCCGTTCCATTCTCGAGGTCAATCACCAGATGTTGAGTATTATGAGATAGAGCATACTTAATGACCTCGACAAACAGACTAACATCTCGATCCTCGTAACTATGATCGTGGTCGATATACCTCAGCTTCTGGACATTGACATTGCAGCGGAGGGACAAAACCTTGGACACAAAGCTTCGGAAATTCCGATACTCTTTGAAGGAATTGCTATGGAGGTTAATGACAGGAACTTGCTTCCAAGCACTTTGCAGTGCTCGCGACAGTACAGAGGTTTGAACAGCAGACTTGGTGTCGAGAAACGAAAGGATGTGACCAATAATGGCTTCTGGAAGAGCACTTAACCTATCAGAGCGCCTTTCTCCAGCTTTCTTTGGGTGGTTCATCATTTTCTTCGAAAGAATTAACTGTAAAACTCCAGCTATACTTGGAGTGTTTTTTTTTACCCAGGACGAACGGACTAATGATGCAATGTAATATATATAGACAAAGGTTCTGATATCCTTTTCCTAACCAAAGTAGGTTTCCCCCTTCCGCAAGAAACAACAAACTATAATGAAGCAACAATTATTTTATCCAATGAAAGCCATCAGTAAACTAACCCTTAAACTTCTCTGAACCTCCCTCATTCATCACATGCAGGTGCATGGGCGGTCTTCCATTTCTCGAATGCTTAGTTTCTGGCCTTTCTCACGAAACAGTGTCGTCGATAGTTTGCCACGAATGTTCTGATAAACCTCAGCTTCATAGGTTCTCGTAGCACGATCAGGATCAGAAGACAGCAGGTCAGCAGCCTCGAAGGTGATGTAGCAGTTCTTACCAGCGCAGGGACCCCAATTGGCCTTCACGATCTTAACAACTTGCAGCTCGGATACCTGCATAGACATACAAATTAAGCCAAGCTCCTCATCATGTCGAATTTTCGATCCCCAGCTATGATAATACCACCACCACCACAACAACAACAACAAACACAGATAGATTCTGATGATTCGTCGCTTGCGAGTTTGGGATTAGCATCGCAAGGCATTTGATCGGAAGACAGCTTCATTTCGGCCTAATTTGAAAATTTCTTGCTCGTGTCTAACCAACACCGTATCCACGTCAATCACCAGATGTTGGGTACCATGGGAAGCCGCGTACTGAATAACCCTAATCAGCAATCGACGGTCTCTGCTCTCGTACCTCTCCTTGTCGGTGTAGCTGATCTTCCGGGCATCAATGTAGGGATTGCGGCGAGACAGGACTTGGTCGACGCACCTGCAGAAGCTCGAGTAATTCTGGAAGGAGCTCCGACGGAGATCGAGGATGGGGACATGTAGCCAGGCGGTTTGCCAGATTGGGGACAGGACGCAGGTCCGTACAGCGGATTTGGTGTCGTCGAGCAACGAAAGGATGTGATGAATGATGGAGTCTGGAAGATGGCTTATCCAGTCAGCAGCAGCTTCTTCTTCTTCGCGGCTCCTTTTTCTAGATGCTTGGCCCAACTCGGCCATGGCGGGACTTTCTATAGCAGGACGCAAGTAGAGAACCTCTCTGAATTCCGGGAAACCGAAAGCGAGAAATTGAAAGGATCAGAAACGAAAACTTTGGGTGCAGGTGGACTGGAGGAGAAGATCAAAACGTGGAAGCCATGCACAAACCAGCTCACTGGCTCTTTCTTTTTTCCTTTCAGCTGTTATAAGTAAAATAAAATGCGCATAAAATAACCTATTGCGAAGGAGTTAGAGGAGGATATAAATTATTAGGGTAAATGTCACATTTTGGACACCGAGATTATTAAATCATCTCATGTATAATCACTAGAAAAATTTAATATTAATTTTAATCACTCGATTTACTGAAACATGTCACATTTGGTCACTCTCCTGTAGTCATTGTCCAACTTCGATCACTCGAATTATTTAAACATGTCACATTTAGTCACTCGAATTACTAAACATGTCACATTTAGTCACTCTCTCGTTAGTTAATGGATTTGGACGGAAACTAACGAGAAAGTGACTAAATATGACCAGTTTCAGTAATTTGAGTGATCAAAATTGATATTAAATTTTTCTAGTGACTAAACATGACACGATTTAGTAATATTAGTGACTAAATGTGGCATTTACCATAAATTATTCTGAATTGCTATTCGTCGCCCTAAAATTCAAATAAAATCGCCCTAAAATGGAATAAATTGACAAATTTACCCTTCAACTCAATTTCAATTCTAACCCTAACCAAACAATCCCTTCCTCGCCCCAACCCATATCCGCCGCTCTCACAGTCTCACTCATGAAAAGAACCGTCGCCTCATCAGTCATCACCTCCCCTCCCATGCTCCTGCCCCAACTAGAATATGCTGCAGGCGCCAAAGGGAAGGAGGAAGAAGAAGCAAGTTAACGATTGCAGAAAGCAAGTTAATAAGGATGATGAATAGATATCTAGGGTTTATCCAATTATTCTCTTTTATTATATACATTTTGCACTAGTTAAGATGTGAAAATCAAATGGGTTAGACAAAGTTCAGAACCTAAGGACAAGCATGCTAAGAACAATAGTCCTCCTATTCCTGAAAAAGTGAACTCCTGTTGGCGCTGACAATATCAGCTTTTGGGTTTGGCGAGCTATGTTTGCAACAAGGGCATTAAAGTAACTGTGATTTAGTTAGGGCGACAAATAAGAAAATTTAGGGCGACAAATAGCAATGCCCAAATTATTATTGCTTCTATTCTTTCTTTTGATTTACGTCAAATCTCAAATCTCAATACAGATTAGACAAGACTACCGAGTCTCTTCGATCTATAGCCAAGGAGGGAGGATCAATAATTGAGGGATGCGGATGTAAATGGCATTCAATATGGTAATCACCGATATACTCAAAGAGCATTCAGTATGCTTCAAGTGATCTAGTCATTAGATCTCCTTTTTCTTTAGTCATTAGATCTCCTTTTTTGAGCTTCAGTCAATTAGTATTTTTTATAAAATTGAACTTCTAGTTTGAATTTAGAGAATCGGGAGCTGGGATTTATCCGTTAGAGGTTAGGGTACAGTATCATACCCCAAACTTGATTTAATTCAAGGTCCACATATAAATATCTCGCTAAGAGTACTTGGAGTATAGTATACTTCAGGAGTACACCAATATGACCCTTCAATATATAATAAATATATTACTATTACCCTCCGTAAACGTAAACATCTTATTTTTGAAGTTTAAACAAAGAATTAAAAAAGTATACCACATAGGTGGTTCGATCAGAAAATCTCATACTGGTAGGCATCATTTAACAATATGAAGTGGTTGAACCACAATTAAACCAAGATTTTAGCATAAAGTATCTCTGACGTTTCTAGTACGATCTCCGATACGGTATTTCAATCCTTGGTTTGAGCAGCAACAGTATATGCTCGCTTACCTCACTTTCGTCAATCTCTTGTTCTTCGTAATGGCTAAGTTCTTGGGCAAGCATTAAAGGGATCTTTTAACTCCTACGGATTGACAACCCAGGGTGATCCCCTGTTTTCATATCACCTGCAAAAGTCAGACAACAACCCACACATTGTTATGCTGAGTAAGAAACTAAGGCAAGAATGCCAACTACTCTGTTCTTGCCGAAGCTTGATGTTTGTGTTCTCTAGCAGTAGAAGTACCTTTAAGGAAATAATCGATTAGTTTGCGAGGTATACTGTCACCATCCACGATCAATGACTTCAGCCTCTTAAGCGGAGATGGTTGTTCCAGCAACTCATAGAATTCACTTAGCATCTAAAACATAACAGAGATAAACATCAAGTGTAAGCCAGTACTTCCTGGAGAATGGAACCACATACATTGGGCGCAAGCTCACTAATCCGAAACAAAGAAAGTAGTACCAAGATGGTCTGGGAATGCAGCGTTAGAGATTTTGCATTACTCAAAGCTCGGAACAAGGGGATCAAATCTCGCTCCACAAATTCCTTTCTACCTAGCTTCTTGTGTCCAGGTCATAACCTTCAACATAGGCATGCTCAAGGGAAGGAAGGCTTATACCATTGAATCCTTTGTACAGCCCCCAATCCCAGAGACCGAAGAACTTGAGTTTCGGGGCAAATACTTCAATCTTACAACTATTATTACAACTACTCATGTTCACGAGTTTCAGACTAAGCAAACTGAGCCCGGAGATCCTCAAACTCCTTTTGTCACTGTAAAAAATAGAGCCATAGTTGCAATCCGTCGAGACCAGATTTTCCAAACAAAGGGAAATTAGAAAAGGGATCAGGATCCCATTCCTCTTCCGCATCATACCCCAGCAGGCAGCCATCCAATTCTAATGTAGTCACGTTCTCGAAACCAGGAGATCCCATCCCACTGTCCAGGACAAGGTAACCTTCAAATTCTAGGGTTTTGAAATTCGAATTCAAAATCGGGGCAAAGAACTGGGAGAACCTGAAACTCTCGTCCAGAAAAGCCATCGGTAGCTTATACACGTCAATCGCGAGGTGTTGAGTACCATGGGAAGCCGCGTATTGAATAACCCTAGCCAGCAATTTACGGTTTCTCCGCTCGTAAAACTCCTCGTCAGCGTAGCTGATCTTGAGGGCATCAACAACGGGATTGCGGAGAGACAGGACTCTGTAGACGAACCAGCAAAAGCTTGAGTATTTGTGGAAGGATTGTCCATCGAAAGCGAGGACGGGGACATGTTTCCAGGCGGATCGCCAGAGTGGGGACAGTACGCACGTCTGAACGGCGGACTTGGTGTCGTCGAGCAACGAAAGGATTTGATGAATGATGGAGTCCGGAAGATGGCTTAACCTGTCAGTAGTAGTAGTAATAGCATCTTCTTCTCGGCCATTCAATTTTCCTGTTGCTTGCCCCAACTCGGTCATGGCGGTTTTTCTACAGAAGCCACCTAGAGATAGATGATTTCAGTCCGCTTGGATTCGGTTTAAATAGCAATCTGGTCTTTTTCCAATATTCACAAATTATTGACATCAAGAATTGGATTATATTATATTTAATTCGAAACAAATTACAACATTATACAATTCTAGTTATAACTTATAATGGAAAAAAAAATGTAAGCAATTTTTCTATGAGTCTCATGGCAAATGTTAAAAAATTTCCAATCGCATTAGGAATACATATATAGGAGTCATAACTCATAAGCATGTACATATGACATTTTTATGTCATTTTGGCCTATTTTATTTCAGAAAAAAATTGTGAATTTTATTTGAATATAATACCACAATGAACACAATTTTTGAGGTCTTTTAGTTGAGCTGGAGTCAATTCTTCATATAATGCAATTGGATTGCTCATAGAACACAATTTTACGCATGTTGTAAAATTCCTCTTCGGGTCAAATCAATCTTGATGGTAAGAATTAGAACCACGGATTGATACAATGAGCAACACTCAAAGATACCTGAAGTCGAAGAATGTTGCTAATCGATTACAAAAAATGGCACTGTTCTTTGATAACATGATATATATCACAGTTAATCAAATAGAACCTATAAGTAACCTAGGTTGTCCAAGCAACATATTCATAAACCTGAAAGAAAAGGATACACCAAACTCTTACCTAATGTAATCAGAGACTATAACAAAATAATCAACCAACTCAACAGTTGGTTTTGTACTAGCAGACCCTTTTAAGAAAGTAATTACCAAGGTCGATAGAGATTCTTCCTACTACAGCAAGAAAACGAGCGGGTTATCCTACTGCTTTGGAGGTAAAATAAAAAGCTTCACATTCTTATGAATATGGATGTCATCCACTACTAAGAAACTCTAACAGCAGAATCAAATAAGGAAATGTCAGAAGATAGATAGCCCTTACACATACACAATCCACATTCTATGCTGATTTTTGCTCTGTCCGACCTTGGCTAAGACCCCACACTACCACCATTGCCCCTCTTCCCTGCACCAGCAGCAACAGTTTTGCTAGCTTCCCTCACTTTCCCTCGATCTCTTCTTCCTCGTAACGGCTAAGTTCTTCAGGATGGGCAAGTGCTAAATGGCATTTTTTAAGGATTGACAACCCTGGGTGATGCCCTATTTTCATATCACCTGAAAAAGAAAGAGAACAACTAACTCATTACTCTGTTCAGCAAAGAGACCAAGGCAAGACTGCCAACTACTTCCTTCCGCCGAAGCTTGATATTTGTGTTCTCTAGTAGTAGAGTACCTTTAAGGAAGTAACCTATTAGTTTGCAAGGTATACTGTCACCATCCACGATCAACGACTCCAATCTCTTAAACGGAGAGGGTTGTTCCAGTAACTCATAAAATTCAGTCAGTACCTAAAACAGGAACCAGAGACAAACTTCAAATGTAAGTTGATACTTCCTAAACAATGAAACCACGTACATTGGGCAAACGCTCACTAATCCAGAAAGAAAGTATTACCGAGATGGTCCAGGAATGCAGCGTCAGAGCTTTTGCATTATTCAAAGCTTGGAACAAGGAGATCAAATGTCGCTGCACCAATTCCTTTCTACCACCCTTGTCGTGGTAGAAGTTGTAAGCTTTGATATATGAATGCTCAAGAGAAGGAACACTTATAATTTTGAATCCTTTGAACGGCCCCTGACTAGAAAGACTGAAGAACTTGAGCCTCGGGGCAAATATTTCAATACTACTACCATCATCCATGTCCACGAGTTTCAGGCTAAGCAAACTGAGCCCCGAGATCCTCAGAGTCCTGTTGCCACTGTAAAAAGTAGAGCCATAGTAGCAATCCTTCAAAACTAGATTCTCCAAACAAGGGAAATTAGAAAAGGGATCAGGATCCCATTCCTCTTCCGCATCAGAATACAGCACGCAGCGGTCCAAGTCTAATGTGGTCACATTCCGAAAACCAGGAGATCCCATCCCGCTGTCCAGGACCATATAGCCTCTAAATTCTAGGGTTTTGAGATTCGAATTCAAAATCGGGGCAAAGAATTGGGAGAATCTGAAATCTTCTTCCACCGAACTGGCCAGGACTGTATCCTCGTCAAGCACCAGAAGTTGAGTGCCATGGGAAGCCGCGTATTGGATAACCCTAATCAGCAATCTACGGTCTATGTTCTCGTAACGCTCCTTGTCGGTGTAGATGATCTTGCGGGCATTAATAAGGGGATTGCGGAGGGACAAGACTTCGTCGACATACCTGCAAAAGCTCGAGTACTTCTGGAAGGAAAGTCGATGGAGGGTGAGGACGGGGACATGTTTCCAGAAGGATCGCCACAATTGGGACAGTATGCAGGTCTGGACGGCGGACTTGGTGTCATCGAGCAGCGAAAGGATGTGATGAATAATGGAGTCTGGAAGATGGCTTGACCTGTCAGCAGTAGCATCTTCTTCTTTGCGGCTCCGTTTCCCGTTTGCTTGTCCCAACTCGGTCATGGCGGTTTTCTACCGGGAAGATGAAGGATTTCAGTTCTGGGAAACCTAAGGCGAGAAATTGACAGGATCCGAAACGAACATTTAGCAAGAGAAGGACGAGTGCCTATACACCCCTGGTGTATTTCCTTGGTAATGCATTTTCACCATTATCCAAAAAAAAAAAAAGAGAAGGACGAGTGCCAATTGAATCGCCTCTCTATCGGCAAACTGCAAATGCAGGAGAAATAGGAGATGAAAGGGATCAGGTCAGGGGGATAAATCGCTCGTTCTGATGGGGAAATATTGTATTTGAATTTTGAGCTCTGGGTTGTAAATTGGGCCAGCCATTTCACCGGAATTACAACTCTCATTAACTTTCAGGGAATTACAAACCGTAATCAAATCGTAAGCTCATCCCATTTTACTTGATCATGTTTAAATAGTAGTTTAATATCTTGCTCTTCATTTGTAATAAAATTCATAAAATCACTTCAGATTGATCTCATTCAAATATCAATGTGAGCTAGTGCGAAACATAGTACATCGCTCCCTAAAAAATATATGTTGCAGGAGAGGCGCTTAGAGACAGGGCAGGGTCGCATATTGGGGGCCTATTCGATAAATCTGGGAAGATGCTCAATCACTTGCGCGGAACTATGGGGTGCCATACAAGGTCCTCAACTGGTGTGAGACCTAGGATACAAGAAGGTGGAGCTGCAACCGGACTCCACCACAGTCGTGCATCTCATATTCGAGTCTGCTTCGAACTAATCACCAACACGCTATCCTTGTACTTTCTTTTCAGGAACTGCAGAAGCGTGACTAGGACATACGGGTTACGCATGTTTACAGGGAAGCTAACTTTCTTGTTGATCACCTAGCTCATTTGAGTCACTCTCTTTCTCCGGGTACCCATATTATAGATCCTAGCGATGCTTATATTGGCCACTAACTTTGTATGACTCTGTAGGCGGTTTTACTGTTCATTCAATTAGTTAATGGGTTAATTGCATGATTGGTCACTGAGATTGCAAAAAACGTTCAAATTTAGTCACTATAAATATTTAAATCCAATAGTGGTACTTCAGTTTACATAAATCGTTCATGTTTGGTAACTCTCCGTCCAACTCCGTTAAGTTTGGCTGATGTGGCAGTCAACTCTCAAAGTTGACCATTAACTTAGTGACGTGGCAATTGAAAAATAATAAATAAATAAACGAAACTTTCAACCTAACATACATCTTTGATATTTAATACTAAACTCGAATAGACAACAAAAGAAAGTTACGAAACCACATACGTTGCTGACATTAGTTTACTACATTCCAATAGGTGATAATGAAAGTACAAAAACTACATGAGGTGGATTGGCATCGATTGGTTTGGAAATATGTTGGCATCGATTGGTTTGATCTAGAGATAATTTTCTCAACAACCTCTATAAGCTGAACAACGACAATGAACATATAGTAACAGTATTTGTGATAGATTTCTCATACTTGCCATTGAAAGCACATATCTACGATTCAACCACATCAGTTTGTTACTGTGAGTTATCTAAGTTGATATGATCGAATAGTTAGTCGGTATCTAGAAATTCCAAGTTCAACTGCAAAACTATGCGTTGTTTTAAATACTTCACACCTAGCATCCCAAGTGATAGAAGGAAAATGCAGCCATATCTACAGCTGATTCAGGGAGTAAGAAGATTGGCAGTCAGCATAAGTTTGGAAAGATAACTCAATGAGGTAGGCATCATAAATTCAATAACCGAGCAAGAACAAACGTTTCAGAGAGCTCATTCCGTTCAAATCAAAAGAAATAAGTACGGAGAACAATGAAACCCAGATATAGTTGTCATCAAACCAACCAACCGAAACCAGAATGGTACTGGGTCTAAGAAACTGACATGAGTGATAGTGCAAATTACATATTGCAGTGAAAGCAAGCCGAGTAGCTATGGTTTGGACAAATTCATAAACTCTTCCTAAATGACCTCAAAAAGAAAGAAAATCCAACCTAAATTGCATACCACAGTCGGAGAACCATGGCAAAATGGCCGTTCAATATGCTACACAAACTCAAGATTTGGCTTCATACTAGAACCTTTAAGAAAGTAATTGATGAGTGCGTAAGGTACACTGTCGGCCTCCATGATCAAGGTCTTCAACCTCCTAAAGGGAGAGGAGGGTTGTTGTTCCAGAAATTCAGTCATACCACTCAATACCTGCACAGAACAAAAGCCAACTTCAGTCCTGAGGGATTAATATTAAACGGAAGTAAACACTTGGACTACAACAATGTTAATCAAAGATTACCTACCCGGATGGTATGAGGACCCAGCGTGAGAGATATTGCATTGTTTAAATACTCAAACAAGGAGATGAAACGTTGCCCGACACATTCCTCGTTCCCTTCCAAGAAATCGTTCGTGTCAGTTACCCGAATATCAACATGATCGAGGCAAGGAATGCTTAACTTGGAGAATTTCATGTCTTCTAATTCCGGCAAAAGACTCAAGAATTTGAGTCTTGGTGCGAATATTTCAATCTGTTCCCATGGGTCACAATACACACAATCCAATGTCAGCCTAAGCAACTGCGGTCCGGATATCTTGACAAAATGGGAGCAATGATTCAGGACCAAATTCTGCAGACAGGGACAGCCAGACAAAGGATCCAAGTACTCATCAAGATCATACTCTAACTCGCACAACTCCAAATTCAAAGTTGTCAGCATTCCGAAGCCAGAATGTGCAAATGCCTCATCGATCAAGACACTTTGCAGTTCCAGTGTTGTAAGGTTGCAACTGGAGATTGTTCCAAACAAATCGGAGAACGAGTAATCGCAAGAACAACTAGTGCTGTTCGTGTCAACCACTAAATGATGCGTGTCATGAGACAAGGCATATTTGATGACCTTACCAAACAGCTCACAATCTAGTTCGTCCGAACCCTCGTTGTCAATGTAGCTTATCTTCCCGACAACGTCGCCAACAGGATCGCGGAGGGACACTACATTCCCCACAAAACTCTGGAAACTCGAATACTGGTCGAAGGAACCGCTTCGAAAACTGAGGACGGGGACATGTTTCCAAGCGAATCTCCACACTCGAGACAGTACAGAGGTCTGAACGGCGGATTTGGTGTCTAGAAATGAAAGGATGTGATGAATAACGAAGACTGGGAGATGGCTCAACCTATCAGTAGCATCTTCCTCTACACATCGCCTTTTGCTATTTCCCCCCAATTCGCCGCTAATGCCGATATCGTTCATGACTTAACACCGTCGAAAGGGATTAGAAAGGAATCAAGAGAGGAGAAATCACCTGTCGTCGATGACTATTACAGGAAGGGAAACTCTTGACTGCTGTGCCCGCGCCAAAGAGAAACACAACCGCGATCTATCATCTCCACCTTTCCGAACTACTCATAGGCGGATCTCGATTTAGGGTTTTGTTTGAAGAAGGGGCGGGCACAGTTCAGACTTCCGCGGGAAAATGAAATGAATTCTCGAATACCGCCAACATGATGTTGATGGATCTCTATTCTCTAGGTCCAACTTATAGGCTTTTTGTAACAAATGAAGCAGGCCGGTTCCCAAAACCAAAAGACAGTAGATCCAAACAAAGACGAACGGGATCAAATCCATAGAGCAAGCACTAATGGCCATCGAGGCCCCAAAAGCCCATTGTCCTTCAGCTAGGTAATAGCCCAAAGCCCCAAACCACTAGCAGAATAGAGGAATTAAAATGGCAATTGGCAAATGTAATATAGTTTAGTATTTTCAATGACAAAACAAGCAATTTTCCCCTTTTACTTAATCTCTAAATGTCGTCCTTAAAATTGCTAACGGTCGCTCTAACTCTAATGATAAATGACTTATGTATATACCCCAATAAAATTTCAAAATTTAAACAAACCAAACAATCCCTAACCCCTCAAATTGAACCCCTCGTATGACTTCTTCGCGAATCCCTCTCGACGCACCAGTTCGTCGGTGTCTTTCCTGCCGTCGTCGTCGCCCGTTCTCTAACGAAATTTCCAAAAAAATGCTCAACCTAAGGCAAGTTACGGTTGGTCCATGGTGCAACCGCAAGTGAGCTGCGGTTGGCCCATGGACCAACCGTAACTTGCCTTAGGTTGCACCATGGACCAACCGCAACTCATTTGCGGTTGCACCATGGACCAACCGCAAGTGAGCTGCGGTTGGCCCATGGTGCAACCGCAAATGAGCTACGGTTCCCTTTTTTTGTTTTTTTTTTTCCAATTTTTTGAGTGAACTTTACTAATTCAGAGTCACTAGTCATGATCCACACATCATATCAACAATTCCAACTCCAGAATGACGATGATGGATTCTCTCTTTTGAATAATGTTTTATTTTCTTTACTAAGTGGTGTTTGTTTGCTAAAGGAAGAGTAAAGAACAAGGTTGTCAACCCGCGGGTAGACCCACTTTGACCCTGACCCGGTGAGAAAAACGGGCCATACGCACCCGCCGGGCCGACCGCTACAAGGTACCGGGTTGGAGGTCAAATTGTGTCATTTTTTTCTTTGGTTTGCGAAATGCGCCTATTTTCCGATTTTTCTTTTCGCCTAACCCAATCTTTGGAATTCTAAGTTGAACATTTGAATATTTATGTTATATAAGTGTGTGTGAATTTTCACTATATGTTGGATCTAAGTACGATATGTTATTTTGGTGTAATATTATATGTTATAAGTCATATGCTAGATAAGATTTGATATAATTTATGAGGATAAGTACAATATAATGACTTTTTCTATATTTCCGGGCCAAACCGGGCTAAAACGATTGACCTATTAACCCTTGACTCACTAGCTCGACCGGGTCCGGGTCAACCCGCGGGTTGACAACCTTGGTAAAGAAGCTAAAAGGTTAAATTTGTAACTTTGATGTTTTTTAGGGCGACATTTAGCAATTTTAAGGGCGACCTTTAGTAACTCCCTTTATTATGGATATATGGATTGACATATTGATCTTTTTTTTTTTGAAAATTGACATATTGATCATTGGGCAATCTTCTCGTTCTCTGCCAGGAAAAAAAAAGGTTGTTTATATCAAATTATTTTGAAGCTTTTATCAATTTAAAATTGATTTGCACTAAACACAGAAGAAGACCAAAACTAAACGCCAATACATAATCAAAATTAGTAACTTTTGGATAATATTCGAGTACTTCGTATTGACATTATTAACGTTTTATGATCAATTAATATTGCTTTGCATTATCATTCTTAATGATCATAAAGCACAATACTGATTTTCAACATCTTGGGTACTTGTGACATAGTGCACCTGTGTGATTCAGTCAAACAAACATTGTCCAAAAAAATATTAGCTCAAACAAACCAACATTCACACCTCAACACCAAACTTTTAATAACAATCCTATAAATCATTGATAATGAAAAAGTATTTTGTTGAAAATAAACACAAAACATCGATGTAAAAATGTTAGACTTCAACATTATAAATGACGTCAAAATTTTAATAAAGATATTAAAAACTAATATTGATTGATCAAGTCAATGAGAATGAAATAGATTTTTGTAATAAAAATATTAATAACATTCAGATGCAATGTTTAATGTCAAATAGCACTAAAAACGCATTAATAAGTAACATGTGTTTAAGGATAATGCATCCAAAAACTTTAATAATGATAGCAACTAATGATTTTTAATTACCTTGTTAGATATTATCAATATCTTATTTTTCAAACATTGATAATGCTTATACACACCTATTAATAATGACACCAACTAAGTTACTAACTTAGACTGAAAGATTAATAACCACAGTTATCACATTAAACGTAAATTCACTTTTGATAATGTCATAAACAAACGAATACCTAACAAGTATGCTTCTTGATAATGACATTTGACAAAGTTACAAACATAAACGAAAACATATTAATAATTCAAATCACTTAACATAAGCAATCTTACAAATGAAATAAATTTTTGCTAATGGTTCTATTGTGCTTGGAAGAAAAACATTGATAATAGCACTTCAAATGATTATAAATCATTGCGAACCAAATTGATAATACGATGTAATAGTAAATAAACTTTAAGGTTCAACAAATTGAAACACACAATTTCACTTTTGCTAATGTTACAAACAAAACATAACATAAAAAGTTAATAATGTCATATAAAATTATTAAAAAACATGTCGAACAACATTAATAATAACACAAATGAATACCTAACAACGAAAAATCTCAAACCCATGCAACAAAAAGCCCTAATGATGATTCAATTTATAAATATTGATAATGCCATTACAATATGTTAATACTTAATACTAATCTGAAGTTGCCAAGATGTGAAAGAGGCATATATTTTAAATTTCAGATTTCCATTTTAGAAAAAGAAAACTATTAAATTCGGATTTTATTAATATTAAATAAAATTAATTTCATATATTTTTTAATTATAATGTAGAAAGAGGGTTATGGAGAAAATCATGGGAGGAGAGAGAAAGAGAATCATTAATTAATTATATTTGCATTACCCCATTTACCCTTAACTACCTATTAACTACTAACCATTATTAACTACCTAATCCACTATCAGCCAATAGGAAGGCTTTAAGATTCTCCTTAAAAAATGAGATTTAAGGACTTTAACTCAAGCCCCAATACCCTTAACAATTTCAATTCGATTACAAAAACGGTAACTATCAGGATAAACAGGTTTCTTATTTGTGATTAGCCGTTCTGTTAACCGAACTATTTAACCGCCCGTACAGCCTGAAAGTAAGAAGGTAACAACCCTTTAACAAAGTGCACAGCCACTCAGCCAGAGGAAAAGCCAAGATTACAAAGCTAACACAACCCTACACAACAACGGTGATTCCAACAAGAAAGCAAAAACAAACACCACCCATCCACAGACCCTTTAACTTATCTACACATACAGCCAAAAGACCAAAGAGCTAAGCAACCATGGATGTCGGATTTCCAAAAGGGGGGGGCGAAAGTTACTAAAAGGAACCTTTTCTAGTTACTGCTTAAGACAACTGGAAATGAATGAGCCAACAGCCTCCACAGCATTCATTTCAGATTCTTCTTGGGTTAACCCATTTGCCTGTAGATGCTTCTTCCCCACCTTGAGGGAGTGGTCTCCTCCATCTACAACATACAACTCAGTTTCACACTTCATCTTCTTGCGAACTGCTTCCAGCTTTTCCAGGGGGCACAGGGCATCCTTGCTACCCTTTAGTTTCACAGGGAGGAATGGAGAAAGACAGAAGCCTTAAAAGATCAGTTGGTAGATTCAACCCATCAAAACAAGCTTACATAACACAGCATGGAGATCACATACTTAAACAACAGAAACACGCTGATAATTACCGACTTACTGCCCCAAAACTGATTGCTTCCAATAAGTTGAGTTGTGGGTAGAGATCGAAATCTTGATCTTATACGATTACCGATGACAAATATCCTTGAGTTCTATCTTTCAGATTACATTTGAAAGGTTCCATAGAAGCAAAGTCAAAAGAGATACCTGAACAAACATGATGGGGACTTTAAGTTGCACAAGTGTTTCATCCCGAATCGCTCCCTTACTACCCTGAGAATCGGATGAACATGCATCTCATCATCCATCTTTGAGCAACAAAACTTAGAATGGCAGAGAGAGCTTGATAACCATATCTACGCACAGAAGAAAGGCAGGTAGACATGACGTCATGAACTACAACAAACCTTGAGTGGGTATCCCAAGCATAGTATCGCCGAAGCTGCAATGTCTGCCTCGGCGGACACCATACAGCTCACCCTACAGCAATCAAAACCAAACACAAACCATGTAAGCATCGAGCGCCTGCTAACCATTGGCAAATGAAATTAGCAGATAATAGAACCAAATCCAAGGTTGTGTCCTGAAGCTAAAAATTGTGCCAGACACCTACCTTGATCCCATAGATTTGCCAGCTAGAATCAGAGGATGTCTAGGATACTTCTCAGTGGTCTCTTTAACAATACCCTTGTGAAACTCCACCAATTTCTCCGCTTTTGGAGGAGCCCTCTTCTTCCCACCAGACAAATCTGCCAAACACAGCATTATCAAAAAAACCTGTCAAACACAGTCCAAAAGGCATAAGATAACCTACACAAGAGTCACCGCATCCCATTTACATCGCAGTTCCAACATTGAAGTCCCGGGAAGTTAGTGAAAAGGGAGAAAGTAACTAACAGGGATAATCAAAAGTGACTACTTCAATAGCACCCATAGCATTCTTCAACAACTCCTTCCACCTGAAAAATTACTGTTAGCTCTTCAGCAGAAGCTTATACCCGCCCCAATTTCAGAAAGTTATTTGAGTTTTTCCTCTAAGAAACAAGTAGCGCAATGAAGCTTCATTGAATCGTAACAGTTCATTCAGTTTCCGAGGAAAGAAAAGACAGATTGAAAGTTGAAGAGGAGAGGAAATTAGAACCTAATCATCCAATCAGAAGACGACGGAGCACCAGCTCCGTGGGCGAACACGACCACCGGCGGCAGCAACGGCAACGGCGATGATGATGTGACCTTTGCGCCTGCGTTTTTCCGTCTACGCTTCGGCGGCGGCGAAGTAGCCATGTAAGCAACTCCGACGATATTTTTTTCGTCTGTCGAAAACCTAAAATGCGTGAAATGTGAAGAAGCAGTGTAGAAGGGGACTGAATTTTCCCGCCAGGAGTTGATGGATAGGAAATGTAACGTCCCATCGACACTTGTTGAAAGTTGAAACACGCGCCAATATTGATTGGGTCTTTCTTTGGGCCTAATTGTAAAAACCCATCCCAGAAATTTGCAACCCCAATACTGGGCTGGTGGCTGTTAGGACAGCCCATGAGAATAATCAAAGGGCCTTTAAACTTGAATCTTCTTTATCTGGCCTAACCCTATATCGTGTGCGTAATCATGGATTAATGACAGAAAAGCTCACTTAGTTTGAGGTCACTAATAAAATGGTATCGCAAAATAAGAACCCTTCCAACAATTTGTATTTTTTATTTTTGAATTCGAATGTTTCTTAGCATATTGAATCTTTTATATGTGTGAGACTGTGAGTGGAGTATTCAATGAAAAAAAAATATATGTGGAAAGTTCTATTATACATAGGATAAATATGGGGTACTACATATTTTGAGTAATAAAACAGAATTTACATATAGAATTGGTTATACTTTTGGACATGGTACTATAACCTAATTTACATAACCCTTAAAGATTAAAATGCAGGTATTTTATTTTCTAAATCTTGTATACTAGGACTAAACAATTAGAAATAATGATAGACGATTATGATTCGTCGAAATACATGCAACAAACTATATGCACCATCTTACGATTTGTAATTTATGATTTATATCAATAGGAACTAGGGTTGTGGATATTATCATATATATATATATATATATATATATATATATATATATATATATATATATATATATTACGGTTTGCATGCACTGCACCATTTATACACACGTTTTATATTCTGACAAGAAAAAAGAACATATCGGATCCATAGCCATATCTCCTCCAACTAATATAATTTGCGGGATCGATACTCCCACTTGTGTCTAAGATCGAGATTGGATATGGATTTCCTAGAATGTCAAACAAAACAGGGTTTTATTTTATATCCATCCCCACATATATATCTAACTTTTCAGCATCCCTTATGGCTACAACAACGATCTTCACTAGCTAGCAGATCTTGCATTAAGATAAGATTTAGATGCCAATTCACACCTGACAATCTAATTCCAAGACAAAATAAGCTTTTTGATCCTTACGGATTAAGCAAATATAAACCACTAATTTCCTTGCCAAGATTTGTTGAAGGGCCGATCGCCGCGCACATTAATCATCAACAAAGTCATTTGCGTAATTGATTAAGCAAACAAAAGATATAGGATGGACCCAACTTAGTGCATGGCTGGCTTTTCATATCGTTGTTTGCTTCTGGTTTTATGCAAAGTCCAATCAGAAGTTCACCTTCTTCTTCACCCCAATGTAAATTTGACAAATGATCTCCACTGAGAATGATGGGAACCAACCCTTTTCTCCACGTGTATTCTGGTGGAGAATTGTTGGCAAAATCCAGATAGTGACCCGTCCTGTACAATTTTGGACTAGTATTGATGTTAGAGTTTAAAATTTGGAGATCATATAATTTTATTGAAGTGGAATTTTTCCCCATTTTAATCTGGTTGAAATGAAAGCTTTCATATTGAGAGTAAAATTTGCCCGTTCAAACTGTCAAATTGTAAACTGTCCTCACCGGTAATTTTATTCATCAAAACGATTCTATGTAGAGAAATTCGCTATTTAGATTACAAAATCGCAAATAAATCTTCGTCAATTCCAAAATTCCTTTTTAACAAATATTGGCACAAAACATGAATTGGCCCCTGGTTTTGAGCCAGGTTGAGAGGATGGAATCTGGTTTTGGGCAACTAGATGCCAAGTGTTAAGATCTGGAGAGTGGGGTGGCCCTATGGATGCCTCCAAATTCTGGATTGGCAACAAAAGTTGGTCCGACAACACTCCAATTTTATCTCCGTACTCTCAGGGGCAGAAGAAGAACAGGACAAAACCCCTTGCTATAAAAATGAGGCAAGACTTTGCAACCCCAATCTTCTCCAACACCAAGGCCTCCTCCCACTCCACTTTAAAGCCAATGGCATAGGCCATTCACTCACTCACCATTTCCATTGGATCATATCAAACCCTTTTCTCTCCTTGTTGTTCTTCACCAATTGGTTTCCTCTTTTTATGTTTTTCTATGGATTCTTACTCTCGAGGCACTTGGTTGCTCACTCTCCTTCAAGGGCTTCCGCACTCGCTCCACCCACTGAGAGATAATACTCTACCGTGGTGAGTTTGATCGGAGGCTCGATGCTGGAGAGTAAAGAACCTACGTCTTGGTAATTATGTTAGTTGGTTGCTCTGGTTTCTGGCTTCCCTCAATCAATAACAAATCCATTGTGCTAATTGAGGTACGTACGCTCGTCGTTGATTTGTACAATGATGTGTATGTCAAATGTCATAAGGTGTTTTGCCTCCTTGGTATACCCTTTAACATCTGCTTTTTTGTGTGTGTAGAATTTGACATCTACTTAAACCTAGCTCATTGAAATATAAAAATAATTACAATATTATTGAGTTCATCAATCCAACAAACATTTGTGTCATTAGTGTCCGTGCAATGTTTGATGACGAGTCTAGCTAGAACCTTCTTTATTCATCGCTCGATAACTGGCTAGTAAACATATATGAAGAGAAGACATCATCGATCATCCATGTTTTTAGTTCGAACATTACGATAAATAATCGTTTATAATAAGTTGCTCAGAGTTCACACGAAGAAAGTAGAGTTTTGTGATAATTCTATCCCAAGTAACTTCTTGCTTTTGGAGGAGAAGTAGACTATCATGGAGACTTAGTCGTTTTGGTTCGAGTTTTGTCTTCCCTCCTCTTTTCCTTGTTATAGTTATTGCAGGCAGAGCACAAGGAAATGGAGTGAAGTGAAGAACTGCCGAAGTATACGAGGGGACACGGACGCTAGCTATAGCTAGTATGATTAATTTGATGCGCTCAAGAAAGCATCATTGACGGCAGCCCTCTTGTATATATCGACTACATTGTGGAAATGTTTGCTCAGATCACTACCACACATTTATTCTTTATTTAGTGAGATTGATATACAAAGGTCAACAATGCACCATCACCATTTGTTCTGACGGCTTGGGCTCGTAATAAATGATTTGCAAGTGTATCTAGGGATTGCAATTTGAACCCAAGATTATTTGATCTGATTTATGATGCAAAGGCTATTATACAATCCGTAGTATAACGTGGGAACAGAATATAAGGAATACTTATGTCTCATTTCGTCCCATACCGTCTCGTTATTGATATGTTCTATCTCAATTTTTTGTTCCATTTATCTGTATTTTCTTCTTCTTAATTTGACTTTTCTCAAATCATAATTCCATTTAATGAGAATCCATCTACCACGAATAAGAATTTGGTCTAGTGATAATACCACTAGTTTTGAGCTTGGAGATCCAGGTTCGAATCTTTTAAGTTATAGTACTTAAATTATAAAAAGTAAACTTATATCAATATATCACCCTTATAAAAGAAAAATAAAAGAAAATGTGTATTCGATCTGACTTGAACTTTATACAAAGCATGCATGGGTATAAAAGTACATGCACCAGCACCACCCGCCCATTGCCATCACTTGAGTTGTGTATCATATAGAAGTCGGTTAATTTAGCTCCATTGCTCTTTTCTATTCATGTATGAGTTGATGATACAAACAATTAAAACATAATACAAGTAATGAACTGTATAGAAAATAACTTAAAGATGTACCAATAGTATTGGTTAGCTTCATTGCTCTTTTTTTTTATGTCAAATACAAGCAAATTCTTAATGTTTTAGTAGTTAGCATCCAAATTTATCAAACCCACACGACATATATTTACCGGTTTGTTTCTTAAACAGATGGATCCCAAGGTTAAGAGTTTGAATTAATAGCAAACACCGAAATTAATCATAATCTCTTTTCTTCCCATATTCTTGCTAAGAATCGAAGAAAAAATTCAGTAATTCTCGACATAGTGACAATGCAAGTATATCATGGATCCAGCAAATTATGGATGCGAAGCATATGAAGCCACCAATCGAGTGAAAATAAATTGCACCCAAGTGAAAAGGTTAATACTTAATGGTAATATAAAATAAATTGCACCATAATAATGTGTCATTTTCAAGGTGGTTTGTTTTTGTTAATTCCCTTTAACTTCGATATTCAAACCCACTTCAGTTTCATCGTCGTTAATTAGTTGCTCTCTAGCTATTAGGGTGCTCAACTAGACTCGAAATCCCCAAGGGATTCCTCATAGCTTGGTTATGGTTTCTTATAGTTTCCGCTGCCTAAGCTTGTTTGAAATTAATCAGCAGCTTCCTCAGCTACGATCCATCCAATGTGGAGTTGTACTGGATAATTCTATTAACTACTCTATCTCTCTAATCTATTAAACAGAGTGTAGATTAAAACTATAAGTACACTCAAATTAACCCATGGATTATGCAAGAGTGCTAGCTTAGTGGGTTAAAAACTAAAAACATGTTTTTATTTTTTATCGGTAGGAATATTTAATTACCCACTTTATTTTCCTCTCTCTGATGATGAAAGTCAAGTTTGGGCGGATAAGTCTAACAAAAAAACAAGTTAGTGTTGCTATTACTGCTGGGTCCAACAAGGAAAGGATCGGGAAAAATATGGATTTGATAACAATATACTATTTGGAGATTCCATAAAGGATTAAATTTTATATTATTTTCCAAGTGACATCCATCATTTACTATTTGTATGTGATTAAATCATACATTTATAATTATTTAGAGAAAAACTATGCTTATTCATTCATTTTACATGCATGTAAAGTTACACCAGACTCCACACCTTTTTTTGGGTATAGTATGCTCCAACTCTCGAAATCGTTACTTTTATCATTCAACTATTTCAAAATTCTCATGTTGTGTAATTCTATAATACTTAACAAAAGATGTGAAAATTTACTATTAAATATGTTAACATTCACTTAGTGTGATTCTATGAAAATTTATCTGTACAAATAACGAAAAATAACAAAAAACAAGTTTACTGGAATAGTAATATAATTACAGACAGACAATGTCGAAATCACGTTGGATTTAAAAAATTTACATTTTCCTCAACTTTTAAATAAAGATAAAAATATATGTAAAATACGTAACAAATTTGAAAAATAAATTAATTGATAAGACTTTCCAACCCCTTCCTCGACTGTCCACAATGATCGTGATTCAAATCGATCAAAATTAAAAATCTGGATTTATAAAACCATGTGATGGGGCCGGGCCAAGGGAACCAACCGTCCAAGGGTAAGAAACTAAGAATGCTATCTTCTTCTTCTTCTTCCCACTTGCCATGTGTCAGAAGAACTCAAAAGCAAGTTAGCTAGCAGCATTGTAAAGTCGCAGAGATGTTTTAGGCGTTTGTTGAAAAATGGAAGCCATTTTCTTCTGCAGGCATCTATGCCGGACGTACCTTCATAACCTTAACTAGACAAAGTGAAAGCAGCACTAGTCACAGTCGTCCTCTGAGTAGTCTGATGCACACATCAATCCATTTCCCGTTGGCCCCCCCCTGTTCAACAAATAATGGGGCTTCAATTATGGAGAAGACGAATCTCTAGCCTGTCTACACTCTGTTTTTCTTCATTTGTGATCTAAACTACTCATTTTATTCAATCGATCTATTCAGACCAATTAAGATGGCTAGTAGCTTAAAACTATTAATGTTCTTAGGTAGCTTTTAGCGGTACAAATGCTTGAATCGTTATTAAACTACAATTTCAGCTAATTATTATATCACTGATTTTTTTTCAGTACAACCTTTCGCATCAGCTTTATCATGGTTTACACACAGCAAAATCAAAAACGGGGAAAACAGAAAGAAGAACGGAGCAGCAAACAGGCCTGAATAGCTCGTTCGTCAATGGACTTGGTGGCGATTTGTGCCCTTTAATCATACGCTTAAGCTAAATGGCCTCTCAACTAATTAAGCTGATGGGTTGTCTGAACAATATTACCGAATAACTGATTATTATGAGATAATTGGGCCTACATTGGCCTGGTGTTGCTGAAGCCCGAAGCCCAACCATTTTGTGTTTCTCGCAAACCATCGTTACTGGTGCTACTTAAATATTTGTTAGCGTAACAAAATGTACAAGCTCGGGATACAGATGGTAGGAATAAACCTTAATACTAACGATAATAATAATAATTAATTAATTAAGAGCCTAGACAGCTAGAGCACCAGACCCTCTCCACTTCAGACGTCGCCCGGCCGGCGAGAAGCGCCTTAGTTAGTCAAGCAAGCTCTTGATTCTTCTCCACAAGCCTCACCCCTTCGGCGGATCGAAGCACATTGGCCTGTTTCGCACACAATTACAGACACATACAAGAGATTGGAGATATTGCAGACGTAATGTTCGACGAAATGCGGAGGTCGAGATATAACGTAACTCCGTACCTGATCTTCGGTGATTTGGACTTTGAAGCCGTCGACGATGACAAGAGAGCAGGTCTTGGTGTAGGTTCCAAGCTCCAAGGTCCTGGACAGCAACGCGTCGTGCTTCCTGCTCAGGTACACATCCAACTCATGCGCCCCTCGCTTCGTCCTAATTAATTATTTAAGTTGTTCATCAATGGCCGGTCACCAGCTCATCAGCGTTAATTAATAATTAATTAACACCCAGAAATCAAAAGTACTAAAAAAAGGGAACAAGTGTGGGGTAATTAATAATTATACTACTCACCGGTCGGCTCGAAGGCGGTCGTACTGAGGATCGTAGTTCATGAACACAAAGTAGAGCTCAGTTGGGAAACTACTGCTGCTCTCCATTTTCGCCTTTGCTGCTGCTGCCTTCTTCCTTCCTTCTAATGCTTGGTTGTGCCTTTGGCCTTTGATTCACACCTATATATAGAGAGAGGGGTAGGGCCAACTGACTACTGAGTGGCCAGAGGTTCCACATGGGTTCCCTCAGTAGTTATAATGTTCTTCCTCTAGACTAGAACGATATCTTTTTTTTTTTCTTTCAAATGTTAGATTTTCCGTTTTCTTTCTTTACATACTAGTAAGTAGTACCCTTATTAGTGGCCAAATAATAATTATTTATACAATGATAAAACTAATAAAATATTGGTTTTTGTTCGATATTACAAGTTTGAATTTTAGAGTCCGACAATAGAAATATAACTTTCTGATGCATATGTACATTTTGGATCAGACAATAAATAAATAAATAATATGTTGTCATTGTACGTTATTTTCAATGGTGGATTTGCATAATGTAAATTTTCTGTAGGTTAGGGTTCAAATGTTGATGAGATGAAATTTCCGTGGAATATATTTTGACTTCATGAGTTTAATATAACTGTGCAAGACAGGAATTGAGAAATTAAGGGGAGAATGTATTTGAATTTGAAATCTCTAAGTTCAAAACTATGTTGTATTACCATCAGAACAATATCCTCCCGTTCAAAAAAAAACGTAATTAATTAAGAGAAGAATTAGATATCATGTATGTATAAGGTGGTGGTGGTGGGCTAGTGGATGGGCGGGTTCACACATATGTTGGCTGTCCGCAATGCATGCCACTGAGCTATGGTGGTTTTCATGGCAACATGTAGCTAGCCTACCATCATTTGTTCTAGTTAATTATTTACCACTTCCTCATCTTATTTCTTTTTTTCTCGTAATTTATGGCCTTCTTTTGTTTCATTATCATCTCAAGTCAGTTTTTTTTTTATCTACTCATTATTCTACATTTCTCTACTAATAGCACTACTAGAAAAAGATCCCTCTGTTCTTGCTGGGTTAGATAGTTTACATTTCACTTGATGAAGGCTGAACCAACCAACCCAGATGGTAATAGCAAATAATTGAGGTTGAACAGTTTGTCCGTTTTCATAAATTATCATTTGTATTATCTGTACGTAGGATATAATAAACATCTAGGTGAGGGGAAAAGGTCGGTTGAAGCAAAGGGATTTCCAAGTTTGAACGGTCAGAGAGAGAGAGAGATACTACCGAGTCCGAGTCCACCGTACATGCATGACGCGGGCCCATGCCCTGCCTACTGCACGTGCGATTGGAGATTAACTCACAAATATGTGCTTCAACACTAAGTGTAGGATTAGGTTAGATAATTAGTGAATTAATTATTATTATGTTAATTATCATCATCCAAGTGGCATTTCCCAATACACGGCCGACATGTATAGCATAGTGATGACTTCCGGCGTTGACTCTGCATGCCCTCCCCTAATCCATAGGTATTAACAAAGTCAAAGTGCACCAAAACATTACTTATAATGACTTAATCTTAGTCAAACCCTTGATTCGTGCTGCCCGTGTGACCGTGTGGGTGAGCTAGCCTAAGCCTAGTATCATGTGTTAGTCTGATTCTCCACAGTACAAAATTACTGGATCCACGTGAAACACACACTTCATTGAGACATTGACTAGACCTAGCTCTTCATTTCACACTGCAAACGAATACTCAAAAGAGTACGCATCGATCGAGTCATCGAGACGGAGTATATAACTTGCTATCTTGATAGCTTGCCCTTTGATTAGAGGTGGCAATTGGATCGGATTCGTGGATTGAATTGGTGGATCCATGGATCAAATGGATTGGTGGATTCATGGATTGGATCCAATGGATTGGTGGATTCATGGATTGGATCCAATGGATTGGTGGATTGATCTATGAATCCAAATGACATCCAAGACTTTGACCAAAATGTAAATTTTGAAAAGTTTAGATACTAAATGTCATAATGAAAAAATTTAGGTACCAAAATGTAATTTTCCAATGATTTTTTCGTATAAAAATATAAATTTTAGGTACCAAAATATAAAATATAAAAATATAGGTACCAAATTGTAATTTGCTATTTGGATCCATGGATTGATTCATGAATCCACCAATCCAATTGGATTTGGATCAAATGGATTGGATTTAAATGGATTGGATTAAGTGAATAATTTGATGGATGGATTGGATTTGATTCATGGATTTGGATCCTAATTGCCACCTCTACCTTTGATGAATGCACATATGAAGCTAACCATAGTTACTTACATAGCTCACTTTCACAAGGCAAACATATATGTACTTATTAATCGCACTTTGAGAGAAATATGATCCAATAAGAGATTACTTATTTTCGAATTTTATTTGAGTAATATGTATTATCAATGTTTTTTTTTTTGTTTAAAACAATATGCTAACCATAGAATGTTGAATGAAACAAACTCTCTAAAAGAGTTCATTATAGAGCTTTACGAGTCACGCCGTCATCCTATGGACAACCCAACATGCGGCTCGTGGGACCGTCATAAAGACTACACTATCGTAAAGATAGGATAGGAGACCAAAAGACGCGCAAAACAGGGGCACGCCTAAAGGACCATCGACCACACCTTGATGAAATTGATGGATTGTCATCTAAGAAATCACCTTTTGGACACACAAACAACTAGGAGAGTCATTATATAGCAGCAAGGAGCTTGGCAACATACTACAAACTACGTGAGTAGATTATTATTAGAGTCCATAAATCTCGGAGGTTCAATTATGGTCTATGAAGACAGGTTGTATAGACTCTTTCATTTTTGGTGATCATATTATTCAAGTGGATCATAACAAAGACTACAAATAATCAACGAGTGGGTTGCTTGCAATGCAATTAATCAAATGAGACATAATTAATAAGCTAGTATGCACCAATTGTCTAACGTTTTAACACAATTTGTTGTGTCTCATAAAAAAGGACACTTTTTTTTGTGTGCAGGAAGGTAAGCAAGGCTACAGAACTGGATCAATCGGTCATGGGCAGGCCGTAAACCGTTCATGCACTCAATACATATTTAGGCCCATTTAACGAGAAATAAGCTAGCGCTAAGCTCATCAGATCAAACGAAAGATAGAGCTGGGCTACTTAGACAAGGCTTTTGTCCGTACAGATGGCCCCTAACAAAAACAGAAGCCAGAATCATCCAGTCTCTCTTAAAGTTTACCAAATATTCAGAAATCACACGTTGCAAGCAATGGTTATTTACTTTTAATCAGACACAATAACGGACGTTGTACCACATATGTTATTAGTAGAATTTCATACTTAATCCGTGGTTTAATTATGGTTCACTCGTTCTGTACACGTAAATCATATGAAAGTTTGGACACAGTAGATAATTTGGGTTCGGAATTTGGTTTTTGGATTGAATATCCTTCACCCATATGTACCAAAATTCCATGACCAACAGTCATCTATTTTCCGTCGAATATCAAAACGACTAAGTTTACGGCCCACATCTCCCGTCCAATCCGAACCCCCAATGAGAATAGGAAGACGTATCCCCCGATCGTAAAGCGCCTCCCTCCACCTTCTATCTTGCCCCGCCACCGCGCCTATATAATTCAAATTTCAACCCCACCCCTTAACTTCAAAATCTAATTCTACCATCCTTCCGATCAATATTCCCATTTCCCAACAATGGCGCGACCAACTCCCTCCACGGCTTTCTTCTTATGTATAGCCGCCGCCGCCCTCATTCTCTCAACCGTCGCCGACGCTCGCTACGATCTCCCCGATTTCCAGGTGAAAAAACCCACCACAACGACCGATGATCCCATCCTCCTCCTCCCGAGCGAGAAGCCAGCCGCCGCGCACGCGGGAGATCTGCAGGACGCAGCCGAGCCGGCGAAGCAGGAGGAGGAAGAAAAGAAGACGGTGGAGGAAGAGGTTCCCTTGACGGCAGTTAGATTCCGTCCAATCAACCGTCACTTCGCCATCCGTCCAATCCACCTTGTCCACCGCGGCGGGGCCCAGAGGTGCCACCACGGCCAAATCGTCAGCGGGCTCAGGCCGTGGACCCCGCGTTACGGCCACCACCCTTACGGTGGCCAGGATTTGAATTCGGTCAATCCGCCGTTGCGATGGGGGCAGCCTGCTGACTACAAGCATAAGAGGCCCGCAGTCATCGATCTCAGCAACGACGTTATATTCCCTGACGGGATCGAGAGGCCCCGCCGCGGCGATGCCGAGCATCGGAACGAGAACATGGTCCTCAACAAGATTCGCAAGTTTCTGCACCAATTTTGAAGGCAGGATACATCCATGGGAATTCGAATTTCGCCTACACGGCAAGGAATTATTCTTCCCTTAAAAAAAAAGGTGTATCTTTAGATAGTTGTAATTACTCTATTATTATTCGGGTTCCCCCAACTGAACTTGCTCGCTGAAATATTTGCTTTCAGCTATTTTATTGTAATTAATTCGATATTCTGATATTCGGAATGAAATGTATTACCTTTTGTGTTATAAATCTGAATCGTCCCAATCCCTTTTCACCCGGCGAAGGCCGAAATGAGCCAATTATATGGATGTTACGATGAGATTGATAAATTTACAAACTGAATCAATTGAATTTGGTATTCGAAACTCGAATTAGAATGAACATTGATTTGATTTTCTACCTATTATTATGTTACTATTTTTGGTAAGATAGCCCATTCATATCCAACGAAAAAAAGATATATAGCCCATTCAGCTGTTGTATTTTATACACATTCCGGCCCATTTGATCACAGGCACAGCCCAAACCACAGTCCGCTCTTTTCTTGTTCTGCTCCCGCGCACTAGATTAGAAGTTAGTCGAACGAACCGCCGCCGCTTTTCACCTTGGTCGCCTCTCGAGCAACAATGGAAGGAGAAGAAATGCAATTCCATGCGGCGGACGGAGCCCTGGCCGAGTCTGGAACTAGCAAATCCAATGAGGCATCCTTGCAGAAGAAGCACCAAGCAATGATCGGTCGACTGTCGAACCGCCATCAATCGCGAACCGGAGGTAGCGGCGGCAACAGCACCAGATCCGCCGAAGATGATAACTCCGTCTCCACCGCCGCCTCCTTCGCGACCAAATTCTCCGAGTCCAAGCGCTCGATCCACTCCCTCATTGCTAACTCCTCCTCCGTCGATCCGTCCGCTCTCAGATCTCACCTCGACGGGATCTCCTCCTCCATCGCCGCGCTAGAGCAACTCGTCGCCGAGAGTTCCTACTCCCTCCCTTCCTACGAGCTCCGATCCGCCCTCAAATCGGTCGCGGAACTCAAGCAGGCGGTGGAAAATCAGAGCGCCGAGCTTCTGCCGAAGAAGAAGTTCTCGTTCAGGAACAAATCGGCCGCGACGGCCACCAAATTCCCAGCAGCGGTTCAACCGAAAGATCCCGGGCTCCCGAAGCAGCAACCACCGGTCCTCGTGATTCGAGATTCGCCGGGGCTTCGGAACGCCAAGGAGGTAACATTGACGAAGAATTTCAGAGGCTTGGGGATCGGTGAGTTTACTGTTGCCGATTTGGATGGTTGTGAAGTGAGATTGATTGGCTGCATCAATGCATTGTTCTTCAATAGATTGAGGAACTGTAGGGTTTACACCGGTCCGGTTATCGGCTCGGTGTTGATCGAGCAAGTTGAGAACTGTGTGTTTGTATTGGCATCTCATCAGATTAGGATACACAATGCTATTGGGTGTGATTTTTACCTTAGGGTTAGGAGCAGGCCGATTATCGAAGATTGTTCGAGGGTGAGATTCGCGCCTTACTGTTTGAGGTATGAAGGGATTGAGAAGGAGCTGAAGGAAGCAGGGTTGGGAGATGAGAGTGGGAACTGGGCAAATGTGGATGATTTCAAGTGGCTTAGAGCTGTTCCGTCGCCTAATTGGTCGGTTCTCGAGGAGAGTCAGAGAATCGAGTGTTTCGAGATCAATGAATCCATAGATGGAAATGAGAATACCCGAACAGACTGAAAACCCTAATCCATTTAGTCTCCAAGAGGTTGTTTCTCTCCCATTCATTCTCCGTCGTGTTTCCTTAAACGAGGTTCGGATGTGGGTGGGATCCGGGAATGCTAATCATAATGCAGAACTCCTGAGTCTTGTCCAAGAAGAGAAGAGGATTCATATCGCGGTTTTGGTGCATTGCTGAAGGAATAATTAGGTGTCTCTGCTGTTTATTTTGGCTGTCCAGCTCTAGTTTATGGGTCAATTCCCTTTTCCAGCCCTATGTGAAGTGTGGTGCTTGATCATGGTTTAAATTTGGTGGGGAATCCTGTTGATGAAAGGATTTATCAAGTCGGGTGATCAGTTGATGATGGATCTGGGATCCTCTGTAGTTGTTTTCCTTATTTCATTGACCATAGATTTCTCAATTAGATCTTGGTCGTGTTTCCTTAATCGATGTTGAAGGTGGGTAGGATTCGGAAATGCTAATCATAATGCAGAACTCCCGAGTCTTGTCCAAGAACAAAGAGGATTCATATCGCGGTTTTGGTGCATTGTTGAAGAAAAACCTAGGTGCCTCTGTAGTCCGTTCTTTATTTCGACTTTCTAGCTCTCGTTTATAGAGTGAACTGCAAGAAGGTTGCTGTGCAAAATGAGAAGGAAAGTTTGGAGGCAGGCTGTTAGCCCCCTATGAAGTGTGGTGCTTTATCTTGTGCTAAATTTGATAAGGAATCCTGTTGATGAAGGTTTATGAAGTCAGGTGATCATTTGACGATGGATCTAGTTATACATTTCTGTATTGATTTCCTGATTTCGTCGAACATGAATTTTGCAAATAGATCTTAATGATCTTATATCATTCTATTACGACAATGAATAATGTAATAATAAATTTGAAGCAAACCAAGAACTGAAAAGGGCAGGATATATAGCCAGTTTGCTTTACAACAACACTCCAGATTTCTGAAATACTCATCGAAATCGGAGCTCGATCGATGGTGAACAAAGGAACGGAAACTAATTGATCAGAGATTTTGGAAGTGATCGGAGCAACCACCGGCGCCATTAGTGGAAGCGAGCTCGAAGCAAGGGGAAGGGCTGACCTGAACGGAACCTCCGCTGACATCAGAGCATTTCCATGGCGGGGTATTGGATCTCGTCCTCTGAGCGCTGTGGAGGTTGATATTCGATAAGCAAACTCCCTTGAACGGAGCATCCTTCAAACCACGAATCAAACCAGGCTGAATAACCCTCTGACCCCAGATACCGTTGAGCCTCACCCCTTTGACGGCGGGGAGAGCGTTCGGGTTGAAGTTGCCGTCCGGGTGGTCGCCGACGTCGCCGGAGATTTTGATCCCTGTTCGGACGTCTTCCATGTAGACGTGGGAGACGGTGATGTTCCTGATGAAGCCTCCCCTGCCCATGTTGGTCTTTATGTGGATCCCCACCCCCATGTTGTACAGGTTTATGTTCTCGGCCAGGACGTTCTTCACTCCGCCGGAGGTTTCGCTCCCGACTGCGATCCCAGCGAACGGGGATGAACCCGTGATCCGGCGGATGGTGATGTCTGTGCTGGGGCGGCCGAATGCGATTCCGTACTCGTCCCAGCCGCTCTTCACGGCGACGAGGTCGTCGCCGGTTGAGATGTAGGAATCTTCTATGCACACGTTGGAGCTTGAATCTGTGTGGTTTTTTGAGAATGAATTCATTTGAGTTGATTGAGTTCTGTAATTAGAAGAAGGAAATAATGAAGGGATGGATTGCTACCTGGATCGACTCCATCGGTATTAGGAGAGTCATGGGGAGCCAGGATGGTAACGTATCGAACCACAACGTTGCTGCAAATCATAAACCAAAACGTTAAAAGCCCAAAAAGGAATCAAGAAAACCAGAACCCGTATCGCTACATATACAAGAAGAAGAAGAAGTTGAGGAGATGATTTACCTGCTATAAACAGGGTGAATGTTCCAAAAGGGGGAGTTCTTGAAGATGACGTTGGAAATGATTATGTCACGTGAATTCATGAACTCAACGAGGCTCGGTCTGGTATACTGAAGCGTCCGCTGCCTCCACATATTCCACCAAACATCTCCTTGCCCGTCAATGGTGCCATTCTCGCCTATGGTTACAACAACACTACTTCATGTCAGTTTTAACAAAATCTAGCGTAAATGCTCAAATGTCGGGGGACAACAAAACCCTACACACACCAAAAGATAGAACATGCAACTTGGATGCTTGCTTGCATTCAGGGCAGGCATGAGTACATAACAAGCAGGGAAATGATAGCCTATATAGGCTTCGACAACCAACCAGAAAAGATTGAGCCAAGACCATGCAAAAAAAGTCCTTACCTGTTATGATCACGTCGTGCACTCCATCCGCATGAATGAAGCTCATGTACCTTGCACCAGGGAGTTCTCTCCCTCTTCCATAGGATGGCAAAGGAGCAACCAAAGGCCAATTCCTAGTTTCCTGGACCACCAACCAGTGTCAAAAACTTGTCAGAGAATGCTTGGAAACCATCCAAAAGTCTCATGAGCTAGCTAGCAAAACTAAATAAGACAAGCATGGGTTAGCTGCAGACTGCAGTGCTGCACAAACATGCTAACAAGACAAAAACTTTACACATACCAAATATGGAGCAGCAAACCAACAAGGAAAGAAAAACTAAAAGCTACACAAAACAAATGAATCTTAGTTGAAATTCAGAAATGTATGGCAGAAAACCCCGGGAAGAGAAAGCAGCAACTCAAGAAAAATCGCATCCAGCCAGCCTTCATAATTGCTGTTTATTAAAGAACGTTTTCCCTTCCTGGGATCCAGTACTAATATCGGAAACAAGTTATCTAGCTCTGGTAGAGATAAAAACAGAGGTCCGCTGTCTTCAGTGATGAATGATCCCAAATCTACAATGCAATCCTCATGCTGGATCACATGATGGTGGAGCCAAGTGAACATTGTTGCTATGGTATTGGTATGGATGGGCCATACAAAGAAGTGTTGAAATTACTCTTGCCAGCTATTCGTTTGTCCAAGCACCAGAGCACAGTTGCCCCCTTTTCAGCAATTAATTAAGCCGCTAAATGTCAGGCACATGCATCGACGGTCTGTCAGACCCACCACCAAACCAAAATAATGAGGCCCAAAAACTTATAATACATAGCACAAGTGTCCACACATAAATCCGAACAAACCTCCTCTTGGTCTCGATTGATGAATAATATACTACATTAGGTGTTTCTATGAAAGAACACAATCAAAATGAATCATATCGACCATATGTATGGGGTTTTGTTATATAAATTAATTATAAAAGACGAATTCGGTACTATATATAGTTGTTGTTTTTTTAATAAAATTATATATATAGTTATTTAAGAGGAAAAGTGCGATCATTATTAAAAACAAAATGATGTTTGTGAATTAGGAATTTGTAAGCTTTTCAATCAAAATTTTAGATATTGATTCAACATGTATGTTTTAGAAATAGATGGAACCTATCTATGGCACAACTAGAATTTCGAGAAATATACACTACTAGTATTACTATATTGAATTATTGCATCGATGATTAGGAATCGTGTAAACACTCGAAATTCAGGATGCACAGACAGATAAGTACATTATCTTAGACAAAAACATGTAATATAGTTGGAATACAGAGGCCATAAGAAAACGCTTTTGAAGTAATAATTATGCTTCATATGTTTCCCAATCAATGACTTTGCTGAAGGACTTACTTTTTAATAATGTACTTCCTAAAACCGCTAATTGAGGGATGTGACCCTATGAGCCGCTTTAATTTATTACTTCACTTGCTATAATTTTACCCAAGAAAAGCATCATTCGTGCCCATGAACTTTTAAAGACTTAAATTATTTTAATTATGATTATATTATTAAGAAAAATAACAATTTATATTAATATTTTGGTTTTATGTGATATTAGGAAAGCACCGACATCAAATCTGAAATTCGCACTAAGCAGTCAACCAAAAAAAAAAAAAAAAGAAATTCGCACTAACCTAAACATCATATTACCACAAACACTAATGGAGTTGTAAAACCAGTTAATCACGATTAATTCCGGTTTTAAGAATATGTTCACATGAAAATTCAACAATTAATTAGTTCATTAATCAATTACCTAAAAATGGGGGGAACAGGAAAAACACACCTGAGTGGCTTTGATAACGGCGCCTCGAGCCAAGTAGAGGGTCATGCGGCTGGTGAGGTTGAAGCTCTCCGTCAAATACTCCCCCGGCGGTATGTAAAGCAGAGTGCCGCCGCGCCTCTTCAAATGCTGGATCCGGTAAATCGCTTCCCTGAACGCCTTGGTGTTGAGCGTCTTACCGTCGCCTACGCCGCCGAAGTCGGCAATCGATATCTTGTCGTTCCGGTACCTCATCGGGACTATCCCGGAGCAGGTCGGCACTTCGCCGGCCGTGCCGGTCCAAAGCGACGCCGCGGCGGCGCAGAATAAGAGGAGGAGGGAGAGTGGGAGCGGGGACATCTCCTTGGTTGAGGAAATCAAAATCAGAGGCGGTTGATGTTGGATAACTCCAAAAAAATGCTAGATCTGATGAAGAGGGGAACGGTACAAGGAGAAAGCTCCGAAAGCGAAGTTTCGGAGAGGGATTAAAGAAATAAGAGAGAAAGAGAGAGAGGAGATGTTGGTGTTGTAGATGTGTATTTAGAAGGAAGCCATTAAAGCTGAGCTTTGTCTGGGAGTGTGAGAGTCTTCAAATGGAGGAATGGAGAGAGAGAGAGAGAGAGAGAGAGAGAGAGAGAGAAGGCAAGCTCTGGATTGACCGTTGAGCGGCGAGCAGAGAGCCTTACGAGTTATGAGGAAGGATTGAGACACCGACTTTGTGTTTGTGAAGGGAAAGCAGAGAGAGCTGTAGCAAATGAGCACAACGGAATGGACCAGAAAATTTCTTTGTTTTTCTACAATAATAAAAATGCCAATTTTGTGCTTCAAAGTTTTCTAATTCTAATTACTAATTCATTGATCTTGATATTGAAATATGATGGCTGGTTAATTTTGACCTCAAAACAGTTTATTATGATAAATGATAATATTATAATAATTTTTTCAATGGGACAAATTATTTTAACTTAAATACAAATTGGAAAACACTTGATTGTTACAAATGATTTTAGCTGAAATAAAATGCTAGAGCAATTGATAAAATGAATGTGACATATTTCGTAGAAAATCCAATGTTAATATATATAAGTATTTCACTCAAATGTCATTAACATGAATAGAAAGTACTATACATGTATTTTATCCATGATATTAATAGTAAGTACGATAAGGCTGGGTCTGGCGGCTTGCCTAACCTTGACCGCTCATTAGCTGGGCTTCACCTTTTGACGAGAGCGCAAATCCAACCCACCAAGTTATGTGGGCTTTATTGAAACCATTACAATGGGCTCAACATTTTACCGAGCCCCGTCAGCGTTTAACGCGGGCCGTGGCCCAATTAGTGTCCGACCACCGTATTTAGCTTGTGGTGGGTCATCTCGGTGACAAGAAAAAGAATCCAATTAACCAAAGAAAATGCTTTTATAATCACCCAATTGCTGACCTGAATAAATCTATCAATTAGGGCTAAAAACAACCTCACAGTAAAAAAAGACCATCCTGGTGACACCTATTTGGCTCAACATGCATCACCAGATAGACACCTGGCAACCATTCAGCGAAGCATAAAATTATTGTTCAAGTTACTTGGCTGCAGCTGTAGCATAAATATTAAAAACATATTCCAACCCTAGCCAGGACTAGCATGAACACTGCCATACTACCAATAACCTAATAAGTAACATGGCCTCAATGTTCAGTTATTCCCCATCACAGAATTTTTTATTTTTCTTTTCTAAAAGGAGGTTGAACACCATCCCCTTACATTAAACACGACAAATATAACCACTTCAAAACGAGCATATGTGGCCCAATATTGAATATCGTAATCAGCTAACGAAATTACATGCAAACCTTGTGAACCACACAATAATCTAAACAATGGGTTTTCATATAAATATGGATAACACAAACTAACACTCTTCAATGTCTGAAAGACTAAACCATCTCAAACTCAATGACGGCTTTCTTACTTCTTAGAGGGGAAAATATCATTTTCCTTTTGGTTGTGGAAAATATCAGGAACCAGACTACCATAACCAAAGAGGGGAAAGCTCATGGGCTGCAGATTCCCCCTCTGCCCATACTTTTACCAATCTTTACTTTGCCTTTACAAACTTTTCAGACTCCACTCTTTTACAAAAAGTCCATTCCGTAAATGGGCCAAGATTTATTAAATTCACTGAACTTGATACCCATTACCCACCCACCCATACCTCCCATCCTCCTTCGGCTTTTTGGGTTGGCAAACACACAGCCGTCAGTCTTGTCTCCCACCTCAAACCTCCCTATTTGGGTACAAGATTATCAATACTTTAGTTAGGCCCTAATGTGCTACATGTTTGGAGTCATATCTAATCTAATTGAATGATTTGTATGACAAATAGTCTCTCCTAGGTCTTTACCATCTAAATCCATTCAAATCAAAAAGCAAACCAGATATTTTTGGAACCAGCATGACTCATTTGGAAACTTGCACAATCATTCAATCTAAGAGCATCAATTTAGAAATGATATTCATTGCACAGAAGCACATGCGTGCATAATCCATGAGAACTAGTGTCATATTTGGTTTTCGATATTATAAGCATCTCGTCAATTAATAATATTTTACATCAATGGTGGAACTACTAGGTTGAAACTAGGAGGGACTATAGTCCTCACTCGATTTTGAAATACAGGTAAAATTACAATGTAAAATTTGCATACATTTAGGAATTAGAATAGCTAACATGGCTTTAGCCCCCTTCTCTCAATTACGACAATTCAAGTCAGCCCTCCCCCATGCACTCGGTTGGATTTCTGACTTCGCCACTGTTTTACATCACAATATTACTAACTAAATATAATTACTCATAAGATAATATTTTATTCAGATCGACTTCTATATTTATGATGTTAGCATGATCAAATACTACTTGGCAACTACTAGTACTAGGGGAACACCTTCAGATAACCCTGAAAAGGGGGTAACGAATATAAGAGAAAGTATCTGATCCATGGCCAAGTAGCCCTCTGCCGTTTCACTTCAGCATCATTCTGCATCTCTCTGCTACTAAATCCTCCACCACTTTCCCCCACTCGGCCACTTTCATTTTCAAATCCACGCCACCAATCACACTCAGTCACGCATTGCCCGCTGCCTTCCGCTTCCAGATCTCCCAAAATCTCTGCTCTGGTTCGTATCATCGCCAACTTCACGAGACTTAGATGAACAGTTTAAAAGTCAAAAGCTCTCACTCTCTCTGAAAATATCCATCATGTGAACCAAATCTGGAAACTGCAATCTACCCTCCCAAATCTTCAACCATTATGACAAAAGCAGACAGTACTACGATGGTAAAATGCACTTCCCGTGTAACCGAGCACAATGCATGCAAACTGGGATCACGAGAACACAGATATGCAGAGGAAAAGTGGAGTTCTTAATTCTTATCGTCACGGAAAATACAAAATATTTACAGTCAGAGATGAACACATACTCCGTGTTATTGAAGCACCAGAAAGGATAACAAAATTCTAGAGAGAAAATCTGCCTGTTTGGTTTTTGGTGTTTTTCTGGAAAACCCTAGTATAATAGACAGTCGATCGATAGATAGATGACGACGAGGTTGACAGTAGTTAGCTGGTATATAGACAAATCACAAGGAGCCAGCCAAATGGAGAGGGTAGAAGGAGAAGAAGAGGATGATAAAAACAGGAAGGAACATCGACTTAGCCAGAAAGAAGGTTTACCAACACTTACAACCCCTTATGTGAATATGAAAATGAGAAAAAAGAACTAGTTTGTTTGTGGATTCTTCCTTCCTTTCTCCATGGGCATTGACATCCAAGAGAGATAGAGAGACTCGGGTTTGGGATATGTTTTTCTCAAATCCTGTCTATCGGTTCGGTCTGGTCTTGCACAGCCAACCGCTCCGAAACCTCTGCCAATGACTTCAGGTTGCATTTGATCAGAGCTTCGATGAAGTAACAAGTCTCGTCCTTCGTATTCCCTTCTGGAACGTCCACCACAAAGGACTCGATTACCATTGTGCCTGGTCTCCCGTCGATGACCTCTGGGTGGACTGAGACCGTGGACGAGTAGTTCTGTAAAAATTTTGAGGCAAACAAATGGCAGATAAGTTAAGGCAAACAAAGGCCAAGAGCTGGACAGCTAGTTCATGATCGAAACATAAGTCGAAAGATATAATTATAGATGGATAGTAGCAAATGGGTGCAAGGTCATGGACATCAACGTTGGATTATTGTAAGTCAAGAAATTCCTTCTTAAATGTAGTTGATATGTCAAGGAGAAGAGGATTTTGCACAAAACCATTGTCTGGTGGAGCCAAAAACATGTGCAAACTCCATGGACTTAAAAATTCATGAAGGTACCTAATCTGTGGGTCTCTGAAACTCATTACGACTAACAGCCTCATCCATTCATCTCTAAAAGTACTAGTGATCGTATTCAGGGAAATTCATAAGTGTCACAATCCAACATCCAAATGAACCCTCACAAATTTCTTTACGGAAGAAGCACGACAGACCAAGTGAGGAACTAATTGGCTAAACTACAAAGAACGATTCATTGCTAGCAGTTAAGAAATTATGCACTACTTTCCTAAATAATACCAGTTGAAGTACCAGACACTCATAATCTAATCATCAAAATTCCTTTACCCAATTGAAGATTAGCATGCTTAAAGCAGCAATGCACGATGGAAGATGAATCCTAGTTATATCATTAAGTGAGTGGCGAAGTTGGATAGAACAGCAACATGGGAAACACAAAATGACTAGAGAGAAGTTCTGAAAACCCCAGAACAAGCATCAAAGCAAGTACCTTGAGTCTGTGATCTCCGCCTACAATTCTCATGGCTATGATATGTTCCTCATCGTCGAGTTGCTCCAATCTCTCGGTGCTAGTAGTAGCCGGAAGCCCTGACTTCACATTCACTTCCCTAAGGCTACCAATCCCAAGATCTCCCTGCACAATACACCTACTAACAAATGGCTTATACTTCTGCGGTTGATCAAATCGTCTCACCAATGACCACACCTGATAAATTTCGCCAAGCAAACACCCAAAAATCAATTCAAACACCGGCGGCAATATAGTGTAGCAAAAATCCAAACGAATCGAAAAAACAAAACAGAAAGAAACAAATTGAAACAACTAACTGCAGCAATTCCCCCAACTTCAATCCGCCTAAACCCTAGTCAACTAGATCCAATTTTCCTCATCCCAGCCCGAGTTTTCTCATTACAGATGCGGATATTCATTCCAGCCAGAACTCGTCCGAAAAGGAATCGGGACGTAGCAATTCGAATCGGAATTTCCAGCAGAAAGTCAAATCGGAAACCTCCAAGGAAAGGGGAAGAAGAAAAGACTCTGGAAAGAAAAGAAAAAAAGTTGAAGGAGGAGAGGCTCACGAGATGGAGAGGAGCTTTGACGTGCTTAACGAGGGAGGAGCTACACTGATTGTCTTGAACCTGGTGGTGATGGTGCCTTCTGATGTACTCGTCCTCCACCCTGCTACACGCATTGCCGTTGGGGACGACGACGCAGTCGTCGTCGGCCCCCATGGAGGCGGCGAAGAAAGCCACGGTGGACGACGGAGGAGGAAGATCGGAGGCGGAAACCGGGAGAGGAGAGAGAGAGAGAGAGGTGGGAGAGAGGGAATCGGAGGAGGAGGAGAGAGTTGTCAACGGAAGCGTCCAGAAAGCACCGCCATGGGGGCACTAGTAGGACTAGCAGCCCATCCAATAGCGAAAGGTCCAGAGCTCCTCATCGTTTTCCCCCTTTCGATTAATAATAATTAAATATTTTATTAAATGATAAATAAAAAAGCCCCCCCGAAAAGAAAATAGTCGCAATAAATGGCAACTGGGCCCTTTTGTTTTTTCTTTTTGCGGGTTTTTAATTTATTCGCAACTGTACTTTCTTGCTTGCTTTGGCGTTTCTCTCGTCTCACCCTCTTTTTTCATACTTCCAACAGCTTAATACCTCAATTTGGAACCGGATGGCAATTTGATCCCGTTCCGTTCAGTATTTATCCGACTGATGTTGTCACCAAGAAAATTAATTAATTAAGCCATGTACAATTCCACTTCGAACATTTAGCATTTTTTTTTAATAAATCGGATGAAATAACAAATCAGAGAAGGAAAATATATATACAAAATGGGAGTTGGAAATGGAGAAAATAAAAATAGCCTACCTAACCATGGTATACACGGCAGATAGCAACGAATGAGGAGAGGAGAAGGCGGAGGTCTTGTGGCGGCAGTTGGGAAGTCGGCTTCGCTTTCGCTGCGAGTCAACTTCCTCCGCCTCCTTCGATCTAATCCTCATCTCCAGCCACAGCCAGCTCCTACAATTAGCAAAAATAAAATCATGCATTATTCCAAGACCAATCCAAATATAGAAAACAAACCATCAACTTCATGATTACACTCCATATTGATTTATTTTGCTCAAAAGCATGGCAAGACTTTGATTGGTCATTTAGTTAATCCGGTGCCATTTTCTGATGTAGAGTTGGAGATATTTTGATGAATGAACTGAGTAGTCATTAGTGTTGGAAGTAAAAAAAAAAAAATTGGTATTGTGTGTTTCTGTTTTTTTTGGTTCGGTGATTGAAATTCGGTTGGAAAGACTCTGGTTTTTCATTTTTGAATTAAGCTATTTCTGAATTTCGAACTAATTAGCATGCAATTTGGTTTTCGATCGGTTCGTAAGAGTGTGCACAAACCGGATGCCCACCCCTAAAAAAAAGAATCAGACAACAATATATTTCATTGAGAATTAAAATATCAAATGAAAAATCTAAACCACAAAACGACCAATTATTTTGATATCTAAATATTATGAAATATCCAACGAAAAATAATATCGTGCAATAACATTTGTTACAGAAAATGAGAGAACGCCAATATAAATTAGGTCAAATTATTTCAGAGATGAAGAGTTTCACTTGTTGGTAGTAACACTAGGGTTGAACTACGACGTGGTATATGTTAAAACTTGAAAGGTAAGGGATTGTTTGCTAGTTTGATTTTAAAATTTTGTGTTTTGAGTTTTGAAAAACTTTGAGTTTGTGATTGATTGTTCCATTGTAAATTCGAACGAGATAATTATTTGTTTAGTTGGTCTTTCATCACTAATTTGTATTTTTCATAAATCATTCTATTCACCAGACAAATTTATAAATAAAATGTGTGATTTATAAATCTGTAGTTACATATATTTGAATTAAAAAAAAAGACAACCAAATATATGATGAGCCCCACAAATCTGGCTTCCCCTTTCCTCACCTTTAAGAAAATTTAAGGCTATGTAATGCATTACATCGAAGGGGAAGAGGTTAATCACACGGTACAATGAGATAGGTATTGATGGATAAGGCTTGACAACAAGTATGAAAGAGATGTGCTAATTTTAATTTAAGATTAACACAACCAAAGAGTTGGACTTTTATGAAAACTGAAATTTACATCACAATGCTTCTGAAATGATAAGCTGACCATTAGAATTGTTAAATTCCATCAAATTTGACCCAAATTGTGCACATGCTGCTAATACAACACAATTCCTCCACTGGTAGTTTCTCACTATAGTCTGTAGCCAACACCGATTGAGTTCGTGGACGTTTTGTAACCCTAATTTTGACCGGAGATTAGGGCTTATTAAGATGACGTTTTGCGCACAGTATGTCATATAATGAGCAAGCCGTGATTGTATATCAAAAGATCAAAGCTGATATTTTTGGTTCCATTTGTGGTACTATTTTGGTAAATCAAGTTAAAACTTATTTCCGTTGATATTTTTGTTATTAAAAAATCATTTTGTCTAAGGGATGGATAATTTAAATTCATAATATGATCAATATCCTGATGCTCACATTTTCATTAGACTAGTCAATTGAAATTTTTAACAAATAACAGGAGAAATTGGTAGTGGCCAGCAAGAAGTAAAGAACAAACACCACCGTCCACCAACCCATTCTCACAGACAAAGCCCACATATTTAACCTAAGAAAGAAGTCCACGATAACATCCTGATAAGCCTGGATAGCCCACCTAACTCGCTAGGAAAGCTTAGCAGGCCCATGAGGCGATTAAAATGCTTTGAAGGCCTAGTCACTGAATGAGTCCAAGCCCATTTTCTTACAGGCCCTCTGTCTCGCTGCCAAAATAGAATGTCAAATCCAGGATTTGTGCCCTTAACTAATTACCTTGCATATAGTAATAGAGTTAGCAAAATCACGATCTAATTACTAACCCATTCATTAAATATATATATTTTTATAAATTGGGTTCCACTTTCGAAGTACAAAATTTCACACGGTCCCACCTGAAAAATTTTGTAAAACCACGATCGTATCATCATATTGTAATATGATCGGGTTTTGCAGGACGAGATTTTTTTACTCTATCCACTCCTTTTTTTTATGAATTCCAATGAACTCGTGAAATAATTCCCATAAATGAATAAAACCAAGTTGTGTCAATTTTCCACGATTAATTAAACAAACAATGATATTTTCTCTCTCTTCAAAATAAGAGATCGAAATAACACTTCTTTAAAATCACAACTTTAGACTGTCAAAATTAATTAAAACACAGTTTTTAGTTAAAATTACTAGTTTTTATCTCATGCGAAATAATAATAGTTAATCACAAACTATTTTTAAACTACAGTTTTTAGTCTTTTAGACTTTCGTGCCCTAATGGTCGGTTCCATGTGGACCAAAAGTTGTTCCCAAACCCCCCAAGAAAACAACACAAAGAGAGTCAAAACTATAATTTGACAAAGATCCAGGGCAACCCATCATCCCCTCATCCAAGTGTTATCTTTGCAACAACGCTAAGTCTCGACTAATCTGCAAAAGAAAACAGAGATGGGAGTGGACCACAGCCCTGCAGCAATGGATAAGCATTTGCTGCAGATTGGATGGAAACTGGTATGAAAGTCACATCTGGCAACTGGATCATCATCCAAAGAACCGAATGCCGTGGAGGAGGAGCATTCCGCTTGATTCAGATGTGTCACTTTTAATGCATGCGAAACATACGAAGAAAGAAGAGCATGAGAGTTTGCCTACTACTCAAGACCTACAAACAGTAGGTACCAATCGTCCAATCATACAAAAAGAGTGATGAGTCTCCCATCGTTGCGAATTATTGATTGGTTAATATGCACTTCATATGAAAATGTCTACCAAAATTATGTAAATCTCAATTTTGATATTCATCGCCACGTTTGAGTTACTATGAAAATCGGTTGTTGAAACGACATTCAAAGCTTAAATTTCGTTTCCATGCTTCAAAATGTGGATTGTCCAAGAATTCGTCAACAACTTAGATATAAATTAAGACGGTTACAATAAATGGAAATATCACCACTGTATTATTGTTAAACAGTCCTAACCGTACTTATTAGAGCAAAGCAAACATCGTTTACGACGGCTCTGGAAAATACATATATGGCCTCGGGTAAAAAACAAGGCCTATATACTTTTACTGCCCGGTAAATTGTGAAAAGTGTACCCTCTCGCCTGACCACCAACACACACCAATAATGCAACGAAGAGAAATTCAACTTTCTCCTGCATCTCATCCTCGCCACTCTGCCACCAAAAATCAACCCCAATCCCAAGTCCCAACCTTTCTAATTACCCTGCATCTCTCTCTCACAATGGCGATCATCAGTTAGCCAAAACCTCCCAAATCAGTTCCAAATCATAAGACGGCATTCTCGCCAGTGAACATCCACCGTCCATCACCATCTCCTCCTCCGGCGCCATCCCCGCATACTCTGTTCCCGCCGTCGCCGTCGACGTCGTCGAAGAAGACGACGGCGAAGGCGACGGGGACAGCGAATGCGGCTCTTCCTTCGTCATCACACATCTTCCACTCTCACGGTTGTCCCCTGAAGCAGCAGAAGAAGAATTGCTGCTGTTGCTATTACCGTTGGCTTTCTTCGCGGCGATCTTCTTAGCTCGCTCCCTTTTCAATTTCTGACAGATTGCCTGAATCTTGGCGTCCACGGAGGTCTTTAGGGAATTCAATTTCGCCGAATCGATAAGCCCCAATTTGATTGGGTCGTCGACATTGGGGAAATTCAATCGCGCGTACTCTCCCCTGAGCTTGTAGGCGGCGCGGTCGTAAGCGTAGGCGGCGGCCTCGGCGGTTTCGTAGGTGCCAAGCCAGACACGCATCCTGTTCTGCGGGAGCCGAATCTCGGCGACCCATTTCCCCCAGTGCCTCTGCCTCACACCTCTGTACAGCTTCGTCGCCTTCGCCGCCGCCGCGGGGAACGGCGGATTGCTCCTCTGGAGTAAAAAGGAGCTCTGGAGGGAGTAATTGTTCGAACCGAAGATGGTGGCGGTTGTGGTGGTGGTGGGTCTGTTTTGTTCGATGAATTTCTGGAGAAGCTCTCTCTGGTGGAGGTAGACAGAGGAACCGAGCGGCTCTGTTTTGGCCGGCGGTGATGGGTTGTGATGGCTGCAGAGGGAGAAGATGGAATCGAGAGTGTTGGAGCCTGCGCCGCCCATTAGTATGAGCTGGGAGAGGGAGGTACTGATGTCGGTATCGGTGGAGAAGGAGTAATTGTTGTTGCCTTGGAGAGCTTCCATGGCTGGGAAATTAAACGAGTTAATGGGGTGAAAAACAGGGGATGGAGTTGAAACAGAGAGAAGGGGATTTGGAAGGAAACGAGGACTTGCAAAAAAACTGTCCTGTGTTCGATTCCTATTGGATGGGCAAGTGGCAAAATGGAGGGTTTTGAAGGAAGGCAATGGAGGAGGAGAAACGAGCTTTGAGTTTTAGCTCTGAGAGGATGGGAATGGTGATGACTGAAGATGGAGAAGAAGAAGTGTAGTTGTTGTGTATTTATAGATGGGGTAGTAAATGAGTCTGTTGATGTGTTCTGTTGTGGCCTGTGGGGATCTATTTTCCAGCTCCTAGCTGTAAAATTTCTCTCCTTGTTACCCATGGTCCCCCAATTTTCTGTTCTAGTCTTCTAGATACATGAGGTGCGCGACTTCAAGATTCGATTTCCATAACTCGTAAAGCAATGAGTAAAGTTATGCAATGATTGTGGTAAATGATGCATCTTTGAGTTTGAATATATGGTTGTGTCGTTGTAATTTGTAAACTTAATTTGTATATTTTAATGATTAATAAGTGATATGTATATCGTATTATAAAACATAGTTTTCATTTGTTTCCAGTTTATCTAGGACAAATTTATGATTTCTTTCTTCACCATTTGCAAACGAAAGGAATGTATTGTATGTACTCAAAATTGAAGATAAACCATGAATCCAACTTAATATTTTAACTTGAAAGAACAATACTTGAAGAAATAGATGTTCAAATTATAATTTTTTTATATTAATATCCCGCCAAATCCAAGGCAAGACTAATCTAACCGCCGCCAGAATGGTTAGCGTTGCAAAGGGAAGAATTTTTGCACATTTTAACCAACTGTTAAGCGAGTATAAGGTGGCTTTATCTTTTCTTCATTAATAGTATTTTGTGTTCGTTAATAGTCTATTAATAAAGGAATTAACATTTAGAAAAGCCCTGCTATTAAAGGGAGTTAAGTTGTTTGACTTGTTTCTATATTAACTTTTCTCTTAATAACCTCCCAGCCCTGCTGTTAAAATTTAAAGGGACAATGACAGTAGCAGTTTACTCCGCTAGTTGCAGCACATACCGAATTTTCACCTCAAAGACATTATCTGCGAATCGTGTCGTACGACATACAAGTGGTGCGATGAAAAAATCGTCTATCGTAGTTTAGATTGGTAGTTGCTAGAAGGTAAAAATGACAATACATCAATTTAACTATCATTAAAAAAAAAAGTCCTTAATGTTAGTATGTAGTATAAGATCCATTACGGAAACTCTCTCAATGATTCGATTTATTGGGATTAACTTATTCTTAACACGCAAGAAGTAATGGCCTCTTCGGGGTTATGGTATGGAAGGGGGAAAATGAATGAATGGGATTGGCAAATGGCAGGAATTGGTTGCTGGTGAGAGGGAGAAAGTGCTAAAAGGCTACTTTTGAGATTAAATGCAAGCAGGGTAAGGTGGGGATGGGAGCAGAGAGGGAGTACTACTACTGCTGAAGAGGTCAAATGGAAGGAAGAAGAGAGCAGCGTTGTGGAAGTGTTGTTGTTGGCAATGGCCACAAAGTCCATACATTCATTAACTCCATTTCCCTCTTTCCCCTGCCACGCGTCTCTTACTCCACAGCGACACTCCTCCGTCTACAGTTGTCCTACTTGTTATTTCTTCCCGGCCCGCATGGAATATATATGGTGCATGACAGCGGCGGATCCAAAACAGAGTAGAGCATTGGCCACTTTTGGAAAAAGACATAGAGGGCTGAGGCTTAACGTTAAAAACACTGAAACCAATACCAAAAATCGGAAATTACAAGTGATATACTAGCTCGAGATCCAGAGGAGGGCTGGGCCGCGGATCCAAATCAGGCATGATCGATTAAAAAATATAAAGAAAAAGTACCTAATCTCAATCATAGAATATAACTTGGGCTGGTGATATGATTCAATTCGGTTAACCGTTTATGAAAATAGCTAGAAGCAAAATCCAAATCAGTCAATCATTCAAAAAAAAAAAAAATCTTTAAGAATTTATTAGTTTTTACCGGTTAGGGAAATAAAAATCTATGAAACCAGTTAGTTTCACTATTATTGGAAACCAAGCCGCCATCCCTAAACATTAGATATAACTAACCCAGCTAAAATCTGAGAGATCAGATCTAATTTTACTCTGCTACATAACCTATGAGTGAATGTCATGCACCCAACCCTAGCCAAGCTTGTTAGAGTGTGGTATATGATCCACGATTGAATCTCTACCAACAACTCGAGTTATTGGGATCAACTGGTTCTCGACAAAGCTAGCACCCGTGTATCGGTATGGTTTTCCAATGGACGGAGGACATTGCTTTGATTTGGAAATTTGATCCAGAAATAGGCCAGTGCTATGCTAGAGTTTATTGTTATGACTAGAAATAAGCAGCTAGCTTGTGGCATGCAAGCAATAAAGACGGTGCATGACAGTTGATGAAATGATTGTAACACAAAAGGAGATGGAGGCAAGGTATGTGTCGATGACTGGCAGCTAGGCGTATATGAATTAATCAAGGAAAAGGATTAATTAAATTAATTGGAAACCGATCGATCTAGCTAGGACTAGAAGGTCGATCGGCCAAGAATTTCAAAGGAAGTGATCTGGATTTGTACTCTCCCCAATACTAGATTATGGACACTTGTGCCAAAGTACGTGGGAAAATCGTGCATCAGATTCACACTCTCTTCACCATTGACTTCCTCTCCAGTGGAAGCAAGCAAAGCAAGTTCGCGATTAGACATTTAAGTTTCACTTATTTGATCCGGCATCCTACTTATCTTCCCATCGTCCTTTCCATTGTTTTCTCCATTTGGATCATACAAGCTCGTTTTTCTTTACCCATATTCACTCGTACCGACTATGGGTGAATTGCATGTGCTATGTGTGAGATGATGCATTCACATTGACATTTTCATACAACACCAATTAACCACACGGTTCGTGGTAACTGAAGCGTGCTTTTAGTTGAGTGGTACCATATCTGTATTCTAGCCCAAAGTATTATCTTCGAGTCCCTTGTGTTTGCCGCTTATTTATGTCCAACTTTGAGTTTTGTGTGTTACATATATCACATCTGTGCGCATATGATAAGTCATTATTAATTTCAATGCTTGACCAATATTTTGTGAATATTCACAAGTTATACACACTGTATTTTTTTTTTGGTATATCATACACGAGATGGAGAATGATGTATGTTTTATGTATAAGGAAAATCGAAAGATGCATGTATCATGAACATATCCGATGTGTTATTATTAAGTGTTATGTAGCGACGATGTGTGTCAAAGTCTTGATTGTTTTGTGTTGCAATTCTTCCAAACTTTTGTCATATGACCATTCTTTTCTCTACTTCGGTACTTCCCCTTAATATAAATAATTTTAATTTATAGGATATAGCGGGCAATCAACAAAAAAAATAACAATAATAATAATAATAAAAGAACTCACATGTTTATGTGGTACACAAATATTATGTATGTTCAACATATAGTTGCCGGGCAGAAACCAAATTTACATTTTTTAGGATAGTAAAAATTCGAGATTAGTCATATTAGCACCTTCTGAAAATCGTAAAAGGAAATGACAAACACATTTTCTAGTCCATAAAAAAAATTACAAAAGGGGTAAGGAAAAAAAAAACATAAGTATAAAAGCCAATACGCATTTTTTAATTACCATGATTTTGGAATCAAATCACCTTCCTGCCAACATAATTTTCTAACTTGAACTCGTTCACAGATTCACTAGGTATGAGATTAGCAAGTAGCAAGACGAGAAGGAAAAAAAGTGAGACCAAGTCGCAAGACAAGAGAGACACGATTGAGCCACAGAAAGATTAGGGTGTGGGACTGGCATGGCAGAGACACCTACCCTTTGAAAAATCCTCTACCAATTGGGTCCGGTCTCCATCATCAACATCATCGTCGAACCAAGCCCTCCAGCCTCCAGAAAATGGCTTGAATTTACATTCCCAACCTCCAGCTTCCACGATTCTCCACTAACATCTTAATTGGACAAGGGCAATTCTATGCCAGCGATGGGGTTGCATTTAATACCTAAAGCTGTGAAGGAAGGACCCCCTCTGTTATGCAATTGTCCCTCTTTTGAGTTGGATTTCGCTTTCCTCCTTGTTTCTCTTTTCTACCCGAGTTTGTTCGACTAGACTTCAATCAAACATGCCATTGTACGATTAAACAACAATAACAAATTTAACTAGACTTGCACATTTAGTATCTGCTTAGTCTGGAATTGATGTATGCTACCGTGCAATGGAATGAAAACTTTACTCTCTACACATATAATGATTGACGCGTGCATAAAAAGTGAGCGGAAAATGTCCCCATCAACAATAAGTAACTATAGTAACGAGAAAATAACCACTTCACTCGCTAAAGCTATCTCGTTTCCTACCAACTAAAGACGAAATTAAGTTCGACTCGCGACAATTCTTTTACTCTATTTCAACATCTCGACTTCAATATAAGAATTGCAGTAAAATTCCCCTGTGATTATCGTATATATCTTCCTCCTTTTTGTAATTGTATCCCTTCCACTTTCAACTTTGTTCACAACTTGCTGGCTCATTGCAAATTTCCAAAACAACAAAGGAGGAAAGAAAACGAAGAGAGAGAGAGAGAGAGATCCAAATGGAAACAGTGCTGCTTGTGAAAGGACAGAGAGGAACCACCGGCAACACCCCACATCTCCAAAGACTTTAAACCCTCTATCTTTTTCCGCCAAAGGATAGATAGGAGAGAAAGGAGGGGATGGCCTTCTTTTTCCACTCTCCTTCTTACTACTTCTCTGTGTGTTGTGCATGTGAATGCGCCGACCTAACTTCACAATTCTCACAACGAGTCAATCATTTGAGTAAGAAGGGCACTACCAATAGTCCAATAACATCCTCTCTTTCTCTTCATGATGTGTTAGCTCCTTCTTTTCCTCTTTCTTCACGTTAACTCTCTTCCAGATTTTTTTATTCTTTCCTTTACTCATAACTGCGATCAAAATATCGCAGCCAGTTGCCATAAAAGTCCATTCTCCGTTCTCGTTGCGAGAAGAAATTTGTCGCAAACGGCAAGCATCGACACTCATTAGCGAGTGATTTTAACATGTACAAGTGGGTGCAACAAGAATACCGCATAAGTACAAAACGCATAACCTCATAGATCCAAAACTACGCCTTTGACAAATATCACAATCATGGATGGGAATTGGAAAAGAAGAGAAGCTATATTTAGGGGGATAGGGAATTTGGATTGAGGGAGACTAATTTTGGACCCTTTCCAAATTGCCAATGTATAACCATCGTAATCATCAACGTAACCTTTTTTTTGTGTGGTAATATTTGACTTTCTGAAAAAGTGGTATTTTGTCGTGTTATGGGGAAATCGAACGACTTGGTCGCAACTAACTGGAAAAAAGGACGCCACCCCGCAGCCGACTTCTCACTTCTCTGATCTGTCTCTCA